AAGCAAGTTATCGGTGATGTCATCAACGTGAGAAAATCCCTGAGAACAACTGGAATGAGGAAGCATCTCCCATCTATCTCCCTAATTACGTCAATTGCCTGTGGCACTTCGGTTCCTTTGTCCTTCCTCTGAGTTTTCACGATTTATGCTAAAAAGTAAACAAAAACGTTTGAATATTCAATCCGAGGGGCTCATCGGTGGGCATGCACACCCTATTTACCTATTTTCCCTATTCTTTTAAGATTGGGAATATTTTCCGTATTTTCTTCCTTTTTCTGCTCTTTTGTTTTCGGTTTAGCCACAGATTTATTGCCTAAGATATTTCAATTTCCCAACTCCTACCCTATTGCTTTTTCAATACTCGAACTTTTATTGGCAATTCCAATTACTCGTTGAAAATCACTGACCCTTCGCTAATGCTCTTTGATAGTTTCATGCTAATAACTTGAAGATACCTGAGCCGAGTTGAATAACCATTTAAGGATATCCTAATCCAAGTGGACACGCGTGGACACACGATAAACAATGGCGACACGAGTGAAAAGTCGGAGATTATCTCTGGAGGGATACTGACCAATGGCCAGCGCGTGTGCAAAGTTCTCAAAGGATAATGGGCTTCTTGTTGAGTGGTCAAACAGGTTTCTCGAAGGGGTCATCGCTGGTCATCTTGAATGGACATCCTTTCGGACGCGTGGCCAGTAATCGAGGACTAATTGAGATGGTCAGTGGTCACGCCCAACACGCCGCCATTTTACCCCACCCTTCTCATTTCCCTACCACTGCTAATTTATAACGGTTATTCCTTGAGAATCCCTTCAAGGATCTCCACAAAAAGAAAAAAACTTGAGAAAAGATTTCTCATCTAATCCTTGTCCTTCGGGTCAGGCCGAAACACAATGAAGCCGAAAGCTGCAATTTTACTCGCTTTTGCGCATCCTTTGGGAAGCGGTCCGGGAAATCAACAAAGGGTTGAAGGGTCGCTGGAAGGACCGCCTCGCCCGAAAACCGGACCGGACTCGCGACCACGAATCAAAAATGAAAATCACAAGGAAACCGGTTTGGACACTGGCATTAATTTTCAGAAAGGCCGCGAAGAAAATTTCGACAGCGCAGCAAAAAAAAAGGTTGAAAGGATGAAACCCTTGCAGGATATGCGAGCCATATGGCGGTCCATAGCCAAAGGATCTGGTCAGCCTAGAAGCAGCGAAGCGATGCTGCTGGATATTGGGTGTCTCGTCCTGATCCTGTTCCCAGTATCCTTGGGGTTGCGCGCGGATGGGCAGGCGGGGCGGGACGGGACGGGACGGGACAATGGCGACTGGGTTCAAAGGGTTCCCTTGCGGTCATGCATTCAAATTATCTTTCTACTTTGTTCTCGGCATGTCCTACAAAGGTCCCTTTCTATCCCGTTGGGGAAGCTCTGCGGCCGGAGGTCAGCCATTTTGTTGAGCCCGTGTTCTCCAATTAACGGACATTTCTCAAGGAATCCGCGGCGAACTTTTCATGGGAATCGAGCAAGGACAATAGCTGAAGGTCCTAGCCAGAAAATCAAAAAAAAAAAAAACCGAGTAAACCAAACTTAACTACTTAATATTCCATTAAACTTTTAGACTGCACCTTGGGAACAGGATTCTTTACAGATTGGTGGATTTCGTATCTTAGTTCAAGAATCTGTACCATTTTCTTTTGTTATCTAAAAATCATTCAACTCATAAATAAAATAAAAAAAAATACTTATAGGACTAACAAAAAATTAAAACAAATACTTAAAAAATTGACAATTGGTAGCTTAATAATATTTAAAACATATTTAAAAGAACATATTTAGATGAGACAGTTTCAACCAAAATCAAAAAGAATCTTAATCAAAGCCAATTGGCAACTTTTTGCTATGAAGTGTTTGACTGGAATAACTTGCTTATTTTATTGGGTCAGTGGATGTGGAAATGGTTTTAGGTCAGTGCCCGAGGAAGACGCGTGCCAGACTGACCCCTGGAATGACCGATCGACAACCCTTTAGTTGTTAACCCTTCAGGTCCATCGCAAAACTCGTTCTTGACCAGCTCTAAGTGATTGGGATTACTCGGTCGCGTGTCCATCGCGGGGCTGCTTGGTCAGTCCAAGATGCCCAACTGCCCTTCCGAATACTTATCACATTTGCATTGTCACTGCAGTGACTTCGTCCTCGGCCATTGTCCCCTGTCCATTGCATCCCTAAGTGGCCGAGGTGCCCAAGAAGTGTCGACAAAACGCTCGCAAATGAAGATCCTATTAGCATTGGCTGTGGTCATTGATAGCCGAGATTTATGCAAAAGGGACACCATCCCGGGGTTCCTTCACCCGGGGTCAGCAGTATTGCACAAACAAAGAGCCAGAATTGGCAATGAATATATTGAAATATCATCGATCTGTGGGAATTGGATTCCGTATCTCTTCGGGGGTAGAAGTTGAGATATTCGTTTGGCTTGGGCAATAAATCTGTGGCTAAACGCATCCCAAAACAAAGCAGCACAAAAAGGAAGAAAATACGGAAAATATTTCTTATCTTAGAAGAATAGGGAAAATAGGTAAATAGGGTGTGCATGCCCACCGATGAGCCCTTCGGATTGAATATTCAAACGTTTTTGTTTACTTTTTAGCATAAATCGTGAAAACTCAGAGGAAGGACAAAGGAACCGAAGTGCCACAGGCAATTGACGTAATTAGGGAGATAGATGGGAGATGCTTCCTCATTGAAGTTGTTCTCAGGGATTTTCTCACGTTGATGACATCACCGATAACTTGCTTACTTATTCTTCTAGTTCGTATATTCCACTTCCGATGGATAGTGGCTATTAAAACCCCATAAAGTCTCTTTGAGCAGCTCTGAGTTTTGTGACATGCCCTTCACTTGGCTAATTGATTTGCCAGTGTAATGCTAATTTCAAGTTTAGCCTGATGGCGTCCCATGACGCTTCATGGGATCGCAGGATCCTCTATATATGCCACTATACCACGATAACTCCAATCAACTGATCCAAGAGTAACAATTAAACAAAGGTGACTAACAAAAGTTTTCTATTCCGAAACATTTGTAACTGAATATGAAATTGTCATATGTAAATTCCAGAGGCAAATGCGAAAGCATAAAAGCAGAAGTAAAACCATGAATAGAACTGCTGTACTTCGTATACGAAATGTAAGGGCTTTTGTTTGCATTTTCATGCAGATTTCCATTTCAGTTGCCATTTTACTACGTGGCAGAGAACCTTTTCTGTAATCAATAGCTCGGGTTAGTCTAGTCTGCTCTGCCGCTGCGTTATCCATGTCACTCAATTATGGCAACAATTGGTAAATCCACTTCATTCCCAATTCGCCAACCAAGTGACAAACCATGTCCTGGCCTTATCCTTCCGCCTTTCCCTCACCTTGCCGCGCTGCGAGCTGAAATGCAAATTCAAAACCAATCGTACCCGAGCCTCCGCCCCTCGCCAATCGATTTGTTCGATTTCCCTGCTGATTTGCATAAATTTCCAGAATGCGCGCGTGCGCAGTTGATCGAGGCACCCGAATCTGTAACATAACCCTCCTCCTCGGCGGAAGTGCAGGTCCATTTGCATAACACTAGCTGCAGGAGCTGGTGATCGGACACCGAGGTTCCTACCCGCTCTCGCCGCGGGCTGATGTGCCAAAATTATGCAAATAGCTCTGCGTGCCAATATTTTACAGCAATAATTTATGCAAATTACGATCCGCAAAGGATTCAATGCGCCTGCGCAGCGGATGTTACATGTCGCCTCCGTCGAATGGAAAATGCTTTAAGGGTTTGCTCACGTTCAGCATTTCTGCAAACGTTTTTTATATGCTAATTTTTTTTTGCAATGGGTCTATGAAAATTTTGGCATTTTTAATTGTGTTTTTTTGCACGATTGTAATGCAGATTTTTTGCTCGATTGTAATTTTAATTTAAAAATTTGGGTTTTTTTTTTTGCATTTGAATGGATTTCATTCGATTATTTTGAGAACGGAGCCAGCTGCTCCAGTTTTATTTCGCAACCGCGCCAATTCCTTGAAACCGATTCAATTCTAAATTTTGAAGAAACTTGTGCAGACAATTTGCATAGAGATGTGATCGAAAACGAACAGAGATGCGGATTCTGTATTTTGTACGCGATAAGATTTGATTATATTTATGGAAATGGGATAGGGACACGAATTTATAGTGTGAGAAAATGGTAAGGAAATTTTAAAGAAATATATGTTTGTTTTACAACAGCTATATATATTATAAAATATTCAAGAATTCCCTTAAGAAGAGGACTAGCTTAAATAACTTTCGGAGATATGTAAAGTATTAGAAAGGGATCTAACAATTTTATTGAGTCTAAAACAAAAAAGGAATTCCTTTAAAGAATAAAATCTATTGAAGTTTTAATTGTTATATTTATAATATTATATTTATATAACCATTCTATTTTTTAATTGTAGTTAGCAAAATACAATAGGTAATACTAACTATATCTATTTTAAGAGTTAACCGTTACAAATATTCGTATATTTAGTTAATTGTTTGCTAAAAAGTAGCCTCGAATTCCGTCGCTGATCTGTGCTCTTCTTTTTTTTTGTTGTCCCTTTCTGGCAAACGTTGGGCAAACGAGATTCCTTTACAGATATCCGCTTCTCTCTCGCAATCTACGACATTTTTTACCTAAAAAACTCTCTTTTCTAGATAAATTTACATGAATCCTGGCATTTTATTGGTCGAGAAAAGGCAAGCGAAAAAACGGAAACCGGACGAAAACAAGCCGAGTTTTCCGAGAGCATTTTCCGGCGAAGGGACGCTAAAAAACTGGGGGTTGAAAGTCGAGCCACCACCAACCGACTTACGGTTTATTCGTTTTTTAAGAGAGTTCGGAGCGAGCGAGATCGGTTTTTTAAGAGATGCGAGAGGGTTGGAGAGGCTGGCAGTGGGTTTTGGATTTGCGCAATTTTTGCTATATTAACTGGAGGCCGCGGAAGAGTTGAAGCAGTTTGAGCCTCGCAGCCGAACTTTGAGGATCGCTGAGACGCCGTGCAAGAAAAGTCGATCGAAGTCGAGAAAATCGTGCTGTGTTCTGTGCTGTGACCCACTGAAAATCTGAAATCCGATAATCTGAAAATCTGAAAGAAATCTTGAAGAATTTTTACAAATCGCAAAAAGTATCCCTGTGCCGTGCCGAGAATATCCGGAAAAGTGTTTCACAAAAATGGCCAGCCAAATGGAGTTCATTATGCAACTCTACATGATGAACTTGATGAAGCAGCAGCAGCAAATGCAGCTGCAACAGCCGCAGCAGCAGCAGCAGCAGAATCAGCTAGCTGAATACACTTACACACAGAACGAGGACATCTCGAGCAGCACTTGCCTGCAGCAGCAACACGAGCAGCAGCAGCAGCAGCAGCAACAGCAACTGCAAGAGCCACAGCAAGATCGCCTCAAGACAAGAACGCACAAACGCATTAGCTCGCAAAACACCAACTGTAGTAGTAGCCGTAGTTGTAGTCCCAATAGTAATTTGATTGCTTTTCAACCACAACCATACACAGGCGCTACGGCAGCAACACCACCCACACCTAACAGCAGCAACACACAGAGTTTGGTGGGCCAGATGTTGCTCAACAGCCTGCCGCCGCTGACGCAGTTCATGTTGCAGCAACAGCAACAGCAGCAGCAGCAGCAGCAACATTTGGTGGCCACCTCGAACCTCCTACTAACCCCCACCCTCACCCCCAAACAGGACCCATCGCAGCATCAGTTGCTGATGGGCCAGCTCGCCAGCTGCGAACAGCTTGCCACAAATAACTTTCTGCAATCCTCCACAGTGACCTCCACCCCGATCGAGAAGTCAGCCCCGCCAGCCACTGACGCAGGAGCAACTGCAGCAGGAGCAGCCGCCGGCAACCTTTCGGCGGTCACGGTCAAGTTTGAGCAGGACTCCCCCGACGACGACGAGGACGACGACAAGCCCCTGTCCAGCCTCACCAGCTGCAGCTCCTCCGGCCACACGAACGCCAGCTCCGAGAGGCTGCTGCTCATGTCGGGCGTGCATCCGCTGGAGTCGACCTCCGACAGCCTCGACTCGCCCAGCATGGTAAGTTTTGTCTTCAAATCAAATTTGGGGTGTAGCCTCAGGCTCTTACTAAAAAATTTACGGGATAGCACCGAAGATTGAAAGATTTCTTCTTCAATCTAAACAGACCCTATTAACCCTTAAATAAAGCTTTCAAGCTTTTGGGATATTATCAAACTCATATAAAAAAATTTAAATTGGAAAACTACATTTTTAGGCGGCAAGCAAACTTCACATCAGTATTGAGCAGTTAAAAAGTTAAATAATTATGTTGGTTAAATCTTTATAACTTCACCAGCTTTGCTTTGTTTTTCTATTATTTTTTTTGTCTAAATCCCACGCTTTGTTGATGTAATTTGAGAGACTTACATGACACAATTCGTGATTCCGAAGCGTCAGTTGTGAGAGGGAACAGAAAGATCGCGATTCCGAAGAAAAGAAACAGCTGTGTCGGCAACGCGTGGGTTCCCCAGATGACCAGCTGTGGGCACCAGGCAGTCTGAGGCTGCTCCCACAGAAGCATCCACAGATGCATCAAGACATGTACTATATCTTCCATCCCGCTCCTCCCTCTTCCTCCTTTCAGTACACGCCCGTGAAGCAGCCGGCGGACTCGTCGTACAGTGTCAAGAGCGAGCTGACCCCCAACACGCCCCTCCAGCAGACGCAGACCGCCTCCCTGCTGACCCCGCCCTCCAGCGAGCAGAGCAAGAGCCTGGTGAGCCTCTCGGCGGCCAGCGGACTGGACGCGCTGCTCCAGAGCGAGGAGATCCTGCGGAACCTGCGCAAGGTGTCCTCGTACCTGGAGTGCGAGAACAGTCTGTGCCGGCAGGAGAACCTGCGGGAGCACTTCCACTGCCACGAGGAGCCCTGCCAGGGCAAGATCCTGAGCAAGAAGGACGACATCATCCGGCACCTCAAGTGGCACAAGAAGCGCAAGGAGAGCCTCAAGCTGGGCTTCGCCCGCTTCTCCTCCGCCGACGACTGTGCTCCGGCGTACGGAGCGGGGTGCGCCTACAACTGGAAGCAGACCCACTACCACTGCGTCTACGAGTACTGCCCCAAGGTGTACGTGAGCACCAGCGACGTCCAGATGCACGCCAACTTCCACCGCAAGGACTCCGAGATCGTCAACGAGGGCTTCCGCCGCTTCCGCGCCCACGAGAACTGCCGCATCGAGGACTGCCCCTTCTTCGGCAAGAAGATCTCGCACTACCACTGCTGTCGCGAGGGCTGCAACCACACCTTCAAGAACAAGGCTGATATGGGTGAGTCAACTAACTAACTAACTTTAATGGACTTTAGGCTTGAAAGGCCAAGGATACACTAAACACTATCAAGTACTGCTTATCAAAGCATACTTTTGGGCGCCTTTATAAGTGTTTTCAAATTGATAGAGATTTTTTTTAGAATCCTTTTAAATAATTTAATCAGAGCAAACTGCAATTGAACTCTCTAAATAGTCTAAAAACTTGGAAAATTTCTTGGTTTGCCCCATTATATTCAAATTTGTAAGATGTTTCACCCCGCTTCGGTTTCCTTTATAAACCTTCTTTTATTTTAGTAACACTCATTTTTGAAACTGTTACACCTATAAAGCGACTTTCGGATTCTTATAACACAATTTTCACTTCTCTCCCCCTTAGACAAACACAAGACATACCATCTGAAGGACCACCAGCTGAAGATGGACGGCTTCAAGAAGATCCTGAAGACGGAGACGTGTCCCTTCGAGGCCTGCAAGTTCTCCACCGTGTGCAATCACATCCACTGCGTCCGCGAGGGCTGCGACTACATCCTGCACTCCAGTAGCCAGATGATCAGCCACAAGAGGAAGCACGACCGCCAGGACGGCGAGCAGGCCTACCAGCAGTTCAAGGTCAAGCAGGACGTCGAAGAGTCCTCGCTAGACGCCACACCCTCGCAGCAGCAGCAGCCCACCACTGTTACTCATCCCCCAGTGGGCAACTCCGTTTGCGGCAGCAACAGCTCCACCCCGCTCTCCTCCCTCTCCGCCGAGCATTTCCTGGCCCGCAAACGCGGAAGGCCGCCCAAGAAGATTGTAAGTATTAATGCAGGATATAAAACCGAAGTATATACATCATTAATTTTCACTTATTGCAGCAACTGCCCGCCGATGTCCAGCAACCGGAATATAAGCGCCTCAAGGTCGAAGATGATACCAGCAACCCCGCCCTGCTCCTGCCCCAATCCCAATCCCAAACCCAACTGCAGTCGCAACTCCAATCCCAGCCAGCCATTCCCGTCCATCCGCTGACCAACGGACTGTTTCCCGGCCTGCTGCCCGCTGCCCCTGCTGCTGGAGTGGATCCCTCGGCGCCGAACTTCCAGCTCACCCACCTGATGGCCCTCTTCCAGCTGCAGAACCCGCTCTTCTACCAGAACCTCTACCCGGGAATGCCCCAGAACCCCTCGGTGCTCGGCAACTTGGCCGCTCTGAGTGCCGCTTCAGTAGCAGCGGCGGCGGCAGCGGCGGCGAACGGAGTCCAGCAGCCCAAGGCGGAGTTTAGCTTTAAGCCGGAGTTCAAGGAGTAGAAGCGATGCGTGTCCTTTGGCTAGTTCGTAATCGTTAGTTTGACCAACGGACCTGGACGTAGCTATTGTAAATACGGGCTTTAAGCAGGTTCCTCCTCCTTTCGGGTTGGGTTTCATTTAGGGACATAGGCAGGACATGGACACAGCATCCTTCCCTCCTCAAAAACCAACTCAGCCACACTTTGAGTTTCCGTTCAAAGAGTAGCTGAATTGGCTTTTGGAAATCATTTTATTCTTAGCTTAGGTTCTTGAGTGCCACATTAATTTCTAAAATTTTCAGCCACATAAATAAAAAGAAAGAAATTTTCGAATTTTAGTTTGACTAAAACTGTGATGTTTTTATTAGGCTCGACTTTAATAGCGAATAGTGAGAATGCTAAGATTTTCCGGACTTAGGAGACTTGAATTGTCAATAACGTAGCAAATAAGCATTAAATTGTATGTGATATTTCAATAAAATAAGGCTACTTGTTTTCGCTTCATAAATTAAGAGGATGGTATTACAATAAAATATTAGTAATTATAGTAAAAGCAATGTGTTTCGAATAAAGACCTTACCTGAATAAACTATAAGATCTGTCAGATATAACTCTTCAGTAGCGAATTTAGAATTTCAATCTGGGGGGGTTTTCGATTGAAAAAAAATACGAATACGAAAAAAACGAATAGTTTCAATTCATTTTTACCGCTCTTCGGGGGGGTTTTTGGTAGGGGTTTGAACCCCTAAAACCACCCCCGTAAATCCGCCACTGGTTGGCCTGGTGTTTAAAATTTAGTTCGTCGCAATTTGCTTGCAGAAAATGTTATTCTTTTTATCAGGGGCGGACGCAAGGGGGTGAGCCAGGATGTCCGGACTCCCCCGAAATCTCAGACTTCTTCAAAACCCCTTGCAGCACACGGTCCGTCAACCATATAAGCTAAATACATTTTTGATTGCACTTCCTTGCCGAACTAAAAAATTGTTCGGTCGGATCCCCCCAAATTTTTTTTTGCGTCCGCCCCTGCCTTATACATAAATGCTGCTGCTGAGCATCCACCTACTAAGCCTTTCTGTTTGCCTGGTGTTTCTGACACCAGGCCAACATAATCAATAGCAGGTTGCAGCTGGTAAAACTGAATTTACTTAAGTAACGGTTCTTTTTTAAGTTAACTGTCCTTGGCACACTTCCCCTCACTGTTTCCACCAATCAGAACGCCGCATCACTCGAAAGAACCGTTATTTCGAAGTAAACATCAGATCAGAGATGCGAAACCACGCTGATTCTTTGTGCGTGTCACGAAATAGCGCGCCGCGCACAAGTAATTAATTAATTTCCATGTGGTTGTTGTTGGCGTGACAAGAATAATTTGTCACGCGCTCAACACTGAACAAGCCAATTTTAAGCTGATCAGCTGATCGATTTACACCTGCTAAGCGGTTATGTTGGCCTGGTGTTTAAAATTTAGTTCGTCGCAATTTGCTTGCAGAAAATGTTATTCTTTTTATCAGGGGCGGACGCAAGGGGGTGAGCCAGGATGTCCGGCCTCCCCCCGAAATCTCAGACTTCTTCAAAACCCCTTGCAGCACACGGTCCGTCAACCATATAAGCTAAATACATTTTTGATTGCACTTCCTTGCCGAACTAAAAAATTGTTCGGTCGGATCCCCCCAATTTTTTTTTGCGTCCGCCCCTGCCTTATACATAAATGCTGCTGCTGAGCATCCACCTACTAAGCCTTTCTGTTTGCCTGGTGTTTCTGACACCAGGCCAACATAATCAATAGCAGGTTGCAGCTGGTAAAACTGAATTTACTTAAGTAACGGTTCTTTTTTAAGTTAACTGTCCTTGGCACACTTCCCCTCACTGTTTCCACCAATCAGAACGCCGCATCACTCAAAAGAACCGTTATTTCGAAGTAAACATCAGATCAGAGATGCGAAACCACGCTGATTCTTTGTGCGTGTCACGAAATAGCGCGCCGCGCACAAGTAATTAATTAATTTCCATGTGGTTGTTGTTGGCGTGACAAGAATAATTTGTCACGCGCTCAACACTGAACAAGCCAATTTTAAGCTGATCAGCTGATCGATTTACACCTGCTAAGCGATTATGTTGGCCTCATAATTCAGAATTTCAATCTGGGGGGGTTTTCGATTGAAAAAAAATACGAATACGAAAAAAACGAATAGTTTCAATTCATTTTTACCCCAAACCCCAAAACCACCCCCGTAAATCCGCCACTGTAACTCTTAAACAATTGGTTTTGTTATTTTTTGGTTTATAGGAATATTGTGGGTTGTAAACATTAAAACTTCAAAATGTATTTTGATTAAATAATTGTTGACTTTATTACTGTTTTCATGTAATTGTTGTTGATTTTACTCATATTCTAACACAAATCAGCTACACAAACTCCGGACGGCCGACAAAGCCGACCGGCTAAGCAATACGTAAGTACTTAACACAGAAGCAATATTCATTTGTTTGCTCGCATTCATTTTATATAATCGTATATATAGGTAAACAATCAATACAATCCAAGTACCATAATCATAATGAAGGAGATTTCAGAAAGTCGTATCCTACTCAAGAACAATGTACAAGCAAGTATCATCGGAATCGTTTTATACATTAGGTATCGTATCTGACTTTAGTTTACATTGCAAAGTAAAACCCTGGGCGAAATATAAAAGTATATTAAAATTAAGAGTAACATTTAAAACTAATGCTCTAGAACTAAAGAAACACGAAAATCAACAATAAGCTACTAAGTAAATTCGTTAAGTATTAAGTCAATGGGGGAGGGGAACTAAACAAATTACAGACTCATTAATGCTTCTTTTGATTTAGCTTTCTATCCGGGGGGTTCGCCTAAGGTTACAAGCTTCGGTTTAGATGCGGTAGCCAAATTTATAAAACCTTGAAAAAGCATTATCCAATTTATCCCTATAAGCATATATACTCGTATAATATTCGGGGCATCAGTTTATAACGACTGCGTAACTTTCGGAGCGATATATATATGGCAACATTTTGTGCGCACCTTGAAACACACACACGATTTGAAAACGAAGTTGTGGGGCTCGTAGTTTGTATCTCGTAGGTTGGGTTGGTTATCTATCGTATCTAAGCCGCAACAGAAGAGGTTATGAGTAGCGTTGGGGTTCGAAGCTGCCCGATCTGTTCGATCTGGCCGATCTGGCGGCGGGCCTAGTCGCGGTAAAATCCGCGCAGCAGTTTCCCGATGAATCAGAACCGTTAGCTGCGACCGGTGGCCGCCGTTGCCGCCGGAGGAGCGAGCTCCACGGGCACGGGAGCCACTCGCACGGCTGCGTCCGTATTGGACTGGTGCTGCACCCCACCCAGCGGAATCGCCCGCATGTGGTGCACCGGGCGGATGGACTTGAGCTGCGTGGTGCCCTTGAAGCGCACGTTCACATCGCCTCCGACCATGCTGAGCGGATGCATGGCCTGCGGCTCCTCCACGTCCTCGCGCCTCGGCATGTCGGCCATCGTCGTCGTCGGCGGCCCCTCCTCCGCGTGGTGTGGCGACGGGGCCGTGGTGATGGCCACTCCGTAGCTCTGCCGCTGGGCCAGCGGAGAGAGAGCCGGCGGAGTGGTGCGGTAGCCCATGCGACTGAATATGCTGCCGCCGCTGCTGTTGCTCGCCGTGCTGGGCGGGCTGAGGGGCGTGCCCACGCCCGAGTCCACCTCCAGCGGGCTCTTGATGTTCGCCACAAACTTGTCCACGTGCTCGGGCAGCTTCAGCTCGTCCAGCTTCACCTGCATGACGCTCCGCGCACTGGCATTGTCCAGCAGGCGATTGGGTCGCGACGGCGGCGTCGGGGAAACCGACTCGCTGGCGCTGGAGGACTGGCCGTTGAGGCGGTGCTGCTGCTGCTGGCGCAGCTGCTCAAAAAAAGGTGTCTTCTCCTTCTTCTGCTTTTGTGGCGAACCAAGTTCGTCTCTTTCGGTCAGCTCTTCGAGCACCTTGAGTGGAAACCCCAAGTGGCTGTTCACGGAAATCGACTTGCCGATCTTGCGCTCGGTGAAGATGGGCTTGCGGCGCTGTCGCTCCAGATCATCCAGCTGTTGGAGCATCCTCCGCACCTCGTTTGGCAGCTCCAGATCGGGATTGTGTTCCACTAGCTGGCCGACGTACCGGCCGAGTGTTTGGATGGTCAGCTCTAAGGATTGCACCTGCGATTGCAGCGTGGTGATCTGCGCCTGCTGGGAGGAGCGCGTGGTCTCCAGCTGAGCAATCGAGGATTGAGCGAACTGTGCAGCAGATAAATGGCATATATTAATCAACATCTAACAAAGGAATCGTTATCAACCCACCTGCAACTGCTGCTCGAGATGCTGGTTCTGCGTCTTCTCCCTGTTCAGCATCTCCAGGTGATGGTTGGTGGTGGTGATCTCCTCCTGCAGCACGTTGTACTCCACGTTGTACTCGGCCAGCTGCTTGCCCAGGTCCATGGTGAAGACCAGCTTCATGATCTGCTCCATGCAGCTGGGCTCGATCTTGGGCACCACGGTCTTCAGGTAGTCCATGATCTCCTCGAAGTTGTCCTTGGCCAGCAGCTGCTCCTTGTGCACGGACAGCAGGGCGATGGCGAACTTGAAGATCACGTCCGAGGACTCCAGGAAGAGCAGGTCGAACACGCGGGCCACGAATCCCAGCGGGAACTGGGAGCTGAACACGGTGAGGATCCAGGGAGCCGCGTACAAAGTGGGCGAGACGTCGTTCTGGTCGAGCCACACGTACAGATCCGGCAGGTGGTCCTTCACCAAGCGGGAGAGCTGGTACAGCTGCAGCTGGAACTTCTTCATGTCGGGCAGGTATTTTGTGCGCATGTTCCGGCGGAACATCAAGTGCTTCAGCAGCTGAAACGCATTGGCCTCGTCGCACTGGAAAAACAAATATATTATATTATTCTATTCATATAGTTCTAGGAGGGAATACCCACGTGGAGGAGCAAAACGCCGCAGATGAAACCCAGACCCTGGCAGTAGCCCAACTCCGGATCGAGGATGGAGTACGCCTTCAGCAGGTTGAACAGCGACAACTGTCCCAGTCCCAGGGGGTCCTTGTAGAACTGGTGGTTGGGGAACGTCCTGCCCAGGTCAATGAAGATCGCGTGCTGGTGCTCCGTGAGGTGCTTCAGCAGCGTGTGGTACGGCGTGTTGAAGTTGGGGAACCGCTTCGTGTCCACCGGAGCCGTGTTCATGGAATGCTGCTCGGCCAGGAAGGTCCACACGTCGCCCCGCTTCGACCGCGGCACTCCGGTGCGAATGGCGTGGCCCAGCACCTTGGGATCCTTCTTGTTGCCGATCTGCGTGGAGTTGCGCTCGATAATCTGCTCCCAGCGCTCGATCAGCTGCTTGTCGCACGGCACGATCTCCTCGTAGTCCAGCTTGATGCGCTTCAGCTCGTTCTCGTTCTGGCGGGCCTGCAGCATGGCGTTCTCCGTCTCCATGCGGTTCAGCATGATCGTCTGTCGGATGGCGGTGCGCCACAGCTCCCTCAGCTCCGCCGCATCCCGCTTGCCGCGCTTCACAGCTGCAATTTTAAAAAAACACTTTTAGTAACTCTGTGCAGCACGAAGAGCATTTTAATGGTGTGGAGTAAAACATTTAAAACCCTTTTACATTTTAAAATAATTATCTCGCGGTTCCGAACTTATAAAGTAGATGAATTCACATAGAAAAAAATACTTTAATGAACGAATAAATATCGCAGTTTAGCTTTAGATGGCCATGTGGCTTTCGTTCACTGGAAAATACGCAAACATATTTTTTAATAATTGTTCGCTTTAAAGTTCTTTTTGCGCATTTACTTTCGTTTTGGCCGCAAAAGAAACAATTTTTTTTATTCTGTTTTGCAATTAGCATAATACTGCGTGTTAAAATACAATAAATACTTTTTTGGGGGCCTTGCAATTGGTGTATTTTTATTTTTTATACATAAACAATAATGCGCAGAATTGTATGCAATAATTAAATCAATTCAAAAGAAAAACCATAACCATTTTCAAAATTCAAAATTATGAAGTTGCTTTAATAAGAAATGCGTGTTTAACCAGAGAAACTAAATAACAAGTGAAGATAGTTCTTCGGAATATGATATGATGAAGGATAGTGATCTCAGAATATGAATGAGAAAATGCAGATACACCAGGTTAAAGCAATTGAGAAAATGCAGATACACCTGGTTAAGTAATTAAGCTAATTCTCATTTAATGTTCCATAAAATAACGTAAACTATTTGTGGTTTACTTACGCTTGCGCATGGGCGACAGAAACTCGGTGGGCACCTCGTTGTCCAGACCCTTCGAGGGGGTCACTACACTGTTGAGTATCGCCTGCCGCCAGGATCCCTGGTGGGTCTCCGCCTCCTTGGGACTGTTGCCCACCTTGATGAATCTAATGGAAGTGAATGGTTACAAAAGCGATTACAATCTCCCCTGAAAAGAGAACCTCCTTTACTTACATGTCCATCATGGGACTCTTGAGCTGCTCGGCCGTGGGCTTGCTGCTGGGACTGGCTCCCACCGTATTTGACCTGGACCTAAAACCCTCGGGTGGCGACTGGGTGCCCAGGGGCTCGGCGGATCCCTCCCGGATGTCCCGCAGGTTGTGCGGCGGGACGGCGATGTCGTCCTTGGAGGGCTTGCGCTTGAGCAGGTTGTCGAAGGAGTTGGTCAGCGAGCGCTTGGCCTTCATGAAGATGGTGCTGCCGCCGAGGTACTGGTTGAGGAACTCCGACCGGTTCTCGGCGGTGTCGTGGACGTGCCTCTGCTGCCGGGACTCGCAGTGGGCTCGGAGCAGCATCATGAGGAACTGGTTCTGCTCGGCCACCGGCGAGTTGGTCTTCTCCGAGCCGCAGAACTTGGCCCACACGATCTCCTGCTCGTCGTCGCTGAGCGTCTCGATTCTACGCAGGATCAGCGCCTGCGTCTTCTTCTCCGACAATCCCTCGACGTCCGTGCAGAGCTTGTGGTACCACAACATGGGGCAGTGCTCGCAGCTGAAGATCTGCGTCTCCTGCTTCTTCTTCTGCTCCGCACAGGTGTCGAAGGCCTGGGCAATGGCGGCCACGATGTCGTCGCACACGTGCTCCGACTGGCACTTGAACACGTACCCGATGTAGCCGTCGTTGTTCAGCTCCCGGCAGATGATGCCGAAGTGGTCCAGCGACTTCTGGCCGTGCACGCAGCTGGCCACGTCCTTGAAGTCCTTGTAGAGCAGCACCTGCTTGCGGTCCGGCGAGATGAGCCGCAGGTCGCACCGCCCCACCAGGAACACCATCGTGCGGTTCTGCTCCACGAAGGGCGGGATGCATCCCTGCGAGGCGGACCGATCCCTCAGCTTCGGTATGCTGAAAGTGGAGGGTTAGTTGGCAGAATCTAATTCAGTTTCCATGTGCTGGGAGCGGTGGCATGCGACTATTGAAATAGAGAAGCGATGGGTGCTACTGGGCAAGCGAAACAAACGAAAAAAGGTTCAACTATCAGGGGATCGAAGGAAAAACTAATTGGCAATCATTCCTCGAGGATCTTTTTTCTATTGGTTCTGGATAAGGATAACATACATTGGAATTAGTTTAAGGAATTGCAAATTTATTGGTTGTTTTAGTCTAATGGTTCAAGGCAACAATTTGTTTGTTATACTTGGTAAGTCTTTATATGTGTGTTAAACAGCAGATCAGTTGAATTATTTTTCAATACAAGTTTAACATGCTTATGCAAAACTAAAATAAATGAAAAACTAAATTGCAAATAAGGTATCAATCATAATGATAACAATATCATAGCTGGTTAGAATCTTTTTAAATCTGAAAGGAGTGCGAAAAGCCACTTCTAGTTGGTGAACGAAAACCAAGAAACGAAAACGAACTATGGTAATCATGCGACGGGGTTGCTGGCCCGGCGCCACTTACTTCTCCATCGCATAATTGGGGTGCAGCTGGCTGGGGCCAGCGGAAGCGGAAGTGGCACCCCCGCTCCCACTCCCACTCCCATTGCCACTCCCAATCCCACTTCCATTCCCAGAGGCAACGCCCTGATCCCTGGGCGGCGTGGGCTGTTTGTTTACAATGACATTGGGCGCCTCCAGTTGGGCATCCTGTTGGGATGCCGAAGGCTCGGAGGAGCCGTCGCTGCTTGGGCTTTTTGGCAAGACGGAGAAGTTGATTTTTGTTCAAGTGTCGGGGGAGAAGGACTCAATGAGTGGATACTTACTGCTCCTTGTGGCCCAGCTCGATCTGACTCTGGCCGCGCAGCAGAGTCCGCTTCTCCGGGGACTTGTTCTCCTTGTTCTCCTCCAGCGGTCGGGGGGCAGCTCCCTCCTCGGCGCCCGTCAGCTGCAGCTGCACCATCGGCTTCGCCTGCGCATCCTGTTCCGCATCCTGCTGTGGCGTCTCCTGCTCCCTCTGGCTGTGCTCCGGCTCCTCCTCGTCCTCCTCCTTGAGGTCGTGGCTCTTGAGGGAGCTGCCTGGCTTCGCCTCGATGCCCACGCCGCCCTCGCTGCTGAGCGACATCTTGCGGTTCTGGAGGAGCCGCAGGCGCTGCGCGTCGTACGCCTTGAACTTGGGCAGGGCGTCGTCGATAAAGGAGTTGGGGACGCGCTTCTGCGAGACCCGGATCTTGCCCACGTACATCACCTCGAAGAAGTGCGTGTGGTTCGGCGAGATGTCAGCCAGCAGGGAGAGGTTGCTCTGGGCGGACGTGGACGTGGGAATGTTCACCGTGCCCGAGGAGCTGCTCAGTCCGTGGGTGTACGACTTGGAGGCCTTCATCTTCGAGCTGACGGGATTCGGACTCGTGTCGTGCTGGGCACTGCGCATCGCCTCGCTCATCTTCAGGTTGGTGGCGGGTGTGGCGTGGATCCCGTTCAGGACTCCGTTCGAGGAGCTGTGGCCTCCACCTCCACCTCCGCCGCCGATCAGCGTCTGCGGAATGCTGCCCACGGAGCCGCCGAGTGTGTGCGCCGGATCCCGCATCTGGTGCATCAGCTCGGCCATCTGCGGATGATTCGGATGGGGAAAGACTACAGTGAGACACTAGTTTTTCATCTGTCTGGGATTCGAGCAGAAAGTTAAGAGCGTGCAGTCAGTAGAAGAGGGCGGAAGAAGTTATGTCCCCTCAATTTGATGGATGTCTCGGTGTCACTCGGTCTTATTCCGTTTCCCGTCCCGTCTGTTCTTTGCCTTCCTCTGCTTAAGCTTTGAGTTTTACTACCCTCGAGTTTATGGTCAACTTTTGTGGTCCCGCCACTTAAGCGGTTCTGGGAGATGCTCCCAAAGTTCGGAGCAAAGCCAGCTGGACATCCCTCCCATAATTTCAGCTGAGCCCGCTTCGTGACTGGGAAGAGCTAGTGCAGCTTGACTGCGGTGTGGTCATATTTTCCTGACAGTTTTGGCAAAGTGTAATAAAAGGTTTATATAAAAACCGCATGAAAATGTTAGTGATTTTAAAGGGATCAAGACATTTTTGCTTAGTGTCCTGCGGGGTTTACTCAACGTAAACAATCCACATGGGAAACACGAAAAGGAAATCTTTATAATAATATAATAAATATAAATAAATAATAATTAAATTTTGTATTGAAAATTTAACTGTTTGAATAATTTTTACATCTGCAATACTATACTATAGTTGTTATTTCTAAACATAAGGCATTATTTGAGTTGAAAAAAGTCTCAATTTAGATTTCCTTAATCATCTTCTCCTTAAATATTTATTTTCTTTCAATGCGGTTTCTTCATTTATTTGATTGTTTTTTTAGATAGTTACTAACAACCAGAGTGCCTTTTTCTATTAGGTTGTAGAGACATTTCTCAGTACCAATAATGCTTTCGGAGAACTCATTAATTAATTCAAAGGAAGAATAACGCTTCTGCCCAACTGAAAAAGCGATCGTTCATATTCCATTTATGCGACGTCTGCCATTTTGAGAACTGAGTCAGCGATCCAGAAGAAGGAATGCTCTTCAAAAACTGATGATCGCTGCGTTCAATTCCCAATTGATCGTTAATATCCGACAAATAATCAGATATACATAGGTCAGGGTAAGCCAGTTGCTAACCGAGATGTGACCATGTACTTGGTGACTCACGGCGGTCATGTTCAGTGGTCATGCCGACGCAGTGTCTGCCCGAGATGCACCTCATCAGCTAGTCAGCTCATCAGCTCATCAGCTGCTCCCGGCGTGATGATGATGATGCACTGCTGAGGGACTCTCTTTGGATCTCCCAGGGCGCTCCTTGAGCGAGAGATCACCTAGTGTTCCGTCCGCGTCCCACTTTCGCATTGAAAAGCTGCCAGAAATGATTTTGGCGGGTGCCAGCAAGTTAAAAGTCCAATGTCATCCCACTTTCAGTGAATGCAGCTGTCCGTCAGATGCGTCGCTCTAACAATAATATATGTACCCATCGATGGTACAACAGAGTGGACCACGACTAATTGTCATTTATCAGCAATTTTGGGGAACAAGTTCGGGCACACAGACAAATGAAAAAGTTATCTTCCTAAATTGATTTAAATTTTCATTCTTATTTTGGGACTGGCCTCTTCTTCTTCTTCTTGGTTCTGATCAGTCGTTTGCCGAGTGATCGTGACGACATCTTCAGAGCAAGTTGACCAATAGGCATAAGTTGGGTGTACATATATTATAATGTGTATATCGTACATACAGCTGCATTCATAATAATAGAACTGCGCCCAAAGCCTTGGCATATTTTTAAAAAATTATATTTTAGTAATTCTCGATTGTAGTGAATATCATTTATAGCTCACAAAGCAATGTTATTTGATGTATAAATATAATACCTTTCAAATTCTAACTATTTCTATAACTATTAGTGAAGAAATTCGATTTAATGAAGTATAACAACTTAATAATAAGAAATAATTTTACTTTTAGTTATATTTTAACTCCCGCCACTGTTTAGATGCCTTTGGATTTAAGCGGCACGCGTGTTGTTCGAATCGTCTGACAATATATGCACACATTTGTCTTTCTCTTTTTTATTATTATTGTTTAAGCGAAACAAAAAATCAAGCACCGCACATAAATAATGGAAAACTGTTCGCAGGAATTCAATTCAACGTCACGTTCGCCTCGCGTTTCACTTGATGACTTTGTCTTTTTACTTGGTTTTTACGTGTTTGCACTATTTGTGTTGTTGCATTACAATAATATATTTTATCTTTAATAATAATGTGCATATATGGATATGGATGTGATGTGCCGAATCGACCGGGCTCAATCAGCCCGAGACAGAACGCAATAACCTTGACTAGTAGCAATGGCGAAAAAATCAAATTAAAAGCGATTTACAGGCGATTTGCACGCGTTTACAACCGCCAGCGATTTTATAGGTATTTTTATGTTCGCCAAAAAGTAAAAAAAAAGGGTAAAACAACATAAAAAGTGCAAGTTGTAAAAAGATGAAAATGCTATGTAATAACTTCTTATAACCCAGTCGAAATATCAATATATGATACACAAATTTATAATTTTATAAATCTATAACAGCATTAGTTATGCTATTTTAGGCATTTTAAGTCCATAAACCATTAAGTTACATAAAATATACAACTTTAATCTATTTATATTTTATTTGTTCAAATTTTTCATTAAGTTTATTAAAACTATGAAGTTAAAAATGCGTTGCGATAAATGGCAAGAACAATAGTCGGTATTAGAAACAAAAGCTGTTCTATTTCCGGTTTTTATGTTTCCCTTGATCTATTAACCGAGTTTTTAAAGTTTCTGCACTAAAATAGGATACTACTATCCGTCATAAATCAAATATTTCCGGGAATACCTATCTGGCTTGCAAATTTTGTAACATGTCGTCTGAACGACAGTATTTAATGTTTCATGTCAGCGTTTAATGTCATCTTTTTGCCCACAGTCATCGTGTCTGTTTGCTGTTATCGCCGCTCGTTTTGCGTTTTTATGACTTTTTATGCAATTTGAAATTGCAATGTGCGGTGTGCGGTGTCAGTGCGCCTTGTGAATAGCAAAGACCTGGCCTGGATGGCACTTAAACTCTCGGCAGCTGCTCCCTGTGGCAGCATTGGTGCATTGGTTGGTTTATTGAACCCAGAACGGCGAAAAGGACGGATCAATTCAGCCACAATGGGAATGGCCATTACGCCACAGCAAACGAACTTGTTTACATTCGATTTGGAGTCGCTTTAAGGTCAAGACTGCATCGTACTTCCCTGACAATTTTCTTCGGTCTGTGTACATTCGCTTCGGCTTATTTTGGCACACACAAGCGTGTTTATTATTACGTGTTTATCATCTGCTGACCAAGCCCAAAAGCAATGTTTATCTAGCGGTAATTCGAATTATGGCTCGAACACCTTTTGGGCATTCAGAAACGAGGTACAATTGCATTGAAAAGATGGCGAAAAGCCCAACGTAATTGCGTTTAATATCAGACTTTAACATGTAGCTTAAATTGCAATTTATTTCCACTGCCGAGCAACTCGGAGCTTAAAGTTAATCGGAGAATTTGATTGGCAATTTGCGACCGGTTCCTGAAAGCCTCTAATTCAATTGAAATTCAATATTATTCGCAGTCGTTTTCATTTGTGCACCCTTGCAAAAGGTTTTTTATAAACGCAGCAAGTGAGACATCTTTTCACTTATTTCTGTATCGAGTTGGATAAGTTTTAAAGCAAACGGTTCGAATATTTCCAAGTCTTTTTAAAAGTAATTTAGATATGGTTATTATTTTTAAGAGTAGAACAAATGAACGAGAATACTTCCAAGTCTTTTTAAAAGTAATCTAGATATGGTTATTATTTTTAAGAGTAGAACAAATGAACGGGAACTGTAGTTCAATGGTAGTTGTGGTTAATTGTTTTTAATCACATGTTAAATAGGTTACCTAAGCTAAGATGAGCTTGACTATATTTACGGGCTCTCCCGTTAAAATTTAAGGCCGTGCCAATATCCATTTTGCAATAACTTTTTTAACCGGTCCAGTCACTTGACGTATAATTTTACTTTTTATATTTTACGGTCGTAACTTTTTGACCTTTTTTTTATATATTTTAGCTCTTGAAACGGCTTTTGTGCAACTTTCGAAGCCCGTCAAAAGTGAACAATCGAGTCAGCTAAAAAGTTAAAGCCACAAAAAGTGTTTTCCCCGATTGCAACGCTCTTTGGGACACCAGGGCCAATAAAGTCGCCATGGCCATGGTCAAGTGGCCATAAAGGACGAATTCGAGAAACTTTTTCTGGCGCCTACGGCCGAAAGTGGGTTCTGGCCACCCTTCTCAGCCGTTTGGCACGCGCGCGGAATTTAATTTACAGAACACAGAACTGAAACTGAAGGCGGAGGAAAGGCAAACACTTTATATGGTAATCCGCAAAATAGAATATCCGAGTCATTTAAATGGGAATTGTCTCCGGCAGTTTAAATTTCAATAAAACGTCAAACTCGAGAGGTGGAAGAAATGGCAAAGCAAATCCATTATTGACGAGATGGGAAGACTATTTCAAGGGTAAATCAATTAGTGCTGAGTGGAGGGAGGTCAGGGCTGAACCTGCAGTGGAATCGAGGGGCGGGGGGCGGGGCTTTTAACTTGGCCTAAACGCTGCAATTAGTTGGGAAACAAAGAACAAAGCAATCGCAGCGGTGCATGCATAACAAGCCATTACATAAGGCAAACCGGGCAAACAAAAGGCAGGCAGCGAGTAAATAGAGACAAATTACACAAGCTCAGGCGCAGGCATACAAATTGAAATCAATTCAGCGATACTGGATAGGGATTCCCGATCTCGATCCCGATCCGGATCTCTACGTACGGCCCGACTCTTGTTGAGCACGGAGGCATCGCTGACGGAGGTGGTCAGGATCGTGTCCCGATGGAACGGCACCGTGAACATCTTCGAACTCTTCCTTATCCGCGGGATTTGCACTGCTCGTTTCTTGGATTCTTGGCTGCTTTCCCCGGTTATCACAACTTACTTTCACAACTTTCGCACAGCCGCAGCTTGTATCACAAATTCTATTTTGAGCCTTGTACTTTGAGTGTTTGAATGGCTATCACAAGTTTTCCATGGTTGTTTTAGTTTTATCACAAGATTCACAACGTGTTGAGGCTGCACCGCAAAAGACCATAAATACTATAAGTTGTAGTATTTTATTAGTGTATCATTCTGATTGTAAATTATTTATTTATTTGTGAAACTTGTGTGTTTTCACTTTATAAATGATTTATATGATTTATCAGTACATCAGTTGTGTTCTGATTAATTTAATTTTGCATTTGTGATGAACACTTATTGACAGAGCAATTAATTATCAATTATATTCACTGTAATCCGCAATGTATGTTTAATATTTATCACTTTAATGAGTTTTTAGTTTATTTCGCCCACCACTTTTCGATATAGTGTGTATATATATTCCGACCTCTGTTCAACGTCCGAAAAATCACGTAAATCAGCTATCTTTGACGACCGTTCACGAGGCTCGTTTGGCGTGAAATGACCACGAAAAGCCAAAAGCCCGGCAACAAACGCGAATAGAGCGTGTTCTGAGGGCCAACCTATTCTCCCGACTAACGAAAGTATTTTCGAAATTCGAACGAGCAGTTCGATCAGCTGTTTCAGGAAAAATAAAACTATACTCGAATGGGTCAAAGTACTTTCTGCTGCGCTTGGCTGGGCGATAAATCATTGTGATTGAACAGATTCCCAAAGCTGCACTTGTCTCTATCTCTATATCCAATTGGCCAGGGAATCGCAACAGCACCGATAATGAGACACTGTGGTTGTTCACTTACAACAACTGAGTATATAACGCTGGGAGTACGTACATTTGTTTATCCATCTATCTTTATCTTTCGCCCTGCTAATTGTCGCGTTAATTGACTTTGCTTGACTCGATTCGAGATGTTTGCAATGGCACTTTGCAACTACACGATATTTGGGAGAATGGGAGCCCGTTGAGTGCCTTTGTTTATTTTGAGTGGAAAATTTAGTGGATCACTTTATGTAAGAATTTCAAACTGGCAGGAGTGATTCTCTGAAATATTCTCCCTTCGCAAATACCCAAAAGCATCTCAATTGGTTTGTTTTGCCTGTCCAAGACTTTTCAATTAAGCGAGCAAGCGTCGGATAAAACAAATAATAGATCAGAATGGCCAAGACGGACAAAAATAAGCAGAATTCTATATGATTTACACATGCGGGGTATATATAATATAAATTGTTTTGCTTTTCGTTCTGGCCAGCGCGTTTTAGTAACTGATTTATTTTTGTTTTCGAAACGCTCTGTTTTTTATTTGCTAATCGTTCTTTATTTTTTTGTGCGATAAACAAGTTATTTTTTCATCTGCCAGACTAATTTGTTGGGGATTTGGCCATTGTTATCGTTGTCACCTGGCCAATACCCGTTTAATTATTTATGCGTTGTTTCGGCTCATCACTTTTTGCAGGTATTATTACTGATTTCTGTGGGTAACTCTCGCCGCCTTCGAGCAAAACGCGCACGCGATTCAATTGCCGTCGGACGACTAACGACTGACGACGACGAGCAGATCGAATCCGAAAAGTGCGACTGGGAACGGGGAACTGGGAACCCACGATGTAAAGTAGCGACCTGCGCATGCGAAATCGCAGAAGAGCCAGGGAAAGAGAGAGCCAGGGAAAGAGAGAGCCAGAGAGTCGGAGAGCGCAATTTCGGGGCATGCAGGCCACACTGCGCATACTTCATGTGGTAAATAAGATCATAAATTACGAACGTGCATTGGGCAACCGACCATGGTAAATACAACATCTGCCGTGGCCGATGAACGAGGAAATGACAATCAGCTTAGCCAAAATCGATGCCCAATCGACCAAAGTCAGAAGTGCAGATATAGTATAGAATCGGCAGACACTGGTATAAAGTGCAAATGTGGAAATGTTTATTGCAAAATGTTTTCATCTTTTTTCAACTACAGATATAACACAGATCCACATTAAACATTTTTGTTGCCAATATTTTACCTACTATTTCGGTTTAATAAAAAAATTTTTTCTTATCGGCGTTTTAGTTTTTACGGATAAACCTTTTTAATCACGCTTCACTTTAAAATGCAGATGTTGATGATGTTTTAATAAGCGAAAAAAAATGTTTTAGTGAATATAAGACAAAAATGTTGTTATTTTTGTATTCTCATAAAAGCTTTACCTAAAAATATAGTAAAGACGTAATTTAAAATTTCCTACAGACAATGGAAAACACCCATGTAGAGTTTTCCACTTAGGAACACCATAAAAATATTGAAATATTTTATTTAAAATTAAAAAAACATTTACTGTAAATTAGTAGGAAAAAGAATGAATCCAAACATGTTAAAGGTTAAACAAAAAAAAAAGACTGACAACTTGTGCCTTTTATATTTAAATTCTAGGGTTTCCTTATCTACGAACTACGAATTTACACAACGGTCTGAAATTCATAGAGTAGGAAACTTAATAATAAACAGTGAGAAAAGCAGCATTGCATTTGGATACCAGTAACAAACTAAAACCCGACTACAAAATCAATTTGGCCCAGGCACAAAGGACCGAAGCAACAACGGCAGAAAACTAAGTGAAGAGAAAAGGACCGACTCCAATCTAATCATGGTATAAAAAGCTCCTGCCTTCCCCAATGTGCGACAAATTCAATTTGTTCACCGGGCCAAGTTGCCAAGTTGTCCTGCCCGAACGGAAGGAGGCAATATTTTGCATGCGATTCGAGGAAATAAAAGTGAAAGCCAATTATCTGGCGGAAAGAGCGGCTTTCGAGGAGAGCGGAGGCTTTAAGCGCTCAATATCGGTTTCAAAAGTTGTCTCGTGCCAAAGTGTATGGGTAAATGGAATGGTATATGAACTTTGAGTACATTGCGAAGGCGGTTCATTTTTAAGGCCTTTTCAGTGCATTATGTGGACACTCCAAGCCAAATCCTTCGCTCTTCATGATGGCATCTTCAAAGGATGCGAAATTGTCGACAGTTTGAAAGGTTGCCAACACACTCGATTAGTTTCTTGTTGGCCCAATCGAGTTGTTCAAGCGGCGATGCAGAAGAGCATGTTGATGGCCAGGACCCAAAACTGGCACTGACATTCGCCTTGAAAGACCACCCACCTTCACGCCCATATTCCGCCCACTTCGCATCCTGCGGGAGGAAGGACAATAAGCCCGGTGTTTAAACAGGCGAATGGCAGCTCTGCGCCATGCGTCATTTAGCAAAGGACTCGGCACTCGGAACTCGGATCCACCTGCTAATGATGCACAAGGACGCCGCACATGGAGCACACGGAGCACATGGAGCAGTGCTGGAGCGGCGGACAAAGGCTTTAAATATTTACGAGCTTATGATGTTGTTTAAGTGCCGCCGAGGACCGACCACAGCTGCCATCGCCCCCGAAATGCCAGTATGCCGCGCTCATCCGCCTCCTGGCAATTAGCTTTATTTTTTCAGCATTTGCGTAATGGGGACTCCCCTTTCCCAGCATCGCCTCCGAATAGAAGGGATGGCGGAGGAAAGTGCGTTTATCTCGGCGCCTAATGGCTTCAATTAGTGGCTCAATCGGCGGAACGTATTCACCAGGTTGACCGCAGTCGGGCAATTATGTTTGGGCTCCGCTTTGTGTGTTCGCTCGGCTTAACTTACTGAAGTGACCAATTAAAGATTTAAAGGGAAAGTGCAGAGACATTACCCTTAGAAAATTCAACAGTTGACTTACATTTAGTTCAGAGCGATAATCTGTGTTACTTTGCGATATAGAGTTGAAGATTCCTCTAAATACTTCCAAATTACATATCTTTCTTAGACAGATTTATTTAAAATTTTATTAAATGACTAGAGGTCCTGTGTCCGCTTCGCTGGTCAACACAATTTAACAACATAAAAGTCAATGTTGCAAAATTTTTCAAATATATGGAAGTATAGAAAGATGGTGATTTAACACTTTTCCAGTTTGACTTTTCCACAATCCAGCCGTTTCTCTTTTAAACTTTAACGCACTGCAATATCGGTATATAGTCGCCATTGGTCCAATATCTAAATTTTCATTATCACTGTAGTTCGCAGTGGGGTCATATTGGAATGCCAAGCGATTGAATGATGCCAATGATCTCCATGTGCTCATTTGTCTTTCTTCGCTTAAGTTTTGTGAATATACTGGCTGCTGGCTTGGATGTCTGCGGCCAATGTTTGCACGTCGTCCTCTAAGCATTTTGGACTATGGACAGAGTGGTGAATTTATCCTCAAATGCACGATCCACATAATTTTCACAGTTCAACTTAAATTGAATAAAAATTCTTTTTTTTCACAATTTCACAGTGAACACAAAAATTGAGTTAAAATGCTATGGGAGCGTGTTTGTCAGTGTGATGACGTAGCAACTCACTTTATATGCGACAATATTGCAATTTTCTTACGGATCCCTAATTTTTTTCAAAATAAATTATAGCCTATTTAACTCCACGATAATATAGCTTTCTATCGGCGAAAGAATTTTTTAAATCGGACCAGTAGTTCCGGAGCCTATTCCCTGCAAACAAACAAACAAACAAACAAACAAACAAACAAACAAACAAACAAACAAACAAACAAACAAATTTTACCTCTTTATAATATTAGTATAGATATACACAAAAACTAGACTACGTTCATTGAAAGCCTTTATAGGTAAACATTTCATTTCGCCTGACCTTTATTTATTGCAAGCAAATATGCATGAAAATAATTGAAATCCATTGATGCGCATTTACGCACAAGAGGTATTAATAGAAAGCACAAATAGATTAGATAACAAAGAACACATAAACAAACTTCCATTCTTTCTGAACAAATATGTTTCGTTCTTGTTCAAATAATTAGAAAAAAGGTAAAGGTTTTAAGTTCATAAATTATTTCAATGTAATGCAATACGAGTTTCCCCTTTTCGAGTTTTTATTTTTATGGCAACCTGCAATAGGGTTTAGCATGCAATCGGAGTTTGTTAGCCGTTTAAGACGACCCTAAATGAAAATGCGAACACTGACCCAGATACTCGTAAATCAAACCAGCTGTAAACTGAATTCGGGAGACACAGCTCAATAAAACTTCTGAACAACGCCAGGACACACCAACAAAACCCGCTATCAACAATCAAGCCAAGTCAACATCACGGTCGAAACGCAGGGCTTAAAACGCTTTTGACATGCAATGAACCAACAACAGCTCTCGCAAAAAATTCTTTACCAATTGCGATGAAATTAAGTGGAAACGCTCGTGGAGAATTAAAGCAGAAATGCAAATAGTTACGCGAATTCCAAACAAACCTTAAATTATCGCTCAATATTTTAACTTTAAAACAGTAGTAATACACAAGTTGTTGAATTTAGGTGTTTGTTACTCTGTTTTCCGATTTTCAGAAACTGAAATTGAACTTTTCACCCCATTGTTTTCCGTAGGAGGGGCGTGACCACTTTGAAAACGCGCAGAAGTTTATTTGTTTTGGGCCTGCTCGTTCGGAATGAACTTTTTGCGTGTGTTTGGCAGAAGGTCATGCGGAGCAGTCCTAATTTAATGGACTCCTCTCGCTGGTGTTGCTCGTCGAACAGCCCCCACTTATTTGCTCCCTACTTGCTGAACTGTTTTAATTAGAAATGCAAACGGAAGTCAATTTATGGCGTGCTGGGCGCCTAACCAATACCCACGCCCATTTGGCCGGGCTCAGACATTATGGTCTAACACATGCGTGATAAGCAGACGAGGTCAGGTCGGGCTAAATTTGTAGTCGCTGTTTTCGTGGAGCTCAGTACAGGATTTATGAGTGGGGCTTGTATACGAGGTAAATTTAAGATACTCAAAGAAGCGTCACGGTCGTTTATTCGCTCTTAAATAACTTTGACAACCGCATTTACAAATGCAATTTTGCTTTTAAACTAGTATAACAATATAGTGTAGTAGTAAGTTAGTCCTAAGCAACACTGTGCAATATTAGATTTAAGTATTATACAACACTATGCTCACTCTCACGAGAGAGCATGAAGGAAGAGGATCTTCAATAAAGAGGCAGTTCAAGTTTGGCTGCAAAGGAAACATCACGGGTGTGTGCGCTTACAAAAATAGTAACATTTGTTTGGATTTAAGTGCTTACAATTAAAAGCATCTTAAAGTAAACAGTTATTGTATTCACAAGATTTGAAGATCGTTATCGCACAGAGATATAATATTGGAAAAAACATTATTTTTTATACGGTTAAAGCAAGTTGAATAAATTCAAAAAGGATTTGCCAAAACATTTGCTATACCCATTTTGCACATTCGGATATTTTTAATGAGGTACGCTATCCAAGACCTTTGTATCAGTTTTAATGAACTCAACCTAGAACAGGAATCTGAAAAATGTCACATTTATGTTGCCAGAGGTACTCGCTCGTTAAGCATCCAAATTATTATGCTCGCAACGAAAGCCCACAAAATCCTTTTGGGGCTTTTCCTGCACGTTCTGTGCAATTTAATCCAAGTAGTTTTTATACGGCGAACTATTGTGTGGCAGGTTTTCTAAACATTTCCATATGAAAGCGTTTGAAAAGGCCGCAAACTGTCCGCACTCACATTCGTGTCCGTTCGGTTCAGCTCACTTTCCCCTCGAAATGGCAGGGATTGTGGGAAAAAAAACGAAATGCCAGCGGACGGACAAGTGACACAATGTCGGCCAAAACTGTCGGAAACTTTTCGCATCCGTCTTCTGTTTGAGAATCGAGGTTCTGAATTCAGGATGGGGTCTTACCTCCTCGACGGCGTCGCACTCGAAGAGATAGATGTGCAGCAGGGGATCCTTGGGGTCCTTCAGCAAGTAGACCAGTCCGGTGATGGGTCCCTGGAACTCCATGAAGTTCTGCGGCTGCTCCGCGGAGGCCTCCGCCGCCTGCTGCTGCTGCAGCTGATAGGCGGTCGCCGCGCTGGAGGAGAGCGAGCCGTAGGACGTGGACGCGGTCAGTGTGTGGCGCAGTCCGTTTCCGGTCAGCGAGTGGCCCACCCCGCCGGTCAGCGAGGAGGCGGCTGCCGAGGAGGCCGACGCCTGGCCGCCACTCGATTTCAGCTGCAGGAAGCCGTTGCCGATGCTCTTCGCCTGCGGCTTGTGGACGATGCGGCACATGCCGACGATATGCTTCAGGGGGTGGCTGAACTGCAGCTCGAAGTCCGAGTTGTACGACTCCAGGATGCCGTGCTCAATGCCCACCGATAACTGCAAGGAAATGAATGGACATGAGTAACTGTGTTTAAATTGAAGTGGTCTTTATAATAGGTTCATTGTTTCAACCTTGTATTTACATGCTTACGCATTACCCTTCGTTTCAACTATTTTATTGATCTTGTTAGTTGAACTTCTTTTATAAAGCGACACAAACACAAATTAGTACTCTTTATACTAAAATTTTAAGTAACTTTTTGTAGTGTGTTAACAAGCAGTAAAACAATTTTCTTTATATTTTTCGTCCTTTTAAAGCACTTTTAACCATCATCCTTTAGTCCAGATATATGGAAATGCCATAGATCCAAAACCCATAAAAAGTAACCACAAACTTTAGTACAATAATTATCGCAAGCCTTTATATAAAATCATACGTAGAAGCGCGGGTTAACACAACCAAATATTTATCATTTTAAAATGCGAGTGAAAGAAATGTCACAACAAAAAACGTGAGCAACAAACATAGAACAATGCACGTTGTTTCATAATTTGCTAGAATGTTTCCACTACGCGAAGCAGATTAACAGTATTAAATTCCTTTTAATCAGTTTACATACTTGCATGCACAAGTAGAAAGGAAAAGGGGGAGGGGGAAGGAGAGGGGGATGGGGAAGTGGAGGCTCAGAGCGGGACAGAAGCAGACAACGCGGAATGGTGACAACGAGGACAACGACAACATGACATGCCTGCCAACATGGCGGCTGCTCCATTTCCGGCGCCTGGTGCCCGTCCCTCTCATTTGCTTTCTTCCGCCGCCAGAATTTTCCTCTTTCGCTTTTCCATTTCGTTCTTGGCCCTTTTTTATGCTAACAACTAAAGCCCGGTAACTAGGGAGTGTCGACACTATGAGCTGGGTGGTTTTTAAGCTGGGCGTGGTGTGTCGTTGTTGTGGCTGCAGAAAAGCAGGTCGTTGTGTTTTTCAGCCCGCTGGGGCGGCATTTCCTGTTTCCCCGCCAGCTTCTGTTGTCAAAGGTTTTGCAAATAGAAAAAGTATAAACATAACACATATATTCACGTCAACTTCAGGATGCAAGAATTTGTAAATTAAAACGCTGTGATGAGAAAAATGCCCAGTGCTGAATTAATTAAAACCTTGCTTCCCGAAACTAATCCACAGCTCCAACTTTGCTGCTAACCTCGTCTAATGATAACCCAGAGACTTTAATTTCGCCAATTGCAGGTCTCACAAAAAGTAACAACAAATAACCTTCGAAGGCAGGGAAACTACAAAGGGGGGGTAGCAAATGAAGGCGTTCATTATCGCCAGGAAAGCTCCAACAAAATGGAAACTTTTTCTTCGCAAATTAAATTAAAATCAAAGTAAAGTGTTGCTTAGGTTCGAGAGTGGGTGGGCGTGGGGGTTTGCTCATGAGATGGGCGTTAACTTAGCCAACTAAAAACAGAACGAAAAACTTTTGAGCCAAGTGAGAGGGAATAACAAAAATACGATAAGTAAAACTTATGGCTTGGGAAACTTTGGTGCCCTCATATGGTTTTAACGGGTGGAATTAGTATTGATTTTGCGAACTTTGATATTTATTTTCTGCTTTTAAATTGGAAAGAAAACTATCAAGCGATATACAGTGTTTTTTATTTGCCAATTCTAATTAATTAGTTTTAATAACAAACACAAACACTGTTTTGCCTAAAGTTTGATAAAATATTGTTCACAAACAAAACACATTCGTTTTTTAATTAAAATATTAAGTTTCGCGTTCTCAAGTGGCTAACAACCTTACAATTAATGTAAGGCAAGTAAAACTTTGAAGTCTTAAAGTAAAGGAGGGTTTGGAAAGCACGTCTAATGACTTCGCCTGGCAACCAGTAATTAGTGAGAACGTCTTGACTTGCGGAAAGCTAGCGTTTTCGTCCCCCACTCCCCCACTCCCCCACTTCCACTTAATGTAAATTAAAAATAAATGCCTTACATACGACCTGAGATGAAACGAGTCAGTCACCCTGCCACGACATTTTCAATTTAATTATTTTCCCTCGTCACTTGACGAAGGATCCGTTCTGTCCATCACAGACAATGCCACTCTTCGTTTATTGAGTATCGGATTGTGGGCCTTGCAAAGCTTTGTTGTCAATTAAATTGCGAGCTATAAATAGCAAGGCTTTGATTTCCATTTACCTTTAATAACAAAAACTGAACGACGTAGGACGCTTTACAAATCATTAGCTTTTCAAGATGTTGGCCTACTATCCTCTTTTGTTTTTAGTTCTTTTTAGCCTGCTTGTGCTCATATTGTTTCTTTCTTACGTCTCTATTATTATTAAGTTGTCTATTCTTTGTTGCTATTTGTTTGCCAAAACCGCAGAGAATATGGGGTAATTGTTGTGTTGTGGCACACTGCGTATACGTAATCTGTTCACTTGCTGGAACAATTGACTGCTTGACCTCTTTCGGGCATTCTCTTCTCTCCTTTTCGCGATTCCTAATTGGAATCAAGCCAGGTTCTAGGCGCAGTCACGTTCTCAGGTGTATTTACTTGCGAGCCGGCATGTGTAGTCGCTAACTAGGGTGGACCACATAAGGATTTGAATAAATCCATGTCCTAATGTTAGCAAACATTTTACGACTTTTTATAAACTGTTGAATGTTCTGCTAAGTTGTCTTTAAATTTTTTTTTTACTTTTAAGTCTCTGATAAGCCTATAAGATTAAATACAAAATTGTAATATTTTGGTTTGATGAAACCAAAAGCAAACAAAAACTTATTTAAAAAGTCTAAAAGATTTAAAAGGTAATTTTTAAATATGTCGTATGTTCGAGTTTTTATCTCTTACACAACCATTTTTATTTAATGTTTATGAAATCTTTTATGCTATTCTTTCGAATGAATATCAATAGTAATTTAAAGCTTAAATTTTTTATTTTTTTAGTCAGCTATCCACCCTTGAACACACATGTAAATTCAACATGTTCACCTGACGTCTCCTTTGCCCACTTTCCTGCATGCATATTCATTTGCTTTGAAGTGCAGTTAGCGTCATGTCAAAAACAGCTGGGGAGTGAAATTACTGTTTTTGCATTTGCAATTTCAATTTTTGTTGCTGTATCTGCTTTTGTTGTTGCTTTTGTCATTAGAATCGCGACGCTGACGTCGACGTTGCGTGATATTGCCCAGTGATTTAAACGTTTTAACCGCTTTTCCATTACGTTTTCATGCGCCAGCTGCCGTTTGTTGTTATTGTGGGCCGTTGCCTAATAAATTGTCTACAATTGTTCATTGCATTATTCGTTGCTGTTGCTGTTGTTGCTTTTTTGTTGTTGTTGTTATCGTTTGCGCAGTATAGCCATATAATTAGCATTAACTGCAGTTTGTGTTACTGCTGCCCCTGACGTCTTAATAACGAGTTGCAACCGCTGAAATATAGCCCTTAATATACACGGGGTCAGTCCAAAGAACGCGGCTGTTAATTCCCGATTACGGTCAGTTGATTATATATATACCTAAAACTATTAGTAATAAACTGTAGACATTAAGAAGGCTTCATGTTATTGCCGTAGGTTCTGTTTAGAGTTAATACTTTGCCATTTTAGTTGATTTATATAATCGTGATTTTTAAACCCCAATGGATAAAAGTGAATAAAGAGGAAGTAGGACTTACTAAAGAGTGTAAAGATTTAGTAATTTAGTTTTTTAGCTCTAGTTGTTATGTTTCTTTGATCAACAGCAAACAGCACAACAGTTTTATAAGTTTAAAATTAGCCCGTAAAAGTATGCTAAATTATTACATTGGAGAAACAAACGAGCGCAAAATTGTACACAATTAAATGACCTTATAATTTGTTAGTTATTTTTAGTAGAATTTTAATGTACGATTTTAGAATCCTTTGTAAGCTCCAATGATTTCTAACAAACGCATATGAAATCCAAATGCGGAATGCTGCTATACAAACTTGATAAATTTAGAAATTGTTTTACTAGTAAGCAAATAAGATTCAGATATAATTTTAAGTAAACATTTTAATTGGTAGGTCCCAAAAACATTTGAATATATCTCATTTGAGTTAACATAAAGACACAAACAAAACATATAAGACAAATAAAGACAACATTTTTAGGGGGAATGGAGCAGAAATCTCAGGTGAACGCCAAGCGGGTGGCCGCCTTTCTCCGACGAACCCACGTGGCCCCTGTGTGCCGGGTTCAGTCCTCCACGGACCTCGAGGCCTGGCAAGCCTCGAAGGCGTACTTCGCCCTGATCACGTACTTGAACGACGTGAGCACCCTGATCCAGGGAGTTCGGAGCAGCGACACCTTTCCGGTCAGCCAGAACATCCGCCGACTGACGGCCATCTTCGACAAGCTGGACGACATGATCCAGGCCAATCCGCCGGCGCCCGCGAACCCTGCACCCAAATCCAGTGTCTCCTTGGAGCCGGGCAACAAGAGCTACAGGCGCTGGGCGCACTGCATGCTGAGGGACATCTACCAGATGGTGGAGAAGGCGGTGCCGCCCTCCAAGTGCAGGCACGTGAACGAATTGGGGGCGTACTTGTCGGGGGCCTTCGGCAGCTCCACCAAAATCGAGTACGGAACAAGCCACGAGCTGAGCTTCCTCTTCTTCGTGTGCGCCCTCTTCAAGGCGGAGATCCTGGATCGGGAGGAGGACCTGGCCGCCTCGGCGCTGATTCTCTTCGATCGCTATCTGAAGTTCGTGCGCCGGCTGCAGGTCACTTACTCGGTGACCTCGTCCAATTGGCATGGCGGCTATTCCCTGGACAAGTTCCAGTTCGTGCCGTTCATCTGGGGATTCGCCCAGCTCTGCCACGAGGCGCCCTTCTCCCCCCGGAAAATGCTGGACGAGCAGACGATCGAGCAGTACAAGCGGGAGTTCCTGCTGATCGACTGCGTGGCCCACATGGCGAACACCTACATCGGCACCTTCGCCCGCCACTCCAGCCAACTGTGGAGCCTGGCCGCCCTGTCCTCGTGGACGAAGTGCCACCGCGGCCTGATGCTCATGTACATGGACGACATTCTCCTGGACATCGACAACCTGAACGCCCTGCGGTTCGGCGAACTGATGTCCTTCGAGGAGGACAAGTCTGGCCGGCCTCTGGGCAACGCCCGCCTGGGGGTCATGTCTCCACTGCGCCGGAAACTGGCGGGGGACCAGGAGGATCAGGACCAGGACCAAGATACGACCAGCACAGGTGTCACTCCCTCGATATCCAGGTCGGAGCTGGAAGCAGAAGCCAAAAAGAAGCCCAAGCTGGACGAAGCACTCAGCGACGGCATGTCCAACAGCGGTCTGTCCATGGGCAGCGAGTGGTCCTCCCTCAGCGGCGTGAGTGTCCATCTGCCCACTTGGGTCAACGACGCCCCGAGTGCCAGCAAGCACGCGTTCAAGAACTAAGTAGCTCGTCTGGGAGCTCGTTATTAAACAAACATAAACATACCATTAAACATAAACTGCTACATCGATCTTCCTTATTCTTTGTTCACAAAAAAGAACATTGCAAAATTGCTCAGCATTTTGAATAAGTGAACCAGATTCTAGAGAAAAATATGCAGCGATTGGCGTTTTAAAATATAATATAATAAAACTTGCACATTTGTTAAATTCAAATAATTTTTTCTTAAGTGCATTACAACAGAGCCTGTATCTATATATATTATATATATATTCATCACAAGGAAATATTTAAGGGATATGAATTATATTAGCTTGAAAATACAGAAGTGAAAACCCGCTTATTAAGGCTTCTAGCTGTTTTCCCACCGTGTAATGGGAAAATTATGTGTGTCATCTGCACGAATATCCGGGAACGACATCTGCAACATGGCAACGATGTCGAGGGACCGGCAGACATGGGTCCAAGAATCAGCAGACCACGAAACCGAGCTCCATCAAATGCAAAACAGCAGCCAACTGGAATGGAGTGGCTTGGGTCTTGTGGCAGCAGCAGCAGTGGGGGATGGGAAGTGGGCTAGGAATATAACGCATACGCCGCGTGAGCCGCAGCAGTGCTCGGGATGAAGCGGGTTGGCGACGATGAAGTGCGAAAGCATTTATGCCACTGCAGAGGACCTTTGGAGGGGCAGCAGGGAGCAGCGAGCAGGGAGGTGGCGCGCCTCAAGTGACTCGACCGAAAGCGGATTACCAACGCGACTTGAGTGACTTTCCGAGCAGGAGGCGGCAAAACAGCCAGAGTGGCAACAATTGAAACGGCAGCAAACACCGCCACCGCCGCCGCTGCAGAGGCCAAATGAGAAAATGGAAAGAAATGAAACAAGCGGCGTATTGATTTTTCCTCTTCAGCCCCATCGCTTAACCCAACTCCCTGGCGTTGTGACGTCAATGGGGCAGCACGCGCCAACATCGCGGGCCTGGAAGGTTCCGGGGAAAGTCGGAAGTTGGAGGCCCACCACCTGAAACCGTTGGCAGGCCTCATTCGTGTTATTCAAATTTATCAAAAGCGAGTGTTACGGGTGAAAAGTGGACATCTCCCCCATTGTGGCAAGATTGAAAGTCGCCCATTCAAAGTAAATATGTTCTTGCTTTAATGTCGGCAAAGTGCGTATAAAACTTGATTTACCGCCGGCATTAAGCACTCGAGTGTGAAAAGTAAAATGATTTCAAAAGCTACTCAAGTGAGGCATTGAAAAAAATGTATTAAATTATTTAATTTAAATACACATAGTGGTATAAATACTGCATTCGGAAAAATATTATCATTTCAGATTGGGTTCTGCCCATGAACTTAATTCAGCTTGCGTTAAAAAGAATGCAAATATTTATAAAAACCAAACGGGTGATTTTTTAATACATTTTTTATATTGATTTACAGACTCTTAATAAATAATTATGAAATAACCAAACGGCGAAAATTCAAGTCCCGTCACTCCTTTGCCACTAATTGCAACACAAATTGTTAGCATCAAGTGCTTAAATATTAACCCGATAACTTTCACTTAAATAAAGTTACATTTTCTCGCTGAAGCGTCGCAAAAGCTAATAAAAGTAAAAAAAAAACTGCAAAACGTCGCCACAGTGGGCGCATTTTCCTTTCTGTTTTTCTTTGCCACCAGTGGGCGTGGCGCGAGCGAGCGTCCATCCATTCAAGAAGCTTGTTATAATTTTCATGCGCTATTTAACATAATAAAGCAATAAGCCGCCACACAACGCTGAAGAACGAAAGAGGAGCAGGCGCTCTGGCAAACATTTTATTTATGCCACTCGCCTCTGTCTCGCTCTCTCCGGTTGCGTGTTTGTTTTGTGTCAACTTAAATGCAGAATAAAGAGGGGGAAAAAACTAACAACTATAATAAACAAGTGTGCAGGCTTAAGTAAATATTTAAATAGGAAAATATGAAGCGAATTACGGTGCGCTCCGGTCTCCTCCGAGCCAAAAGCAGTGGCTGCCTTTGGAGTACGGATGCTAAGTGGATTACAAGAGCGCGGATAAAATATCACAGGGCTTGAACTAATGGCTCATGAAACTGATATGCGCCTGGGATAGGAAATGAGCTCCCCGAAGGAACACTAGATGACGTACTATCAGTTTAGATCAAACCTAAGATCCAGCTGATATCCCACAATCCTAGGTACAATGTTATTAACCTTTTAAGAATTATCAAAATATCTTTGCTCAACAGAACAAGACCGCAATTTGAGGTTTTAAGTTGTTTTTGTTAGTTGTTATTTCAAAATGGTTTTCTTTAAACCAACTTGCAACAAGGAAAAATAATTTATGTCGCCACATTAAATCATCTCTCTAGCAATAACCGCAATAATAATAAATTATCTTTAATCAAGGTTTTCTGACCTCTAAATTATTATTAGCGAAAATCCATAAAAGATCTGGGAAGCAAACATTTGTATAAACGAACTTGTCTTTTCCATAAATACTTATAATAACAATAACTCAGAACTCTTTCTTAACAAAGACTATTCCCTCTTGACTTAAGGTAAGGTGAATATACGAGTATTTTTGTTGAAGTGATTGCGAAAGGTTCTTGAGGGCAGTGGAGCCCTGGAGGTACATTCAATGAGCATCAACCACAATTGCCGGAGGCAGGTGTGATTCCCCCACAGATCCTTTGGGGCATGGTCACAGGCACGTAGAAAGGATTCATTTTAATGCGAGAGCGGTCACCTCAGGTGTGCAGCGCCAATCGAAACAGGACACACACGCAAACGAAACCAAAATGGGAAAATAAAGATGCTCCTTGTCCCAAAAATTGTTTGCTCAGGACTCGCAAGCCACACTGGACAAAAATGTGCCGAAACATGACATACATAGTTTAAAATGCAAAGTAAATAATAAAGAAAAAATAAATATATTCATTACGGAATCATTTTTGTAGGTATTTTTAAACTACAAAATTTTATATTTACATATTATTGAAGTATTTTTATACAAATAGTAACCAGAGCGAAAAACACACAATATACATATATTATAAGTAGGTATTGGGCTACAAGTTAATGATATATAAAACGACATAATAATCTCTACTTTTACCCAGGCCTGAATTCAAATTTCCTTGATTTCCTGGTTACTGGTTTTTGGTCCGTTTCACATATGCTACGGATTGCTCAAAAGGATGATTCTCAGAAAGGAAGGACACTCACACGCGCGCCGAACGCTGATGGCTGGCTAATTGCGGACTTTGCTAAAATTAATTTCCCAGCTTCTAATAATGTTACCCGAAGGGACCGGGTAAACGTAAACGGGTTGCGGCAAATGAAATCACGCGCAGAGGGTGAGGCAACTTGTTGTCGCACGTGTTCAACGCGGCGTATGCGTAATCTGTTTGGGTTACACCTGCTGACGGGGGCGAGCCTCAATTTGTTTCAGGCCTCACCGTTGTTTCTTTCCATTGGCGTTCGTCATCGGCCATCTAGGATCTATTTATAGGGTGAAAGCACCCGATGAGCGGCTGCCGATGGGTCACTAATCGCCGTAATTATCCTTTACGAAGCACAAACTTATTAATTAAATTTCGTTCGCTATTTTGCCAGCATCTCACTTGGCACATAATTGATTTACCCAGCCGTAATAATGGCAAATTGCTTTTAATTGTTTTCGCCAAAGGCGGACAAAGCGTGAGTAAAATGGGTGTCATGTGCGATCTGGCTATCGCACTCCGAGTTTGATTGGATTAACAAGAATGTTTTGTCGTTGACGGCAGGTTGGGAGTGACTTAAAAGCAAATTAAAATCAATCTCTGTAAATGGGATGTTAATCAACCAGATTGGTGACATGTGCAATTCAATAAAATCTAAGTATTTACTGGGCCATTTCTGACAATAACGTTTCGAATAACTGATTTTTTAAAGGAAACCCATTTGATAGGTTCTTAAAGCTTAGGAACCTTTTAATAATCATTATATCTCAATACCAATTCGTTGAGCTATACATTAATATTTCATTCTTCTTAATAAATGGAAATAATGAAAATAGTGTCATGTATAAAAATATCTTCTGGTTAATCTTTTTGTAATAACTATAGTTAGTTTGAGCTAGTTAAAACTATAATACATATTAAGACTGGACATTCCAATTGTCGAGCTCTACCGGTACCCGAAAACCCATTTATATATTTACCTTCGTGTAGCTCTCCGTAGACCTGATGTCGTTAATGGTCCATGGCAACATGGAGGCGGAGTATCGCGGATCGACGGATGCACTGCCGCGATAAGTCAGCGAAACGAGGCGCGTTTTCATCTTCACTTTTGTTTATAGTTGCTTTGATTTTTAATTTTATTTACTTTTGCGTACTTTCACTGTACGCTAAACTGATACAATTGCAGGCCAAATTGGGCTGCGGGCCATTTATTTAGTTTGTATTCTGGCTGCCGTTTTGCCAATTGCTTTTTAATCGTTTTTGTATATGTTTTTTCGGTAGCGTGCTGTAGTGCAGAATCGGAATCAATATTTAATGGACATGCGGCGAGGGCGACCGCGTTTTCACATTCCCAGGCAAAAGGGAGTTGCTGATGGAATTCGGAGCTCGTGAGCTGAATGAGTCACCCCAAAGGGGCGAAAACTGTGGGAGGAACGTGCAGAAAAGGGAAACGGGGGTGTTGTAGCGGACAATGACCACCTGACTGCGCTTCCTGCGGGAAGGACTCGGAAAGCATCCAAGAAATTACTATCAATATTGATTTTTATTCGCAGCCATTTGCTGTCTTTGTTTTCCACATATTCATGGCTCACACATTCGCATATACAGTGCGCGCTCCAAAGAGGGAATCACTCTTAGCTAAGATTATGTGAAATCGTAACTCCTATTGTATCTCAATAATGAGCTTATTAATATATTTAGAGATCAAGTTTTTTGAGTTCACCAAAAAAATCACATACACTCAGTAACATTATAAGGAGAGAACAAAACCAATCTCATGTAGCATAATCACTGTATCGAGCGGGCACTGTGTATTTTTTCTTTGGCATTAGGAAGGATGAGAAAGGGAGAGGAGAGGCAAGGAGGAGGACGAGCCACCACCAGACAGACTGAGAAAAAAAGAGACAGCAGTGTCACCCCAATGTCGGAATTTACTTTTGCACAAACTTTGCACTTTTTACTTTCTACTTTCCTAAGGTTTCCACTACCTTTTCGCCGCCCCTCGCCACACACACACTCTCGCCGAAACACTCACACTCGGAAGGTGGCGTGCGATTTGCAACAATAAATAACTGTTTTTAGGGATTTTTGCAACTGAAAACACGTTGAAATGCCACCGAATTCCGCTGAGCACTGACACTCGAGTTCCTAACGCGGCTCCAAGTTCGCAATGGGACAGCATTTCTCTATGTCTCGTCCTTCGTCCTGGCGCCCGATAATCCGTAGTTGCTGCGCACGCGCGAGTCTGCTAGCAAAACGGGTTGTAAACAAAAGCAGCAGCATTATATTTTATACTGGTCTTTTCGATATGTCAAGCTTGGTGGGCGAAACCAACACATATTAAATTGCGATTTTTGGAGCCAAACGCGAAAATCAAACAAATGCGCGTCTTGCCGTTCCGATTCGACGAACAGCTGATGGCGGTGCGCTTCTTCTTACGTTATGCCATTCTTCGTGAAGCAGTGTTGCAAAGTAGCTAAGTTTTATAAAGATCCGTTATTTATTCGAATTTGAATACCTTAAGCGTTCACGCATTTACGTTGTTAAATTATTTGATCATATGTCTTTTTTTCTAAATTTCAATTCTAAAAAGTTAATTGAATCGTATTACGACATTCTTTAACGTTCATTTTTTAAATAAGTACTATTGCATGTTTATAAAATCTAATTTTTTCAGAAGTTAAATCTGTTATATACTGTTTATATTAAGTAGCACAGGGGAAATTCATAGACGTGAGTCTGAAAAAGCTATTATATCATTATAATAATAATATTGATTAATGCAGTCATATGTACATAATAACAAAAAAAACACATATGGAGTCTGTCGCGGCTTCATGAGGTTTCTGCACTAGCTAAACTTGGATGTTGTATTTGCTAGGTCGGATAGGTGGGGAGGGTGTATTTGCTAGGTTGGGAGGTAGCATCGGTTAGAAATTTCTGTTAGCAAAAGAGCAAAAGCTCGCCGCGGTCACACTGGCTTAAGCCAAGTTTTGGCATTCGTTTCGCACTCGGTAACACTGGCCTAAGTCAGGTTTTGTCATTCAATTAAATTCGAACGCGTTGGAGCTACAGGTGCGCTTGTTGAATCCCCGTCGTCGTTGGTTTTCTCCCTCTTGGCGCCCTAAGAAATCGCCTGGGGCAAAACGCCATAGAGATATCGTGTGTGTGACTAGACTTTCACTACGGGTCAATTCCGAGATCGGGATCCCAAGCGTCGCTCGTCTTTAATTAAGGCGCTTCGCACGCGTTGTCGTCGTTGTTTTAGCTCCATTTTAGCTGTTTTAGTTGTTTTGGGCATGTAGAAGAGGCGCTGCGAACGTGTTTACGATTTTCTGCAGATCGGCTGTGTGAGCTTGAGCTGCGATTCGAATGTGAGTTTCGCGTTTTTGCACTGGCAACTTCTTTTCGTTCATTTCTCACCCAGAAAACACAATCGGAGTGGATTTTAGTGAGAAAAGGCCGTAAAAGAGCTATGAAAAATATATGGCAAAAGATATAAAGAAGAAGCAGAATGCGACAATCTGCGGAGTACCGTTAGTGCGCGAGTGACTGTCTAAGCATAATTTAAATAATGAGGAATTCGCGCTCGTAATTGATTTAAGTAGTGCTCGACAGCATTTGCATAATATTTCCCCATACTTGCAGTCTTGGAAAATCCGCTTTTCCAGTGCAAGAGCAACAAGTGTGGGTAGGTGTGTGCACCAGTGCATGTGGCCAAGTGCGAGTGTGTTGGTGCTGTGAACTTAAATGGACAAGTTAGAATCCACATTCCACAACAATGGCCAAGAAAACGGACGCCGATCTATTAGCTCCTTGGGCAAATTTCAAAATAATTGCACTGCAACTGTGGAAATTGATGTGCGGTGCTTTATTCGCAATTTGTGCTGCAACTTGTACACAAACAAATAGTTCTTGTAAACACACACGCTCACCTGGATTTAATGGCAATCTGGGACGCCGTTTTGTTTGGCCAGCACATGAGTGAACATGTAGAGCTCAAATTCTTCAGCTAAGATTTGTTTTATGCTCATATTTTAAATAAGACTCTTATATATCGCAGTCTTACACCTTAAAAGTATTTAAAAAAAACGTATTAAACATTTTACATTTTTTCAACATCAATTTTTAAAAGGGCCTTTCCTGTCAAAATTATACACTTATACACACTTGTGTCTTCAAAAACTTTTTCAAGTTAGTTTTCTATTTCTTTAAAATATGTTTTCCAGTGTACACACATGCCTATTGAACTAAATATAAAACCGGTGGGCTTAATTATCATAACAATGAGCTAAAAAAAAAAACGAAAATAGCATAAACCTTTTAAAAGATGTTGGAGAAAAAGAGTCGCGGCATAATTAGAACGAGCGAGAGGTTGCACAGTGGGTTAAAGGTGAACTTTGGGTTCGAGAAGAAGAGGAGTCAGGCAATCTATAGAAAATGGAAAACACAAATCCGGTGTTACCTGTCCGATTAAGTGGTATGCCAACTGCTTCAAAGATCTAAAGAAATCATGCTGGGAATTAATTAATTGTTGGAAATGTAACCTTGCAGAGAGATCATAATATTTGGGTCATTGAAAGCTTTACGATTCCATCCAATTCATTCATAATAACATTATTTAAAAACTGAAGCTGAAAAATGATTGGAAATTTGAGTTAAATTAATTTGTTTTTATATGTGTTTCATTTATTTAAATTAGTTCCAAAAGTTGTTTGTTGCAAGTTGTTTTTTATTTATAAATACAAATTTAATACATTAACAACATAATCGAATCAGTTCTTGATTTTCCTTTTCAAAAATAATATTTGGCGCAACGAATGGTTAAGATTTGATTCTTCTGTTAAACCGATAGACCAGTTAAACATCGAGTCTAACCCAAATTACTATTGGATTTAGTACTATCTTATTTGGAACACCGAACCTTGTGGCTTTATTGAGAACCTATGAAAATATACTAATTTGCCTTAGAAACGAATAACTCATCTCAAGAACACAATGAAAACAAGTGGGTTCAGCGTCTCCCCACAGTTTGGTCGGGAATATTAACACTCGAGATCTATTCTTAACCCACGTTGGCCACGCCGTCCGCCCACAGATCCCGAGAAAGCAACTGTAAACAGGGGAAAGGCCAGCAGAACCAGCACAGTTTTCAAAGAATTCATAAGCACGCGCTAATGCGAATACTAATGCTATGCATGCTCCATCTCTCTTCCACTGTCCACTGCCCTCTGTCTTCCCACCTGCCCCACCCCCCCCTTTCTCCCCACCTGTTACCTGTGCGTAAGGTGTGTGGAAGCACCTGTTGTCGAGCAACGTAACCGTGCGTGTTCGGCCATTCGGGTTGCGTCTTATTAGAAGCCGCATTCGGTGGCCCCGGGGCCAGTCAGGAAAAATAAGAAAAACACAAACAAAAAAGACATAGGGAAACGAGAAACCAGAAAAGACAGCGCTGAAAACCGGTTAATGTGAAAATGAAAGAAAACCTTTGTATTTACAGTCAAACTTCGATATGTGTAACTTTTCAGATCGAATTTCCTACATAAATACCACTAATTTTATTCTTAGAATTGATATAAATTATATAAATAGTATTTAATATCTTTTAAAGCTAAGGTATTTGCGTTAATGAGAAACTGTTCATTTAAAATCATAGTGGAAAGTACTTTCTCTAAAGAAAAGCTGAAACCAAAAAATAAACTAATTTAAAATTTTTTTGTTTTTGAGCTGTTAAAAATAAATGCGAATATTACAATTAATAACTTGCACAGATACACAAAAAAGTTAATTTATTTTCCAAGTTTTTGAAGGTAGATGCCAACATTTTCTCATTGATTAGATGTGAGTTCGAGCCAGAGAAGTTTGACTGTGTAATTTGTAATGCCTTTAGACTGATGTAGCTGAAGAGTTGGTTTTTCTTTTTTTCCACAGTTTTCCACAGTTCGAATTTGGTGAAATCAATGCGTAGAAAGTGAATCGAGGCTTACGCAAAGTTGGGGAAAAGTGAAAAGTTGCGGAAAACTTGGCGGGCCAAAAAACACATTTGGACGCTCCTGCAATTGGCTGTTTGGTATCGCGTGCTCCGTCCGACTTGTCTGGCCAGGAACTGGAGCTGGAGCTGGAGCGAGAGCTGAAGCCGCACACCTGGTCGAGTGGCGGCCCACCTGCCGGCTTAGATGCGTCTAATCCAATCGGCAACCGGCGGTGCTGCTGCGACCGTTCTGCAGACCCACTCCCAGTCGCAGTACAACTACACCAGCATGCGTGAAGATGATATCGAGCTGGCCATTAAAGTGGTAAGTCGCCCAGCCGGCTGCGTGAATCTCTTCCATTCGGATAATGAATGGCTGGAGTGCGTGCACTCGGAGAAACGGCAATATATCAAATCCGAAGGAGCAGGTAAAACGATTCTAAATGCACTTCTATTGTACGTTGTAGGGGATAAAACTGCGATGATATAGACCTGCATTCATGTTTATAAACATTAAATTATACGTTGAATCTTTAAATGAATTTTGACATATGTATAAATATTTTTTCCTGTGTGCGATTCCATCTGCGAGTGCTGTGAATGGCACCTGGGATATAAAATCAGAATTGCCATGCCCGAGGCTAATGGTAAAACTGCACGGATTAAGATTCTAGTTCAATTAGGGTTTTTCCTCTGCATAGTGAGTCGCTTCTAATGGGTTTCTGGAATTCTTTTAAATTGATTTCTTCGCCGCATGCCTTTCTTTAAGTGTCTAAGCTGGCAAGCCAAATTTGATTGAAATTTACGCGCTTAATTAACTTAAACGACTAACAGTTTTAAATGTCCAATAGAAAGCAAATAAATATTGTGAGCAGTTAATTTTATTACTTACGTTTTGGAGTTTTTTTTTAACGATAGGTGCTTTTATTATAGTGTTTTCCCCTTTCTCCTTGTTTTTATTTTCAGTTCAGCAGGAAAAATCCAGATGATGCACAAAGTCAATTGGAATAACTATGTTAAAGTTTTTTTCTTAAGAATAAATATTAACGAGCATACAAATATGAAACCCTTACCATATAATTATTGATATATGTATTTTAATAACTTTAATATTCATACTATAAATCTGATTACTTTTCACAGGTCATTGTCGGCAATGGTGGCGTGGGCAAATCCTCGATGATCCAGCGCTACTGCAAGGGCATATTCACCAAGGACTACAAGAAGACAATTGGCGTGGACTTCCTGGAGCGCCAGATCGAGATCGACGGCGAGGACGTGCGAATCATGCTGTGGGACACCGCCGGGCAGGAGGAGTTTGACTGCATCACGAAGGCCTACTACCGGGGCGCCCAGGCCTCCGTGCTGGTCTTCTCGACGACGGATCGGGCCTCTTTCGACGCGATCAAGGACTGGAAGCGCAAGGTCGAGAACGAGTGCAACGAGATACCCACGGTGATTGTGCAGAACAAGATCGACCTGATCGAGCAGGCGGTGGTCACCGCCGACGAGGTGGAGACGCTGGCCAAGCTGCTCAACTGCCGGCTCATCCGCACCTCCGTGAAGGAGGACATCAATGTGGCGTCCGTGTTCCGCTACCTGGCCACCAAGTGCCATCAGCTGATGACCCAGAGCTACGACCAGGCCGCCAGCGGAAACCAGCAGAACTCCAGCCATCCGCCCTACAGCAGCACGCCCACGATCAGCGCCTTCAGTCCGACTTTCACCAAGTCCAGCAGCGGCACCATCGTCCTCCGTCCGGCGAAGAAGGGACACGGCTCCAGCGTGGCCCGGAAGCGCAAGATAGTGCTCAAGAAGTGCGGAATATTGTGAGGAGTTGTCGGTTTGACCAGTTTGATGGATGGCGGAGCCACTGGGCTGGCAATTAATAACTGGAGCATATTTAACGCTCAATTATTTCAGAGCTTAATAAAGTCGTAGCCCGGTGGCCAGCCAACCGTTGTATGCAACCACAGCCATTCACTAGTCGTGCACAGACTCCGCGTGATGTGGTTCAGACATGCTTACGGAGCAGCAAGATAATCGAAGGCAGCAAAGTGGATCTTCAGAGCGAACCACGAATAGGAGATACCCTTGCATATCCACAGAGTTACTTATCGTTTTAACGCAGGCAAATTTTCTAACCATCATTTTATCGGGCCGGTTCCGATTTTGAGTCTTCCGAAATTTGTATACTTCAAACTTTTAATACTTATCTCGTTAAATCTATTGTTCGTTAACGAAACCATCTGTTTTAACGTTAAAGAATAAACATCTCTGTTAAGCCCAGAAAAATGATAAAAAGATAAATAGCGAAAACTGTTAATATGCATACAAAATATTTGTATTATACTTAAAATACTCGTACTTCAATCACTTACTCACAAGCCTATATACCAAAACAATAAGCCCGATCTGCAAGGGTAGATGGAGTTCTCAAAACCACAGACAATATCCACAATTGCTCAAAAAATTGGCCCAATTAGTTTTAAATATGAAATGAAATTTGTATGTATTATGCCCACTTTTCTATAACGGAGACTGAAGCATCACTGCTTTTATATCGGATATGTATATAGATATGTTAGCATGGGCATAGACTTGCCTAACCAAGCACAATTAAAAGGCTATATATCACGCTAACCCAGCCCAGATATCCATGTGAAATCCCTTCGCCAATTTGCCTTGGCAAAAATGTGCAATTAATTACTCAGCTTATATAATCATTAACTTATTACAAGTCATGTCGAAGCGCAATTTGACTCAATTCCATGCATACCAATGTTCACATTCTATGCAAAAATCTGTAGTTAGAGCACAAGGAACAACATAAAACATTTATGGAAGCCGAATATGAATAAATAGTCCTAAGCCTATTCATATTGTATTTATAATTGTAACGACTCATTAAAATATTCACCTAATAAATTATTTAATGTAAATTAACTAGAATGTTTTTATTTAGTTGTAAGATCTTTTAGGTAAGGAAAAATGACTAATTTCTCTTTGTCGGGGTTCAGCGTTTGATTAGCTTTGAGAATTATTTATTTATGCTTATTCCTCGTTGAAAAAGAAAAAGGTTTTAGACTTCATCTTTTATGCTTTCTTTCAATAATGCATTCCAGACCCATAAAGTGTATTTTTCTTATCACACGGGGAAAACATTCGTTCATGCTTTCTTTTGAATGTTATATCTTTGGATTTGTTTCGAGAACTGTAATTTTAAAACTTTCTTGGAACTGTTTTAAGGTAAATGACTTTAGAATGCAAATAGAACCGTTCTCAAAAAACCTATTTAAGACTGTTTTTTTATTATTTAGCTATTGTTCAATAAATTTGTTTCCCCATCAAGTTAAAAAGTATTTAGGTGTAAACGTAGCAAAAGCTCCTAAAAAAATTGATATCATATGAAAACTTTTTTTCGGTTTCGAAAGGAACACATTTTATTATAATAATATTATAATAGAACCCATGTTAAGACGCATTTAAAAACTACTATCCAAACACATTTAGACGTGCTTCTAGAACCCCGACTCTATTATCATGAATTAAAACCAAAGTTTTAGTTTTGAAATGTTTACAATTTTTTATTTGATTTTTGATTTTACACTTTTTTTTGTAAGCTTGACAATTTAGCAATCCGCTTTTGTTACACCATCGTTTACACGTTTCCTCATTTAAATTGTTTAAAGTATTTTTAAATATTCTTCTTTATATTTACACCTGCGTTCAAAAATTATCGCTTTTAACGCATAAATCATTAAATGTGTATATATCTATTTTGTTGTTGTAATTTTCAAGTGTTTCCTTGTTATTAATAAAGGCATAAATAACTATTCGTCGATTTCCATTCTTATTTATTTACACAAAGTCGAAAAATCAAAGTACCTTAGATATAGATTGGGGGAGAGAGAGTAGAAAGTTTGATTTTCGGGGTAGGCGTGGGAAGAGAGTGGTTTAAGCTGAGCATAAAACTGTGTTTTCTGCAGGCTGAGCCCAAAAGATTGTGTTTGTTTGTTTGTTTGTGTTTGTGTTTTTTGTGTGAGGGTGGGTATGTGTGCAAACTCTTTGTGTCCTAGTCTTTTAAAAATGCCTATAAAAAATATAATTTTGTTTTTTCCACTTTAATTTTACTTGCTACGAAACTTATGTGACTTGGAAATTATTTTCTTGGCACTAAATGAAGCAAATGATAACTTTAAACCGAAAACTACCAATGTAAATATTTTGATTATAAGGTAAATATATTAAAATACGTTATTTTTATTTTAAATAAAAATTTTGAAAATCCTAGCTTGTGTTTGTGTGTCGGTGTGGTTGTGTGTTTGAAAGGGTAAGGCCCGCATTCAAATTTGATAAGATTATATCATCATGTAGACATAGACTACATTAGAACATTTGTTTTCAGTTTCTTTTTGAATATATATTCTGCACTTGGTAAACTTTAAATTAGTTAAGTATATAACTTTTCACATTGCTGTTTTGTGGTTGTTTGTTGGTGTTGCTGTATTGTGTCGGTGTCGGTGTTGGCCCTGTGGCTTTTTTTTTTTTTTTTTTTTTTTGGGTACGGTTTGTTTGTTTGCTGCGGTTCCTACATAGAATAAAAGGTTTAGCCTAGATACACACTCCATTTATGTATATAAGTAGTTATATGTAACTCCCAGTTCTCGTACACTATTCGGAAATGGGGAAATCATCAGCATCGGCATCGCCATCATCCTTGCCCTCGAGCGACCGGTACTCGTCGGAGTCCTCGCTCACGGCCGCGGTGCCAATGGACATCGGCAGCATGGGTGCTGTGCTGATAATCGGCTCTGCAGTGATGCTGGCCAGGATGCTAGCACTTGTAGTGGTTGTTGCGACAAACGATGCTGAGGGATTGGGGGGGCACATAGATGGTGATAGTTTCCGGTTCCGGGTTTTCCGGTTGGATTGTTTGATTGGGACTTGTTTCAGCCACAGGCGCTGCACTCTCCACCTCACCGTGTTGTTGTTGTTGTAGTTGTTCTTCTTGCTCCTGTCTCGGTTGATGTGGTTGTTGTGTTGGGGGTTGTGTTATTATATCAGCAGAGGCCAACAGTAGATCCAGTTTAAGTTTGCTCGATGCCGTTGGCTGCTCTGTTATCACAGACTGTGCTTGAGTTGCTGCCGTCGCCGCAGTTGTCGTCGGCCCTCCCGCCACCGCTGCAGCCGTTGCAGTTGTTGTTGCTGCTGCTGCTGCCAATGGTGTTGGTGTCAATGCTGCAACAGAAGCTCTTGTTGCCGACACAGTGCCGCCAGCAGCATGCAACTCATCCTCCTCGCTAACGCTTATATAGCGACAACGGTCGCTGAGCAGTGAGGCTGACTCGTCATCCTCCTCATTCACGCTCGTAATGCTGACCGTGCGCTGCTTGAAGCTCTGGTAGACACTGCTGCTGCTGCTGCTGCTGGGAGCATCGATGACATCTCTGGGCGATGCAGCGGCTACGGCGGCGGATGAGCTGGCTGAAAAGAGAAGGCATAAATTAGTTTTTTGAAGGCTCTTAATAGTTCACGATGACTCTGTTCATATTGAAAGGGTTCTTCACTTTAGGTTGGGTAATGTTACATCAAAATTTAGTCTGTTAAGCAATTTGATTTGGACAATTTAAATTCGAAATTATTATTTCTAAATTTAGAAGCCAATTCTACTTCGTAAAAAAGATAGTGAACAGAACACCTGATTGGACTGCTACTCACACTCTAAGCGCTCCCGCCGCGATGCATTTCGAGAGGGCAAAGGTGCCAGCTTTATGCGATAAAACTTGGAGCCCCTGCTGACGCGATAGCGATTGTCATCCTGCAAAAAGAAACCACACTGGTAAGTATTCGTTGCAGGCAAATATTCACACGAGCCCTTACCTTTCGCGCCTGGCAGTACTCCTTGTCGATGACCCGGCCAATGGCGTAGTAGGGCAGCGGGATCTGGTTCAGTTCCGCAACCGCCAGCGAGGGTTCCACCGCCGGAGTGGGCGTGGCCGGAGCCGTCAGCTGAAGTCCAGCCAGACTGTCGGCGTGCACAAAGTAGAGGGTGAGCGAGTCCTGGACGACCATAAACTGCGCATGGCGCATGCTCCACACCACGAAGACGAGATCGCCCCGCGCACATCCCTCCAAGGCGATGGACCGGTGGCCAGAGCTGACACCCGACTTGGAACGGGTCAAGGCGCCGCCCACATTCAGATCGTATGCAGAGCTATAAGCGGAAAAGCTATGTGTTAGCAGTCGTCTAACCAGAGGCCAAACAAAAAACATATTAAAAAAAAAAAAAAAAAAAAAAAAAAAAAAAAAAAAAAAAAAAAATAAAATAAAAAATATTAATAAATTAATTTAATTAATTAATTTGAACACAACGTTTGATACACACCGATTCTACCAAAAAAAAACAACATGCATTAAAAACAACTTTAAGTAAACAAAAACACTACAAAGAAATAAAGGGGTAAGCGTTCCTACCTTCTCATGGCTGCCACACTGGACTCCATCTCCTGGCGCCGGCTCTTCTCCTGGCTGAGCTCCTCCTCCAGCCGACACTTGTCCTTGTTTAGGTAGTCAATCTTCTCCTTGAGCCAGCTGTTGCCGTCCTCGTTGGTGATCATCTCCAGTCGGGTCTTCAGCTGGTACGACTCCTGGGTGAGGATCTTGTTCTGCTCCCGCAGCTGATCCAGCTGCCGCTCCTTGTCGGCCAGCATGTCCTTCAGTATGCCCACGTTGGCCATCACAGATTCAGAGTTCAGGGGCAGAAGGCGCGACTGCCACAGCGACCTCTCCGAATCGACGGCCTCGCTAATGGCGCGATCCCTCTGGGCCAGCAGTTCCTGGCGCTGCTGGGCCAGCAGGTGGTCGATATCCACGCCGGTGTTCGCGCTGGCCACGCTAGCGCTGCTCGTCGGCCGCTCCAGTTTCTCCAGACTGCTGTCCGAGGGCGACCGCTCCATGGAGGTCATCAGCTTAAAGCGGCAGCGCAGGGACTCCAGCTCGGTTTTGTGCTCGTGGATGAGCTGCTCCCTGGCCTGGGCCACAGCCGCCAACTTCTCCTGTTCCGCCAGCTGCAGTTTCAGACGCATCTCTTCCAACTGCTCCTGGGACTTTTGCTCGCGCTCGTCGCACTGCATCTTCAGTACATTGCACTTGTCGCGCAGAAGGTGGAGCTCGGACTCAAGCTCATCCTGGTAGTTGGCGGCGTCACTGCGAAAGATGCCCAAGTTGGAGCGGGCCTCGGCGAGGCAGGCTTTGGCCAACTTGGCCATGTTCTCCATGTCGGTACGCATCCTCTGCAGACTGCCGGCGTTCTCTTCCGTCAAGGTGCCAGCACTGAGCATGAGCAGATTCTCGGTGGCAGTGGACCGTGCCACCTGCTCCACCAAGCTGGCGGAGGTCGATGTCGCCACACACTTGGACGTGGTGCTGAGCTTCTCGAACTCCGTTTCTGTATCCGTTTCGCAGTCCGAGGCCGTCGTGTGCGCCTGCAATTCGGCCAGGCGAGGAGCCATTAGCGGGGTATCCTGCTCCTGGTCTGGCTCCTGCGCTCCATCCTTGCCCGAGCGGAGGACGAAAAAGTCTATCACAGGCTTCATGTCGGGCAACTGCAGCTGGCCGGCCAGTTCCGGCAGCTGCGAGGAGAGCAGCTCCATGTCCGATCGACTCAGCTGGGGTAGCCGCGTGTCAAAGCTCAGGGGGTGCTCGTTCGCAAAAGCTGGAGGCATGTCGCCCATGCCAGGGAACAGAATATTGAGAAAATGGCCTTCGAAACTCTCATTGAACTCCCGCCTCCGGCGCAGCTCCTCGCTGTGAATGCGATCGAAGTCGACAGAGAGCCGAGTGGCCCATTGCCGGAACTGGTCCGAGAAGATCTTCCGACGCACCACCTCCGCCACGGCGGCTACATAGGTGCTAGGCGCCCGGTGGATCTGCTGGATGATGCTGATGTGACGCTCGGCACGCCGCAGGCAGCGGTGGTTGAACAGCAACCTATTGTCGAACTCGCTCATGCCGTTCTCGATCCAAACGATCCGGCGGAGACGCGTGTGAAGATTCCGGCCCAGCTCGTCCTTGGAGTTGGCTATGCAGCGGCAGTACTCGCGTATCTTAGTGTGATTCTCCAGCATCACCTGCAGCTGGGAGCGGTGCGATTGGCAGAGGTCCGGCAGGACGGAGTTGTCGCGCAGATTCTGCGCACGCGCCTCGTTCTGTTGCAGGGCAAGTGCCTGCTCCTTCTGCTCGCGCACCATGTTCTTGATCCGGAACTTGAACTCCTCTAGCTTACAGAGACGGTCGCCGAGGCCCTTGATCTCCTTAACGTCGCCCTGGTTGGCCATCTTGATTATCTGCTTAACCTCATCCTTCAGCTTCTCGTAGATGTCCGCATTGAAAATGTCCAAGCCCTGAATACACTCGTCCGACATTAGCTGCAGGGCACTGTGGTTGCCCTTGGAGCTGATCCACTGCAGCAGGTTGAGGTTGTGGCGCCTCGCCAGAGAACTGCTGCTGGTCGAGGTCTGGGAAACGCGCTCCTGCTGGTCGCCAGCGTCAGCTTCCGCCTCGTCGCCCATCTTGAGCTTCTTATTTGGCGAGTCCGCCTGCGAGGATTCGGTGAGGCCAGGCGTCTGCTGCGCCGGCTGTTGTTGAGCGGTGAATACGTCGTCGTTGTCTAACAGCTCATCAAACCCATGGAAATCGGCCTCGGCCAGGGACATGAGGGCCGGGAGTATGGGGATCCTGCCCAGCTGCTTGAGATCATCGGCAAAGTTGCGCAGCAGCTCCATGTAGCTCTCGCGCTTCTGCAGATGCCGATCGAAGGAGGAGCAGAAGTTGCGAAAGCGCTCGCGAAACTCGTTCGTCAGGTCCTCCATATTGGCAACCACCGCAGACCAGCCCTGCTGCTGGAGGTGCTGCTCGTGGACCAGCCGCTCGCACAGGTCCTCCTCCTTTCTGGCTAGCTCCCGCATGTGCTGCGCCAGCTGCGCGCGCTGACGGACCGTCTCTAAAGCCGGCGGCAGCCGGTGGCTTTCCTCCACTTGGCGACGAAGCTCGGCGTCGGCGTCCGAATTAGATATTGTCTGCGCGGGACGCTCATCCCCTGTGAGGAACATGTAGATGGGATTGGTGTCGGTGCCAGCCGAGTAGCACGACACCTGGGTGGAGTGCGTCAGCATCTCGCCCCCGCTCACCAAGAGCACAATGTTGGAGGCCGGGATGTTGTGCAGCTTCTGGATCGTCTCCTTCAGGTGCTCTACCGACTGCAGGGCCACGTTCATGTCGAAGCTCAGCATGCGGCCGACGTCCACGTGGAACACGTACAACATCATGGATCCGTTGGGGTTCCCGCTGTGTCCTCGACTTGGCTCCCGCTTCGTGGAAGGGGTGCTCGCGCTCCTCCCTCTCCCACGCCCGCTCCTCCTCCTCCTCCTTTTGATCCTGTCGTCTCACTTATGGTTTGGCAGTGCTTCACTCAATTCAATGGTGTTTCCTCATCGGTACATGTGTTTGTACTTATGGTCGACGCGTATTTGTCTTTGTGAGTGTTTAGCTGAAAGATACAAGACACAAGAACGGGTGAGTAAAGATGTTTTGTGATGAGCATTTATCTTTTTTAAGCCTTTGATCATAATAGCATAAAATGTGTAGAGCCCTTTTTTAAATTTTGTTGTTCTTAGTTTATGTTTCATGTGAAATACATGTACTACATGTTAGTTTTTTAAACACCAAAGTTAAAATCAAACAAATTCTCGACATTAGGATACAAGGGTATTATTAGAAGAACCAAATATAAAAATTACCATAAAGCATACAAAAATACCTATAAAAACAAGGCGCACCTAACTGTCTAGGAATCGTGTTTTTGTTTAATAGTTTGATTTGATTATCCGAAAATACATTTTCATTCAATCGAAAGCGGGTACGACTATTAAATCCACTAACAATCTCAGAAGAGATTAACTCAGCTATTTTTAAGCCATTGTTGGATCACTGTCGCTCTTGAACAGCTGTTAGACAGAGTCTCGCAGTTGTTTGTTTTTTGCTCTCTTTGTGTCAGAGGGACAAGGAGAGACAAAGCGTGGGGGCGGTTTAAATGTTAATGACTAACTGGGCCATTTCCGAGTCGCAATAAAAAATAGCGAAGCGAGCATGTGCACAGACACTTATTCAATTTTATTTTTATAATTTTGTTTACAGTTTAGTGCCGTAGACGGCTTTTGGCGATAAGGCGCATAACAAGAAAAGCGGAAAAGCGAAAAGAGCATGGCTCCGCACTTAGCACACGCGCACTCTGTTTTCCCCACACTATTTATTTTGCATGCCGTAAACAACAACTAGAACCCGACCAACAGCAAAAACAGCGTGGAACGTGTTATCAACGCACCTTGATTTGAACACGTCTAGACTGGCGGGTGGCTCGAAACAAATGAGAGGAACTTTGAGCGGGCGAGAGACTACCGCACGTGTACCTCGATCGTACCCTCTCACAGTGCAATCTTTTTAGCTACTTTATAGCCAGCTTCAGATAATGCTTCAATTACTTTAAGACATACAGAATTAAAAAGCGAGTAAATCCAAGTAATCTGCAGGGTAAAGCTCAACATTTTGCTTGAATTAACAAGTTCCTTTTGAGATTTTATTTTTATTTATGATTCATAAACTTTATTTCTATTCACAATGTATGCCTAAAGCATCAAGGACTATTTAGCGCACAAATACAAAAAAAAAATGGTTATATTTAAAGTTAACATCTAAATATTCAATAAAAACAGTAATACAAAACAAGACCTAATAGATTTTATAGCAAATATCTTCAGTAAAAATCTATCATTGCGTTTCTTCAATGTTGTTTGAAGATCGGATGTAGCTAAATTTTAAAAGTGATGTTGACAGCACTGTTCAGAATGTGAGTAGTAAAGAGAGGTAGGCAGAAAGAGCGCCGCTGCTGCGCATGTGTCAATGCCAACGCCGACGTCAACTGCGACGCCGACGCACCGCTTACCTGACTCCATGGTCCTTTTTTTACCTAAGCGAATTTCATCATCTTGGTAAACTGAACTTGTAAATTTCCAAGACGAATTTACTGATATTTTTCTTAAAATTTTCCATTATTGGTAGACACGTGTAACGGATCACAGTTTTTATAACTGATGAAATACCAGGAACGACTTACTTAGGATTATCAAAAATAGCGCGGGGATACGCCAGGTACTTCTAGGCAAATTGATGAAATAGTCGTTGAGAGTGACAGACAGAAAGCAATAACCGGCGATTAATCACCAATGACATTCCAGAGTGCATTTATCTCAGGCCCCTAATTTGGCTTTCAACCTGAATAGAATCACGTTAGCAAGGGAGCCCCAAACTGATAAGATCTTATCAGTCCGGTGGTGGTTCAATCGCATTCGTATGTATCGACAGTTGATGAGCTGTATCTAGCTTGCACTTTTGGGGGATGTGTGAAAATAGGCGAAATGGAAGAATAACAAGGCATCATTCTTTTCGAATAAATTGTGTTTTAAATGTAAAATTCACAATTTGAGCATTTTGTTACAAATACTTTTGTTATTATTAAGTTTAATTATAATAATAACAGCTCCCATTTGCAAAAAGTCCTAACGATAAACTGAATTGTCTTATTTTTAAGGCAAGAATATATATACAAAGAACCATCAACCATGCAGATATGCATATGTATGAATGTACATTTACAAATATATGTATGTATGTACGTTCGTTAATAAAATAAAATGGAAAGTTTATAAACGATTAATAATATTTAAACGAGGGCCATTTACACAAATTTAAAGAAAGATTAGCTTGATAGCCAGGGCTTAAGTCGCGTAGCAGCGATAATGTTTTAAATAATACATGGTCTAAAATGATACAAAATGTTCCATTTCTGTATTTCCTTGATACTAAAATTGAAACCATGTCGACCTATAACTGTACTCTTAATAAAGTTTTGGAGGTATTGTCTGCAATTGAGGCAATTTGAAGTACTCGTAACAGAGGGCATAAAGGCATAAACAAAAACAAACCTAATTTGCGGATCTTTGGTCAGGGGTTGAGACTAGGTGACGTCACGGTGGTAAATAACGGACTTGGTGGGGAGAAGTAGAAAGAGGGCAGGCAGAAAACCCTGAACCGAACCAAGTCAGCTGAACTCCTATGCCGCTGCAAACTGATTACGGAGCGACAACAGCGCAGTCAGAGTTTATCAGCTCTCTTTTCTTTTGTCGTTGTGGGGGGCAGGAAAAAGCACTTTCTAGCACGGAAAGCTATAAAGAGCGGCTGCCGGGGGGCAACTAGCTGCAATTAATGGTAAACCTCATTTCTGTTTGTCGCCTGTACTTCATCAATGTACATGCATAATCTTAAAGTGCTTTAAAAATTATGACTCACCAAAAACTTCCACTGCTGTAAGTAAATTGGGCAAAATAGAAAAAAAAAAAACACAAGAACGTTAAGAAAGGCGTTTACATCAGACGATCAAAAAATCAACTGAAAAATCACTAGTAAGGTAAACATACGATCAGCTGGGCGGCTGCAATTATCGATATTCGATAATCCAAGCCAAGCTGCAACTCATTCTCCGTTTCCTTTTGCACCGCTTCTATCTATCTCGCTCTCGCTCAGCTGTTGTTTTGTTTTATTGCTTTTCCTTTTGCACTTGGGTGCAGTTAACAGGAAAAAACTCCGACTAACGAACATATGCACACAGACACAGTTATTCTTGTGAAATATGTAAATTATGCCAATTAATTGCAATTTGGCTCAAACGGACGCACACAACAACAATACGCGAGGGTTGCTGACGTTCGAGAAAAAGAAAATGGCAGCAGGTGTAGTTGCATTTTGTTGAGCGAACAGGGGGCTGAACGGGCGAAATGGGTGGAATTTATGCAGTTGAAAGGGCGTCGGCAGGTGCACTAGTATAGGTGTATAAACTATAACTAACGGTTAATTAAAACCATGCCCCACTCACACTCACCTTATAATCTTTAATCAATTTTCACAATGGTGCGCCAGTGTGTGTGTATGCAAGTGTTATTGTTGTCTGCTTGTTGTGAGAGTGAGCGCGGTCTGTTCGTGTGTTTTGGTTTTAATCAATTGTAAACGGGAACAAACACTGAGGCGGTGCAAATTATTTTACATCAGCTGTGGCTGTATCTAAATCTGAGTGTGTGTGTTTGTGTTTTTATTTGCAACAGCAACAACAACAACAATAGCTTTGCCTCTTTATTTTCGCTCGTTCGCTGTTACCTCTCTTTCAACGCCAAAGTGTTGTTTTATTTGCCTCTTTGCCTTCCACGCTTTTCTTATTTATTTTGTATGGCTATGCTTCTTCTTCCGCCTGCTTATTACTTATTACTTTAAAAGCTATTTTCGTTGCGTATCAAATGTGAGTGTGTAAAAAGCATTTACTCGAGTTTCCTTAGCCTCAGCGTCCATCAATATGTTCGAGCGTAAGATGTTTTCCCATATAACTCAGGCTGTTTTCCTTTTCCCCTTTTTTTGTTTCCCTTTCGCTGTTTGCTTCCCTTTTTTAATCTATTTCTTTGTCTATCACAATTGCGTTGTTGTTGCTGCTGCTGTGGGTGTTGTTGTTGGTGTTGCTTGCTTATGCTTTCTGTTTGCTGCTTGTTGTTGTTGGCAGTTTTACTTTTCGCGTCAGTTTTTTGCCATTTACACGAAGAGGGCACGGGAGCCGTTGGGGTTTTTAAAGTGGCACAAATTCACTCGCGCATATTGTAGCTTTGCTTAGATTTCTAATTAAATTAAATGGTATAAAAATGAAATAACGCACTTCGTTCTCACTTTTGTCTTTGCCTATGCCTTGCGATGTGAGAATGACAACAGATTTTCAAGACGATGACGATAACAAACCTAGTGGGGATACGTTACTCAAAAGCCGCAAACAGTGATTTTTATATGCGAGCACCATGAAACATATTTCTCCGATTAGTTTTTACCAACTAAGAAATTAAACATTAGTTTTTCGGACTGTTTATATACCAAATCTTTTTTTTTTATCTTTTTGTAAAGTTTGCTTCTTCGTTAACCGACATTGCGCGTAAAATCCTTGTTTGTCATCAAAAAAATTACCCATCCCTCTTTTTGTTTCGTAAATAAGATCTATCGAAAGTCGGCCAGCTCTAGCGAAAAGTGCAATTAAAATAATCCGAAAAAGTTTTTCTTTTTAGCAAACAGCGTTACATCCGCATAGAAAAAGTCACAGCATTTACTATTCTTAAGTAGCAATAGCAGGGATCGAAAATTAAAAGGGCAAAGAAAAGGAATCTAATCGATCGGAAGCCCGTTCAACCGACTTTCTCCTTCAGGCGCACTTAGTAGAACCCACACTCATGGGAAACCTCATACACATACAGACAGGGGCGGCATTTCTCTTTTGCATTTTTTTAGGCGTTCTTTGAGATTACAAATTAGTTTTTAGCTCTAGACTTAGTTTGCATACTTTGTAAAGAAAACACAAATATTACTTTATATATTTTGCCTCATTACATTGTACTGTGTCGATACCAAAAACGAACAAACCACTCTTTTTCCAAATGACAAACATCCATACCATAGAAAATGTTGCGGACTGCTCGCCTCTTTATCTGCCACACAGCTTGTATCTCAAGCCGTTGGCCAAAATGCAAATCTCCGTATCGCTGCCGCCAATCAAGTCCGGCAAATCCGTATCCAATCTGGAGATAATGGACAAACTGGGCGCGGAGCTCAAGCCAGACATATTTCTTCAGCTCAAAGTAAGTTCTAAGCACCTGATTTCAAACTTTCACATTTCATAATGTGGTCCTTGTATCCTTGTAAGAAAACTATTATAGTTTTTACAGCATTACGCTTTTCTAAAAATTGTTTTGAAAAAAATTCAAAATTTAAATAACATTCATAATTTGCTTCCCATTAGGTCTCTAAAAGCACAGTAAACACCATTCGTTTCGAAGCTGAATTGGATGACCGCAAACGTCTTCGAGTAGCCACCCAACGCCTGGATGGCATTTCTCTGCGCATCTCTGGCTTTAGTGAATCATTTCGCGTGCGTTGCACAGAACAGAAGGATGAGTTTCCCACGCGACACGACTGGGACTCTTACTTCCGAGACGCCCGAAACATGGACGAAATGAAGGCAGGCGAACGGCCGGACACCATACACCTGAGCCACCTGCCGATGCGCTGGTTCTGCCCGCGGCACTCTGAGCACGAGGAGCATGTCAAGCCTAGCGAGAGCATCTTCAAGCGAATATTTGAAAAGTACGGTCGCGTTCGGATGGTAGACATACCCATTTGTGATCCGTACCGAAAGAGTATGCCGTCCGACATTAATGGCATGCGAACGTTCAGCTTCGAGCAGGATGTTCTTTTTGAAGCGTAAGTTTGCATTTGTCAAAAATATCTACATATTTTGAAAAACAATTTTAAAACATTGATTTTACAGATATGTTCAGTTTGAGGAGTACTCAAGCTTTGTCCGCGCTATGGACGAGTTCAGGGGCACTAAGTTGGTTCGAAAGTTTGTGGACAAGACCCAGGCCATTGACATTTGTGTAAATTTCGACAAGCAAAAGCATCTCAGTGACTCGCACGTGCAGCGGCGTGAACGCATGAGGAAGAAGTGCATAGCCAAGGCCCAGGCCGAGGACGAGGAGCGAGAGAAGCTGAAAAAGCAACAAGAAGAACAGCTGGAGCGCGAAAGGTTTGCACATTGCCTTAGGCCAGAAACGGAAAACAGTACCCAAATAGCACATTTTCCGTCACTTTCCTTAAATTCCCATTTTTTATTACATATTTCCAACAATATTTTCACTCACCTTTCAGTTCATAAAAAATGTATTATTAATATAAAATTGTGTGCTATACTACTGTTTTTATATCTGGTAATTTAAATCTTTGTATTTATGCTTTTTACCTGGCGGCCGCTGAGCGAGGCGAGCCCTTTAGCCAACCGTTCTCTGTATCTTCTAGACGAACAGTTAACAAATATTTATTATGCATAACAAAAATATAAAAAGCAAAACAAAAACCCGCAACATTGCAACAAAAATTACAGGCAAAAACAAGAAGAGTTGAAAAATGCGGAAGCGGAAAAGCAGCGTGAACGCGAAGAAAAGCGGAAAGAAAAGCATCTGAAAAAGATACAGGAGCGCGGCCAGGTGGAAATCTCACAAAAGATTCGCATCGAAGAGCGCAAGTTGATGATAGCCCAACGAAAGCTGGAGAGCATACGCACCCTGGAAAAGCTATTTGAGCGGATACAGGTATTTACAATAAAATTACATTTTCAAGTTTACAGGCACGCTAATTACAAGTTCTGCTTTCGTGAGATACAATTATATTTAAATTTGTCCAAATGTATGTGTTTGAAACTTTAATGCTTCATTGTGTTTTCTGTTACAGCTAAAGCAAAAGGACAAAAATCGTCGAGCCAAACAAGATGAAGCTAAGGATATCCAACGTGGCCGCCTGGTGGAAAAGTATAAGGCAGCCACGGAGAAGCTTGTCTGTGATCAGCGCAAAATCGTCCAAGACATTAAGAGCAATACGCCACTAATCGGGCTTTTGAAGAGCAAATCTAAGAAGAACACAACTACCGAGAACGCGAGCAGCGATGATGAGGCGGCGTCTAGTAAAAGGCACAAGCTGAGCAATGGTGTTGCGGACTCCACAGCTGCACTCCCTGGCGATGTGACCGCCGCACTGAACCCGTTGAAAGCGGTAGCCGCAATTGCCGCCGGTGCAGTGCCAGGAGCAGGGGCTTACAGTGCCGAGGCGGCGAGTGAATGGATGCAGTCACTTTCGATGTTCGGGTACGGATTGCCAGCCGTGTTCCCCGGAGCACTATACCGCCCGCCGGCACCGTTTCCTGTCTCTAGCAATTACCGAGGCTTTGCTCCGCGTCCCCGGGGTCGGGGAAGGGGACGTGGACTCGGGATTAGAGGAAGTCGTTCAGGCTACGATTCATACTATAATTCCAAGCACGACCGGTACGATGACGAGGGCGATAATGGGTACTACCACAAGTCATCGCGGGGCAGGTGAGCCGCAGGTCCCAAATGCATTTAAACAGTAGGTTATATTTTTGTTCATTCCAGAAATCGCTCACGTTCTTCGTCTTCGTATTCAAGAAGTCGTAGTCGCTCCCGCGGTCGCCGGTAAGTAACACGTAGATTATGAAGAGATTGTTCTATAAAATAAAAGTAGAATTGTCTGTCGTTCCAGACGCTCCAAGTCAAGAAGCCGCTCCAAGTCACGAAGCCGCTCCCACTATCGCAAGTCGTCTTACTCGTCAAGATCCAGGTAAAGATCACACCTAATTTTAACATATGGAAATACATATATGTTTCCTTTGGTATACGAATTATACGATGTAATATCAAAATTTGGTGATCATTTTTAGGCGGAGCCACAGCAGATCCTCGCGCAGCCGCAGCAAAACACCGTCGCAGCGCAAGAACCGCAAGCTGGCCTCCACGCGCCGATCTCGGTCCACTAGCTATTCTCGATCGCGATCCCGATCCCACTCTCGCAGGCGCTCCAGCTCACGGCGTGACCACCGGAACCGTCATCGCAGTAGTCGGAGCAACAGCAGAAGTCGCGGCCACACCCCGAAAGAGGTGAAGCTTGAGGCGGACAAGTTGGTAGCCTCTGCCGAGAAGATACAGCGCACCATTGAGCAGCATACAAAGGATCGGATGCGTGAGGAGGAGCGAGAAATCAGGCAGAACTTTAGGCATCCGCGCACCAACAGCCACAACAGCAATCATGTAGACGCCCAGCCACAGGAAGAGGGCAACGAGAGACGCGGCAGCACTAGCAAGCGCAGCAGTCGCCGCAATTCACTGGCAGCCTAAAATGTATTCATTAGTTTAGCTTTTAGTAAGAGACTCGTAAATAAAGATATCAAAGTTGTTTCCCCATAATTGCTTTGAGTTGCTCCTCAAACTTATTTCCAATTGCCATAAATCTGGAAGTGTGAAACTTTAAATAAAAGCACACGAACTCATAAAATATACAGCTACTGTAGAGTTTCAAAGCCTGTTAAGGTATTAGTCTGTTTAAATAATATACCATATTGTGTTGACTTTTCTTCATTTAAATTGTGGAAAAGATGTTTCAAAAATCTTATGGTCATCAGATAATAATTTTGAAGTTTTTTGAGAACAAGTCTTGCAACATCGAGCAGACATAGATAGCTAAAAAATAATATATTATCTGTCAATTACCCATGCAATGATCGCCGTTAAAATACGAAAATACATGTATGTACTATGTTACAATCAGTTTTTTCTTTTAAAACAATATAAATCGACTTTAGCATTTAAAAGCAAATGGTGCAAAAGAGATTGAGTCAACGACAGAAAATTGCTTATAACTGAAGAATGTGTAAATGGGTTTCTTGGTGGGATAGCGATTAGTAGCGCCTGTTGTTGTTGTTGTTGCGACCGCGATTTCTGCCGTTGCCACCGCCGCCGCCTCCTCCTCCGCCACCGCCTCCGGAGCCGGAATTATTGTTTCCCCGCCGTCGCCGTTGGCCAGCTCCTCCATTGTTTCCGCCCTTCTGGAAGTCGCGATCCCGATCGTTGAAGTTGTCCGCTCCGTTGTTATTGAAGCCATTAGATCCGTTGCTGCCGGGTGTGCCATTATTTGACCAGGGGGCATTGGCAGCCCAGGGATTGGGTCTGCCCCCCGATTGGTCCCTTTCGCGTTCGCGACCCCTTTCCCGCTCCCTGTCACGACTTCCTTCCGCTTCCCTTTCGCGCTCTCTTTCCCGCTGCTCCAGTGGCGGTTCGTCGACGAACTCCGTGCTGGGCTGCTGGGCCTTCGCAGCTACCAGGGATTGCAGGAAGGGCTTCTTCAGCTGCAGCAGTTCTCGAACGCACACCAGCTGCGCGTTATGCTGGCGTGGCTCGAAGCGGGACTTCTTGGTGGGCGGGGAGACCACCTCGCCACGTGCCTCTACCGTTGGCGACACGGACCTGGAGCGATCCCTCACTGGCACCACATCGTTCAGCTCCTCAAGCTTTCCGGCGTCGATGTACTTGTTAAGGAACTCGGTTCCTTGGCGAATGGCAGCCATCAACCGGGAGTCCGGATGGACGCGAATGAAGCGGTTGTACACCAAGACCCCGACAATCGTCTGGGGATCAAGCCCGTTGAGCATGCCGCTGGCCAAGATGCCCTCCATGGTGTTCTCGCTGATCTGCTGGTGGTTCAGTCCGCTGGTCGAGTCCTTCGCCTCGCGGGCGGCAAGCTCGTCGTGGATGCTGAGCACGCTGGGATCGTCCGCTCGCCGCGGACCTGCCCAGTTCACCTGGAAGTTGCGTGGAATGGGCTTGCTGTAGGGCACCTTCTTCTCCCGGTCGCGGTCGTTCAGCGCTTTACTTGGGTCCAAATCGAGGCCGGGAATAAAGCCCTTGTCGGCTGTTAGACTTTCCGTGAACTCAACGCGGTCCTCCGGACCCATTCCGGGTATAATGGCGTCATCTGTTGTAAGAACGGGTTTTTAAAAATGCTGTTTTTTAGATCCGCAACCAAATGGGCAACCCACCGTATTCACACTCGTCTAAAGCAGCCAAACTGGCGGGCAGTGTGTTCAAATTGTATTTGTCTCTCATCAAATCTCCCGGCCGGTTTCTCGTCCAGAACTTGATGGTGTGATCGTTGGAACCGGAGCAGAGAATGTGACCCAAAGGATGCCAGGCCAGCGTCCACACAATGCTGTCGTGTGCCGTCTCCACGCAGCCAATCTCCTTATCAGTGCTGTGCGAAAAGGGGTCACTGAGCCACTAAAGTTTCTTAAGATTAAATCAAAAACGCACCCAACATTCCAGAACAAAATGGAGCCATCGGATCCGCCAGAGCAGAAGAGACCCTCGTGTATGGGATGCCAGGACACTGAGCTGGCTTCCTTTTTGTGGCCCCGAAATACTTGCACCTCCTCCCGCAGATTGCGAATGTCGAAGAGCTTGAGCAGATGATCTCTGGAGGCAGTGACCAGCCAGTTGCCATTGTCGTTCCACTTCAGATCCATCACTGTGGATTTGTGAGCATGTCTGAAATAAGGAAAAATAGTTAAATTTAGATTTTTAATTTGTTTAACGCTGGGGGATTTATTAATGGTTGAAGAGTGGTATACTTACAGCGTGGCCAAGGCAATGCCGCTCTTTGGATCCCAGATTTTGATGGGTTGCTGGTTGTCCTTGCTCCCACTGACGATCATGCCCTTCTGCGGATGCCAGTGCACACACTTGACATCTGCTCCGTGGCCTAAATAAAGAAATTCAGTTAACCCGAAGGATTCTGACCGAAAATCCTCTGGATCTCACCTCGTAGGACTCGCTCCTCCTGGCAGCGCATAAAGTCCCAGATCCTCAGGGTTCCATCATCGCTGCCGCTGACAAACTTGCTGTCCGTGGGACTGAAACTGCGTTTGGTGGATTGCATTGGAAAATGGTTAGAACGCAACAAAATACGGATTGAAAAATGATTATGAGTGTGGGCGGGAAAGCGAATGATAAGTACAAAATTCAAGCCTAATAGTTTTCACAAAATTAGTTATAGTCGAAAAGTTAATGTTACTACAAACAGTTATCCTGAAATATAGGAAACATCTAATCATTTTATTATTAAATTAACTTACAAAACGTTTAGTTTTCATTTATTTAGTTTAATCACGGTACCGGCGTTCTAAAGACAAGTATCCCAAAGTAACTGGAACTTTAATTGTATTCCATATTTCATTTTCAAATTAGATACCGATTTAAGCATTCAAATTGTTTCATTACTAAAAGAGTTAAATACAAATTTTTAATGTGTTTTAAAATGGCAAAAATAAACTTAAACTCATTAAATAATGGAAATATTTGTATTAGTTAAAATATATTTCTTTGAACAGTGGATTGTTTCCAGCAGAACTCTCTTTGTCTTTTATTTATTTTCGAAATGATTCAATGTTAATTCTTCTCTTGCAAAATTAGTTGCCCATTTGCCAAGATTTATCGCCAGGCTTGAGAAAGAAAACACTCGAACCCCCGATTTTTCGAACAAACAGTGCAACACATTGCGTTTATTTTTATTGTTGATGTTGTGGCCGTGTAAATAAAATTGTGCAGTGGTTTCTTTTTTTCTTAGTCAGATGCTTTATTGTTAGCTTTTCTCAATATTGCATTTGTGTTCTTTTCTTTCAGTCTTTTTATTTTTTCTTGTCATAATTATTGATATATCACAGAAGAGTTCGAGGCTTACAACATATGTGAAAATTTTTGTTATAGCACGGAGGTTAAAGCGCCAGTAGCCAAGCAGAGGCTAGGAAGTATGGCAAACTGATACCTAGGTGGCATGTTGCAGAATAAACGGTTTTATTGGTATGTACTTGCAACAGCCCTGAAAGGAACCGGTCCACTAAACTAATCAGGAAACAAAAAGTACCCATAACTGAACAAGCGACCCAAACAAAGAAAACTATGAAAGCAACGCGATTCTGGCTGTGGGCTTGACTTGGTTGGCTTGCATCAGTAGCTACAAAATGGTAAATACAGTTGACAATTACAGTTAAAGGGCTATACCTTATTCCCCTAATCGCCTCCTTGTGTGCCTGGTACATCTTCACGTTGTTCATGTTGGACTGCCAGTACTTTACATAGCCACCGTGATCGCCGGTCACCATCCAGCTATCGTTGTGCGACCACACCATAGTCCGTACCGAAATGTCGTGGGCCTGTCAATGAATAACACCTATTAGATTTGATCCCGTGGAACCCGCTGAAATCAACCCACCTGAAGAATGGTTTCGAAGTTGAAGGTAAGACCGTTCCACAGCGTGAATTCGCCAGAACTGGCCCCTGTAACCAAGCGCCTGCCCTCCGGAGTCCACGCGAGCGTGAAAATGGGACAACGCATCTTGTTCGTGGCTGTTTTGACGAATCTTGTGGTCACTGCATTCGAGGGATTGTCCAGGTAAGCAGAGGGCGGCAACATATGCGGCACATAAATGCTGTCCGGCTGCAAGGCTAGGCGGTCCCGGTGATCTCGTTGAAACAGGCGGTTCTGCGTGGGATCAATTTGGATTTAAAAAAAGTGAGATGAGTAGCTGTCACAATATTGATTTCCTCAAAAAAATAATAGCAAACGGATCATAATTGAATAATAAAAATAAAGATACATTTCAGAAAATAGTAGTCATAATAAAATAATAAGGTAATTTTGGTCTTTCTTTCTTTAGAATGTTAACAGAAATCCTCAGAAATCTGTAATCTGGAATTTGAAAAAATATTTCCAAATAATCCAGTCTCATTTATGGAAATGTTATCTGTTAATTTAATCTTGTGCATGTTGGAACGAAATATAGTTGTCTTTAGTTATGGTTACTCAAGTTTTGGTTGCTTTTGATTTTTTAAAATTATGAGTATACTTGAATTTAAGATCTCTAGATTTCTAAGTTTTACGAAGTGCTTCGTAGCAATGCAGTAATGAACCTATGTTTCTTTGAGTTATTAAATGCAAATTATGATTTCTAACAGGGCTCTGGTGTTGTCTTTTATCTACGAGTACCCTCCGATGGAACATTAGGTATCACCTCCAGTGCCTTGATGATTGACGCGTTGTAGTCCACAGTCTTTCGCATCACGCTCTTGCGCAGTCGCTTGCCGTCGAAGTCGTCCTGGGACATTCCAAATGGCCGCTGGAAGCCGCCGGGCATGAAGGGCTTGAACTGGTTGTAGCCGTGCTTGTTGGACCCATGGTGCGGATGGTAGTGCCGGTAGTGCTGGCCGCCCATATTTGGAGGCGGGAGCGAGGTGAAGTTGGTTGCCAGCGCCGATGGCGCTGTGAGAAGTTGCGGGGGCGGCTGGGACACGTCCATGGCTGTTGGCTACTAGCTTTTTCGCTCCTCGTTTTCGCAATGCCTTTTTCCGCTTGGCTGCAATGAATTTTCTTCGCCCGCACACAAACACACACAAGCAGGCGTAATGTGCAGATTAGTTTGCCGTCATGTTCCCATTTAGATCGCTACTTACTCGTTCTTCCTAGTGCCCACTCATTTGTTTGGTGGGGAGGAGAACAATACTTAGGATAGGATAATTAAAAACAATCTGCAAAGTGCCGCGTTGAAAATTATTTCTAACTTTTGCCGAGCAACGCGAATTTTCGGAGTTCACGGCGAAACGCGGACTCCAGCGTGTGTCAATTGCGATAAATCCATAGTGTTATCGAATGGAACTAAGCCATTATGGGTATTTTTCGAGAACGAGAACTTTCAAAATTAATGATGAAAATATAGCGTCAAATGCTGCAGATCTATCCTAAAGAAAATATTATATAGTTAATTTCAGATGCCACGCATATTGTCATAATAACAACGTATGAAAACATGCAAGGTTGTTTATTTTATATGTCAAAAGCGCACATTTCTCTCACAGTCTAAATATTAGCTGCATTATAATAACCGAATTTCACTGATGTCTTAAAACGACTTTAAAAATATATCCTGCTTGGATCAATTCCTGGAGTGTCCCTAATATTTTTAGGAAGCGCAGTAGTGTGCACTATCGATGTTTTTCGTATCGAAACTTCTCCACCGCCTTTGAAATGCGCTGGCAACCCTGATCCATTTTAATGGCGACCGGACCGACTAGCCTACTACGTGTTTGACATAAAAATACTTTTGTAGCTGATTCTCGAGAGTTCACCGAGCCACTTGAACTAGATAGTTGTTAACACAGTTTGTTGATCCGTGCTCTACTGCCATATCCTTGTTGAACCCCGTTTCCCAAGCCCGGACCTCTGGAGAAAAGTGTGTCTGTGTCGCAAAGTGCCTGAAATTTCGCCTTGCCTTGTCGCTGGCTCTTGAAGTCGAATACCCATAATGGCGAGACTTACAAAGGTCTACAACACGGACGACGACGACTCCGGTTACGTCGGCCGCAGGAATTTGCCCCTGGTGGCTGGTGATAAGTTAATGGTGAGCATATATCCGCACCGCCCAATTTCCTGCTATATGTACTGCATGGCCATCAGCCGTCCAAGAAAATGACTGCCAGAAGAACCCCCACACACAAGCGGGTCGAGTCGACCGATGTGCGTGTGTGCGTGCACTTGGTCCAAAAACTTTCATAACACGGCGGCTGTTATGTGTAAGTGACAGATGCCATTGTGTGGGTTCGGTGTGTAATTATGCGTTTATAAATTGAACTTGAGCTGTGGCTCTCTTGTTCTGTAATTCTGCACCTGCCGCCCACAAAATCTCTCTTTCTGCCTGTAGCCGCCATGTTGATGGAAAGTGCAACAATAAAAGAACCTGTTTGTATGCACCCCCCGCCCTCTCTTCAACTGATCTCCCTGATTCTTTGGCTAAAACTCTCTTATATTGCTTGCTCACTATCTCGCGTCTACTGTTGATTCCTAAGAAAGCGAATTACGCGAAGTGCATGTTCGCACTGGCCCAAAGCCGCGATTCGCGTTATAGCGGTAAGCAAACAGCTGTTTTTTGTTTTGAACAGCAAACTAGCAAAGTCAAGGAAGGTAATTGTGATGTGGGAAAACAATAAATGGATACATATCTACATCTAGGTCAAGTTAAACTTGTTGTTAATTGCGGGTGTTTTGATATGTGTTTAAAGAGCTGAATGTACTTGCCCAAAAATATTTTCTAATGTATTTCATCGAAAAGGATGTCAAGCTCCAGATAACGAATTTTAAACCGCTGTCAGTTTGTTTTTGTATGCTCATGTGCATTAACAAACATAAATTTAGCAATGAAAGCCTATTTAAATAACTTCTTCCTGCAGATGCTCATGGACCTGAATAGCAAAGGACTGGTGATCGACAGCCCGCTGATCCGCGGCCGTGACCTGGAGGAGTTCTCACGCAAATTTAAACTGCTCACAGAGGCCGAGCGCCGAAAGTCGCTGGAGATCGACAGCGCTAGCTTTATGGCAGTCCTCAATCAGTGTGTGCAGTGCGTCGGCTGTCGGAGACGCGTGGAGCGATTGTTTCACCAATTGACCGAGACGGGATACCGAACGCTCGACCCGCTGGAGCTGCGCCCCTCCGCCACGCTGAGCATCGTCGAGGAGAAGCTGAAAACGCCGCAAGCCCTGGGTACGCTGCTCTACCGGCATCACGAGGTGCTTAACAACCTGTTGGACAATAAACTGCGAAACAAGACGCGCTGCGTCTTACACTCGCTGGACGCCTTTCGCGCCAAACCCTTCTCGGAGACTTGGCGCGAGGTGTGGTCCGCCATGAAGAGCAGCTGCCGCAACGAGCTGACCATCATCGAGACCAAGGAACTGCACGACGTACTGGAAAACTACCTGAAGAAGCACAAGTTCTGTTCCGGGTGCCGAACAAAGGTATGACCTAAGGAAATCAAAACTAGAAATTCTTACCGATTTTCTTTGTTGCCAGAATAGCTTTAATCCGATGTAGCATTTATTATTTTTCATTTAACCTCCAAATTTCTTGGTAAATCAAGCTTACATGCCTAACTATATTCATGTTTTTCGTATTTTTTGGCAGATTGAGCGCGCCTACAAAATACTCATTGGTGAGATATCGGGCAAGGAGAAGGGTTACTCAGCCCAGCTGTACGCCCACATCCGCAAGTGCGTGCCCGACCAGCACATCCACGTGAGCACCAACAAAATAGAGTTCCTGGACGCACTGATCAAGCGCGCCGAGCCCGAGGTAAACGGCAGCTACTCAAAGCTGCGCGAGCGCCACGCCAAGACGCTGGAGATTGCGCATCAGGAGGTGCTGACCTGCGTGGGCATGATAATGTACGAACGACTGCGTCGCATTTACGTGAGTCTGCGGGAGGAGGAGCGCGCCTGTCAGGTGCTGGCCGCTGTGGGCGTTCACGCCCTCTGCCGCAGCTTCGACACGTTCGTGGAGCAGAAGCAGGGAATCAGCAACCTGGAGCTGCTCTACCAGGAGATCAGCCGGGCAGAGCGGGCCAAGCAGATTAAGCGTGAGCAGAAGAAGCTCAAGAAGAAGAAGAAGAAGGACGAGAAGAAGAACATGATGCACCGCCAGTGCGATGACACTGAGGCCAACGAGTCCGACGAAGAAGAAGAGGAGGAGGAGGACTTAGCGAAGGAGGAGATAGATCCAGAGGAGGAAGAAAACCAAGAGCAGCATGTGGAACTAAGCGATCCAGGTGCGGACGATGGCATTGTCATAGAGGCAGTACTTCCGGAATCGGAACCCGAGCCCACGTCCAAGCCAACGAAATCGAAACCGAAGAAGCAAGCGAAGAAAAAGAAGCAGAAGCCAGCGCCCTCCCAGAAAGCCGGTAAACGAAAGCACGTGCAGAATTCGGCTAGCATTCAACCGCAGGACGACGAGCACCTCGAAGTGGCCAGCTTCATGTCGTCGACTGTTGCCAAGTCGGAGGGTGACGACAAGTGTACGGAGTGCCTGGCTCCAATGCCAGACTGCCCGTGCGAGCAGGACGTGCGCGATTCCGGCTACGGCAGCGACCCCACCTCGCATGCCGACTCTCGGACCTCCAGCGCGGTTTCCTCGCCGGAGGGCTCGGAGGTGTCCTGCTCGGACGGGCTGTGTAATCACGACGGCCCCCACGATGAGGACTCCGACGTCTCGGACCTGCTGTTCTATGGTCATCAGTCGCAGTTGGATCACAAATTTTCATTGTTGCAGATGTGGGTGAGTTGTCGAAATGGGAATTATGTGGGTAGTATTCAATGGTGGCGGAATCTTCCTGTGATATCCTATCAAGTACGTTTGACTGATCTGTTCAGAACTGCTTTCGTAGTAGCTGTAACTAACCTAAATGGAGTACAATGGCTCAAAAAATTGTTTTGCAAGGAGATTTGGTACATATATTTGGTTAATAAAAGAAATAATAGATTATTTAAATTAAAATTTTGTTTGTTAATTTTATTCTGAATAGTTAGTAGCTGTTGCATTTGCTAATGTTAGCATTTGGAAGTACTAGTTTCTATCCGACAAGAATGAAAACTTTAATTAAAAAGACTGTTCAATATATAACTTAATCAGGACTAACGATCCACAAAACTAATCAACCCAATCTGTCATTGCAGGACGACTTCGACGAATACGACGACAAAGACGAGGAGAGCTATTACATTCCGCAGGAGGTGGTACTGGCCTTCAAGTGCCACCAGGAGCAGGTGCAGCAACAGCGGGAGCAGCTCCGTGCCAAGCTGCGCGCCAATTTCGAGCGCTTGTGCCTGCAGCGCGGCGTGCAGCTGCCCTGTGTGGCCATTAAAAAAACGCATTAAACCGTTGTAGTTATTCAGTCGAGCGCGGCGATTTTTCAAAATGCGCCCGCATGCATTCAAAGTACATATAATTTTTTGTTTTTGAAATAAATGAAGTATACAAGTTACAACTATCAGTGTTATATGATTAATCTTTAGCAATTGCGGCACTCCTCGTGGAAGGGTTCGAGAGTGCGCAAGTCCCGCCATGTTGGAGGCAACCCGTGCACCACGAACTTCCCGCATCGCTTGCACGGCTCCAGGAATAACTTGATGTGGCTGTTCAGCCAGGTCACATAGCTCTTCACCGCCAAATCCGGCAACGTGGGCGAGAAAAAGTGCAGCATGGCAGAGTGGGCGTGCTCCTGCACTTTGCGGAACACTTCGTACCGTGACTCGGCCCACAAATCGTCGTGCTCCAGGGGCTCGTCGAATCCCTTAACAGTCACCCACTCTATCAGCACTCCTTTAAAAACTATGGCCGCCTTCATTACGTTGCTGATGGTCACAATGGCCACTGCGTTGGTGCCGAAGGGTCGGAATATCCGGTATGAGGTGTGCGGTGGGGTGTTGATCTCACTCAAGAGCTTGTCTATGTGACTGGAGATATAAACCATAACATTTATTCAGGTTATAAAATCTATATAAAATAATACTTTGTTTAAGAAAAATGGAACAATAATATATCACTGACAACCACTTCGGATCTCTTAAAACAATGCTTATTCATCGGGAATTAAACTTACTCAGGATCATTGTTAAAGGAGGAGAAGGGCAGTCGCTGGCGCTTCTGGGAGCAGTAGTTGTACGAGCGCCTGAGCGTGTTTTGGTTAAGATTGTTAAAGGCCAGGAAGCTGTGTTCGTGAACCTTGTCAATCCACTTGTAGCTGTTTACCAGTTGGGGATAGAGTGCCTGGCGATCGTGGGAAGTCTCTTGCGCCAGGTAAGCCGTGTTCCCTAACGAATAGGCGGTGGGTGGGACCTGCAATCCGTTTATCAGCTGCTCCACCTCACTGCAAACGTTTTCAATAAAATGCTTTATTCATATCAATGCCTTTTTTACTTGTACCCACCGCAATTGCGAGTTGATGGCACCGAATCTCTCCTGGAAGTCGTGTACGAATTTATTTCTGCTTTCCTCAACACCTTCGCCATCGGTTCCATCGGCAAGGTGCTCGAAGCACTGTCTAACGTTAGAACGCAGGTTTTTCACCGCGGTTAGAGTCGAATTTAACTTGTCCATAGCAGCGGTTCCAATCCGGCAAAAATGTTTACCTTTATTATTTGCCAATGCCAATAGTGATGGGACAGTTTAAATGTGTCACTCACGATCACGAATAGCAAAGATATTCATTAAAAACTGTATGAGGAAAATTTTTTAAAAATATTATCTAGATTACTTTTTTATTTTTATTTTCTTTTGATAGGGTTATATGTTTAAATGATTGGGTTATATACCAAAAATAATGTATACCCCGCTCACCACTAGGTGTTTCATACCGTGACTCGGCAACGTTTCAGTGCTGATGAAACTATCGTTAAACCTTTTAGTATTTTTCCGCTACTCGGTTTTTGGCATTTTGACGCTATTTCACCCGCAACCAGACTGTACACAAATCGGACTTCTGATCCAAATCCAATGCCACTCGATGCTCGTCTGCGATTTTTGAAAGTTTAAACGAATCGGTCAGCGCACAAAATCAACGTCACTATGGGCAATAAATCTTCGCTGTTTCTTCGGAACGAGGAGATCGCGCAAATCCAGGAGGAAACTGGCTGTAAGTACGATTTGGTGGAACTGGACAAAAGTCAACCTTGGACATTTAGCCAGACGATCCAAAACAAATACGCACTTGGATAAAAATAAATATTCCACCAGCAGTGCAAACATCAACATCACACTGGAGTGCTAAGAGCTTTTTGACCAATGGTTAAAAAAAAATCAATGATTTATTTTTTGACAAATCAGTCTCGTTAATTTCCATTAAACTAAACGTGTTTTCTCAAAAATTCCATTTGCAATTATGCAGAACTGCATCTGAAATATCTGCGCCCGCCTTATATAAGCTGAATATGCACAGACATTTTCCAGCAAAATCAAATTTGCATTTCAAATGCACCTGCATTTCCCTAGTGACGTCATCGAAAGCTATGTATTGAAGGCGGGGGCAAAAGTCGGCTCCTATCAACGATATTGGCTGGCAATTATCTAGTGTCCGAGACCGTGTAATTTCAATATTCCGGGCGCGATAAGCGCGCAATTGAAATTGCCACCTCAGTGAAGCTTGTATCCAATGTTCGACCAGCTAGTATCAGCTCTTTTGATAAGGGGTTCGTTCTTATCTGTCCGATTTTATAACAACTAGTTCGGAATGGGTTGGACTTTTTGGCATACACGAAATACAGTCGACTCTCGTTAATTCGAAACTCGAGGGACTCTTGAAATATTTCGAATTATCGAGTGTTTGAAATATCAAATGGTTCGAAATTTCGAAATTTTCGAAAGAACTTTGTTATACTGGCTTGCCTTACAGCACAATTCTGCTGCTCTCACTGCTCAATAACTTTTTTTAAGAGAAAAAGTGCATGAAATACTTTTTCATCACTTTCGTTTTGTAGACATAAGCTTTGTAAGGTATCAAATGAGGATCTTGCTTCCTTAACTGACACCTCTGCCAAAGGTTCTTTATACTTTCTAGGGCTCATAGCTAACACCAACTTTTAATATGCATACCAACAAAAGAGTAACAGTAACTGAATAACTACACAAACCAATTCGTAAGAAGTGTGTGCGTCAAAAACTACATAATCAAAACAAAAACAAAGGCAAGTTTGAACTTGTCGCAAAATTTCTTCTCTGCAACTTTGAATTGGCGAGTGTTAGACGCTGATGAGTTCGAATTACCGCGTGGTTTTGTTAAATATCAATGATTTTTTCGTTCGAATTACCAAGTGTATGAAAATGTATTGATTTAGTTCGAAATATAAAGAGATTTCGTAGGGACCTCGTGATAACTTTGAATTATAGAGAGGTTCGAATTATCGCAGGTTTGAATTAACGAGAGTCGACTGTACATAGATTCCGTTTAAAGGCTTTTCGATATCAAGTAAATGAAACCTATTTTGATTCTTTAAATGGCTTCTTATAAACTTGTGTTCTTTAAAGAAATTTTTTTATATTTATAAATATTTGGATTAAAATAGAAGAAACTTTTAAAAAGTCCGCAATATGGCTCATACAATATTGCTTTTTGGCACGATCAATCATAGAAATTATTATTTGACTAAATTTAATTTCGAATACATTCCATAAAATTTAAAAATAATTGTTTAATTTCCCCGAACTGTACGATTAGTGTATAAACAACAATCTTAATTCTATTCTTGCGCAGTCACCCCCAACCAAATTGAGCGGCTGTACTCCCGCTTTACATCGTTGGATCGAAACGACTGTGGCACTTTGTCCCGCGAGGATCTGATGCGGATCCCAGAGCTGGCGATCAATCCGCTATGCGAGCGGATTGTGCACTCCTTCTTCGCGGAAAGCAACGACGATAGGGTCAACTTCCGGCAGTTTATGAACGTCTTAGCCCACTTCCGGCCGTTGCGGGACAACAAGCAGAGCAAGCTGAACAGCCGGGAGGAGAAACTTAAGTTCGCCTTTAAGATGTACGATTTGGACGACGATGGTGTGATCAGCCGGGACGAGCTGTTGTCCATCCTGCACATGATGGTAGGCGCTAACATCAGCCAGGACCAGCTGGTCAGCATCGCGGAGAGGACGATCCTAGAAGCGGACCTTTGCTGCCAGGGCAAAATCTCGTTCGAGGACTTCTGCAAGGCTCTGGACCGAACCGATGTCGATCAAAAGATGTCCATTCGATTTCTCAATTAAGATATAGTTAGGGTTCAGGAGGAAAGAGCGAGCTTTTTAGTCAGTGTGTACCAAATAGTGTAGAACGGAGTCAGTCGAGAGACAGAGGCATTCCGAAAGATTACTGAAACCTCTGAAGATTTTGAACACTAATCCTGGTGCTTAAGTAATTCAGCAGGTGTGTTTTTTGATTTTAATTGCAAAGCTTTAAAGTATAAATTAGAACGCTTTTTATTTAATAAACCAATTTGTATCCTTATGAGTTTTCAATCAGGTTTTGTATTATCAATCCCAGGGGCTGCAGAAATCTTGTAAGTGCGTAACAAGTAGCTTCAGGTTGTGCAACTTTAACTTGAATTTTTCAATTCGATAAAATATTTATGAAACTCTATAAACACACAAAGCAAAATACTTTTTAATGAACTCTGTACTGGTTTCTCAACCAGACATAATTATTGCTTAAAAATCTTCAAAGGTGTCAGAAACGTTTCGGATTAACTTGTATAAGTAGTTGTTATGAGGAAAGATACACGGTTTTCTTTTTGTTAATACCTTTTTTTGTCGATATTAAACTCATTCCGCTTAACGTAAACTGTAATAGCATCATGTGTTAAGCTGCGTTCAAATAAAACACAAGCGGATTGACGCAAAATTTTTTGAACATAATTTGAATAGTTTATTTTGTTTTCAGACGATCAATTGGAATAAGTGGGTGTATATCTGTAATTGCATTGCCTGGGCCGAAGTTTTCAGGAGTTCCCTAACCAGGACCTTTGTAAACGCTGTAATGCGGGAAATAAAGCGCCCGAAAACAGATCCTGAATCAATTCATGTGGTAGTAGACACGGCCAGCTTCTTAAGGTGCTCCATAAACAGCTGCAGCGACACGTCATCCGTGAGCACTGGTGCGCCTCCATCCTGTCGAAATAATGCCGAGAATATTAGTCAACAATGGGTGAGGGCGGGATCTTGGACAAAAGGGTGGAGGGAAATGAGCGAGTGGTACAAACACCAAGAAAAATCCAACACCAAAAGCAACATACAAATACATCTTAGCACATCAGAAAGAAATTTTTCAAAAAGTTTAAACATAAGGGGGAAAAAATATCTTTGGTCTTTTAAAGAAGTAAAAAATTAAATTTGATTTTTGTAAATCAAGTGAACGGATTACAATAAAAAGTAAAGTCTTTTTATACCACTTAAAATTCATGTAGAGATATAGAATAAAAAAGAAAATTCCCATACAATGGCCAAAGATATTTTACCACCCCTACAATGACTTGTGCTAAGATCAACCCATTCCAGCTTAAGTGTTGTATGTTGAACAAAAGTGTACTACCGTGACTTGACCAATAGGCGGCTGCACATGACAGAGGAGCGGTTACGGATACGGTACGGATTACACAATGAGAGAAACAAAACCAACATAAAACGAGATTAAGATTGAGATTTCGATGTCGCATAAGAGCGCGCTGCAAAGATTGGTAAACTGTGGCCAGACGGTGGCGTCGTCTGCGAAACTTACCTGACCGTAGGCGTACATGTTGTTGTGTGTCTGCGAGGGATTGACCTTGGATAGCAGGAAACGTGCTTGGGATCCACCGTGCTCCGTGTCAATGTAGCGAGGCATGGGGAAGCGCGTCTGCAGGATCTCCTGGGCATCGTCTACCGGTGCCTGAAGCAGCTGCTTGAAGTTCTCGTATTCGGGCATGTCCTGGTACTTAAGGGCACGCCACTGGGCGATGGTCTCGCCGTGATAGATCAGGATCTGGAAGAACGTGTCCATCAGCAGGATGCGATCCGCCTGGATTGAAGCCGTGTCGAGAAGGACCGGCTCTGGCGGGCCGTTGAATGAGTAGCTGTAGAGAATCGGCTGGATCATAATAAGCGATTGGGTGAGGTCCTCGCGCATCAGCATGTGTCGGTAGAATGTGGTCTCGTCGGGCGAGTTGTTGAAGACCTGCAGGAACTGCGAGCGGCGCAGGTGGTACATGAATTGCGGGAACAGGCTAAAGTTCTGCGATAGGCGGAAGCTGTTGGGATCGTCCTTTGAGTACTCGCCGAATTTTTGGCACTAAAAAGCAGAGAATAAATTAAACAATTTTTGTAAACCCAATTATTATCTTTTAAAAAAAAAATGTTAGTGGTATGTTAATGTTATATTGTATAATTGTTGTAAACAATTATTAAAAATATATATTTGTCTAAATACAATTTGTAAAAATATACAAATAAAATTTTTAGTTTTTTTTTTTTCAACTTATAAAAACAGAAGATTTTAAGTTTAAGATGGTCTCTAGTTTTGGAATATAAATGCGGATACTGTGTGCACTTACCAGGCGAATTAACTGACGATCGACCCAGCGCAAAATGTCGGGTCCTTCGTCCGTCTCCGCTCGATAGACGACCATTCGGGCCATCAGAACAGCGGCAGCCTCCTGGTCGAAGCCGGCGCTGATGTGGTGTACGTTCGAGGTGGCATCAGCCCAACTGTTAATAAAAAATATACGTATTTATCTAGAGATTGATCTCAGGAAAGCCCATACTCACTTTCTAGCCAGTGTGGTTACTCGGATTCGCCGCTGTCCACTTGGGTGCTGGTACTGCGTAATGAACTGTATGCAGCCACGACCGCCCTGCGGAATGGGGGCTGCATGCTGGTTGACCACCTCAAAGAAGTAGGCCACCGTGGAGCTGGGGTTCAGCGTGCACAGCTTCCATTGCACCGTGTTGCCCATGCCGATCTCCACATCCGACACCGACGGGCTCTTCACATTCAGCGACACACACGAGCCGATCCCACCGGAGATCTTTAGCTCGCGCGAGCACTTCACCTCCAGCGTTGCATTGAAGGCCATTTTCAAATCGTTGCGACCGTCACGTGCGAAAACGCGCTGGAATGTCTGCTTAAAAAGCGATGAGTTGAACGAGTCGCCCATGACCATGTGCCCGCCAGTAGAGTTGCACAGCTGCTTCATCTCCAGCAGTCCGGTTTGATCCAGGGCACAAGAGTATATGTCAACACTATGCCCATTGGTGGCGGCCCTCAATGCTAAGGCATCATAATGCTTAATAGCCTTCTTCATAAACCGCACGTTGTCCTTGTGGATGTCGTGATGCGAACGAATTGGGTGCTTTAGCTCGTCATCGACCACCTGGCCGGGGCCCTGGGAGCAAGGGCCACCCACGAAGGTCATGATGCGTCCTCCCGTATTCGGGTAGGTGCACTCCAGCAGACCCACCGCAATGGACAGGGCGGCGCCTGTGGAGCGCAGGTAGCGCTTGCCCTGCGGCACCGGCCAAGGGTCGCGCTGCAGCTCGCTAAGCAAATCGCCCAGCGCCGCGTCGCACTGGCCGATCGGCTGCAGGAACCGATGGGCGGGCGGCACTGGGGCCGCCGCTCCAGCCGGCTGGCCAGGCAGCTGCTGCTGTTGCTGCGGCCCCGGAGCCGCTCCGCGCCCGATTCCGAGCATGTCCTGCACCTGCTTGGCCGTCAGGTCCTTGGTGCCTCGAAAGACATAGCTCTTGGAGCAGCCCTCGGCGCCCAGCTCGTGCACCTGTATCATCTTGCCGAAGGTAATAAGCCCCACGAGGGCGTTGGGTGGCAGCAAACTAAGCGACATTTGCAGCGAGTCCTTCAGGGCGTCCAGCTCCTCCTCATCCATGCAGGTGTCGACCAGAAAAATGAAGACGGGCGGCATGGTGGGAGCCCGTGTAATGGTGTACTCAATCGTACTAAATCCTGGAATCAGCTCCGCTGGCTGGTGCTGCTCGGATATGGCCGCATATTGAGGGGGGAACTGGAAGGCAAATTGTTAATTAACCAATTATCGAAGGAGGTCTAAAGATCGTCATTACTCACCGGGTTGCGCTGAAAGCAAAAGTTGCACACCCACAACTTAGCACGGTAGTCCACCTGGCAGAGAGGGTTCAAAATAGCCCTGCAGTTGCTCCTGGTGCAGAGGACTGGCTCATACTGGATGGGCGGTAGGTCGGGGCGCTCCTTCAGCGGCTGGTAAAGACAGGCGAGGGGGGACCACTAACCGACTGGCGTCGATGCGACTCGAGGGCCACACATTCCACGTCAGACGCACTCCATCGCGGTCCTCGTTCTGCTGGATGAACTCCTCGTAGGTGGTCATCGCCGCAACACTTAGATAAACTATTTAATTGGGATAAACCAGAGTAAGTTCTCTGCCAATTGGAAAAATCAGTCGGCCAGGCCACGTCACGGATTTGACAGCAAGTCGTGACACCTTTCGTGCTGGCGACGGCCAAATACTCACGCGAAAGAAAACAAACTCGCAAAAGGAATCCTTTCTTTCAGCAACTAACGGGCAAACACTTTGAGGGGTATCTTTTTAAACTTAAAACTCGGAGACACCAAGACCCAAAGTATTTGAAAATTTTGACTGCAAACGTTGCAGATCAGTGAAGATAGTTTTAAGCAATACTATCGCATAGAACGCAATCAACTATTTAAAAAAACACATAGTTGGCGCAGCAAATCACTATATTTGTTTTATTCAAAACGATATACATTTATCTTGTCTGTTTTCTTTTAAAAATACGTATGTTTCATAAGTTACGAATAAAAAGGAGGTTAATTTTTAAAACCAATACTACACACTTGGTTCCGATGATGTCGTGTTACATAAAATTAAATTTTTTTAAATTACCATTTAAAATCACATATCGATGCATCGATAGTCTAACTATCGCGCTGCCGAATGCATCCCTGGTGCAGCTGTTTACTCGGCATTGTGTGTGTGTGCGTGTATTTTTTAGAGTTGAGTTGTTTCTAAGATGGCGACGAAAAAAACGCGTCTTCTTATGTGAAAAATGCAATCATAACAACTCGAGTTTTTAGCTAATAAATGTGCGCTAATTTGAAACAGAACCATTGAAAAACAGTGCTAAGCGTGTGCCGAGTGTTTTACATGTGAAAGTTTTGGTGCGAAAGCGTAGTGAAAATGGCCACAAATATGTATCGAGTCGGAGGTGAGAAAATTTTTCCCGTACTCGCTTTTCTATCATCTTTCGTTATCGGCGCCGCCGTCTCGCAGTGTGCGTGTGTGTGCGAGCGTGTGTGTCCTGCGTGTGCGTGTATGTTGTGTCTGAAAAGGCTCTCCAACAATAATGAAAGTGCATTTTAATTGCCGAAAAGCTTCGAATGGGAATCCCTTTTGCACGTGTGTGTGTGTGTGTGTGTGTGTGTGTTATCAATCTCTTAAAAACTTTGCCGGAAGGAAGACAATTTTAGAATTTTTTTAAACCCCGCGAGTAAGGGAACTAATTTAGTGTCGCCTCTGCAGCAAGTGTTTTCTACGTGTTTTTACCGATAAGCTATAGCTTTGCTGGGACTGTGTGTGTGTACTCTAGGGCTGAGAAACGGAATTGCATTTGCATTTGCCGAATTGTGATCTCCAGCATGTTTTTTGGTTGTGTGCGTACAAAAGTGTATCTCATTTTTAAGTGAGCCCACCCGCTTTGTTGTGTTTTCTTATGCTAATGAGCTTTTGAGCATCTTTTCCCCCTCTTCAGCTCGCGCACTTCGGTTCTTACGCACTTTTTGTCAGTCATCTCGCTCGCACTCAAGCGATGACGTTATTGTGTTGTCTTCACCTGCTCTTTATATTTGAAAGTGTATGTGTGCGCTCTTTCGAAATGCAAATGAACTCAGATACAAAAACGTTTAATTACCAGAATCAAAATAAATAATAATAGCATATAGCTCGCGAATTATCTTTTTTGTGGCCGAGAACTTTTTGTCTTAATCAGCGCTTTTGCTTGCCATTTTTAATGGCCACGCACACAAGCACACACCTTTGACTATGCTTTCTCGCTGCCTCCACACTTTCTTTTTCATCTCTCTCTATCTATCTATCTATCTATGTATCTTTCTGCATCCCAAAATGTAACAGAAATGCACACGATATACATAAGTATGTATGTATTTTTTATGTTTTCGTAATGGTCAACGACAGGTTCCGCTGCAGTTGTGTAGTTATATGGATGGATAGCCCCATTTGTATTTAATTGAGCTTTAGCTAGTGTTAGTGGCCGCAATTAAACGGCCCCTGTGTGAGTGTGTGAGCGCTTACCTGTGACGTATGAATGGAGTTCCCCCCTTCTCTTAGTTTACACCCACCTTAAATTATACATTTTTCAGACTATGTTTACGTTGAGACAACGCCGAACAGTCCCTACTTAATACGACGCATTGAGGAGCTGAATAAAAACCCAAATGGCAATGTTGAGGCGAAGGTCATGTGCTTCTACCGCCGGCGGGATCTTCCCAATCCGCTCGTGCAATTGGCCGACAAACATCAACGTGAGTATAGACCCCTCAGAAAACCCATTGATATCTTGTCCTACCCCTAAGTATGTATATTATTTTTGTCAACAAAGTGAGGTTATGTTGCGAAGAGTCGTTGTCGTGGCCTTCAAACAAGTTAAAAGTTAAAACCTGACGAGCAGATCTGCTAAGCACATTTCTACCACAAAACACCAACAAATAAACCGACAAGGGGCACTGTGTGCAATGTGTCAAGGCATGTGAAAAACCAAGCCACCCACTGAACCACCCAAAGAACCACCCCACAACCCTAGTCAAACATCCAGAGCAACAAGAACCGCAATGACAACAACTGTAAAGGCGGAGCGAAAACGGATTTCGGCCAGCATCCGTCGCATCCACATAAACAGGCAGTAGAACCTCCTTAACTGAAACTTTAAAGCAACTATCGTGTATAAGAATAGTGTTGTTCTTTGCTTATTCTGGATCGTTAAGATCTTTTAACTCTCTTAGGGTCCTAAGTCTATTAAGTAATACTTCAGGTTTTATAGCTATCCAGTTAAATCGTTAACATAAACCTAATAAACGTGTTACAAGATGAAAAGATTTATAATGGGCTTAAAAACGATCTGGGTTATGAGCAGAGTCCTTTGGAGACACATGCATTACAATGAAGGCATAGATATTTTTACATACAAAAGTCTTCGCTAATGATGTTCCACTGTCATGTGCCGGGCTGCACTGTACCCTTGATGTGGTTGTTGCTGTTTTCGGTTGCTGCTAGGCGGCGCCGGCGTCAATGTGAATGTGATACTCTGGGTTCGGCTGTAGGTAGACTTGCTGTCTACCTCTGAAAAGCTACCACACACACCCAAACCCGCTGACACTGTACTGCTCGGTGTGCATGGAAATGTTTAAGTCAGAAGTTGGGATCTGGAGGGGATTGGAGTGGAGTGGAGTGGATGGGAGTGTGGAGCTATGGCAATGTGGCACACGCAGAGAGGAGCGCTTTGCATTCGTGTATACATACACACACAACGCCTTCACCCACTCCAATTTGGCCTCCCCCAAAAAGTACAAAAAACCATGCCCAATTGGGTTGAATTTTTGGCTTTGGCCACCCACTCGAATTCGATACGTGACCCCGTCGAAACTGCGTTTTCCGTGGGTCGCCGGACCCACTACCCCAACCCCCAGCAGCTACCCACTACCTTCGACATGCGCCAACAATGCCCATTAACGCAACCCCTTTCGGCCTCAACATCATCGGACCGCTGTCATCTTGTTTTTTTTTTAATTTTTTTTTTGGTTTGGACGTGCCACTCGCGAGTTCTAGATGCGTGCGCCGCCTTTTCGCAGGCCACTTGCTAATCAGGCATTAAAAATTAGCGAAAAAGTCTAAATTTAAAACACAAGTGTGCCGTATTTTCCTGTCCCAAAACTCGGCTTTGAAACCACTTATACATACTATCAGTTACTATCAGTACCTTATCTAAACGTTTAAGAGAAAGGTTGGTTAGTATAAAAGAAACTATTTCTTGGTCTCTTTAAAATCCTGATATTAATCTTTATTTTACAGAAGTAGAACTGTTAATATTACTAAATATCATAATTATATTAATTATTAAAATTGTTGATGAAACAAAGTAAAGTAGATTATTTCGGTTATTGTTAATTCCCAGGTGCTAATCGCAATGTCAATAACAGGTTTTAAAATTTGTCAGGTATTAGCAGGGTATTCAAGCAACGGGAGTGCTCAAAAAGCAAACAAATCCCACTGCGGCTCAACCACCCACTTGTGTGTCCTATCTATGGCCACCAAATAACCACCCACGCCCAAGCTGCCCCCTTCAACGTTCACCACCCTACGCCCCCTTTCGGGTGGTCTCACTTCGTCTTCCGAACAAACACAAAACACAAATACACAAAAACACCTACGATGCTTCGGCTCTTTTTCCTGACTCCCGCGATACACTCACGCCCCAGAGTCGACCAGGGAGGTTAAATTGTCCTGCCCAGCCCCTTAGCCTTGTTCCCCCTTCGAAATGCGGAGCGTACATTTTTTAATCAGGCCCAGCGAACTTCCAGTAAATTCATGAGGGCAACAGTCATATTTTGTATCCTAAAGTTAATGTAGAATTGGAAGATAACTTGGTTTTTTTTGAGTAGCTTCGTAATGCTATACAAAAAATGAAAAAAAAAACAAATTAAATATGATTAATTTTTTAGCTTTTTGGAATGAGGTTGAGCTTTTAGGAATTGAAAATATTTTGAATGAACTCAGTATATAAGATAAAAAGCAAAGACTACATTTAAAAAATTAAATAAAATTAAATTTCTAAATTTGTTTTTCTAAAAGACTCAATAGAAGAATTCAAAAACTAACTGAATAATAATTTAATCAAAGCTTAAAAATCTCTTGAACAAATATATGAATAGTGGTTCTCTTCATCACTGCATAATCTGTTGTATACACAAAAACCTTCTTAATCATTATTTTAAGAAAATCGTATATACGTTTACAGTTATAGGTGTATACTATGGTTTTATGAAATATATAATTCTGGCCAACGACAACCACTCTAAGCGAATTGCTTTTTATGTTATTTAACTTTTATTTAAATTGACCTCTTTTGCTTGCAAACATCAACATTGTAAATAAATCAATTTCCCCAAATGCACCAACTCATTATACGAACCATCGAAAACGAAAATAACGCGTCACATCAGTTGCCACTGCCGAGGACTCACCGCTGGCCACAAAGCTCAAGAAGACATGGCTCCGCACACCCGTTGGCGAGGAGCAGGCAGCGCAGGCTGTGCTCGACCCCTCAATAGGTACCACCTCCAGCTGATTTTTCAATATCATATGTAACTTCCGTAGTCCCGTATCTGATACTCCATTCGGAATGCCAATCTTGTTATGTTAATCCTGTTCCTTCCCCCATTTCCTCCTAGATGCCAGTTTAAAGTAGAGCTCGCTTAGTATTTTCTGTTGTGTAGATAAACTATCTTAGCTAATTGTAGTCTAATACGGCCCTATTCTGGTACTGGTAACAAATCCTGTGAAGAACAAGGAAAATATATTGTTAAACTTTATCATTAAATGAAACGTAATTTGGTTAATAGTGAGAACCAGAATAGGGTGGCGTTAAAAAAAACTTGGGCCAGCTCGACGCCTCTTACTTTCGACTTTGTCATTTCAGCTGCCCTGGATGAGGAGCGCACCAGTCCAATGCAAGCGTCCGGCGGAGGAGGCTCGACGAGCGGCAACTCCGGCAGCAACAGCAGCGGCAGTGCCAACAACAGCAGCAGCACTGCCAGTGGCGGAGGAGCAAGTGGCGCCGGGGGAGCTGCCGGCGATGCGGAGAAGGGGGAGGCGCTGACCAGCAAGCAGCGGTACCAAATCAAGCACCGCGAGCTGTTCCTGTCACGCCAAGTCGAGTCGATACCCGCCACACAGATTCGAGGCAAGTGCTCGGTGACGCTGCTCAACGAGACGGAGTCCCTGCAGAGCTATCTCAATAAAGACGTGAGTTGGTAGTGGCCTCTGGCAGGCACTTATTGGGTAATGAAACCATGACTAAATGGTTACCCTCTCTTTCGCTTGCAGGACACATTCTTCTACTGTTTGGTGTTCGATCCGAATCAGAAAACGCTGCTTGCCGATAAGGGCGAGATCCGGGTCGGCAGTCGCTACCAGTGTGATATACCCGCCAAGCTCAAGGACACCGCCACGGACGACCGGAAGCTGGAGGAATTGGAGTCGCTGGTGTGGACACCAGAGCACAGCCTGACCGACCGCAAGATCGACCAGTTCCTCGTCGTTTCGCGCTCCATCGGCACGTTCGCCCGCGCCCTCGACTGCAGCAGTTCTGTGAAGCAGCCCTCGCTACACATGTCGGCTGCGGCGGCCAGTAGGGACATCACCCTGGTAAGTGGCCATCCGGTGATCCAGGTGCCTTCAGACTCTAACTTTCGCAACTTTTCAGTTTCACGCAATGAACATTCTGCACAAGCACGACTACTCGATCGAGGAGTCCATGTCGTCGCTAGTTCCTTCCACTGGGCCAGTGCTCTGTCGCGATGAAATCGAGGACTGGAGCGCATCGGAGGCGAACCTCTTCGAAGAGGCGCTGGACAAATATGGCAAAGACTTTAACGACATTCGACAAGATTTTGTAAGTGGACAGACCCAATTGTTACATTTCATACTGAGAATTGTAATAAAAAAAAGGTTTAACTTTTCACTATCTGTGTGTGTATTTTAGTTTCACCTAAAACTAACCGCTCAACTACAAGTACTAATATAAAATTTCTGACATTTTAAAACATTTCAATTGCAGCTGCCTTGGAAAACGCTGAAGCAAATAATCGAGTACTACTACATGTGGAAGACCACCGATCGCTATGTGCAGCAGAAGCGCGTGAAGGCCGTGGAGGCGGAGCTGAAGCTTAAGCAGGTCTACATACCGCAATATAACAACAACGGCAAGGGCAACGGAGGGTCCGTTAAGGCCAGTGGAGGAATCTACAATGGAACGACAAACGGGAGCACCGATCTCTCGAACAACGGCAAGCCCTGCGAATCGTGCGGAGCAACTAAATCATCACAGGTACATACATCAGCAGGAAGAAATACTATATGTGGAAATTGTAAATCTAATCCTCTATTTCACTACAGTGGAACACGGTAAACAGTGGGCACAGTACGTGTCGTCTGTGCCAAAGCTGCTGGGAGTACTGGCGAAGGTACGGCAGTATGAAGTCGGCGACCAAAGGCGATGGCAGCGATAGCGAGGCCAAGAAGAAGGCTTCTGCGTCGACGCCGTCAGCCACGTCAGCAGGAACAGGATCTGCCACAACGCCCACGGCGGTGGTCGATCTCAACGACGACGACAAAATCAGTGATCTAACCAATCGTCAGTTGCACAGGTAGGTGCACTTGAGAAAATATTCAGAATGATTTGATTTACAATATATTTAAATTGGTTTCTTTATGGCTGATGTGTTCTTTATCAATACACATTTTTTTAAAAATTACAACAAATATTAAAAACCCACTGTTTAACGAATTGTAAATTAAATATCTTGAATTTTTAGAGATAGAAGAAATGGTCTGCTTTTTTTTTTTAAGTGAAATTTGAAACTGCAGCCAGTACTTACGATCCAATTTCTTGTTCGCAGATGTTCTATTGTCAATTGCGGAAAGGAGTTTAAGCTCAAGACCCACCTGGCCCGCCATTATGCGCAAGCGCACGGCATAGCCATCAGCTCCGGATCGCCGCGGCCCATTATGAAGACGCGCACCGCCTTCTACTTGCACACCAATCCCATGACCCGTGTGGCTCGCGCCATTTGCCGCAGCATTGTAAAGCCGAAGAAGGCGGCGCGGCAGAGCGCATACGCCATCAACGCGTTGCTGGTGAAACAAGAATGTGAGTCTTAGGTGATCCAACATCTGTTATATCCTTAAACAACTTAAAATTGTTTGTCCTCCTCCAGTTACGAATCGTATTAGTGGAAAATCGCAGGCGGAAATCAAAAAGCTGCTCTTGCTGAAACCCAAGGATCGAGGCAGTGTCACCAAGATTGCCAATCGCTTGGGAGCGCCGGGCAGCGGACCACATGAATGGCTCATACTGACGCCCAAGGACAAAATGCCGCTGCCGGCTGTCGTCTCGTTCCCCAAACCCCCGAAGGCGGCCGACGGCAGCCTTGTCTACGACCGAGTGCCCAACAAGTCCCCTGACGTTGTGGCCGTGCCGGCTGAAAAGGAGCTAACTATAATTCCAACCCAGGCCACGTCTACGATACGAAAGCGGGTGCACGAGGAGCAGCAGCTGAATGGCACTGAAGGTGGGTGACTATTTTTGAACCTGTATTCGTGAATCAGGAACAAATTTAGAGTATATTGATTGAAACGAAGGGAAAACTTTTTAAGAACCATTCGATTAGGGGTTTTTTGTTGATAGGGATTAATTCATCATCACTTAAGATTGCAACATCTGAATAATCGTTTTGAAAAATCTATTTGAAAAAAGCATGTGCAATTAAAATATCAATATGCATCTTGTACACGGACTTTTAAACTAAAAGTTTTTAGAACTCATAAATATATTTTGACGCTTTAATACCACTTACACAAATTGAGAAACTAGAGTAAAAAGACAATTCGCGGAAGTGAGTCCAATCTAAGTCCCTTACGATGCTTCAAGACAAGGTTTAGTCCACGATTACCTCGTTTAATTAACACTAATTGGACTCTTTTCATTACAGTTACTATAGTTCCCAGCGGACCTCCTGCCAAGCGACCCAATAAGGATCCCATGCCCTCGCATTGTCCCAGTCCCGAGCAGTTTGCGGCCATGATGGCGGCATCAGGTCAGCCCCTCTCCAGGCATCATGTGAGCAATACCTTGTCTATATCAGGCTTTGCGCTTACTGATTTTTACATATTCGCCTTTTAGCTTAACGGCAAACAGAAGATTGCGCAGATGGCCCGTGGTGGCAATGGGCGCAAGCAGGTCATCAGTTGGATGGATGCACCGGATGATGTTTACTTTAGGGCCAACGAGACACACAAGTGAGTAATATTAAGTTTCATGAGTTTTTGGCTTGTGTTCATTGAATGACTTCCATAGCATTTAAATAATGTTTGTATTTACTTTGAAATGAAAATGTTTTTTTGCAAAATTAGTTGTACGTGAATCCCAAGTTGCGTGTGTAAAGTACAAGTTTTAATAAACAATTTTTTATTCAGAAAAACGCGAAAAATACTCTCCGCCGTAGATCTGCGCCGCGCGGCGCGTAAGCCATGGCGCACACTGCCCATCAAGCCTACCAAGCCCGAGCCGAGTAGCAAGCCCATTGAATCACAAATCGTCATACTGGACTGACCGTCGCCGGCAAACACATTAGCAACATCCGCAGCATCGGCAACCAAGTTGTTATCGTCTTCAGTAAACCGATTTGAGCAGCAACATCCTCCATTTCCATACACCATGGATGCACTGCTTAACTAGTGAGCATTCTCTGGTTTTACGGGCTTGCCATGTACATACCCCGCATCAAGAACCACACGTGCGTGTGACAGGCATTCGACTTAGGATCAGTGTAGTTACAGCATCACTGTATGACAACAGCGACCGATAGCAAACACAAAACAACCACTTTATTAGCGCTTAAATAGATGTCTTTTTAAAAACAAATAGTAAGATAGTAAGTGTTAAGGTCTGTAGTAGCAGTAACAGAACGCAAAAACAACAAAATATTTATAAATATTTTATATATTTTTTTAAATTTTTAATCTCAAAACACCGAACGCAAATACACGTACTGACTGCACTTTCGCTTTGAAAGTGTAGGCTTCAAAGCATGAAACTCAAATGTTGGTTTTTTTTAGTACTCAAGGAACTCATTGATTTTTTTGAAATATATGTCCAAATATCACAAAATATATTTTCTGTACTACTTTCAAATTTGCGCTAAAAGTTCCACGATTAATTTCCTAATCCTAATCCTAGCTAAGAACAAGATACGTAATTATTGAAAGGCCTCCGTAAGTTTTAAATACGTTTCAGTCCAGATTTGAATTAAATGCATATATAAAGCCGATAGATATATTTGGAATCGTTTAATGCTTAAAACTGAGAGAGGAGAAATTTAACATTGTTAATAAACGTGACGTGCAAAATTAATTCAAGAAAGCGCATAAATTATGCTGTAACTAAAAACACAAAATTTCAAAAACAAATTGTACAGTAAATGCTAAAACGTTAAAATTCGAATAAAATGTATTTTCATAATTTATGTAAACAAACGAAAGTTCGGTCATTAAATAAGCTATCACAAACACGCCTACACACAATCCACACCCACTCACATATAGAATATTATTTACGCATATAAATTAGTACGAGTGTAAGCCGCAAATACATTTAAAATTGTATGAACAACACGATGACAGCGCCGATAATAACAAAGAATGTCAAAAGGTAGAGCAGCAGGGCAAGCGGAAACCATCAGAGCATTAACAGAAAACCAATAAATTTAAACGATTATGAAGAAGTTTCGATTGTAAGCCAACATACTTTTAACTTTACGACCTAAGCAATTTTGTAAAATAAAAACACTTCAAATTAAATGGTTAGTTAAGTCAAAGAAAGAGAACGGATCGAAAGCTGCAACTATTGTCAAACTCAGCCCATAAACACAGCAAAAGCCGATTGAATGATTGAATGATTAACGAGCAATCAACGGTTACTTTGTTTCTTATTATTTGACGACATCAATAGAACTTTTATCGTTGTCTACCAAAAGCCGGCGACATCAAGCAGCGAAAACAGCAATAACAAACAGAGAGAAAAGCAACAGAAGCAAATCAAACAGAGCTATATACATAATTATATACCTATATATATATATTATATACAGATATACAATATAACAGTACATACATTGCGCATTGGATAATAACCGTACGCATAAACATTTTTACAGAGCAAGAAACTGACGAAGACGACGACGTGACGAGCAACCGAAAAAGTTTTCCAAATAAAGTTTTAAAACTTAACATTTTTCCTAAAAATATGCAAAAATTTGACGATTTTATTTACGTGTGTCTTTACAAATAGTTAACAGTTCTTGGCTACTAATCGACATAGCTGGCAATGCAGAGGGAGGCATTGGTTCCTCCGAAGCCAAACGAATTCTTTAGGGCAACGCGGCGTTTTTGATCGGGTGACCATTCTGTGGCTTCCGTGACAACGTTGACTTCCACATCCAGTTGCTCAATGTTAATGGAGGGTGGCAGCTTGTTATCCGCGCAGGCGTGCACCACAAAGAGAGCTTCCAGATTGCCGGATGAGCCCAGCAGATGGCCATGGGCTCCCTTGGTGGAGGAGACCTTCACTTGGGAAGTGTGCTCGCCGAAAACACGTCCAATTGCGTGTGACTCGATACGATCCCCCGTGGGTGTGGAGGTAGCATGGGCGTTTACGTAAGTTATTTGATGTGGGGAAACTCCAGCATCCTGAAGGGCCCGCCTCATTGCCAGAGTGGCTCCTGCTCCGTCCTCGCTGGGCGAGGTTATGTGATAGGCGTCGCCCGACAGCCCGTAGCCCAGGATCTCGGCTAGGATGGGAGCTCCTCGGGCGCGAGCGTGCTCTAGTTCCTCCAGCAAAAGGACAGCTGCACCCTCACCCATTACAAAACCATCCCTTGACTTATCAAAGGGTCTGGAAGCCACCGCTGGGTTATCGTTGAATGCGGTGCTCAAAGCTCGCAGTCTGCAGAACCCAGCGATGGACAGGGGGTCGATGCAGGCTTCACCACTGCCGGCCAGCATTACGTCTGCGTCGCCATTGCGGATAAATCGCATCGCATCGCCCAGAGCATGGGCTCCTGTTGCACAGGCTGTTGACACCGAGTGGTTGGGTCCCCTCAGACCGTGCCGCATGCTTATGTGACCACACGCCATGCTGGGCAGCAGTCGGGGAACAAAGAAGGGGCTCACTCTGTTGTAGCCACGCTGCAGCTGGTTCCAGGCTCCATAGACCTCCGCCAGGTCGAACATGCCCATACCCACACATACGCCGAAGCGCTCTCGCTGCTCCTCGCTCAGTTCCTTTGGGTTAAGCTTTCCGGTGGCGAGGGCCTCCTCCGCCGCTACGACGGCGAACTGGGTGGCGGGGCTCATCAGCTTTAGGTCCGACTTGGTTAAGTACTGGTCCAACTGCAGGCTCTCCCGCGGAACTTGTGCCGCCACTTGACAGGGCAGACCCTTGAAATCTGGTCCTAGTCGAGAGATTGCCGACTCGCCGACCAGGATGCGCCGCCAGGAATCCGCCACATTGTTGCCCAGTGGGGTGACTGCTCCACTCCCCGTGACTACCACTCGCCGGCGGCCAGCTTGGGTGGATGAGTTACGCGTCTGATGAGCCAATAAATTTCTCAAAAACCGCATTTCGATGTTTACATGATCAAGTCAGTGAGACCGAATGGACCGTTAAAATATACCTAACGATAAGCTTTAAATATACTGCATGGTATTAAATGGCTCTGAAACCAAAAAATACTGCTCCCTTATTGCGAAGAAGTTATAGAATGAATGTTTTAAAATAAAATTTAAACCATATTTATAATTTAACTACCACTATCAATTTAATAAGAATACTATTTTATCCTAAAATTTTATATTTACTGGCAGCAGCTGTCTACTATTCAGTATTAATAAAAAACGTTTTTAATTGACTTTTAAGCAACAAATTCATAATATTTAATAAACTTAGATTTGGTTAAACAAACTTAATATTTAATATGCAATTGAGCAGACGTAAATATTTATTTAGCCGGATTGTTTTAATCGAGTGAATACCCCTAATAAAATCAACAAGATGCGCACAGAGCTTGAGATCCCCTTACATAATTTAAGGTCATGAATTTTGCCGGCAAAGTCGTTCTAATTACGGGAGCAAGCTCCGGAATCGGTGCTGCCACCGCCGTAAAGTTCGCCAAGTATGGAGCTTGTCTGGCCCTGAATGGCCGCAATGCGGAGAACCTGAAGAAGGTGGCCGAGGAGTGCCTCAAAGTGGGCCAATCCCAGCCAGCACTGGTGGTGGGCGATATCGCCAAGGAGGCGGATACTCAGAGGATCTGGACGGAGACCCTCGCGAAGTACGGCAAGCTGGATGTGCTGATCAACAATGCCGGGATTATCGAGACGGGAACCATTGAGACCACCAGTTTGGAGCAGTTCGATCGCGTAATGAACACGAACTTGCGAGCGATCTACCACCTGACCATGCTGGCCACTCCAGAGTTGGTCAAGAGCAAGGGGAACATCGTGAATGTATCAAGCGTCAACGGAATTCGCTCCTTCCCCGGCGTGCTGGCCTACAACATATCTAAAATGGGCGTGGATCAGTTTACCCGCTGCGTGGCCCTGGAGTTGGCCTCCAAAGGAGTTCGGGTGAACTGTGTGAATCCCGGCGTCACAGTGACCAACCTGCACGCTCGAGGCGGTATGGATCCCGAGACGTACAAGAAGTTCCTGGAGCACTCAAAGACCACCCATGCCCTGGGCCGTCCCGGGGATGTCAAGGAGGTGGCTGCTGCCATCGCCTTCCTGGCCAGTGACTTGGCCAGCTTCAGCACTGGAGTTAGCTTGCCCGTGGACGGAGGTCGCCATGCCATGTGCCCCCGCTGAATTCGGAGGATATGGCCGGCGAAACCTTCACATTCGGAACGTTTAGACTTTCCTGCATGGAGTACTCCATGTGTTAAATGCATTTATCGCCCTGTTTACTATTGTTATTCGTTTTTTTGTTTATGTACATACATATAACTGGTTCTCATTCTGTTAAGAAAAATCACTTTTACCAAAAAATTAGTAAAATTAAACCAAGCAGTTAATGCATCTTTACATAGATTTGAATGTATACAAAAATTTGTAAATTGGCCCTTTTTATTTCAATTGCTGCCTTTGCTATTCATTCTTTTTTGTTTTTTAATAATAAATAAATTAACAATATTTTTTATTTGAGCATGTAAACATGCCATTCTTTTCCTTTTTCATAGCAACGAAAATGATTAAGTTATATTTTCCCGTAAAGTCGTCAGTATCTTTCAATTTCTAACCGAATCTCGGAAACTCGGTTCAATGGGCAGCAAGGGCAAGGGGGGTCTTGACTTCGCCGGCAAGGTGGTCATGATCACTGGTGCAGCCTCTGGGATTGGGGCCGCTACGGCGGAACTGTTCTCCAAGCTGGGCGCCTGCTTGACGCTGGTGGATCGGGAGGAGGAGGGTCTCATGTGCGTGATGAAGGAGTGCATGAAGACGGGCTACGAGCCATACGGCATCGCAGGGGATCTGCTCAAGCCGCCGGAGATCGAATGCATTGCGAGAAAGTCCACGGAGCGCTACGGAAAACTAGATGTTCTTGTAAACGGCGCGGGCATTATGCCCACGGGAACGCTGCAGAGCACGGAATTGGCTTGCTTCACCCACGTTATGGATGCCAACGTAAGGTCCATGTTCTATCTGACCAAGTTGGTGCTTCCCCAGCTCCTTCAGTGCAGAGGCAACGTGGTCAACGTGTCCAGCGTCTGTGGGCTGCGAGCCTTCCCCGACCTCGTAGCCTACAATATGTCCAAGGCAGCGGTGGACCAGTTCACTCGATCCCTGGCGCTGGATCTGGGTGCCCAGTGCGTCCGAGTAAACGCCGTCAATCCCGGAGTGATTCGCACCAATCTGCAGAAGGCCGGCGGCATGGATGATGAGAGCTATGCTGAGTTTCTGGAACGCTCCAAGGAGACCCACGCGCTGGGGAGGATTGGGGAGCCTACGGAGGTAGCTTCCGCGATTTGTTTCCTAGCCAGCGAACTGGCCAGCTTTGTGACGGGAGTCACCCTTTCGGTAGACGGGGGCAAACAGCTAATGTGTCCCCGGTAATCCCCTTATATAATCCTGTCCAGGCGAAAGTCTTCCTCCTTCCTTTGTAAGCTCTGTAAACTGAACCGATTCAAAATCTTTACTATTGAATTTGAAAATAAATAGTATGTCTCATTTATAAATATCTGATTAAGATTATTTATTTTTAAGTTTATTCAAATTATTTTTTTAGGAAACTTTCTATACAGCATACATATATGTAAATATTGGTAAAAAAAAAAAAAAAAAACTAAATCTTTAATGTAATTAGCCGCCTAAAGAAATATGTAGCCAATATCCTGCGAACATTTGAAGGATTCCAAATAATTCTTTCTTTTTCTGTTTACCGATTAAGCTGTTATTTGGAGATATCTAATCACCTAATGAAAGAGATACAGACATTTCTAATCTAGTTAGATCTTTTTTCAGTTTTTATTGAAGGAATGTTTTCTGACTGGGTAACTTTACAAAGAGTGTGTACGAACAAGATTTGGTGGTCCGCTCGTTTCTCATCTGGGGCACATGGCATGACGACCTCCGTCCACGGGCAGGCTGATTCCAGTGCTGAAGCTGGCCTCGTCGCTGGCCAGGAAGGCGATGGCCGCAGCCACCTCCTTGACTTCCCCGGGACGACCGAGAGCGTGGGTGTTCTTGGCGTGCTCCAAGAACTTGGCGTAGGCCGTCTCATCGAGGCCACCGCGACGCTGCAGCTCGGTGATGATCACGCCGGGATTGACGGAGTTCACGCGGACGCCCTTGGGGGCCAGCTCTAGAGCCACACACCTGGTGAACTGATCTACTGCCGCCTTGGAGACATTGTAGGCCAGGACGCCGGGGAAAGAGCGGATCCCGTTGACACTGGAAACGTTTACGATGTTTCCCTTCGTCTTGACCAGCTCTGGAGTGGCCAGCAAGGTCAGGTGGTAGAGCGCCCGCACATTGGTGTTCATCAGACGGTCGTACTGCTCCAGACTGGTGTTCTCAATGCTGCCCAGCTCGAGGATTCCGGCGTTGTTCACCAGCACGTCAATTCGTCCGTGCTTGGCCAACGTGGCGGACACGATTTCCTGGACATTAGACTCGTTGTTCATGTCTGCCGCCACCTGAAGGGCAGGGGCTCCTCCAGCGGCCACGATCTGGTCCGCGGTTTCCTTAAGCTTGTCCACATTTCTGCCCACGATCGTGAGGAGCCCGCCAAGTTTGGCAAGGAGGACAGCGGTGCCAGCTCCAATTCCCGAACTCGCACCCGTAACGATTACAACTTTATCTTTAAAACTGGGCATGTTGTGGCGATCTGCTTCAAAATAGCAATGATAGTGATAATGGTAGTGACATTGAGTAGAGTCTAAAACGTTTCGGGGGACGCAAGTCGATAAATCTATCGATAGAGTGGAACTTTCAAAGCTATTTCTAGCGGTTGTGAAATTAAAAGGAACCTGAAGTTGGTGTTAATTAAATTTTAATTTGTTGTTGTTTTTTGTAGCAAGTTTTTTGAATGATGGCCAACCTAATGTTTATTGTGTTTAGTCATTGTTTTTACTAATCAATGAACGCCTTGTCTAGAATAATCTATGAATATTGATTAATGTATTATTTTTAAAAGTTTATCAATTTAAGAATATCTTAGAGGGGGAAAAAATTTTAAATGTAAAAGTACCTAAGTTGTTTAACAGCTTCTATAATGTTAATAACAACTGAACCATAACAATCTAATAAGCGTGTATCTATTTAAGCTCTTCGGAGTAAAGATATATTTAGAATTTGAAAAAAGTAGTGCGAAATAATATATGTATTTCTTTTTCGACTAAATAAAAACCAATTATGTACTTATTTTTATATATTTGCCAATCTGTTATTATTAAAAATAATATGTACTTAATAAAAACAGGTATTACCAATAAAAAGTTTAAAAGACTTGAGCCTCAAGCATGAAGAATTCAACCTTAGAAAAAACGAACATAGAAGATATCTTATAACTTGGTTATTAAATATTTATTTATCTAATTTTTCTTTTACATACACAGACAGTTTATTGTCTTATAAATTCGATAAATGCAGCCGCATTGTTGCCGTTTCTCCACCTTTTCAAACCGGGCTTATCTCGGGCACATGGCATGACGACCTCCGTCCACAGGCAGGCTGACGCCAGTGCTGAAACTGGCAGCATCGCTGGCCAGGAAGGCAATGGCCGCGGCCACCTCCTTAACATCTCCAGGACGACCTAGGGCGTGGGTAACCCGGCAGTGCTCCAGGAACTTGGCGTAAGTCTCCTCGTCCATGCCGCCGCGCTTGTGAATCTCGGTGACGATCACGCCCGGATTGACGGCGTTGACACGGACGCCCTTGGGAGCCAGTTCCAGAGCCACGCAGGCAGTGAACTGGTCCACGGACGCCTTGGACATGTTGTAGGCCAGGACGCCGGGAAAGGCGCGCAGTCCACAAACGCTGGACACGTTCACGATGTTGCCCTTAGTCTTAACCAGCTCCGGGGTGGCCAGCATGGTCAGTTGGTAGAGAGAGCGCACGTTGGTGTTCATCAGGCGGTCAAACTGTTCCAGGCTGGTGTTCTCGATGGAGCCGCTCTCCAGGATGCCTGCGTTGTTGACCAGCACATCAATGCGCCCGTGCTTGGCCAGAGTGGCGGCCACTATCTGCTGCACCTCCGGCTCCTTGGTCATGTCCGCCTGCACTTCCAGCGCAGGAGATCCGCCTGCGGCCACAATGTTGTCGGCCGTTTCCTTAAGCTTTTGCACGTTGCGGCCGACGATGACCAGGAGTCCTCCCAGGCTGGCCAAGTGGACGGCGGCAGCTGCTCCAATGCCGGAGCTGGCTCCGGTCACGATCACAACTTTGTCCTTGAAGGATGACATTCCGGGATTCTGGCAAAACTAAGCGAAGGTCGATCACTGGCAAAAACAGAAAGATATGGTGAGAATTGCCCTGTTCCAGCTGACAGTTATGTATGGAAAAAGCTCCTTCAGATCAGCTGTGACGAAAAAGCTTTGAGTAATGCAATAGCTTAATGAACTGTTATGATTTAAAACATAGGATGATACGTGCAAATTTAAATCTGTAGTTTATAGAAATTGTGCAGATCTAGGTAGTTATGTTGATTTTATATTTTACCAAGAAATACGCATTATGATCTACTTCCTATTTGAACTTTTTTAAGTCTCACTCTCTTTGTTGACAAAACAAATTAATGCATTGAATAATTCAAATCAATTTAAGTAAACCAAGATACAGAAATTCGTACAGTATTTAGATTAGGAATAACCTTTTTTTGCTTGTAATTACCATTAATAAATTAAAAATTAAAAATAAACGTATAAAATACATGTTGCTGGAAAAAAAACCAAAGGGGAAGTCTAAGCAGCACCTGACTTTAATCGACCGTACACCTTCGTTCTTTCCATTCGATGTAAAGTCGCTCAATGGTCTGGAGGGTTGAGCATGGCAGTGCGTCGTGCATGTCGCAGTAGTCGTGGAAGAGACTCCTCATACCGAGGAGGGAGTTCCTGGCCAGCCGTCTCCACTGCCGCAGCGTCTGCTCCTCGGAGTTCCGGCACATTTCTGCCAGCTGGCATGTCTGAGCCTGTCGCTGTTGTTCCACCAACTCCTCCACTTTCCGTCGCAGATCTTTGCCACCTCGTCGTGCGAAGAACCAGTTACAAGTCTTTTTAAGGTGCATCTCCAGCTGGCTGTCCAGAATGGCCATTTTCTCTACCAGATGGGAATGAAAGGGGTTGTTGGGAGGAAACAAAGCTACCAACGTAGTTTGAAAGATTGGCCTTGGAAGCTTCATCTTGGTCTTGGTCTCCTGCAGATGGATCTGATCCAGTGCTCCTTTTCCATGGCAATCGTTCTCCTCCTCGGAACTGACATCGGCATCTTCATTTTTAAAGATCCTACTCAGATGCCTAACAACCTGAATAATTGATTTCAGTGAGTGCTTTCTTGCAGCTAGGGCTTGTCCCTCCGACAACTTGCGCTGGAGAAGTCCATTTTCAGTACTTAACGTTTCTGGATCGTAATCAGATATATGAGTTCCCGTTAAAAGCAGGACGAAAGCCTGAAGCTGTGTATCCTGTCTCTTCTTTTTACTCAAAGGACCTTGGCTAATGCTATGTTTTTTAACCATAGGATAACGCATCGTGCCAGTTTGTGTGCAGTAGGTGAGGTGCACGGGTCCAGTGGTTTCTCCACCACTTTCTCGCTTCTCCTCCCCCTCGGGTTGCTCCTCATCGGTGGAGTATGAACTTGGTCGAAGAGTTTTCCGCCACTCGGCCACCCTTTTACGAACATAGGAGCCATAAGCTTCCATCTGACCCGAGTAACCATTTGATCTCGTTGAAATTGTTTGGCGCTCCACCGTATAGATCTTCTTGCGCGGACAGTAGCTCCCCACAAGGGAGTAATTTGGATCAGCATCTAAATCGCTGGAAGATCGGCCTTGATTCCGTCCTTGAAATCCAGGCTCCTCCTCCTCGGATGCCTCCTCACTGCCAATGAAGCGAGCCCATCGTTCGCTGCGGGTCCTGAAGGATCGTGGCATAAAGTACTCGCGGCTAGAACTGGCCATTAAATCGTTTTCCGATCTCTGACGTCTTTTTAAAATGTGGGAACCGTTTTCGTTGGCTTTCTCTTCCGGTGTTCTCAAAATATTCTTTAAAGACGTCTTTCGGGAAAGGCTGCTTAAAGGATTGTGCTTGGCCAGCTCTCCAGCTGCCATGCGCAACTCCGCGAGCACCTGGCGTCCCTCCAGGACCTGCTCATTGAGCTTTTTATTCCTCTCCTGGAGCTTTTCGAACTGGGTGCTTACATTCTTCAATTTGGTCTCTTCTTTCCCAAATTCAGGATGATAAATCCTTTTATCTTCCTCCCCGGTTTTTTGTGCTTCTTCGACCAGCATATTTTGTGACTCACTATTTGATTTTCTTCTGCATTCTTGGCTTTGGATCTCTACTAAGTCTTGCATTCTGTCCAGCAATTCCTGGGCTTCTTGAGCCGCTTGAACCTCAACATAGCGACTTTCGGTTGCAATTGTCTTTTCCAGATTTTCCAAATCTTTTCGGAGCCTCTTTTCCTCCGATCGCTTTTGCCGCAGGTCATAATTTTCGTGGAGCTCCAAGTGCTTCTCGAGCTGATTCCGCAGTGTTTTTGCGACATCTCTTGTCTCATTTTCCAGTTGGCGTTCTTGATTCCTTCTCTGTCTTAGTTGCTGCAGTCTACTGTCCCTGTCTTTCTCCTCTTGGTCAAGTTTTTCTCGATCGCGCCTAAGCTTCTCCTCCTGCTTTTGTTCCACGAGAAGACGGTCCTCTTTAATTCTGCGCCAGCGCTCTTCCTTCTGTTCTAGCGTTTCTTCTCGAGTTCTTAATTCTTCCCTTCTTGGAAGATTAAGATCCTTTTTATCAGTCGCGTAAGGCTTCTCTGTGTCTTCTCTACCTTCTTGTTTTTTGGCTTGATCGTCTATATTTGCTTCCTCTTGAATTTTCTTTTCACACTCCTTGACTAACTTTTTCTGACGTTCTTCTCGTTCTTCAGCTTCCTTCTTCTCTTGCTGTTCTTGAACATGAAGCCGTCTCCTTAAAATCTGTTCCCTCTTCAGATCTTCTTCCCTAGTTTTTTGTTCTAATAACTCCCTTGCGCTTTTGCTCAATCTGAGCTTTTCCAAAATTCGTCTTTCTCTGAGCAACTCTTCCTCTTCAGCACTTTCTTCGCGCTCGTCCTGCTTTCTTTTCTCAAGATCTTGTTTCTGTCTTGCTTCTCTCTCTAATTCCTCGTTCCTCTTTACTTCTCTTTCGTGCACCTCATTGAGTTTCCTTTTGAGGTCCTCAATTTTCTTTTCCTTTTGCTTGTGTTCTTCACAAGTTCTTCTTTCGAATTCTTCCCTTTCCTTTCGTTCGGTTTCAAGTCTTTTTTGCAATTCCATTCTTTCCTTCTCTTCCCACTCTTGTCTTTCCTTAAGGCTCTTAAGCTCCTCTTCCCTCTTTCTTTCGAAATCTTCCCTTTCCAGTCGTTCCTGCTCTAGTTTCTTTGCCAAATATTTTCGTTCCTGTTCTTCTTTCTCCTGCCGTTCCTGAAGAGCCTTAAGCTCCTGCAGCCTCTTTCTTTCGATGCCATCCTGCTGACTCTTTTCTAATCCTTGTTGCAAGTCTTTTTGCAAGTCTTCCTTCCCCGAACTTTTCTGTAGCTTCTTGGGTTCTACCACTACCTTTTCCTTTCGATTCCTTCTACTCTCCTGTCGCATCTTGAGCTGCCGATCGCGCTCACTTTGAGCCCGTTCGCGATGAAACTCCTTGAGCTGCTCGTAGGCCAAGACCTTCTGCTTCGCGTTCTCCGCCCGCAGCTGCAGCTGCTGCTCCCGACTTGCACTTTTGGAAGCGTCAGAGTTGGCCGGAACGGTCATTTTGGAGTGGGACATGTGCTCGGGCTCCTCGGATTGCGGCAGAGGATTCTCTACATCCTGGGACGAAGGTGTAATAGGCCGACGTTGGGCTCGCCAACGCTGGTCCTGCAGGCGCTGCTCCTCTCGCTTTTTAAGCAGCAAATAGCGCTCGTGGTCGCGCCGCTCCTTGACCTTCAGCTGCTGTTCGCGCATCCTCCGGTCGAGCACTCGACGGGCCTTTTCCAGGCGCTGGCGCTCCAGCTGTTGCTCCTCGGCCAGCAGAGTCCTTTGCCGCTCCCGCTTCTGCTCTCTGAGCTTCCTTTCCAAGTCAGCCCTCTCCCGCCGCAGTAGGATTTCTCGCTGCTTGCGCTCTCGCTCGCAGAGATCTCGAGCAGCCCGTGGAGGGGTCACTGGATTTTCCCCTTGCGTCCCGAAGGTCCTGGAACGTTTCTTTAGCTTCTGTCTCTTGGGCGGGGATTTCACCGTCAAACAGCCCTCGGATGGGAAGTCGAGGCTCCAGGTCTCCTGCTCTTCGCGCCTGTACTGGTTCTCCAGGTGATCCAGATGCTCCACTCTCTGTCGCCACTCAAAGGGAGTCGGCTTGCGCCTCCGCCTGGCCAGATTGCTGCCCCTCTGGGCCACCAGCTGCCGGGGACTGGAGCGGTGCAGCAGCTTACGTCCCTCCTCGTCTAGCAGCAAGTGAAGATCCAGGCTGCAGTTGGCCAGGTTCGTGAAGGGCAGGGACAGGCTGCCCGCGTCTCGGAGTTGGCTCAGCATCTGCCCCAGGAGGTAGTCCCTTGCCCTGGCCTCCTCCTTGCTGGTGCGACTGAATACGTACATCCACTTGGCGCAAAGGTCGAAGTCCTTGGCATTGGACTGCCGGGCGGTCAGGCAGCGGATGATCCTAACCTTCTGACGGTAGCTCCGCTCCAGGCGGTCCTCCATGACCCGCCTCTTTTGGTGGCCCACACCATGTTCGTACGATTTTTTGTTTGTCATTGAAGTCGTCTCCGTTCAACAATATTTTACTTCTATTTTGAGTTAGATTTACTTGAACGTTTTGACTGAGACCGATGGAAGACTGTAACCATATCCCTCTTCAAAGCCTTTTAAAGATTTGCTGTGTTTTCAAAAAGATTGTTAAAGTTTATTGGCAAGATTGTTTCTGCTACTATTGGAAAAACCTAAATTTCCAATCCAACAGAGCGGGGTACCTCAATTATTTAAAAAAATGTTTAAAACTCGCCAACATTTCACCAAATGATTGGGCGTTAAAATAAATGTATGCATATATGTATGTATGTATGTATAACAAATGCAAATTGTGAAACAGTGCGATTGTAATTTTGCAGAAGTGTCCAAATGCTACCATTTTATGCCGCCAATATTTATAAATATTCGAAATATTTTACTAAATTTCTGTAACAAACTGCACAAGATGTCCTTAAAGGATTTTTATTTTATGATTTCGGAAAATTGTATATATGTATACAATACATGCAATATATATTTTTAAGAGTTGAAATCAGTGTTGGAAAAACACTGATTCCTCATAATAGTGCCACTTTGTGGTATGCGACAAGAATGCATTTTAGCGATATAAACTTAATTATATCATCTTACGTCAGAACATTGAGATTGCATTTTTTCCAAGATAAAATTTTTCCTTTGTTGGTCAATAGTTTTTCAGTTTATGATAACGTTGGCATGGAAAAGTTTTCCAGCACAGATCTGTATATAAATACGACGGGGCTGAGAGTAAACAACATTGTAGAATTTCCTGAACTGCAGAATGCGTTACTACTTCATCGTAACTATAGCTTTAATGGTAGGACAATTAAATGTGAAATGTGTGTATTAAAAATACAATCTTTTTTTTAAATTCAGAGCTATTCCTTTGGCGCTCCGATGGATCCCGTCAACTCCACTTCGAAAGATGCGCCAACCGCTACGCTCACTTCCGCTGACAACAATAAAAATGTTACAGAAGGGACAGCAATTGATGGGAATAATGAATTTTGGATTTTAGCCACACCACCTCCATCAATCACGAAATTGCCCGAATCCGATAAGAAGGTTTTGTGCGACTTTTTGGATTCTTTTAGTATGACAAGGATGATCCTTTTCGCTATTATTTTGGGTGCCAATGTGGAATTTACGACCAACGCTTCGAAATATTTCCCAAATGAGTTTGAAATGCATATGAACAATCTGCACGCAACAAAGGATGAGAACTACTTCGGAATCGACGAAGCTCAAGTAATGTTGGCCTTACAAAACCAGACAGTTATGGAGGAGTATTCCAGAATGGATGTTGTTAAAGGGAACACTCTAAAAATGCTTAACAAAATTTACCAAGGATTTAAAGCCGTCAATAAGCAATTACTTGATGATTTCCAAAAAATGAAAAGCAGTTTAAGCAAGGAAACCGTCGACTCCGAACAGGAATTCCTTCTTCCATTTGAAAACATAAAAGAGCCAACGATGAAATATGACAGCGAAATAGCCGATCTTTTAAATAAGCTGGAAATAAGATTTAAGTACAAGTACCAATGTATACCTACGAAATAAACTGATTTCTAAATGCACACATGAACACTTATGCTGTTTTATATATGTACTACCCAATATATAAATGCCTTTATCATAGATATGCACAACACATAGTAAAGCCTCCGCGGACGATTTTGTCAGACAAAACGAAGTGGAACGGGAAGGGTCTGGAAAATTGGGGAGTTGGCAATACTTGTTGTTTAAAATTTTCTCGATCAAGACTTCATTTAATGAGAACTATCTCTAATTTTTGTTGATGTTAAATTCAATGTAATAAAACAGATCTAATACATTGCATTCCAACTTTACATAACTTTGTAGTACTACACATCTCTATAATCTTATCCATTTATCATTACCAACATTAATTCCCTTTCAGCTGTATAATGGCGAAATTAAGTCTCCACAGTTTGGCATCCAATGTTTACGTGAACTAATCTGGGTTTGAAATCAGCTTCCTCTAGGGTTTGTCTTAAAAAAAATAGTCCCTCCAAGACGATTTTGTTTTTTAAACTAGATGTTGTTTTATTCTCTTTTAAAAAACGGATACGCATCTGCACGTACGTAATAATGCCCTTGTTGTTGTCCTTAAACCTCGTAGCCGTAGGATTTGATGATTTTGTTGAAGGGCTCGGCGGCCTTGGCGATGTTCTCGCGCGCCTTGACCGTCAGCTTCTTCAGCTCGCGGTTGTGCTTGAGGGTGACGCGGAGCTTAGCCTTGCGCTTGCGTTCCAGGCTCTTGATCACGTCCTGGTAGTGCCAGCCGACCTCGTGCGACAGGCGGCCGACCTGGCAGTACTTGCGGTCGGAGCGGAGGGTCAGCACACGCATGGCGATGGGCACGACGACGCGGCGACGCTTGTCGTAGGGCGATGGGATGCCGTCGAAGACACGGAGACGGGCGAGGGCGGCCTGGCCACGCTTGGTCTTGTGTGGGATCATGCCTGAAACGGAGAAATTAGCACGTGAGTAGAGGATAACAAAAGAGCCAACAGCTCTAGTAAGTTGGTATGCATCAGTTAAGAGTTGGTTACACGGTTTCTCGTTCAAATAATGTAGGTAAGAAAGTGATAATCATCACAGTAAAGTAGTGGAGCAGCTTGCAGCCAGTCTCGTATGCTTACCTAAAATGAAGAAAAGTAGAGATTAGTGAATGTGAAAACCATTTATCGGGGATATAGGGGCAGAGTTGCAGTTGGAGCGTCAGCTTCACTCAGTTATGTTTTGTTTACATGGCTTCTCGTTCAAATAATGTAGGTAATAAGGTTGAAAACATCATGGATCTGCGCTGCACTCGACTGCTCTCCGTATTCTGGTGGTCGTACGTACCTCGGACAGCCTTGTAGAAGATCCGGGATGGGGCACGGAAGTGGAAGGGGCCACGAGCCGGGTTCACGTTGCAACGCTTGCGCAGGTAGGCCAGGAACTTGATCTTGTTCCTGTAGAAGTGACCCGAGAGGTTCAGCTCCTCGCAGCGGACCACGGCGACCTTGCCGCCCTGCAACAGGTACTTGGCGACCACGGAGGCCAGGCGGCCCAGCAAATGGCCGCGACCATCAATAACAACGGTCTGCAAGGAAGGTAAAATTTGATAAAAATAAAAAAAACAAAATGAGGTTAGGTTTGGCGGCAAGCGGATAAACAAATGTGTACGGGCACTGATTTTTATCATCAAGTCGGTCGTTCGGATAAATTAATGCAGTCCAAGATTTGTTAGCTCCTGGGGAGTAGCTCACTCCACATTTTCACAGATGATGAGTTTTTTTGGCACGTGTAATGTAAGGCGTCGTGCCTTTTCAAACACTCAAAACAGCACTTTCGCCTTCCTGATCCACACTCTTAACCGCTTGCACCGATGGCCAATATTATACGCCGCGCTTTTCACACATTTGTTTGAAGCTTTGCCCGATTTAATGGCGTTTTTCGGCACTTACCCTGTTCGTTAAACCAGTCATGTTTAAGAACCGCACGGAAAGAAGGCGGAAGTGGCGTTGACAGTTCAAGCATCGCTGTGCAGAGTTGCTTTGGGAACCGGAACTAGTTCGGGTGAGGAGGCCAGCGCTGCCACATGTTCCAACCAGCCAATACTCAAACCCTGTCTGAGCTACCACTGTTTGAAAATATCAATATTTAATTTTTGTAGGAGTGAAACACCCAAACTGGTTTCGTATTTTATATAATTCTACATTGGATATATGACTACCAAAAATATAAAGACTTTTTCATCCCGAATGAAGTGCAGTTTTACTGCTATACATTTTTGCGTTTTTCTGCAATCCATGGGTGTGACAGAAATATGTGATGCCAAGGTACTGATCCCCATCACAAAAAACAGCAATTTTAAAGTTTCACGACCTTATTTTTAGAAAACTAGAAACTAAGACTCTTAAAAACTAAGTCTAGAATAAAAGAGTGTGCCCAGTTGCCATTGAATTCGATATACTGGCTTCATCGGTCAAGGCGTTTCGGTTTAATTCGCAGAGAAAGCGTCAGGCACACTGCAGCTAGCACTCTTCAAAAACTTTCGACCGCTGGAAACGCATTGTTTAAACTCCGGAAGCGCCGTAAATAGCGCGAATTTAATACAAATGCAGTAAAGCTCCGCATAACAACTGCTGCTGGCTGCGAACGAGTCCAAGTTTCATGTGTCTCTCTAAAGAATAAAGTTCCGAACCCAAGAGACTGAAAAAGTTCTGAAAAGTGAGTGAGGTGTTTCCTTTGCCCTAAAACAAGTGCAATTATCAAATAAAACAGCAGAGCATAAAGTTTTTCACACGTGATCAGAGTGCAGGAAAAATCCTCACCTTATAAGGCAAGTTTCGAGTGGCAAGCGGCACCCATTGAAATCGTATGTGCGTGCGTTGTAAATTAGATGCCGACGTTCTGCTATTAATTAGTTATAAGTTCCTGTCTTGGGGCAAGTTGTTCGCCCCTTTCCTTTTGCTAATTTCGAAATTGGGTCACCGTGTGTGCGATGCTACATTCGCTGTTCGAGTTTATATGTCTCGTTTTTTTGGGCTGCTGCTGCCGAACCAGTTTGTTGACCTTGTTTTTCGGCTATCCAAGTGCAATTGGGGCTTGACTTTTGACAATATGTCCGACTTTTCTCTTTTATGGGGATATACCGAATGGGAATTATGATCGGCGGACATGCAATGCATTTGCAGCGTTGATTTATGTGGAAGTTAATTCTTATCACCACCTGGCAAGAAAAAAAAAACATACACACTCACTCCTTCTTGGGGACTTTTCTGTTTTTCCATCAACAAAGAACGGTTTCGCTTTTCGTTGTCTGGTTGTTTGCGTACGTGTGCGTGAAACGGGGGGTGTCTTTTTTATATTGATTAAATTAACTGTTATTAATTCCGCCAAGCGTCGCTACTCATGTAAACAACAAACAGCTGTTTTGGGTACTAGAACCTTTAGTGTTGGATAATGCCCAGCCTTCAGATCGCACATTTCTACTTGGCTGCAAGATAAGATTTCAGAATTACCAAATATTTTCGCGTTTATTCATAATTCAAACATCTTATCCAGATTTGCTTACCTGGTAGAAATGATTTGCAAAAAATATTATCCTCTTTAAAGCCGTAATCTTTCGCGCGGAGTAAAATAATCATCTGATAAATCAGATTTGTGTTTATGCTAAGATAAAAAACTAGTGGTACGATTAGGAATTTTTAATTGGCAAGAACTCTTTTTTATTTTAACTTACTCAATGTACTAATCTTCAAAAGTAATTTAGAGTAACTTGAGCTAATATATTAACTAATTTTCTACTAATACTTCAAAGTTACCTATAAAGTACAAAAAACAATATAAAAAAAAAAAAAAATTATATGTCTATTATTGTTGACAAAAAGTAAGCAAAAGTTACAATAATTGACCAAAATAAATACTTTTCATATAAAATGCGCTAACAGAATTAACAAAACCTGTTTAGTATCAATTTCAATCAATTAAATAAATCAATCAATTTTTTAAAAGAGAAAAAGAGTGCTAAAATGTGGTTCTTAAATAATAATTGCAGATTAAGTGTGTAAATCAGCAATCGTTAGTGTTTTATTTAAAACATCTTTAAGTCTGAAACAAAACCTGTGAAAAAAGTGATAGAAGAACCGTTTTAGGCTAAATGTAAGTACCGAGAAAATGTATGCTTTTCCTTAAATCAACTTCACGGATTTTGCTTTTCCAGATGCCCGACTTTTATGAGCTTTTGAATGTGTCGTCCACGGCCAGTTTCGAAGAGATCAAGTGCAGCTACAAGCAGTTGATACTACAATGTCATCCCGACAAATTGCGACAGCTCGCTGACCTAAATCCGGGATCGAAGAGCGAGAACAGCGACTTCAACGCGATAAACGCGGCGTGGAACACACTCAAAGATCCCATCAAACGCAAGCTCTACGATGCCGAATTGCTGCAGTCGAAATTCCGAGCGCACAGTAATATTTACGCCAGCGTGGAGCTAAATGAGATGCAGCGGATCCTAGTTGAGGTCGAAGAAGACCACGATGAGACTTCAGCACCTCCTCCCTCCGCAGAATCTGAAGTCGAGGCAGACAAAGAGCCGGCGACAGTGTGGAGCTATGCGTACGATTGCCGGTGCGGCGGTCAGTATCTGTTCGACGGACCCGGAGACGATGAATCACCCGAAGTGATTGTGGAGTGCAACGAGTGCTCTCTGGTGATTATTGTGAAACAAGCCACAACATGTAAATAAAGAACAAAGTGAAATAATGGAAATGCTGCCCAGCACAGCGCTTGTGGTTTAAACTATTCGATTAAGAGCTCTGTTGAAATTAACTTTACACTCCGTTTATTGGTTTCTTGAACCCCGGCCGGTCTGGCGGGCTCTCTTCATATGCAAAGCATGTTGTCATCGACGTCGTGCATTCGACATTTAACAAAGCCCAGCCCCTTCTTTTGTCGCTTGTTGTACCCAAAAGTGATGTAACTTGGATGGTACATCATTTCGATTTGGGTTCCTCCACTCCCGCTGTTTATTCACTTTGCATACGTTTCATTTCCGCTGCGCGGGGAGAAATTACCAAAGACTTGATGTCTTTGGCGCGTGTGAATTGCCAGAGGTTTGCCAAATTACGAGCAGTTTGCCGTTTATTTATTTGGGGGAGTTTTTGGGTCAAGTTTTGAGCGGACTTAGACAGCTTTAATGGCTCGCTAATCCGAGGTTATTGCTTAGTTTCGATGAAATTGCTCAATTTTCGATTTGTAATAAGTCATTTACATACATATGAATTTTTAAAACTGAATTGTACGGTCATATTTCGTAACCAAATGCGGTTTGGAAATTTTAATTTAAGATAAGTAAGATATATAATTTTTTCTTAATTATACTAATTATACTAAAAATCATATAAAACAAAATTTTGGCTTTGATTTCTTAGGCCTATAAAAACGTTGCAAAAAAATCTCATTCTTTTTTATATTGAATATCTTACTTGATCATGGTCGTTAGGATTTCATTCGACCAACACATAAAGACAACGGTTTTTTAAGCTCCTTAAATGTAATTATAATTACTCGAGTTCGCCCATTTTTGGTTTTTGTTAAAATTCAATAACCCCGCCCGATCGCGGCAACGTCGGCGATGATGTCAGCAACTGCAAAGGCACAGAAAGCGCTAAATGTTTATAAACGACTTCGAGAGCAGACGAAAAAATCAAGTACACATTGGGAATCCATTTGTTTATGATTATTGCAAAGTAATTTTCAGTAGACACGGCAAATTACGCACACTCAGTCGGACGGGGAGTTTTTGTATTTTATTTATATCAATGACCCCTCGGAAACTCTTTTGCCGCCGGATAAGTACGTCACTCAATTAATAATTAACGGTTGTCTAGCTTTCGTTTTCTAAACATGCACATCGCATACATATATACATACATATATTCCTATATACTACACGTTTGTTATTTACATACATATACCGGCAGACAAGCTTGATAAAACACTTGATTTCCAGCCCCACTTGGAGTTAAATGAGAAGACAAAAGTCAGAAAAAACGTGCGTACTTTTCGAAACCGTACTGCTACATTAATATGAACCCTGCACTGGAATAATAAATGCGTTTGTTCTGGAGAAGCTTTGTTTCCTCCTTATAAGGGATTTTAAATATCTATTTTATATGGTTTAGTCATGAAGGTGTGTTGTATTATTAATCCTAAATCTGCTAAAGTTTTGTTTTAAAGGTGAGACAGAAGAGCAGAGTATAGTTATTATTTTTCTCGGTGCAGACATTATGCTGTTATATTTCCTAGGTCTATTCATATCTCTTGGCCATCTCTCACTTTAATAACCTTTTGACACAGAAAATTGAAACGCTTTAGCGCATTTGCCGCTCATCAGTCGCTCATTCATACCAGTCATTCCCTCATTCCGTCAATTACTCCGGCTTGTCTGATGTGTTTTATACAGAAAACTTAGTAAGGTACGACTGATGGTAACACATTCAATTTAAACTAGATATCAGCATTTCAAAAAGATAATTATTTATTAAATTATTTCTATACTCTATATATTTAGTGAGCAGATGTGAGGATTTCATTGCAGATTATTGGCATGTAATCATATATTGTTTGCGAGTTATTTCTTTCTGTGTACCATTTCTGTTGTTGTGTGACACGCGTCGCAGCGCGATTTGAGATAATAACGTTAACGTTCGCTCTCGGAAAGTGCAGACTGTCGGCTACAATAAGCCGGCTTCGAGCCGCAGCTTCAGCCCCAAGTCGTCAACCGTCGTCGTCTCCGTGTTCCAACAACTCCACATCTCTCTGCCCTGCCGCCTGGCACTTTCATTTTGTTTTCACTGCGCATTAAAGACGCTTGAGCAGCTTTAATTGCCCAGTGGCCAGAAGGAGACGAGAGACGCGTAGAAAGCCCAAGAAGCTTGGAAGAAGTCGGACCAACGGCGAAAATTACGCGGAAAATGCTTGTCATACCCACATATGTAACTATCACTGTGATCTAATAAAGACGGAGACAGTTTTGACTGGAATTCCGTTAGAAAAAGGGATTCAGAAAGTGCAGATACTAGGTCACCATTCGACTTTAAACTTTTAACTTTAACGCCTCATGGGTCATGACAGTTAAAAACAATCTTCAAGTAAAGCAATTAACATTTCTGTCCAAATTTAAGCAGAACTCTAAAACATCTTACATATTACAAATTTTAAAGTGAGTTTACACACATAATTTATAAAAAGACCATATTAAATTTATAATATATTCGCATTGAATGGTAATAATAAGTGTATTTAACTTTAAATTAATTTTAATTAAAAAATTTATTAAGATATTTTTAAGCTATGAATCATTTTAGCTCAATGTTCTGAAGAACAGCTGATTGGAACCATACGTTTTTGTGAAAATCCGCTGACTTACGGTATTTACTCAGATAATGTGGGCTTACTATACATTTTTTATGGAAACACATCCAGAAAAAAGAAAAAACAAACAAGATATTCGCCAGAACTAGTTGTGCCTGCTAACCAAGAAGATCGTGAATGATAGCTTCGAGAAACCCGTCTTTTTTCTGGTGCTTTCGTCAGTCTTTCGTGTCTTTTTCTCAATCTTAATTACACAAAAGTGCCAATTAATTGTTGATTTTTTGTTGCTGTTTTGCTATACTTCTTTCGCAACTTGCGGCTTCCCAGGCAACGCCTCGGGCTACATAATTCTGTTGTTCTGTTTCTGTTTCTCGAATCTGTTTCTGTGGCTGCCTGCCCAAGGTGTCCGCATCTGTACCTGTATCTGCTGGCGTGGAGCCGAGCGAAGAGCCAGGTAACAAGTGGGGCAGCAAGTAGAGCAGACAAACGCCGGGCAGATACGGATACCTCCTCCCACACAAGTCGGGGATAACGGCCAAGTAGAACAAATCGCACATCTCTGTACGCTGCTGCTTTTCTGGAGCATAAATGTTTTAGGGCGTGCAACAGTTATTGGTTGCATCTAGCCAATAGCTTATGTTTATTTATCTACAACTACGCCAGTATAAAATTTAAATATTTTTAGTCAGTTTTTTAAACTACCAAGGTACATATCCACTTTAAATTAGTTTGAATTGCAATAATGTAAATAATGTAATGTAATGTAATGTAAAGTAAATCTAACATACGAGTATGTGTGCTTCATTCAGTAATTGATAAGTCTAACAAGACCCCTCTCCGTTTGATCGTTCCAGTAGTCGAGGTGCGTAGCCCACGCCCTAAAGAGTCGTCAACCTGGCTGGGAGCAGCTGCCTCACGATTGACCGCCAGCACCACCTAAAGACTGAAACGCCGTCCAGCCAGCGAGGCAAGGGGAAGATGGCCAGCACCGGCGACATCTGGCTGCAGTGGTTCTCCTGCTGCTTCCAGCAGCAGCGCTCCCCGTCCCGCCGCCCACACCAACGCCTGCGCATCGACCGGTCCATGATCGGCAACCCGACCAACTTCGTCCACACCGGCCACATCGGGTCGGCGGACGTGGAGCTGTCGGCCAACCGCCTCAACGCGATCTCAACCCAGATGCAGAGCAAGGGCGGCTACGAGACCAACTCGATACACTCGCTGCATGTAAGTTGAGCTTCGTTTGGTAGATTCGTCTTCCCAATAGGATAACTTCATTAGTTAAACTGCTTAACCTAAATAAAATGATTTTATAAAGCTGACTCTAATTCATTTCTAAAAAAAAATAAGTTAATCATCCTATCAAAACATGGTTAATTTTAAAGAAGTTATACTGTAATGCTCTCTAGATCTGTTGAGTCATTTTTTGTTGTGTATTCCTCCCGCTTCTCGACTTTCTTATTGTGCGAATCACGTCGTGATTCGCAACCCAAGAACCTTTCGGACATTTAGCACCTACATAGTTAAAAGACCTTGAATACGAAGGTTCAGGGTGGAGGCTAAAGAATTGGAATACTCAGTTCAACTTAGGATATATACCTGACAAGTGCTCAGCTCGTTTAGATATAGTAATCGCAAGAATTGATCTTTTTATACCCCTGCAAGAGGAAATAAAAATTTCATTGCAACGTAGTGCTAGAAGAAATCGTTATATTTATATATCTATCGCGATCCGAAGGTATGTCGCTTCCAAATCATTGGTAAGAAGCTTTTTAACTAACAGTCTGATCCTTTTCAAATTAGGGCAATTTTTTAAATGTTGTACATATTTCTTTACAGTTTGAGATAATTATTGTGAACTGCATTTATGCTAGTTATACCCATGCAGAGGTTATTATAATTTCCTTTTTTTTATGTATATGTGATATCCAAATCAAACCCAGATTCGCATTAACACGTATTGCAAAAAATTGTTGTATAAACTTAAATAATGGTAACATGCGTTCACAATATATTGATATAGCAGCGTTAAGCAAACCCATATCGGAAATCGAAAACCAAATGTAACTTTCAAGAGGAACAGACATATACTTCTCCATGGAAACCATCACTGGTATTAGCAGCTTAACCCAGATCCCACTGGCTGTTCTTCCCATCGAACGGAAAATAACACACCCCACTTTGGGAAAATTCAATTAATAAACCCCCTTTTCCGACCCCCAACAAATACAGCACACATGTGCATGCCGAACGCTCGTTTCTGGGACTCCGATGGCTGATAACACCGCCCCTCCCTAATCCCCTGCCCCGCCCCTTATAAAACTATAGTTAATTGAGACAACGGAGCTGTTGAGCAGTGTGCTGGCCACGGTCTAGTACATCGCTTAAATGGTTGACAAGCAATCCTCGACTCATGTTTCTCTTGGTTTTTGCTCTTTATTCGCAGGCCTGCTGATGGAAGCCCCCAATCACCTCGCTGTGTCCCCGCTATAAAATGCATTTCGTGCAATTTTTTTACTAAGGAGGAGAGGGGCAGCATGAAAACTTTTTACAATTCTTTGCTTTGGCGTGTTATCAGACGAAGATGGAAAAAATGGGAGGGAGGGTGAAAGGTGCACAGGGCTGGAAATCATAGGGGGAAGACTAAAAAATCACATTTGAATTAGGTTCCAGATAAAACACCAGAGGACCACCCGACAACGGATTCCATTCCGGCTTAGATTCGTAGGCTGATCAGCTTTTTGTGAGTATTAGCTAAATGAAAAATCGCAAAAAGTGTGCCAGGCGTCTAGGTAACGAACGGTACTTTATACAGAGTCAGTTGAAACGTAACGTAACATTTTTTGGAAGTACTTAATGCCAAAATATCCAGAGGGAACTAACTGTTCAGTTCCTATCCATAATAATTTACATTTCCAAGCCCACTTTAGACCACGTATGCTTTGTATGTGCTCTTACGAAAACTGCCTTATAATCAGTTGCACAACCAACAAAAAATAGTCTGACATATAATATTTGGCTGAAATGGTGCAACTAGCGAATCTTATTTTACAAAACGCTGATTTAGCATTTACACAAAGTTATTAACTGTATACTAAAAACTGTCGCACAATCATATTCAACACACAAAGTTATCACTTTAAGAACAATATTGATATTTTCCCATTCGAATATTTGTGAACCTCTAAGTAGGATTAGATCCCACGCCGACTGGAATTTATGGTTTTCGGCAAGCGACAATTCGATGAGGATTGACGAGTACCTTTTTAGAACCTCACATCAAGAAGCAGAAATATATATTTGTAAAATCAAATGCCGTTGTAGATAACAGAGAATAAAGTTTAAACATGCGTTGGGTTTTAAGCATATAGACTAATTGTATAAACAAATATTTAAGCAATAATTTATGGAAATTATATATTAAAGAGCAACAACCCAAAAAAGTCGTGTTTGTTTTATTTTTTTGGCTACAAATACAGGACAGCCAATTACACATTCTAAGTGCTTTTGGCTAGCAAACAAGATTTGAACATCTGTGTTGATGGTGACGTACTGCATGTTCTAATTTCGGAGCTCCTAGTAAATATTCGGGAAATCGTGATAGAATTGCGGCTATCGGGGTTTATGTTTATTTGTCTTTGGGAAACAAGCTTTAACTTTTTGGGTTGGCAGATAAACTAAAGCTCTTTCCCCAACTAGTTTTTTACGAAGTACTAACATTTGTATACAAGGATTTCAGTTATTTTAAATCAAATTCATAGTTTGTATGTCTAAAAAATATTTCAGACAATAGTCGTTATCTGTTAGAAACACACGTCTTTTTTAAGACCCGTTATTATCGTAGGAGAAGATAATCAAAAATTGTTCCTCCTTTAATGGTTATTGGACATATTGGTACCTTTAGACCAAATTTGTATTAACTTATCGCTTTGTTTTTGCACAAGCCAACTTAACCATAAACGGGTTTGTTTGAAGTTTTTTTTTTACGTTTATTCGTCATTGTAAACATCTTTTATTTTCAAAAGGTTCTGCATTTCACCTTAAAATGTTACTTTCTGCTTCCTAATATTTAAATAAGTGTTTGTTTTTGGACTTTGTGCTTGAAAAGGTACGTTGTCCCAATATACAAAAATTTGCGCAGATCTAAAAAGTCTTCAAAAATTAAAGCTAAACAATTTTTTTAAGCTTTTGAACCACACTTTTAATTAAACACTTCAGTTCAAGATAAACACAAAAGAATTAATCACTTATTTTAATGGCCGACTCGAGCAACACAAACTAGATAGCCTAATCATCGCTTCCCGATCCGCTGCCGGAGCCACTGCCGCTACCGCTTCCACTGCCCGACTTGCTGCTGCCGCCACCACTCTTTTGGCTGCCATCGTTGTCGCTGCCGCTGCCTCCGCCGCCGCTCTTGTCGCTCTTGGCGCTGCCCGCGTCCGACTCGCTGTCTGAATCGCGCAACGCCTTGCTGGCCTTGGCCTTGTCCACCTTCTTGCTGCGACGTGCCTCGAAGTCCGAGCCCTCGTCCTCATCCGAGGAATAGATCGTGGAGGCCTTCACCTCCGCCTGGCCCCCACCAGAGCCCTTCTTGTACCGGTTCTTGATGGCACTTAGGCTAATGGCATTCTCGTCGTCGCTGCCGTCGTCGTGCTGGTAGGATGAAGTGCCGCCACCCAGAAGCGGTTCACCGGCGCCCGCTTTCTTCTTCTTGGGCTGTGCCTTGTGCTGGTTGCGCATCGCCTGGCGCAGCTTGGCCTCCTCCTCCTTGAGCTGCGTAGGCCTATCCGTGGTGGGATCCTTGCCCACTTGCGTCAGGATCTTGATTCCACTTGTTTTGCTGGACCGATCGGCCAACGACATCGTCATCTTCTTGTGCGTGAACGATTCAGTAGAGTGCGGTCGGAAAGTAAGCTTGGTCCTGAAGACGGACTGTCCTTGCAGACCCGTGCCCTGGCGGATGAACAGGTGGTTGTGGTCTCCTAGCAACGGCTGCCTGTAGGCATCAAAGATCTCATTGCCCAAGTGAAGGGACATGCTCCCGTCGGACCAGCGCACGAATCGCGCATTGGACTCGCGCACCATGTCGCCCTTGTTGTTCATGAACTCTCGCCAGCGAATCGTGTTGCTCACCTTGAGCTTGATGCGCTGTCTTCCCTCCTCATCCATGGTCTCCTCTTCGTCTATCTCATCTTCGTAGGTCTCTGGATCGAAGGGATGAGTGACCACCGACAAGAAGTTGGGCAGTTTGATAAAGTGCTGCTCCTTTCCAAGATCTGCGGAGATGCGCGGAATCTCCACATCGATTCGGGTCTCCGGAAGCGGCTCGGGCTCATCCTCTTTGGGTGCCGGCTCTAGCTGGGACTCGACTTTATCCCGTGACCGTGATCTGGACCGGGAACGCGATCGACTCATCGAACGACTGCGGGATCGAGACCTGCTCCTGCTGCGACTCTTAGAACGCGCTGGGGACTTGCTGGTGACTGGCCCAGACTCCTCTTCATCATCACTGATATCGTCGGCATCGCCAAATATGTCAGCAGCAGCGGGGGCTTTCTTGGCCTGCAATATTGAAACGTATAAGTTTAGTTCAGCGTTTTTAGCATGCTTGATTAGAACAATGTACCCCATCCTTCTAAATAAAACATAAACATACGAAAGTAATTTTTTAAAGTACTCAGACTGGAGACATATTATCAAGGGGCTAAATAGCGAAATAGGACTTTACCTCTTCCTGGTCGGACTCGCTGTCTGAATCGATAAGCCGTGATTTCTTCGCTTTGGTGGGCGACTCCTCCATGTCGCTATCGCTGCCGCTTTTCTGTTTTTCCTGATCGGAGCCACTCGCTCGTCGTGGCTTCTTTTTCGGCACACCAATATCGCTTCCGGAGCCGGATCCACTGCGACTGCGACTTCTGTTGGGCGAGGGAGATCCAGTCTTGGAGCGCGACCTGGAGGAGCGACTTCCACTTCTGCTCCGGCTGCGACTGCCGCTTTTAGAGTTGGCACGTTCATCGTCAATCTGGAGATTAGGCGAGTTGGACCGCGACTCCTCATTGCCACTGCCCTTAGGTGTGCCACTACGCGAGCGGGAACGTGATGTAGCACTGTGAGCCGAGCCGGATTTGCGACTTCGAGCGGATCCGGATCTTTGGCTGTGGGGAGATCCTGACCTGCGACTTTGGGGCGAGCCTGATCTCCGACTTTGGGGAGAACCTGATCTACGGCTTTGTGGGGATCCCGATCTACGACTTTGAGGGGATCTTGATCTATGACTTTGTGGGGATCCTGGCGACCCTGATTTACGGCTACGGGCAGATCCTGACCTGCGACTGTGTGCGGAGCCCGACCTCTGGCTTTGAGCAGATCCGGATCTGGCACTGCGAGGAGAACCGGAGCCAGAACGCGAACGGGATGATCTGGAGCCCGAACGAGATCGATCACTGCCGCTGCCCGACTTGCGACTACGGGGGGATCTGAAAACCGATGTCATATCAATTAACTATGCACTTCGCAAAATATAATCACCTACCCCGGTGCACTACCGCCTTGCGGCGTGCCGCTCCTACTGCGGCTGCCACTACGACTGGAGCCGGACGAGCCTGAGAGAAAACTTTATTAGGCACAGATCAATATGTCGCCAGCAAACCATTTACCGCTCTCATCGTCGGAGTTTTGGTCGCCCATTATGTGAAATAAACTCAATTAAAACTTGAAAAATCGGGAATAAAAAGAAAAGAATTCGCGTTTAGAGATGGGAGAGACATCAAATTGACCATTTTAAAAATGTTTGGAAACACCGATGTTCCATGGCGACTATCGATGTTTTTCGTCACATCACTAAGGAAGCGAAGAATGTATGTGCTTAAAAACGTTTTCACAAATTAAAGGCTTCGATTTGAAGCACTACTATTTGTAGATTTTCAACTGGTCGGAAACCACCTTTAAAATTGCGAGTTTTGTGTGTTAGGAATAAAGTTTGTTTTTTATTTATTAAATCACAAAAGTCTTTATTTTAAGAGATCTGGAAGAAGTGTAATTTGTAAGTATACTACTTATCTACCATAACAAAAAATCGAAATTTTTACAAAGTACTTTTTTGAGATCATTATTATCAAACACCAATTTTGAATACCAAAAAGGCCACTTTGGAAAATCCCATATAAGGACGGCCGAAAAAACAGCAAACGTTAACTGTTTTAAACACGTACATATTTAACACTCGTATGTACTTCCAGGTTCAATTAAATTTGGAAAAGGATAAAACTAAACTGTAAATGACATTTTTGTTGGAAACGCGAAATCGAAGGACGAGGATCCAGGCTCCAAGCTTCCCAGTAGACCACACTTGCGCGATATAGTTTTTCGAGGTCAGCATGAAACACAAAAGCGAAATTGAGTTTTATTTTGAACCTTTCAGTGTTCTGGGTAGAAATGAATAAATTTAATAAATAAATGATAACGTTAATGTGATATTATGGGATATGATATTATTGATACACTGAAGAAAGCATGTGCGCTGCTTCAATATAAACACCTACTTTGTGTAACACATTGGATCACTTTTCTGTTTTGACATTTAATCTTTTAAAACTCACGAAGTGTAAAAGAATATACTATAATAGAGCTCAAGAATATGCTAAAACTTAAGTCGAACGAGCACATTACTGTCTTCTTAGTTAATGTGTAAATGTTTTTTTCGAATTACAAACGTGTCAATTTTTATTATCATTCCAGTTATAATAAACGCCATAAACAGTATATTTTCGATTTCGTGCAAATGATAAGTCGTTTAAATGTAACGTTGGAAATTTGTACTACAACAGGGAAAAGCTCTTTCCTTCTAAAGAAAAAAACAAGGACAAAGCAACTTCTTTCCGAGCAGAAAAATATAATATAGAAAATAAAGGTACAAATTCATACAAAAATATATATTATTTTTTGAAGGTAATTCAGAATTATTATGTTTAGGAAACCACAAATGACCACTAAGCCTTTGTTTTTGTTACCGCTTTTTTTTTTTTTTTTTTTTCAAAACTAAATAAAACAACGACTTTTTCCCGCAGAAATGTTTTAAAAACATCCGCAATATCGATGTTTTGCCCAGGTAAACAGTCTAATCGATGTCTAAAAACAGCATCGATGGCAACTCGTGAACCACTGATGAATATCGATGAAATGTAAACAACTGCTATATGTATTACAGAAACGCGTTTAATTTTAATGTAAGGATACAATATGTCAAACAAACTTAGAAGGCTCAGAAAACAATTTGCATAGTGCACGAAAAGAGCACGGCAACCTCTTTTCCAATTATCGATGGCAGCGCTGCATCGATAGCGAATTTTTACATCCCTAATTTCTGTGTGTTTGTATTCGTGACAGCCACAAAGTTTTTTGCGGAACAATTTTTGTGTACAATTTAAAGCCTTTTCGGGCGCTAAATAATTGTTTACTGCCCCTCGATTGTGGATTGTAAAAACCCGGCTCCACCAAGCTCGAGTGCATTTGCGAGTCTGCAGCGTAAAAAACGCGCAAACCAAGCGGAGAATTTGCCCAATTCGTTGCTTTGGGTGAAATTTCAATGAACTGAGAAAACAAAGACAGACACACATACAAACACACACACAGAGTCACAGACACAGTGCTTGTGCAGCAGTGAAGAAAGAAGCAGAGACAACAGCGCAATAGCGAGCAATTATTTACTTACAACTAAAATACAAAAGGAAAACTCTACCAAAAACCATTGGTCAATCCAAGTGTAACGTGCGCGACATTACCAAAAGCGTGAAATTATAGTAGGCGCAAGAGCGGCGCAGAAAAAAACAGAAAACTTTTCGCCTCAGCCAGGCATCAACATCCTTCGGTACTCCCTCTCTCCGCCTCTATTTCTTTCTCTCTCTCTCTCTGGCACGAAGACCACGCTGCATACAGACGAGGCATATACACACACTGCGATATATATGCCATTTATTTAGGGACGACTCGGCGCGGAAAAGTACTAACTAACCTCGCTCCCGCTACGGCTCCAGTTCCCGCTACATCCTTCCAGTCAGTCAGCAAGCCAGCCTGTCAGACTTCCAGCGAGTGCAAGAGAGCGAGCAAACTACAGCTAACTAACGGCTGCCCAGTGGCAATTAGCAGATATCCTTGCTGATCCGCCATAGTATCGGCGCCAGGACAACGACTCCCACGTCCTCGTCCCGCCGGCCGCTTTGGAATGTTAAATGCGGTGAGAACGATCCGATCAGTGTATGTTGTTGTTGCTGGACAGAGTGGAAAGCGAGCGTTAACAGTGGAAGTGCAAGAAGCAGCAGTATCGTCTAACGTTAATTTAGGTAAGCTTTCCTATTGTTATTTTCGTTGATTTGCTGTGCCGCCCAAGGTTACACGGTTTACTTAACCCGAAAGTTTCCGCTCGTCCCGCAATGGTTTTTGTTGTAAGCGCGAGCGCCAGTGTTGCAAAGCGGTTGTTGGGTCAGCTGATAAAGTTACATGCGCCGGGCAGGTAAAACGACAATCGGCAAAGTTAGACAGATAATGTAGCGAGTTAGTCCAGTAATCAAGTCCCGATGAGATTAGCCCAGCTGAAAAGACGCAATCGCCACCATCAAGTCCTGCGCGGCTAGACATGTGTATGTGAAAGGCATGTATTACAGTGAAGATCCGATAAGATAGATCGCGAAACTTTTTACACAGAAAAACAAACATTAGGGACCTGAAAATAATTACTTTATTATTGTCATTAAACCTAGTTTACTCAACTACAGCAATTGTTTTTAGTATTACTGTAATGTTGTTTTACATTCCGTCTTGCTATGTATAATTTAACTTTGTCAAACTAAGTATCAAAGTACCAAAAATAAAATGTTTGTTCGATCAAACCAAACATGAACTGAAGTACTAGTACTTCGTTAAGCCGAACTAAGTAATCACGAAAAAATAAATAACAGTTAAGATGGTTGATACAGGAACATTAATTCCTTGACAAAATAAAAAAAAAAAATGTGTAACTTCAAATCAAAAGCGAGAATATGATTTCTTTGAAAACGTTAAAACAAAATTGAATGTTCTTACTGTACGCCTTTTTGCACTTGGCGGCACTGCTTCACCACTACCTGCATAATTGATCGTGCGACAAGTGCAGGCGTATCCTTTTGCTCTCGACTTCTACTTTTCCCTCTCCCTCGCATCCTGTTGCCAGTCATTCTGGTTTTTTTCACCCACACCATTGCCATTGTCTTCGCCTCCATGCTATCCACACGGCTTGTGCATGTGTGCCAACGCCAAAGCGGAACGACAATAATTGCCGAAGCCTTTATGCCTCAGTTCTCCTCATCCCACCCTTCTTCTCTTATTTCCCAATATCTCCTTTTGCTTTGTTTGCTGTCCGAATTTGCCAATCAACAGCTGATCCGTCGGGCATTTAACGGAATTGAATTGAACAAACGGCTAGGGCGGCTTTGTTTATTAGCTATGTTGGTAACCCTTTCTGGCTTCCCTTTTGAATCGGAGTTACGCAAATTTGACTAGACTATCAATATTTGCCACTGGTGATGCTTTTCCTGTGCCCAAGGCTCTCTACCTACGAGTTTGTTTATTTATTTGTTTAACACGCATATGTTCGCATATTGTGTGCGACAATTATCTGCGGGGAGCCGATTTGTTATCACTATAAGTCCCCCTCCACTGAGTCACATAGAATAAAAACTCTTGTTTATGAGTAAAGCATTTTCCCGATTCAGACTTTTGAGAACCAACATGTTTTGATTACGGCGCAGATGGCTCTGAGTAATTCCCTCAATTTTTAAGTATTTCAAAGTCCCATATTTTAAAACTATGCTTGTGGACTTTAAAAATTTTAGATAATATTTACTTAGGCAAAGAACAGAAAATAGCTAATTTCTTAGCAATAGCACATCGTTCAAACTGGTCCCAATAGTTGTTTTCAATTAATGTTTCTTTAAATTTTTTTAAAACCGCTCGAAGCATTTAAAATCCTAGTTTTTAATAAGAGCTCTACCCTCTATTTTTTTATGTTGCGTGTTATAAGTATAGCGATAAGAATACCCACTGGGCTGACATTAATCGTTTTGCCTTCCTTTGCAGATTATGGCGAATTTAAATTTCCAACAACCCCCGAGAAGTATAGCGAACGCGGCGTTAGCTGGCCGGACAACTGGCGGATTCGGTGGTAGCTCTCTGGCTGGCCATGTAACGCCCACGTCAGGCATGTTCCAAACCGGTAAGCAGGTGTTAGCCCAGAGGCTTTGTCGGAGCATCCCACTGACTTTTGTGTGCCACAGACTTTGCTAACTCCTACCCAGGAGCAGCGAACTACGGACAGGCGCCACAGCAGCAGCAACAGCAGCAGCAGCCGCAGCTGTCGCCGAACCGGAATGCGCAGCTCTCGGTCGGAGGACCCGCCATCTCGAGCGGCAATCGGAACGCCAACCTCTTCGGCCAGCGGCAGTTTGTGGAGCGGCGTGCCATGCAGGGATTGGGCAGTGGCCCCATGGTGAGAAACCCTTAGAACAGTCCATATTCTCCAACTCAAACTTATCCATGTTCAAATCTTTAACCCATATATAAATAAAATCGGCTTAAAAGAATATTTATTACTTATTAAATGCTTACTGAAACCAAATAGTGTGTCGAAAACTACGCAGTAGATAATTTTACAAAGTTGAGTGGTTCAGAAGACCCTAAACCCTTATCTGCTAATTAAGGTTAAATAACTTTTACATTTAATTTACGAAAAGATAACAATATATATATATTTTGCTTCAATTCTATGGAACTTCAGCAAAACTAATCATTTTAAAAGTTTTTACCTCGTATTTATAAACTTGATTACTATTACCTAGTAACACATGACCTTGAAAATGTCTGTCTCAACGTAATATTTTAAATCGATTTCGATAAGAAAGAAGGACTCATTTATATTTTTATTATTAGAATTATAATTATTAGATTAGAAGCACAAAGTTTGAGTTGGAATAGTCAGACGAGACTGTAAGCACATTCCTTAGATCATGCTAATTGAATTCTTTCCCACAGTCGAACATGGGCAACTTCATGCAGACGGGTCGCGGCGGCTACGGAACGGGAGGAGGCGGTGGCGGTCCTTTGAATAACTTTCACGTGTTCGGCGGCGGTGGTGGGAGTGATGCCTCCACTCCAGCCCTGCTCGATCCCACGGAGTTCCCCTCGCTGACGAATGCGCGCGGCCAGAACGACCAGACACTGCCCCAATCGAATCCGCTCCAGCCGCCGGGCAGCAAACCCTACGGTAATTTTTTTACCTCTTGTGAGTTCAAATCAAAATCCTCTTCTTTTTATTTATTTCTGTTTACAATTACGATTAAGAAGCTTAAGTGTGTGGTGTGGTGTTTTGTGATTAGTTCGTTGGGCCCACTTAGTTATGCTATTTAGTATTTGTGACTAATATTGGTTAACGGTGTTGATATAGCAAGCGTTCGAAAGAAAAAATTGGATAAAAACAACGTTCGCTTTAAACTATATTTGGCTGCGATTAACAATTATAATAAAATTAAATATGAATGTGTCATAACTTTTTACAAGTTTATTTCAAATATAGTGTATGATTTGTTTGAGATCTTATTGAAGCCGAATTAAAATAAATTAAGGTACATTCTTAAGAATTTATTAACAAAATAGATTTTAAACTTTTTGGTGGCATTGATTAAAATTTAAAGTTAATCCTCTTTCGAGCGTCTTCTATTATTTGTTAAATAATCTGTAGAATATGGGTTGCCGCCGCTTTGGCAAGTCATTCCTTCGCTTCACTCATTTTCCCTGGCGACCTGGTCGCTCCTCTTTCCGCTTTCAGTTGGCATGGTGAAGCAACCGACGTCAGAGCAATCGGAGTTCACGATGTCGAACGAGGACTTCCCTGCGTTACCGGGCACCCAGAACTCGGACGGCACAACGAATGCGGTGGGGAGTGGCGGCGGAGCAGGAGGCTCCGGCGGTGTCTCCACAGAGAACCACCTGGATGGCACGGAAAAGCCGATGAATTCGATTGTGGTTAGCGGATCGGCCAGCGGTAGCAGCGGCACCAACGTCGGCGTTGTAGGCGGCAATGGTCTCGGAGCCGTGGGCAGTGGCCTGGGGGGCGTGGTAGTGGGTGGCGGCGGAGGAGCTGGAAGCTCGGGAGGCGGAGGAGTCGGCGGCAATGCGGCCAGCGGAGTTGTCGGCGGGACGCACGTAGGACTGGTAGGCAGCAGCAGCGGCGGTATCGGCGGCGTCAACAGTGTACCCAACAGCAATGCCATGATGGGCGTGGGCGGCGGTCTGGGCAGTGGTAGCGGCACCTCCGGCAGCGGAGCGGGCGGCGAGCATCTGAACGATAATTCCAGCAACGATAAACTTGTGAAGAGCGGCGTTCAAACTTCGCCAGATGGTGAGTTTCACAAATGGGTTCTGGAGTATTTTATTCTAATTTTCTTATTGCAAAAATTTGATTTTAACCGATTTTTGTTTACTTAAAACAAAAGAAGGGTTTGAAAGGTTTATTTATAGAATGTAAAACCGCTTTCGTTGTTATAAACGTTAAATTGACTGCAAACGTTGTATAGTTAATATTTATACCTTTTCTTTGTTATTAGGCAAAGTCACAAACATACCAGCGACCATGGTGAACAACCAGTTCGGCATGGTTGGCCTGCTGACGTTCATCCGGGCTGCAGAAACAGATCCCAATCTGGTGACGCTCTCCTTGGGCACGGATCTCACAGGCTTGGGCCTGAATCTGAACTCGCAGGAGAGCTTGCATACAACATTCGCAGGCCCTTTTGTCGCACAGCCCTGCAGGTAGGATATACTAATATACCCTTTCAGAAGGAATTGTTATTTTAGTCAGAAGGAATTGTTATTTAAGTCAGAAGTTTTCAACGCAGTGAAGGAGACGCCACAGACCCCATAAAATTCATTTGTTCTTGATCAGCATCACCGTCTAAATTGGTCTTCGGTCTGTTTACATGGAAACTTAATTTAATTAAGTTAATTTGAAATCTATATCACTTAAAATTTACCAAAGTTGTGTAGTTATTGCACGCAGTACACATATAAGTCACAACGGGTCGGAACAGACCACTATATCGTATAGATTCCATATGATTCCATAAATATGAGAGATACAAAATAACCTGAAAAAATTAAAACGACCTGTTTCATCATAAAGGCATTATTTTTCCATCTTGAATCGGATGACTATATCATATTACTGCCATTAGAAAATTGGAGAAATCTAAATAAAATTAATGACACTAAATTTATAATGTAGTTGTTTGCATGATATTTAGAATATCAATTACATATTTTAGTTACAACTAAATAAAAACAAATTTCATAAAAATCTGACAAATAAGAAAAATTGGTATAAAATTAGTGAAATAAAATTATATCATTGTTGGTTTTTTTTTTTTATCATGCAAGCAAAGAGTTTTGGGTAAAAAGTTTTTTAACAACTCTTGAATTTTGAAGACAATTTCATGAAAATCGGACCGACTATATTATAAAAATCGTGAAAGTAAAGATAATTTATAGAAATATCATAAATGAATTTGTGGAAAATTCGACAAAAGTTGAGGTACTATATACATAGTACTTCATTACTACTTTATCCCTGACGTTGTACGAATCGAACTAACAATAGGAAACCGTAGAAACAAATCTTATTACTGTAGATTTGTGATTTTAGTCATTTTATACATGGAACTGCAAGGTTATATAAGCTAGCTTTGTTTCTTGTTTAAATGTAAAACGTTTTACATCTTAAAAAATATAAAGGACAGGATGGATAACTGAAAAAACTTTTTTTTTCAGAGCACAAGACGTTGAGTTCAACGTGCCACCCGAATATCTGATCAACTTTGCGATAAGAGACAAACTTACTGCGCCTGTACTGAAAAAGCTGCAAGAAGACCTGCTCTTCTTCCTTTTCTACACGAACATCGGCGATATGATGCAATTAATGGCAGCTGCTGAATTGTAAGTACTTCAAACATCTACATATACAAAAATAAGTATTTCAACTTTAACTTCCTTTTGCAGGCATAGTCGCGAGTGGCGGTATCATGTGGAGGAGAAAATATGGATAACTCGAATTCCTGGCATTGATCAATATGAAAAAAATGGTACAAAAGAGCGCGGCACCTTCTACTACTTTGATGCGCAAAGTTGGAAACGTTTGTCCAAGGTTTTCCAAATAGATGCAGAGAAATTAGATAAATGTCCCAATATAAGTGCGTTTATGAATGGACAGTCTGTATAAAATTAATAAAAATGAAAAAAATTGAAAAAGAAAATTTATAGCGGTGTTGTTTTTGCCTTTGGCTTTTAACTATAACATAAAAGTTTACCTTCTTCACTCCACCCGGGAGCATAAAGCCTCTACAATTTTTGTAGAGGATTCAATAATCTTTGATTTTCGATCTTACTGATGATGATTATGGTGATGGTGATTAGCCAGTAGCGACTTATCCACTTGGCGCCATCTAGGAGTGACGAAAGTTATATTATTGTGTCCGTAGTAACGTGGACGAGGGGGGGTTCGAAATTTGTTACTATTATTAAGTGAGCGATAGAGCACAGAAATGGTGGAGATTCGGAAAAAGAGAGAAAACATAAATTAGATAAATTTTTGTGATTTTTTTCACTTTTTATACGATTTCTTGTCTGGGCTTATTACTCCTTTTTAAATACGTTACACTCTTTACATGGTATTCTAAGGCATTGAAAATACTGTAGATGATCCTATTCATATGATATTATGTATATGATCTTATGTATATGATATTATATAGATAATCTTATGGATATGTCTGGATGTGTCTTATGTATATGATCTAAGCAGCACCAATATCGGTCCTGTATAGAAACGATAGAACATTGATAGTAGAAAATTAAATGAAGAAATTTAAATTCTATGTTTACATTTTCAATTTGATCATAATGGACGACCAGACTCGTATGACGGACAAAATTTCGAGGTGTATTATCAACATTATTTTAATATTCATTTTTGTTACAAAGTGTAACAACTATTTCTTGCGGCGTTCAAGCCTCTTAAACACCTCTCATATCATCATATGAATCATCATATGAATATCATTCTTTTATACATTTTTAAAATTTAGAAATTAGGAGACAATTAATTTTTCTGATCTCTAGAATTTGGTTTTCACATTTCAAACAGTCAACCGCTTGCTTAACAGAATCGTTCTTAACGCTTAACAGCACCGCTCGGCATGTAAACGCCGAAGGCGTTAGGACATTTTTTCAACACAAGCAAGCAAGAAGAAGATAAGAATTAGAGTTGCCTACGAAATCAGCGCCTGCGCCTCGGAATTAAATTTGAATTTTGAGATTATCTTACCAAAAAAGTTTTACCGACGTCGTCTTTGGCGGTCATGAATGCTCCGGGTATGAGTCTGTTTCAGGGGGCGGACACCCTCAACGTGAACTCCACACTGGACCGCCAGGAGGAGGAGGAGGACTTGCAGGATCAGAAGAGGCGCAAGGAAGAGGTAAGTGTTCTAGGAAGTCCTAGTCAACAATGTCACCGATTCCATTTTTTCCCAAGATTGGGAATATTCTGGAAAACTTATTCGACGACTTGCACGATGAGGAGAACACAATCGACTCCACGACGAACTACCAGTTGGAGCAACCGCCAGCTGTCCTGCCCAACTATCCGATCCAGCCGCACCAGAAACCTCAGCTGGAGGATGCTCAGCTGACCAACGAGATGCACCACCTAAAGATGATGCTGGAATCCAGAAACCACGAACTGCAGAATGTCAACCACATCGCCAATGATGCTAAAAAGCAGCTGGATGAGTTAACGAAAAGACTCTCTATAACTCAAGCCGAGCTAGACAGGGCCCATCGCGAGAGGCAGAACACACACGAGCTGCTGGTGGAGGCCAAGCAGAGCTGCTCCAACAAGGAGAGTGACATGGAGAAGCTACTCTCAAAGAACAAGCAGCTGGAAGAGGACAATACGCGACTGGTAGGTCGCCTGGAGATCGTCAAGACTCAGCTATCCGACATACAGTGTAAGTACGACATGGTGCAGCGGGACACGCACAAACGGGAAGAGCGCACCGCCGAACTGCGAGTCAAGAGTCTCGAAGAGGCTCATCGGGCCCAGTGCGATCTATTTCAGCAGCAGCTAAGCCAGCTGACGGATGAGCTGAATCGCAAGAAGAACGAGCTGGAGAAGATGACCTCGCGCTACAACGCCCTTCAGTCCGGCCACGAAAACATGCTTCTCGACAAGGCCGCAAAAATTAACGAACTGAGCCAAGCGCTGGACGTGGCCCAGGAGCGCTGCAACCAGATAAACAGCAGGCCCGATTTGGAGGCAGAGAATCATCGCCTCCAGCAGTGTATCAGTGACTTGAAAGCCAGTGTAGTCTCTCTGGAGCAAACAAATGCTTTACTTAGTGAGCGCGTTAGCGAAACTACAGCGGAGCTTGATCTAATGGACTCGCTGCTTCAGCAGAATCAGGCGGATGAGTCGCCCACGGGGAGGCTAAGTCAGGTGGGTGGATCCCGCCTGGTGGGCAGTACACCCCATAATCCTTTAGATAGGGTTAGCCACATAAAACAGGAGCTGTATCGGGCACTGGCCAATCTGAAGAGCAAGCGAGAGGAGGTGCGGCGGCTTGCGAAGCTTTTGGAGGAGCGCAGCCAAGAATTGCGCGCAATGCGCGACCAGGAGAATCAGGCCCTAGTACAATTGGCAACCCTAAAAGAAGACAAAATGCGTCTGGAGAACAAGGTGAAAGCCATGCAGCAGGAGCTGGAAGAGCAACAACACAAAACACAGCAGGATTCAGGTCTCCAGGCCCAACTGGATGCCATCGTAACCGAGAGGGATTCCCTGAATGAAAAGCGCCAGCAGATTGAAGAGCAACTAACTAATGTGCAGAGGGAACTGGAGCAACTCAAGCGGCAGCACGAGACCCTCCAGAGGAACTACGAGCAGCTTTCACAGGATACAACAGACAACTTGCGTCTGGACTTGGAACGCCACAAGATACTTTTAAAAGATTCCCAGAGCGAGGTCGAGCGACTTAAGAAACTATACGCTGACATCGCCACAGACAAGGAGTCGTTAGATTACGAACTAAGAAAGCTTAGGGATTCGGACACGCTCAAGGAACTACATGAACAACGCCAGCAGTTGGCCACTGCCCAGAGAAATTTACAACTGGCGGAGCTGAAGTCTCAAGAACTTAGCAAACTTAGGGAATCTGAGAAACTCACTCACGAGCGTGATCTACAAAACTTGCGCCAGCAGAGCGAGCGGGAGAAGCGCGAAGAGGCTTCTGCTGCGGCCAAGGAGAGCGCCGACACCTGCAGCAAGTGCATCGAGCATTTGGCGGAGTTAACCAAGGTCAGAGAGTTGAGTTTTCTTTTGTCATTCAATTACACTAATAACGCTTTTGGTTCTTGTTTTGTTTCAGTCAGAAATCCGATTGTTTAAACTTCAAAACGTTAACTCGGTGCAGGCTAAGAACCTCAGTGATTTGGAACATGAACTTAAACAATCCAAGGAGCTGCAGGCCGAGATGCAGGAGAAGATCGAGCTTTCAAACAAGCAGGACGTGCTAATTAACGACCTCAAGGAAAAGGCAAAGCAATTTGAGGTGTACATTAGGCAGCAAGAAGAGCATCAAAGAAATCTGCAGCAGAAGAAGTCTACTCCCAGCCCAAAATCCTGTACAGATTCCTCGCCAAGCTTCTCTCCGAAAGAGCTTACCCAGGAGCGAATTAAGGTGATTGAACAGCGTATTCGCGACGAAATGGCCAAACTTTTCGCAGCTGAACTCAAGAAGTTCACCACCCGGCTGCAACAGACCGAAGAGCGTAGCCAGTGTCTCCAAAGGGAATACCAAGCGGTGTGCGCAGAGCTGCAGCAACGGCAGACGGAGGTGGATCTTCTCAAACAAACCATCCTGGCAGAACGGGAAAACATAGACGAAATTCTGGCCGGCAAGGAAGAAAAACAGAAGGCAATGCTGCAGAAGTGTCGCCAAGAGCTGCAAATGAAGAACGAGAGAATCGCCGAACTACTGCGAGAAGTGGACGAGCAGCATGCCAGCATCGATTCGGAAAGACAGTCGATGAAGGCTGTGATGGCACAGTGGGAGAAGCAGCGGCAGTCCGTCGAGCAGGTTGAGCACCACTGGCGGCAGCAGCTGGACACACTGCGTACCACTCACGAGGAGGCGATGCGATCGGCCCAGCAGCGATACCAAAGTGCCAAGCGCACCGCCCACAATTACAAGTTGTACGCTGAGGACAAGGAGGCGCATATGAAACGCGAATACGAGCGCATTAAACGTGAATACGAGCTCTCGCTGGCCAAGATTGAAGCAACCATGAACCAACACCTAGAGCGGCGAGAACGGCACCGCGACAAAGAGAATGTGCCGAACAATAGCAGCATTAATCCCACCAGCAGCTCCAGTAGTAAAGTTAAAACTAATGGTAACAGCAAAAGCTAGGGATATAAGTTATTTTTGTGTTGTTATTAAATTTTAGTAATTGCATGCACGTCAATTTGTTTTACAAAATAAATATCACTTAACATTCCTAATTTCGGACTGATTAACATGCATAAGATTGCCAGTAATATTATAATTATTTCACATTATACGATCCATTTTAAAGTGATTTAAAGATCCCGATAATGTATAATATAACAAGTGGAAACAGCAATCGCTATTCATATTTTAATGGTTTTTTTTTTGTTTATGTACAGAATTGAAAGTTATATTTTATTTTATAGACTTTTAAGGGTTTTATGTTTAGCTTAAGTTTTTTGTTGGATTAAGCTGCTGCCAGCACTTTCCAAATATATCAAAGAATCTGTCGATCTCTCCTCGACTTATCCCGATGGCAGACGCCACAGTTAGATAAGGCACTTTAAGGTCGTTTCGATGCGAACCAAAATCTAAACAAAAGTAATGTTTTTAAGATTTACACAACAGACATCCGCCTTTACCTACCCGCAAACTGATGTCCATCAATGGTTTTTGTGTGCCCAGGAACCACCACTCTTGCGCCAGAAACTCCTCGCATGTGCAACATAGATCCCATCTGGGTAATTCGGTCGTCCTGATCAGCAGGAATAGTACCTAAGGTTATTGCCAGGGATATGAAATTATCCTTGCTTTCTATAACCACTTCGCCACGACTCTCTGCGAATTTCTTTAGGTTATCCCTTAGGTAGATGAAGTTCTCGCACCGCTGTTGGATAAGCGACTGGAAGCCGCTGCGTCCCAGCGAGAGCAGCGTCATAAATACGTCCAGGGACTGGGATCCACTGGCCCGCCCCGCATAACTGCTGGCCACATCATGCAATAGACTCTCCTTAAAGCTGGCCACAATGGCACCGCCCACAGGCACCATTAGATTCTTGTCGCTGCTCTGGACAAAGTAATCAATGCGTCCGACTCGATTGGCTAACTCCAACTGACGAACGATATCCACCGACTGTAGTCCGTAAGCGTTGTTAACCAAGTGGGGAAGCTGCCACTGGTTTGACAACTTGGATATATTTAAAATGTCATCTCCGTTGCGAGGTGCGAAGCAACTCGTAGTGGTGTACAAGCAAAGAATGCTCTCGACTCCTAATGCTTCGATCTTGTCCTGGAAGGCGCCAATGTCGGTGTGCAGAGAGTCTCCCTGAACCTGGCAGGGAATGATTACGGGCTCCAAGCCGGCCGCTGTGATGGCCTTAAAGCATGATTTCTGATCGATCCGGGACCAAAGGACATACTTTGCCCCAGGGCGCCGCTTGCGAAGGCTCTGCAGGCACAAAGTTAAAGTCATTCCGGTGCACATCGGCACCAAGAAACAGCCGGCGCAGCTGTTCAGCCCGATTCCCCGCACAAGATCGAGAATCAGAGCATTCGTAAGGCGGGAGAGTAGAGTGGAACCAGCTGCCTTAGGCTGCGCCTCCAGTAAGTCTCCAGAGCGGCCTATTCCGTGCCCAAAATTATAGTGCCGCCGGGCAACGAGTTCTGTTTCAAATAACATTAAATAAATAATGGAGGCAAGTTATTATAATATGATAGGTCAACACTTTTTTTTAAAATACAAATTTACTACCGTGTAGCTTTACGAATTTCTTGTACTTACTGCAGGCGATTCTTGCCTCCCGTTCTCCCAGCCCAACCTTGTGCGGGAAGTTGTTGCTGTCCAAGGACGCCAATTGGTGAACTAGCTCCTCAATCCACTCATCGGACCAGCCGTTTTCCGGTAGTTTTCGCTGGAATATGCTAAGTAATTGTTTACCCTCATTTTGTCATGTGTGGAATAGTTGTTTACCTTCTCGAGAAGCTCCTTAAAATTGCGCTGCTTGCTGTGTTGGGCTGCCAGTCCTAACTGCAAATAATTGTCCGGCACCAGTTTTTTTGGTATATTTACATGATCAAAGTTCATGGTGTTTAAATGTGATAACAGTTAGCCGCATAAAGTAAACAATATCGCCCCCTGCTCCAAAACGTTTCAATCCCAGTCATTCCCAGGGTTAGATAAAAAACTGCCTAATCCTTAGCTATTTTTATCAGGTTTTAAAAGTTTCTAAATAGGGATCAGTTAGTAAAGCTGATAAAAGTTATTTGCATATTCTTTTTTAAGAACTGCATTGACTCTTTTTCTCCATCAAAATTTGTATAATTTTTGATGTCCTGCAAGTGTTTTCCGTGCTGTGTTCTAACGCGTCCGATACTATCGGTCTGGACAAAAATTTTAAATTATGGTTATTTCTATTAGAAAAATAGAAACAAATACGTAACTCCATAACGGAATTGCAAATGGTCTTTTTTTCTCATCCGTGAATTCCAACTTCGACAGTATAAAGGAACCATCGATAGTGTTACCCAAAGCCAAACCAACGATAGTGTCGATAGCGATATCGTTATTTTGACAGCTCTATTGTGAGACCTACGTTTTTCAGCTCAGCTCTAAAACAGCCAGCAGCTACACAAAAAGTCACTTCTATTCGCAGCAAAACAGATTTTTTTGTTTTAATCGTAAGTACCTAAGTGCAATTTTAACATAGAGTAGATGTATGCTAAGTTTAGCTTTGTTTGCGATGACATACACGGGTGTTTTAATTTTTTCGCCAGCCATGACGAATCCTTTGTCTGTGCCCTGGCCTGAAAAGGGGTTATGCACGAATTGCGTGCGTACGTATGGCGAGGTTAGTCATCGGACAGCAATAAAATAACGCAGTAAACCGTTTTGTGCCCAAAAGGCCTTTGTTTGACTGTACCATGAACATTATTTAATAAGAGTGACGGCAAAAATATGCACACTTTGGACCCCCCACCATCGTTTTCTTTTTTACATTCGCAGTTTTTTCCGTTCCTTCATCTCCCCCACCTTATATTCGGTCGTCGCCATGTCAATGTGTCTTCAAAATGGCGCCGAACCACATGTCTTCGTTATCGGTTCGTCCGCTTCGTCTCGCTCGGCTGTTCGCTCGTGTGTCATTTGTTCTCCGAATTTCATTTAACAAAGTGGTGCGCGCAGACGGGGCGCTGGACTTGAGGCAAACAACACATACCTAGTAACCGATTGTGATAGCTGTTAAAAATAGAATTCCGGACGTAGTCTGAATTCGACCCGAGCAAAATTGTTAACGTTAATATTAAAGGCAGAAAAGTAAATTCCGTTACAAAAAGTATTCTTTGGCTCTGCTCTCTCCCCGTCCATTCGTTGTTGAGTGTGTGTGCGTGCGTGTCAATTTTACAGTGCTAAAGCTCGTAAGTAATAAGAAGAAAAAAAAAGATCTGTCTCTTTGTTTTTTGTCGTCTCGCAAGTGTTAGTAAGCGCTGCGCGAGGTTAAATTAAATTACACCTTAAACGCGCTCTCACACGCTCGTCACATTTGAAAAGCAACAGGCGCACACGGGGCATACACGTACACATTCACTCACCAGAATCGCACACCAGCGCAAAACCTCCGATTACTTGCGAGGACACGCGGAAGCGGCAAAAATCCAGGGCCAAACTTATTTCCGTTCAGTGAAAGTGTAAGTTTTAGTTCCTTCTAGCAGACAATGTGTACTTGAAAACTTGGAATTTTCATTTTTGCGTTTTCGCTATTTTGACAATTTCCCCTTCCAGCCAATATATACAGCCATGAGTACATAGACCGCGTGTGTGTGTGTTTGCTGTATGCAGAATGACCTCGATTCCCTCCGCGATATACCTAACAGAGTAACAACGTCAAAATTTCACTTTATTTTCCGTTTCTTTGTCGATTTCTTGGAGTTCTTCTCGCCCCGCCTTTCATTTTATTTCTTCTTTCGGCATTATCAACTGTAAAATATGTGTTTGAGAGAGAGAGAGAGTTGTGAAGTGTGCCCGTTCTCAGCCTGTGTATGTGTGAGTGCTGAAACCACATGTACGCGAGCATTTTTAGGTTAAGGTTTTTTTTTATACGAACTATTTAGCAGTTTTATTTAAAAACACCGTTATCAGATCTAAAATTTGAATTATACAAATATACTTTATAAATAAAAACTGCCCATGGCATAGATTGATTTTTGTTTCGCTCTCTAATATAAAAAGCACATACCGATTTCTAGGTATCTCATCTAGTGACCTTGCCAAATGAGTCGATCTAATTTTCTTTTTTACATTGGAATCTTGTGGGGGTAACTGAAAGCGCTTCCATATCTAATCGAATTTCACCTTTGCAGCAATTTATTGTATGAGTCAAAAAACTGAAAGACCAGTGCTATCGGGTCAACGCATCAAGACCAGAAAAAGAGATGAAAGAGAAAAATATGACCCAACGGGATTCCGTGATGCGGTCATTGCTGGTCTCGAAAAAACTGAAGGCGACCTGGAACAAATCTCTAAATATCTAGACAGTGCGGGCAACAAGCTCGACTACCGTCGTTACGGTGAAGTTCTCTTTGATATATTGATTGCAGGAGGTCTACTAGGTAAGTTCCTATTCCTTGGAAGGGTGTCGATATAGTTCTGATTTCATTTTGTTTATGATTACAGTGCCTGGCGGATCTATATCTCAGGATGGCGAAAAGCCGCGCACCAACTACTGCATCTTCGATGCTCCCGAGAACATGGAGGCCATGCGCAACCATGAGCAGGTTTGTTAACATTTCTTAAAATTTGAATCAAAGTCTTTATAAAAGCCCATTGTTTATTCCGATTTAAAAAGATACATCTTTCTTGCATATCATTAGAGCTGATTATAAAGTTTAAAAAGATAGTCGGTGTCAAGAATATGCCATATGAATCGACACATTTACTTGTCTTCGGCTTGTTGTATGCCCTAACAGTCTGGAGATTTCTAATGTGTCAACAAGTATTCTCTGTATACAATACTCCATGAGAGCAAAATAGGTGGAAGGTCACGCGATTAATTGAAACTGCATATTATTAGAACCGGTTATGCATCTCAACAATATAATCGGTGTCAAAATATGCAAAATAAAAAGCTTCATTTTACTTGTCTTTATTTTGTGAAAATATTTTATCAGCAATCTAAAGTTTTCTAATGTTGCAACAACGATTAAAAAAATGAAAATCTTTACCTACTAAATTGAATCAACAGCTAACCTATGTAAACCTGTTTCTACATTTTCTAGGTATTTGTTAAGCTCATCAGACGGTACAAGTATCTTGAGAAAATGTTCGAAGAGGAGATGGGGAAAGTTCTATTATTCGTAAAAGGCTTTACTCCAAGTGAACGTATCAAGCTTGCGCGTATGACTGCGCTCTGGTTAGGTAAGTTATTAATCTATTATTATTATTATATTAGCCGGCCCATCAGCTTTTTAATAAGTTTAGTCTTGATGAACACTTTTTAGACTTATTGCTGAGGGGCTAGAGTAAACTTACTCTTGGTATACTGACTCTTGAATGACTTTTCCACATCCAAGAGCCACTAGCCCAAGGACAAGGTCGTTAATACGCTCTTTAAACTCATTTTCCGAAAACTATAAACTAAGGTTTGCTTCTGTACTTTTAATCCGCAGTTAACGGCTCTGTACCACCAAATGTCTTACTGGTACTAAATAACGAGCACTTGATCAAGGATGGCATTGCACTGGAGTTTCTACTAGAGCTGTTCCAGACGTTCAAGCAAGAGAAGGGCATTGCATATCTGATTCAGGCGCTTAAAAAGGGTGGACTGGAAAGCAAGTAAGTTTGTTGCTTGGTTAAATTCAGTGTGGAACGTTCTCAGGAAGATGATTCAATCAGCCAGTTGTACATCTTTAATTGACATTCCTAGAGTAAAAAATGTCGACGGAGTTTTACCCATTTCGCAAATGGACTTTAGCTTCATTTGGGTGCCGATTTAATTTCGTACACTTTAATAAAAAGAGAGTTTAGTTTAAACGCGTTTATAAGTACATATGTACTAACCAATCTCGCTTTGTCATTCTTTGTTTCAGACTTATGGACTTTTTCCCACCAAACAAACGTACTGAGGAATATTTTAAACAAGTTTTTCTTGACAAAGAACTCAACGAGATCATTAAGCTGCATAAGGCTCAAGCTAGCCAGGAGGCGAAGCGTGAGTTGCAGCAGGCGCTCATCGATGATATCAATGATGAGAAGCCACATAGTGAGATAACCTCAGACATTAAGGAGTTCTCGCAACGCACGAACATTCCCGATCATGAAATAATCGTCATTGTAAGTCGAGTCATCCGATACAAATATCTGTTGTTTTATTAATTTAATTCATTTTGTTTCTCTTAGATTTGGTCCACCATCATGTCATTGGGCGAATGGAACAAGAAGGAAGAGCTGGTTACCGATCAGGCTGTTCGTCATCTAAAGACCTACTGTACACTGTTGCAGGCTTTTGCCTCGACAGACCGCTCGGAGTTGGCTCTGATCCTTAAGGTGCAGGAGTTCTGCTACGAGAACATGAATTTTATGAAGGCGTTCCAGAAGATCATTTTGTTGTTCTACAAGACCGAGGTTCTGTCTGAGGAGATCATCTTGCGCTGGTACAAGGATGGGCACTCAAACAAGGGAAAGATGCATTTCCTCGAACAAATGCGCAAGTTTGTCGAATGGCTCCAATCAGCCGAAGAAGGTTGGTATTTCTCAGACGACGATTTATGCAATTTTTTGAGAATGGTCATGCCCGAATGGCATGATTCTGGTACACAATTGCAAGATAATTTGGGATTTTTGCTTGCCTCGTTTCTTAAACAAAATCAGAGCTACGCAGGCCAATGAAAACCTGGACATTCAAATATACTTAAAGTACCTGGGGAAACTAAATCTTACCTTCAGCCAATAGTTGTAGTGCAATTTTTGAGAATGTTCTTGTCCCCGATGACACTTTCATTGTACAAAATTGCAAGAGTAAGTGGGTTTTTTGCTTGCCTTGTTGCTTTACAAATCTCTGAGCATCATAGGCCAATGAAAACTTGGACAAAATTAATTTTGAACTAATATGGCATACTTCTCTTACCGAGCTTTTAAAGAGTTTTCATTTATTGGGGCCAATTTTAAAGGGTTCATGTACAGTATGCTAAAGCAAAAGAATGGTTGGGTGTCCGTATAACCTTTTCAATGGTTATTTTAGGCCAATAATCGTTTGCACAGCTGTAGTTGAATCGGTTCTGCACAATCCCGTTATACAAGCTTCGAACGTTTATACCGTTCGACTAAGCTAAAAAGGAGTAGTGCAAGAGCATTTGAATGGTTGGGTGTCCAAATAACTTCACATAGTTACATTTGGCCAATAATCATTTGGACAGTCTAGCTAAAGTCAAACAAATTAATTTTGAGACCTGATGATGACAGTACTAATAATTTTATTTCATTTTTTTCTATTTTCTTACAGAATCTGAGTCTGAGGACGAGCAAAAAAATGGGGAGTAACGCTTTGGTTAATGGCTAAAAAGGAACAACAAAAACGGAGCCGCCCTTCCTTTATGATCCTTATCTGATAATGCGGATCGATCATCTGCAACAGCCAGTCGAACTATACTATACAATCCACCCCTATGAATAACGTCATTTTGAGAAACTCCACCTATATAACACTCAAAAAATTCCAACAATAAAGGAGAGAGTAAAGCAAACCGTCAGCTAAAAATTAAAAGTTTGTAGTCAGTCCACTGTCCAATATCCTAGTTTTCCATTCAGATTCAATCACCGTTTAAAGGCAATATACTCAAGATGATGACAAAGAAACAAACAATTGATGAAAATGTGTTAATAAAAGTTTAGTGTTTTGCAACTACCAAAAAAAAAAGAAAACCTGAAGCAACGCTCTAATTTATTAAGGCACTACAGGAAATCAATTGATTGAAGTTTGCAATTTCTGATTCGACAGCAGGTCGAAGTCAAAATTGAGGAAATAGCGAGAATAGGAAAAAAACGTGGTTGAGACGTTTAATGTTAAAAAGAGGTGTAACCCGGTCTATGCTCGCACTATTTATTTAAAAAGGTATTCCCAAATATGCATATAACAAAAAGAAATAAAATTCATTAGCAACTGATTCGACACATCAATAAAAACGGACACTGAACCGGATTATTTTGAGAACAGAAATTGAAAAGATCAATGTTGGCTAGCACGCTAGCAAGAATCATCGTAAAATTTTTGAACAAAAACGTACATATATGTATAATACCATTAAATGAAATACAACACAAAAAAAGTTTTTAATGGTATCGCTAAGTTTAGATTGGTAATTGATTGGCTCGAAGTAAATATGGGAAAGGAGTGAAGTCAATGTTTTTTTGTCCCCCAAAAAAACAGGAACGTTAATATCGAAAGTGGTTTGGATTTGACTAGATTACCCTATGATCTGTTGACCGAACTCTCAGCTTAACTAAAAAGGAAATCTAAAAATATATTTCCTCGGTTTGTTAAACCGGATCCCGGAAGGCAAATTGTATGGGCTGTCTCCTTTTTTGAGCTACGTGATTGCCAAGTGCAAAAATATGTTTCGTCACATTATTTTACTTTGAAAATGTTGGATGTCTGCGTCAAAGTATTTAGTTCCTAGCTGGGGCCTTAATGGTACCAAAAAAAATAATTTTTTTCACAAGCTGGTGCATACTTTTTGGCTTTTTGGAATTTTCAAGCATTTGATTTGAATTTAAGCGAGTTCTAACGTTTAGCCCTTATTTTTTGACTTTTTTTGTTAATTAAAAAATACACAAGTTTTAATTTTTTAATATACTAATATTTCATGATTGTATAATTTGTCATTTAGAAACTATTACTCCCAAAAAATTTTTCAAGGTGTAACATCTTTTTTATTGAATAACTTTTTCACTTAATTTGGTATCAGTAGATATTTTGAATTATTGCTAAGAAAAATTCATTTCGTACATACTTTTCATTTATTTTTAAGCATCTTACCTTTACTGACTTTATTTTTCAGCATCGCGTAAGTATGAAAATTTATGTTTAATTTAGGACCAAGGACGGGTAATCTACCATTTTTTGAGTCATGATAACTAAAGTTTTTTTGAGGTTGAGTATATCTCTTATTTCCGAGGTTTTAATGAATTCAAAAACCGAGAAAAATTCAACGAATTTGTCATATGGTTTAAAAACAAGCAATTGGAAAACACTTCTGTTTCGATTTTATATAGAAAAAGTTTGTTTTTTTTTCTTAAAATATCAAATGTACTTACTCACGTGTGGTATTTACGAGTAAGTGTAGTTTAATTGCGGCGAAAATATTGAATGAGTCTTTTTTATGTAAAATAATTTCAATAATAACTTTTGTTAAATCAGTCTTGTAGGCAGTTTTGCATCGATTATAAGGCTAGAGTGTGTAAAAATTAATAATTTCTCCTACATAATAATAATTTTTCATTATTCTAAAATACTCGGCGTTAAATACTTTTGACTAAATTCGTATACACGTCTTCGCGGTTTTTGTACCCATAGACTTTTACCTTGTCTAAATCTATAGATTTAGATTTAAAACCTTTTTTATAAATAATAAAAACCAGATCGAGCTTGCTAAAATTATGATTATTCCCCCCTGTCTCCAATCGGGTTTTAGAACCAACTTTATCAATAAAATTTGTTATTGTAGTTTAGTTTTTGGAAATACTGTTTTTATTCAACATAAATTTTGTTTAAAAGTAATTTTCTTGCATTTGTATTTCATGTAATGTATATAGTACTCGATGTTATATAATAACGCATATGCTATTTTGTATTTGTTTGCTAAATTTGTAGTTATTCATCATATTGAACAATTTTAATTTACTTGGTAACGGTTAGAAAATGAGCCTGGAGAATACACTATGAACATTGGCGAACATGCAAATACAAGGTTCAAATTAGCTGTAGTTCCTGCGTGTTAGTCGTATGTATGAACGTGGTGTTGTTTAAGAGCCTGATAATATGATGGTGCAGCGGCGAGAAGAAACGGTGGCAGTTCGGCAGCCCCTTAATTGATAGAGTCTAATTTCCATTTTTTTTTTTAGATTTTCTTTTAATTATTAAGTTTTAATGTGTGGAAGCTGAACTTGAAGGTCAACAAATTTAGCTACTTGGGCGGCTTGGCAATACTTTTCCGTCGTGGATGCGATGTATTATGGAGTTTAGGTGTTGCGTGCTTAATATTGTGTATTCGTTACATTCGCTAGCTCGACAACAGACATTGAATGATTTTTTGAGCTTATGGTGGGCCAGTGGTAGCTACACACGCGTCCGTTGCCCGCGAAGCAGCGAAATCGGTAACTTGGGTGCATTTCGGTGCTTTGTCGGGCAACAATGCTGAGTGGCCACATGCGTAGACTGCCAGTGGCTCTGAAAAGGATGTTCGCTGCCGTAGCTTCTCCTGATCGCTGCACGTGATAATTATAAACATAAAGAACATAGACATATAAAACTTCAACAAAGACTACATACGACAGCAATTAATGTACAAATAACAACGCAAAAAGAGGGCAAAAGCTGAAAACAAAATTCTTGGACAGGAATGTATGCAAAATTTTAAAGTGTATGTATACAATATCAGCACATGTCTGGACCTACTGCTCAGAAATATGTGCATATGTAAAAAACGAACAAACTTTAACAAACTCGTATTATGCTTTCGTATGCTCCTAGGACTGTGTCCTCTAAACTATATAGTAAGTATTGGCATACAAACATATATATCAGAGTATATATGTGTGTTTAGTGTGGGTATCATATAACTGTTGAATACAGAAGGACCGAAATGTTCTTGAGTGTTTCAGTTTCAATATACAAAGACAACGGCAAAAGTATTTTGAAATCGAATATAATCCTAGTTGTTGCCTGACTGCCAAAGGATGAGTTTACTTGTGTTCAATGTTTAGTGGCTGGATGTTGTAATAACTTGAACTGTTCCTGCAGGATTGGTGTTGATGCTGGTTCTCTTTCTGATTAGTTGTTTTGTTTTGCACTTAAAAAATTTAATCGGTGAATTTGCGATTGACGTTGCGGCCGAAGAGGGCGTTACGAATCTCGGGCACCAGTTGCTGCGAAATCAGATCTAATCTGGACTCCAGCGTGTTGGGCACCTGTAAAGGGTATTTTGTTAAGTTGAGAGTGCGCCTTAAGAATACTGTTTGTGGGAGTACAAACCTTGATGCGTCCGTTCAGAGCCAGAAGCTCAACACCGCCGCAGGTATCAGCAGAGAGGAAGTCTTTCTCGTCGATGATTAGGTCGACGTTTTGGTTGATCTGGGCCTTGTACTGCTCCACAGCACTGGGGAGGACGTCGCGCACCAAAGGCACATCGACTTCGCGACAGCGCAGGATCACCTTGGGTTCCATGACCTGGAACAGGCCCTGGACGATGAGCTTGGTCAGCACGGTCTGGTATTCGGACTGCTTCTTGGTGACCTCGCCGAGACGCTTGCGGGCGTCATCCAGCACGCTGCTCACATGGTCCTCGCGCACTTTCAGCACCTGGAAAAAGGTTTAAGGAAAGATTGAATGAGTTGGCGACCTAAGGACAACAAAAACTCCCACCTTTAGGCGAGCCTGGTTGAGCATGTTCGATGACTGGATCTTCTTTTGCAGCTCCACCTGCTTCTCCTTCTTCTCGTAGTACTCCATGATCTTGAGGCGCTGCTGCTGGACGAGGCGTCCCTTCTCGATGTTGAACTCCTCCTCGGCCTTGGCGTCGATCTCCTCGGCTTTCTCATTGGCCTCCTGCTCAATGAAGGCCATCATGTGTTTGATCTGAAATAGTAGTCCTGTTTAGTAGTTGCCTCATTTTGTCACATGATTACTGCATTGGAAAGGTCCAAAAACTCCATCCTCTATTTATATTCGTTAAAGTTTTGATAACGTAAGGGGTTTGCTGGTCGTGTGACAGAGAGTGCGAGTGGGGCGCAGACTAGTCGTCTCGCTCCAACACATGGTCCCAATGCGGGGGCCCGTGTCACATGACTATCACGAATTTTTTACTCACATTTTACGCAAAGTTTTTGAACAAATACTTTTGTAAGGGCCTAACTACCAACAAGTTTTGGGATATAACATCTACTTTTTAAGAATTTGTGCCAATCAGACTTGTGGCAGGACACCGAAACTTGTGGTGAAAAGTTCACATGACTTGGGGGCACCTCAGATCCCATGACTTCGCCATTTTTATTGCGGAGAAAAACTTTGGGGCTCTTCTCTAGGTTATTCCGTGTCCAGGAACGACCACCGCCACTCTTCCGCTCCTAATTACCTGTTTCTGTACATCAGCATCGCTCAGTGCCATCTTGACTGATTTTTATCACTTGCACAAACCGAACCGAAAAGAAATTCAAGTTATTCGAAGAAGTCCACGTACAACCGTGCCTGCAATGGTTATAAATTTGTTAAAAACTAATAAAATCAAAACAGAGTTAAGTTTGAAAACTGAGTGGACACGAGGAAAATTGAAAACGATAAGTTACTTTGCCTTCTGCCCAACGTCTGAAAATTTTCACTGCAAATCGATCATATGATTTTACGGGAAGTGTGGCCCTCTGCTCGCACACGTAAAAATGTGTATTTGTTAAAGAAACGGAGCTGCCAGCCCTCTGACAGACTATTCTATCGATTGAGGCGGTATACACTAGGCTATACCCTGTAACTGGTTCCAAAGTACATTAGAGACCGACTAAGTTTCACCAAAATAAAGTGAAACTATATTGCTGCTTTTGCTTTGTTTAATTATTAAGGTTTATGATCTATGAATTCCTATTGAATATTGGCATAATTGTTAAAGTTGTGGAAAATATATAGTCTATGAGAGTGTTTATTTTGAAAATTAAATAATTGTCTAATATTTTATTTTTACTAGTGATTTCTTTTTTTTTTAACATTTATTTTACAAGGTTTTTTCTTTTGACATTTGTATCGAAAATACCAAGTGAATACCGATATTTTACCATCTCTGTTTCGTGGTGACTGTTTTTTTCTTGTACACACGCTAACTCAGTACCAATTTGTTTTTTGTAGTGGTTTTAGCAAAAACAAGCTACATTTGATTTGTACGGTCGAATCTTTGCACCTGCGAGCTATGGAGACGCTCCTAGAACAGCAAAGGCGCTACCACGAGGAGCGCGAGCGCCTGGTAAAACTCATGGTGGACGAGCACGCGACCAAAAAGCCGGGTGAGAAGGAGCGCATCCACTCGGAGCACCGGCTGAAATACCTTATGGAACTCCACCACAACGCCACGTCGCAGCTGCGCGATCTCTACGAGGACAAGGACAACGAGCGCAAGGCCGAGATCGCAGCCCTTTCTGGACCCAACGAGTTTAACGAGTTCTACGCTCGCCTGAAGCAGATCAAGCAGTTCTACAAGTCGCATCCAGCGGAGGTTAGTGTGCCGCTGTCCGTCGAGTTCGACGAGATGATCCGGGTGTACAACAATCCGGACGATATGAGTGCCCTGGTGGAGTTTACGGATGAGGAGGGAGGTGGTCGGTATCTGGACCTTAATGAGTGCTATGAGCTCTATTTAAACCTGCGGGGCGTCGAGAAGCTGGACTACATAACCTACTTGATGTCATTCGACCACGTCTTTGACATACCCCGCGAGCGCAAGAATCGGGAGTACCGAAAGTACATAGAGACCCTTAATGACTACCTCCACCACTTCATCCTGCGCATCCAGCCCTTGCTCGACTTAGAAGGCGAGCTGCTGAAGGTGGAGCTCGACTTCCAGCGACAGTGGCTGCAGGGCACATTCCCCGGCTTCTCGCTCAAGGAGACAGAGTCGGCGCTGGCCAACACTGGTGCCCACCTCGATTTGTCCGCCTTTTCCAGCTGGGAGGAGCTGGCCTCCCTGGGTCTGGATCGTTTGAAGTCGGCTCTCGTGGCTCTAGGGCTCAAGTGCGGTGGCACGCTGGAGGAGCGCGCTCAGCGGCTATTTTCCACCAAGGGCAAGAGTACCTTGGATCCCGCCCTGATGGCTAAAAAGCCGAGTGCCAAGACCGCTAGTGCACAGTCAAGGGAGCACGAGCGCCACAAGGAGATTGCCCAGCTGGAGGCACTGCTTTACAAGTATGCCGAGCTTCTCTCTGAGCAGCGAGCGGCCACCAAGGAGAATGTGCAGCGAAAGCAGGCTAGAACCGGCGGCGAGCGGGACGACAGCGATGTGGAGGCCAGTGAGTCCGATAATGATGACGACCCCGATGCGGATGACGTGCCGTACAATCCCAAAAACCTGCCGCTTGGCTGGGATGGGAAGCCGATCCCCTACTGGCTGTACAAGCTGCACGGACTTAACATCAGCTACAATTGCGAGATCTGCGGAAATTTCACTTATAAGGGTCCCAAGGCTTTCCAGCGCCACTTCGCCGAATGGCGCCATGCGCACGGAATGCGCTGTCTGGGTATCCCCAACACCGCCCACTTTGCCAACGTTACCCAAATCGAAGACGCCATTACGCTGTGGGAGAAGCTCAAGTCGCAGAAACAGAGCGAGCGCTGGATAGCCGATCAGGAAGAAGAGTTCGAGGACTCGCTGGGCAACGTGGTCAACCGAAAGACGTTCGAGGATCTAAAACGCCAGGGACTGCTTTAGAGAGTAGATTTAAGGGTCGCTTAAATACTTAAGAAAGTCTTTGGATAATTCAACATTTTTTCTATTAACTTTGAGAGCCTGTTGAATTATTTCGAATTTGCCTATCATATCTTAAATTTAAGACTTGAGAATGGTCAAATCGTTTATATTCTAAGATCGACATACGATTTCTTTTGTTGTTTAGCGACCAGCATATTCTATGTAGTTTAAATAAAAAATAATCATCTTGTAAACTGTCTGATTTAATGATTAAATTATTGCGAACCTCAAACATATATCAGCTGAAGATGAACGCCTGCATTTTCAATCCGACATTTTTCACCGTGGCCAAGGGAAGCAGGGAAAAGGCTTGCGATGAGGAGTGTCGTCCTGGACTTTGAGTCTGCAACCAGGGAAACTCCTGGTACTGGGATTCGTGGCTGAAGCGTATAAATGCATCCTGTGTGGTGTGCAGGTGGATTTTAAACTGGCAGTTTCCTGGAGGCAGTTTGGGTAACGGCTTCACCCGTTCGGATAGTTTGTAAATGGCTGAGCGCAGTTGCTGCTCAAACTCTATCAGGTGAGGATCCTCTGCTGTGGCGTGGCCATCTTCCCCCAGCAATTCCGTTTGGATTTGGTAGCTCTCCAGCGGCTCGTTCTCCTTCTGGTACACTATCAGCGCAAGGCACTGCAACTCGTGGCGGATGAGCAATTCCCGAGCGGATTTTAAAACGCCGGCCAGGTAATTGTTAAGTGGCGGAAAAATAGAAACAAAGACCGGTGTGTTGTACACCCTCCTCTTTTTAAATATCTGCGAGGGGTATATACCCCTAACGTATAGGATGTGATTCAGAAGAACCTCTATCGCCTCCAGATGGATATCGGCCGTACAATCTGCCTGCATTTCGTAAGCAAGCGAAATAACAATAAATAGAACGGATTTAATTAAAACGGGAAATATGGGAAGTTATCGATAGTAACGAAGTTTAACTATAAGAATGTTATTCTGGGAGTATCTTTCTAAAGGCTTTCGTCAAAGTATTTAATTTTATTTAAAATTTGATTTTTATAAGTTCAGCCACGAGAATTAGTAAATATAATAATAAATTTGTATTTTGTCTTTGAACTTATACATTTTTTAAGCAGGATCTTGATTTTCTTTCGTGGCTCTACAAATAATTCCATAAAATTGATGTCCTTTTAAAAATACAACCATTTTTTTAAAATAACTTTTACATAAACCAGCTTTAATTAAATAAAACTCGCTTATGAACAAACGAACTAAATTCGATTGCAATAATATGCACCAATGCGTCTGTTTGTCGTTAGCGATGGATCGTTGTCGGCAGCCAGCTATCGAAAGCGCTCGCTGGTGCGTTCTCCCACCCTTAGCTGAAAAAATGGCTGAAATTCGAGTGTGTGTGTGAAGGAAACTGTGTGAGAAAAATTTGCGTTTGCTACCAATTCGGAAATTACGGCCTTGCGGCATCAAAATCGGACTCCATTGTTCCTAGGCCACCCCAGCTGCCACGCCCACGATTTCCCACGGAGGAGGCTAACGGTCGAACGTCAGGCAGGGCTCCAGAAAATTGGCAATTGATGCCACTCTCCGAAATCGGCACTCGGCACTCTCCTCCACTCACAGCGGCTTGAAATTACGGACAAGCTAGGCCAAAAAAAGCATCAGCTCTGGTTACCGTGTCGAAAAATGTGGATTTCAGACCGAACAGAGAAACTACCAGGCGCGGATAACTAGATGAGAATCGAGCGAAGAGCACTCCCTATATGTAATATATATGTAATAAACGCGCCTGCCCCGCCGACAGTGTACATACATCAATATATCGGCTTGATACACACATACGCAGTTGCATCAGCATGTCCGACCGTGATTCTGATTCCGAATCCGACGCTGGCCCACCCATGAATCATCAGCGGGTCCAGCGGAACCGGCGCATCATCATGCGGATCGAATTTAAAGATTCAGAGGACACGGCATCGGACCCCGATCAGGACGACCGGCCGTCCTGCTCTACCGCGACACGGCCGCGGCGTGGCGCCCGGCGCCAGGAGGGGAATCGTGAGTCGGACGCGGTGAACCGGAAGTCCACGCGCAAGTTTCGCAGTCGGAACGGGGTGCAGAGTGACGGCTCATCCAGCGGCAGCGATGTAAGGCATTATTCCCGAATCTGTCCTAATCCCAATCGGAACTCCACCCTGCAGGCTTCAGTTTTTAATGTTTCCCATGGTCCATTGCAGATCAATCAGCGGACCATTCGCAGCAGCAAGCGGAACAAAGTGGAGTCCTACGACGAGGAGGAGCAAGACCAGACGCCCAGTGTGGCAGAAAGACTACAGCCCACGACTGCTGAGCCCGATCCCGGCTTCAGTTCCGACAGCAGCAGCAACGATCTGCTTGAGAAGTGTCCAATCTGTCTGTTGACCTTCCGGCAGCAGGAGATCGGCACGCCAGCCACCTGCGAGCACATTTTCTGCGCGGCTTGCATCGACGCTTGGTCGAAAAATGTTCAGACCTGTCCCATAGACCGCATCGCTTTCGACAGGATTGTGGTGCGCGACTCCTACGCCAGTCGCCAAGTGGTAAGGGAGACGCGGGTGGACCTGACCAAGTCTAAAACAGAGTTAGCTCTGGACGACGAGGCAGAGGGTACTGCGGCTTCTGAAGAGGAGCTGACCAACTGCGAGGTCTGCGAACGTCCGGAGCGGGAGGATGTAATGCTTCTATGCGACAGCTGCAATCAGGGATACCACATGGACTGCCTGGACCCGCCGCTACACGAGGTTCCTGCTGGCTCCTGGTACTGCGACAACTGCGTTGATTCCGAGGAGGACGACGCCGACGAGCAGATGGAGCTCGCAGACGACTTGAGTCAGCTGTACGAAGACATCAGGGGAATGGGCTTGCCGGAGACTCGACTCAGGGTGCGCGAAGTGCAACAGCCGCCAAGGATCCTGCGCACCCGCCAGAACGAACGCATTCGAGCGGCTGTACTGCGACGCACCCGCTCTGCTGTGGATTCAACCCAGACCAGAACGCGCACCACCACCACCACTACAACCACAACGACCACCACTCGACGCACAACCACAAGCACCACCAAACGGCCCGCTCAACGGCGCGGGCGGAAGAGGACTCGCCATCGCACCTACGTGGTGGAGTACGACCTGAATAACTTCGACGAGAAGTTTGCCCTGAAGACTAGTAAGAAGGTGATCAGGCGACGTCGGCGCCGCCGTCGTCGAGTGGTAGCCCCTGCCTCTAGTGAAGGACCTGGTCGACGACTTTCGGCGAGCAAGCGACTAGCGGAGCAGTTGGGAGTAAAGTTGGACGGAGTGCAGCGTTCTCATCTCAGCGGCGGAACTGCCTCCAGTTTTTCGCTCTTTGGGAACGCCAACGACTTGGAGTACTTCTCGGACAGTGAGCCAGAGTTCGGCGGCAGTGCCACCTCTGCTGGACTCGGATCGACGGCGGTGCAAACGTCAGTTCGCATTGCTAGCATTGGAGCCCCGCGAATCCGTAAAGCCTTGCTCCAAGGCAAGGCACGCATTGCCGCCACGCCTTCAGCCCCGGCTTCAGCTTCAGCTTCAGCTGGTGACATTCTGTCCACAATATTGGATCTGCAAGATCGTTGGCACGACGCTTCGCGCAACCTGAGCGATGTGCACATTAGGGCGGATGGTACCCTCAATCTGCCCCAAAGACTGCCGCCTGCAGCAAAGCCAGCAGCAGCGCCGACGGCGTCCGCTTCTAAGTCCGAGGAGCACGTAACCCAGGCGCCGCTCTACCAGCGCGGTGGAGCAGGACCGAATTTTAGCAGGGGTGGAGGAGCTGGCGCAGGCGACAACTACAACAATCGCTACAGCGGCAATAACAGTTACAGGGGAGGTGGAGGGGGCGGTGTAGCGTCCGGTGGCGGCGGTGGACCTGCCTCGCGGCAATCGACGAGCGGCGGAGACGGCCAAGGGGCTAGTAGTTTTAGTAACCAAAACTTCAGCAGTCCCAGCCCCAACAACAGCAACACAAATTTGTCAAGCTTTACGCCCTTCCACCTCCGATTCAACACGCCCACCCGCCCGCAGCAGCAACGCCAGCCAAACGTGCCCCCCGCCACTCAGCCCACGCCCCCATTTCGTGGAAGCGCACCACCTCCAGCCGCGGTGCCATCGCCATCGAACAGTTTTCCATCGCGACCTCCGGTGTTCGCGCCCCCTGTGAACCACCATCCGGCACCGGTGATGGCCCTGCCAAGAGTGCCTTCAGTACCACCTCCGCCGATACCACCCCCCAACCATACCTTGGAACAACCCGCTCTTCAAGATGAACACCCTGCAGCAGTCGCCGCTGAAAGTCAATGATCGCAACGTAGACGACGATGCCGACAATTGTCCGAATTTTTCAATTTACTCGCAAGAGTCTCAGGCGGTGGCAAACGCCTCGACAATGGCGTCGGGGATTGCACAAGGATCAGCCGATGTGTCCGATAAGGTAAGTCATGGATAAAAATATTTTACAGTTATTTGGAGCTGTAAGTCATGGATAAAAATATTTTACAGTTATTTGGAGCTGTTTAGATTATTTATTTATTTTCGACCTTAGAAACTGAAAATTTAGAGTGCGTGCATTGCCGACGATTAAAAAGCTTACATTTTATTTCATAGGATTAGTAGAAGTTATTTTTTTTTCCCAAAATATTTCTTTGAGTTCAAAATCACGAGTTTGTAAAACATTACATCGTTTGAATTTCGGTTTTTAATAAGTTTATATGAACCGAAGGCCACATTTAAGTGTTTTATTTGATATGATTTTTTTCACAGAACTGGTTTGGACCACTGTTATTAGTTAATAATTTGACGGATTTTGCCTAGAATAATGTTATTGGAACAAAGCAATTCGTGTACTTTAAAAAGAAGAAGGAGCAAAAATATAACTTAGATAAGTTAACTTTGTTAGTAATTCAGACGGATTTTCTCTGGTTTACTATTAACCATCTCTCCTTATTGTTTTTATTGCGACAGGATGATGACGATATGAATGAAGATTTAGTACAATTAGATGACGATGACGAGGATAACGAAATACCTTTGCCCCCGGGACCAGAGCCCGAACAAGTGCCCGATAAAGTCAACGAAGATCTGTACGAGCCGGAGAATCCCACTGACGAGCCGGATGAGCAGGAAGATAACGAAAAGCCCTGTGATGACGCACCCATGGAAGAGTCGGAGTTATCCGATCAAGAGGTCAGCAAGACGGGGGCAACCCCTTCGAAGGCCCTCGATGAAGAGGAGGCAAAGACGCGCAGCACTCCCAGTCCGACGGTTAAGGATCGGGCCAAGGGCGTCCTGGAGCTGTACGATGACAGTGACTGGGAAGAGCTGGACATTGACAAGCCGAAGGAATATGAAAAGGCGCTGGTTTCCGACGCACAGTCCAACCCGAAGCCGAAAAAGTCCAGGAAGGCCAGCTCCAATAAAGACGCAGATGCGGAGAAGGACGACAACGCTAGTGGCAGTGAGCACGAGCAGGATCGGTCATACACGCCCTGTCTGGACGAGAAGAATTTGGCGGAGGGGGAGGAGGAGGCGGCTGCATCAGCGCCTCCGGATGCGGACGGCAACAGTCACAAGACGGGCTCCTCCAAGTCTTCCGATGACGAAGAGGAGCCAGAACAGGCTGTCGCCACGGATATTGTGTCGGAGGACGAGCTGACCAACGAAAACGGCTCGAAACGACGCAGTCGAAGCCGCGGTAGGGCGAGAAAGCAATCCAAGTCCAAGTCGAAATCGCGTTCAAAACGCAGCAAGGACGAAACCTTCAAAAAAGTGGGAAAGCGACAAAAGGATCGCAACTACCGCGGAGACAAGACAGAGGCGGATCGCAGCCCTTGCACTCCAAAGAGCCGCTCCAAGAGCCCGAAGCGCAGCAAGAGTGCCAGTCCAAGTAGGAGCCGGACCAAGAGCAAAAGCAGGAGCAGAAGCAGAAGCAGAAGTCGATCCCCCAGTCGCAGCAGGATCAGGCGTCGCCGTAGCAGCCGCTCTAAGTCATACTCCCGCTCTCACTCCAGGTCTCGATCGCGTTCCAATTCGTATAGCCGCCAGCGGTTCTCCTTCCGTGGACGGGACAACCAGCGCGGCTTCATGCGTGGACGCGGTGGACTTCGTTTCAATTACCGCAATCAACAGTTCCACAACCGGCCGTTTCAGCACCACAACCAGAACTACCACCAGAACCAAAACTTTCATCAGCAGCACCATCAGCAGCAGCATTACTTTCACTACAACCAGCACGGCCAGCACCAGCAGTTCTTTCAGCGGCCCAAACGCAGGGAACTACCTCGCTATGACGTGCGCAACGTAGTGGGTGCATCGAGGCACCAGCACCAGGCCAAGGACCGCTATGGACGCGACGCAATGCGGTCGGCCAGAAGTCGATCGGGCAGGCGCAACTCGCGCAGTTTCTCGCGGAGCGTTTCGAGGGGATCGAGGGGTTCCCTGCGCTCTCGTTCGGCCTCGCCGAAGCGCTTCCGAAGCTTTAGCATCTCGCCAACGCCCCCGCCAGGCACCTCGCCGTCTCCCCACAAACAAGGCGAAAGGCGTAGAACCTCGTCGGGCAGACGGTATGCCCGCTCGCCCTCGCCGCTGCCGCCTCCTCCGAACGAAAGCGCCCATAGTCCAGTGTCTCCGCGGTCCAGAAATTCGCGCTCACACACTCCCAATCGCATTAACGGCGGGGGAGGCAACAGATCGCCTCTCTACCTGGGCTCGCCGCGCTATACGCCTCGACTGAGTCGCAGCCGGAGCAGGAGTCGCTCAAAAAGTCCCAAGGATGCGCCCAAGAAGAAGAAAAAGAAGTCCGACAAGAAGAAAAAGAAGAAGAGGACGGGCAGCGCCAGTCCAACGACAGCTGCGCGGATGAGGCGCATCTCCCGACAACGCGATCCCTTCGAGGATGCCGATGACTTCCTGGCGCCGCAGAGAAAGCGCAAGAAGGGCGGAATAGTCCCTGGTCAGTGGTCCCCGTCGCCTTCTCCCGGTCGCTGTGATTTCCTGCACGACGGCGCCTGCGCGGACAAGAACTCCTCCTGGACGCCACCGCTGGAATCTCCCAAGGGTGCCGGTGGCCACTACGACAACGATGGTGGCTTGACACCCAAGAAGGCCAAGCGCAAGCGGGACAAGAGCAAAAAGAAGAAGAAGCAGTACCCGCTGGAGAAGCAGCGCAAGGAGAAGAAGCGCAAGCGGCGAACCCAGACGCCGGAGCCTTTGCCCTCGAAGGAGGTGTTCGCTTCGGGCAACAACATCCTGGTGAGCGTGAGCTTCAACAAGGAGGCGAGCGCCAACAATGCGATCTCCACGCTGGGCTCTCAGCAGCAGTCGACAGTCACAATGCCATCCGGCAGGGGGGAGGATCTGTTGAGCGAGCGCCTGACCAGCAGCATCAGCAGCGCTGTGGGCGCCGTCAAGAAGGGAAAGCGGGAAAAGCCACGCAAGCGGAAGAAGCTGGAGGCCAAGCCGGTGGCCATCATCGATCTGGAGCGCTCGCCCTTCCAGGTTCATCAGGAGCCGGCCGATGTCATTGTGCTCACCGACAGCGAGGATGCGACCGATCAACTTTCCACGAGAAGGGAGAGGGAGAGGGAGCGAGATAGGGACCACGACCTGATGCGCGAAAACGGGCAAAGAGAAAAAACGCCGCAGGTTGGTTCCTTGGACACAATCATGGAGACCTCGTACGAGAACATGACGCAGTCCACCGGCCCCAAGACGCCACCCGAGCCGCCCCTCGTTAAGTTCAACCTGCCCACCAAGAAGATGCAGCACAAGCCGCGCAGCAATCCGCTGCACGAAGACGCCGATGATATTAACTCCGCGGACGAACTGGAGGCAGCCTGTTCCCTGGCTCCCGAGGAGCAGTCGCCCCAGCACGGTCACGGCAGCCACGATGGCGGCCAGAAGATCGGACCGAACACGCCCCCGGAGTCGGGACCGCGCTCGCCCGACGTCTACGATCCCTTCGAGCCGACCAAGTCGCCCTCCCTCTCACCGCGCTCGCCGACACCACCGCCGTGCCAGAGCCTGGATCAGCAAGCGGCCGGCAGCATGCCGGCGAGCAGTGCGATCGGTTCGGCGTCTGGAGACAAAGGAGAGAGCGATGCGGGCCACGCAACCGTGTCCAATGCGAGCACCAGCACCCAGACCCAGACGAGCGTGCTCAACCCGGTGGATCTGGTGATGGCGCTGATGAACAAGCCCAACCAGAGCGGAGCTAACCAGCAAGAGAGCGAGGTGAGCTCCGCCCAGTACATCAGCAGCAGCTCGGTCAGCCTCTCGCTGGGCGTCGGCTCCAGCACCTCCGGCGGCGCAGGGGGAATCGGCGGAGGCGACAGCCATGACAAGGCCACCGATGGAAAGACCATCACCGTTCTCTCCAACGTTTTGCTCACGAGCAGCAGCGTGGTGTCCAGCTCGCAGCACATACCGTCGATTTCTAGTCCGACGCCGCCGTCAAAGAAGCTCACCCCGCTGCCGAAGGCCGGAGGCAGTGTGGCCAGCAGCAGCAGCGGAGTTGGCAACATGCCCACCACCAGCGGAGGAGTGGGTGGTGGCCTTCGGAACGGCAGTGGCCTTGGCAATGCCGGGGGATCGAGCAACGCCCTCGACGACTCATTTAACATGGACATCGAGAGCCCCTATTCGCCCGGCTCGGCCGACTACGAGGATCTGTTCGAGCCTCCCAGCTTAATGGAGGGCAACCGGCGAGCGAAGGGCGGCGCATCTGCCGGGGGTAAAGTGGAAATGTTCGACAACCTATTCGGAAGCAGTTCGCCAGTGGGCAATATCCGGGTGTCATCGCGCTACACAACTGCGGCAGGCAAGAAGACGCATCGTAGCAAGGGCGACCGCAAATCAAAATCAAAAGGTGGGTCTTGTTCTCTGGTTGAAGTTAGGCTCCTTGTTTGACTTTTTGTTTTTACACCCTTGCAAAGGTTATTATAATTACAGTCCGAAAATCACAATGCACTTAAGACCCCTTAAGTATATACATATATATTCTTGATCAGCAAGAACATCTGGGTCGATCTAGACAACAAGTCTGTCAGTTTAAAAGCTATCTCGCTGAAATTACCAAAATTTTCGAAATCGAAAATTAACGGGAAAAAAGTATGACGCCGTTGTTTTTTTTTTGGCACATGTTGTTTCTAACGGCTCTTGAATTTCGAATTAAATTTTATGAAAATTTTATGAGTTACAATTCCAAGGGTGGAATTAGCTTTCTTGCTTGTTTCCAGTTAAAAAGTTTCCTTGACGATTTGCAAAGATCAAGCCTTCGTATTTTTTATCTGAAATCATTACAATACCTGTTTTTTTTCACAATTTTCAGGTGCAAGAAATACGGATGCATATGACGATGTGCCGAATTCGGCAACTGACCTACAAAATAAGGATAGAGTGAGTCAATTTCGAACACACCCTGTGAAACAGAAAAAATATGAATTTTGTTTTTGCTTTACAGCTTTTACGCAAGTTAAATCGACAGGAACGTGTCGTTGAGGAGGTAAAATTGGTGTTAAAGCCGTACTTTAACAAGAAAGCGATTACAAAGGATGACTACAAGGACATCATGCGAAGAGCTGTGCCCAAGGTAAGTTATCTGTCATAATAATAACAAATTCTTAAAGCAACCTAACATTTTATAAATTGAATAACTAAATCATTTAGAACTAAATCACGTATAATAAATATTTCTATCCTTTCTTTAGATCTGCCACAGTCGGTCTGGTGAAATTAATCCACACAAGATTAAAAATCTTATTGACGCGTATGTAAGGAAATTCCGAGCAAAGCACAAGAAGTTGAGTCTCCTGAACACGGGGCAAGTTAGTAGTGCTGTTAAATGTGCCGCCTATCTAAAAAAACTGTAAGCCAGCAAGCGAGCGCCTAGGAACCGGCAGTAAGTTCAAATAAATATTCGCTGGTTTCCACGATAAGTAAAATAATTTTCTTATTTTCAGCTTTTGGTAAAAAAAATTTAAAGAATTTTGCGGTCGCATGCATTCCTAAAATCTACCATCAAATGAAACCAATAATATCCATCAGCCAACATCGCAAACTTGGGAAAAGTGAATGGAAAACTCAAACTGTCATTTACTATTGGAATTTAGTTTTTAAGCCAATTTTAGGTCACTTTACGAATGATTTAGACCGTAAGCGAAATACAGAAGTGAAGATTTTTAAATATTAAGCAAAAGCAGTTCGCCACCTAACTTTTGGTTACCCAAAGCACTACAAAAACACTTTATTTATATCAAGACTAGTTCATTAGATTGTTTATTTGTACGAAACCTGTAATGATAATTTAACTGTTTTGCATGAGCATTAACAATTTGTAAGTAGTTAAGTGAAGGCAAAACAAAATTGTATTTTACCTCTGATAATTTAAATACTTAAATTAAACACATTTGAAAAAATGATTGATAACATCAACAAATTGGCGCGCACTGAAGAAGGCATAGCAAATTCCTGGGAATGTCGTTCATGCGGTCGAGTATTTTTCTTGAAAGAATGTTGTTATTAAACAATTGTAATTATGTATTCATAGGATTAACTGCATGGACAGTTATGCAGTACATCTACCAATCAATTGATTTCGCATAGTCGTTCAGTCATAATTTTTGAATAACGAGTAAGGGTGTTTGCGCTGCAACACAAATGATAACAGTATATTTAATTATGCAAATTGTGCTAAATCGTTTTGTAAATATCCATATACATAAAAATAAAAGCGATTAATCCAACAACGTTGTTCTAACTGTCTCATCACTAACCAATATGATAAACGACATATGATATATCTGATATTTGAATTTAAAATTCATTCTGTATATCATTGGCCATCCCATCCAAAAATGATGTATACATCCCTAAGTATTCCAGAACATTTAGACAAGGATTTTATTATTTGGTAAAGTTTATTAGTTTGATCTTTGTGTTCTGCATTTTTACTAAATGAATGTATATAAAGTATGTGTTTATAATAAATAGTTCTGCACATTTATAATTTTTTTCATTGAAAAAATGATTTATAATGAAATGCCGATTTTGCTCCCATACGGTACCTTGTCTCGCGTGGCATGATTGGTGTAATCTACTTCAAAGCGGGTTATTAATAAACAATTGCAATAGCGTAATATACTCAACTCAGTTACTCTATCGAGCCTTTTGATTTAGCTTGGTTTGCCTATTTAGCATTCAAGAGTACAAACAAATTGTGCTACATCTCTTTGTAGATAAACAAAATATTTCAAAATAAACACGTTTGACAAAAAATTCGAAGCGATCATCGTGTTTGTTTCGCTTTCTTAGTTACCAATTTTTTGATATCGTTTTTAAAGGCTTCTTGGGCGAACAATTAACTAAAAGTTTTTAAACAGGTTGGTTAAATTGGTTTTAAATGTTAAATTACGAAGCAGATTGTATGATTCTTCCTTAATCGGTTTGTGGCTATATGTACTTATTTTGAAACTTGGTTAGATTACGATTTTGTTTCAGGGTTCTCTATATTAAATGCCAGTTTGGTTGTCGGATGAGCGCAGACTTTGGCTTACACTGTCGTCGGAGATTGTGCGAATCCGCATCAACAGACATTACGATGCGACATTGGTCTGTGGTCTACCAGAAACCGGAAGACTTTCCGCCAGGTGGGTTCTTTACTTTAATGCACGCTCGAACTCCAGACCTGTCGAGTTCCTCTGCAAAATAAAAAGATGATTTATTTAAATAGGGTTTTTTTCTTATAAAAAAATATTTGTAACAAGGGTTTCCTATGCTTGATTTTTACAACGTTAAAATTAGGATGTTATTTTTTTTCGAATAATATATTTAATAATTTTCTAATACATATCATAAAATAAAAGTTTATTTAACGTTGTATCGTAACAATTATTGAATTTCAAGCTATTTTTGAAAAGTTTCTGTGTGCTGGTAAAAACTGTACCCCGGATTTTAAATGATAAGTTAATATTTTTTGACAATGTTGTGTACTATATTAACCTTTCTGTTCCTAGAACTATTGGTTCCGTATATCGGGCAATAGATATAATGCTTTTGGCTTTCCACCACCTCTTCTTTAAGTTCTTCAGGGTCACTTACCGCTTATGGAGAAGGACGACTCCTGCATGTCGCGCTTTCCATCGACGCGTCCCCGCACCGAAGGCGTACTGCACAGAGATCCTTCCGCTGGCATGGCCAGGTTGCCGGCGAGCATGGCGCTGATGGGCTCCTGCACCGGGATTTGGATGTCCAGCTCGGCGAAGCGCTTGGCCACGTTGCCGTTTTGCTTCTCTTCGTGCTGCTCCTCCGGCGGCGACTGCACCTTGCCCTCGATGATGTCGTAGACAAACGGCGGACGCACGGGCGTGGGAATAAATCGGCCGAAGCCTTCCGCCACCCTGACGTTTCCGCGCTCGGCGCAGATCCTTCCTCGCACCAGTACGAACTCGCAGACGCCGTGCACGGTCATACCCTCGAATATGTTGAAGTCGCAGGCGTGGTGGTGCGTGTCCTTGGAAATGGTACGCGTGGCATTCGGGTTCCAGATTACGATGTCCGCGTCCGAGCCGACAGCTAAGCGAGGAGGAATCGAAAAGAAGGTGAATAATTTTTATAAGGAAAATAAATAAATATAATAAAATGAAAACGATAGAAACTATCCAGTTTTTTAAGGTATAATTCAATTGACTTATCAAACCCCTTTGCTCTTAACTAAGGATTAGTTGCATTTAATTAGTTGTATATAGTAACACCATTATCTTATTATTAAAGTTACGGATAATTTCACCATCAAAATAAATTATTTTCCATTTCCAAAGAAATTTTCACTGAACACATTAATTTTTCTTAACGAATTGCAGAAGATGGAGTTTTCTTCTGCTACTCTCTAGTTAAAATTCAAACCCAAATAATTTTTTTTAATCTTACCAATGCGTCCCTTCTGGGGATAGATGTTGAATATCTTGGCTGCGTTGGTGCTGGTCACGGCCACAAAGCGGCAGGGATCGAGGAGTCCGGCGTGGACGCCCTTCTCCCAGACCAGCGACATGCGGTCCTCCACTCCATTGACTCCGTTCGGGATCTTGGTAAAGTCGCCCTTGCCCAGAGCCTTGTGCTCCTTGTTGAAGGTGCAGTTGTCGCTGCCAGTTAGCTGCAGGTCATCACTATGGACACAACAAATAGTTGAATAAGTTTTTGGGATTGAGACAGATCTCTTTAGTGGTCAGCTTAACAAAACGAAACGAAACGAACAATCACCGGCAGGGTGTGTGGAATGCAAGGAATATGTTCTGAATCTTCGATACTTACGGTCACAAACATTAACAGTTTGGAATCAAAGTTTTAAAGTGACTTTGACTAGTCGGATTTTGAAAAAAAGAGTAAACGAAATCGAAATAAGAAAGCTCTGTCTTAACATAAAATCAATTCACTCTACGTAGTAATAGTAATAGTTGAAAAAGACGTAACATCTGATGTCTATTTGAGATATAATAAATTATATTTTGTACGAATTTAATTTTTAAGTTAGTTTTTTCCGTTTTTTCGACTTGTAAATTTTTCGCCTTAAACTCAAAAGTCAAATTTTGAGAACCCTATTCGCAGTAACTGAAAAACTCACAGAACGACTTTGATTCCACTCCGTTTGGACGGTACTTACTAGGCCAGGGACTTCATCAACTGCCTGGGTGTCTCGGCGGACTCGCGGATCGGGGGGACTGGTGATGCAGTAAATGCGATCCCCCTTCGGGACGGCGCTCATGGAGCGGCCCAGGGAGCTGGCCAGCGTCTCCCCGAAGACGCAGTAGCCACTGCGGCGGGCGCGACCCACGAGCTCCGCGGAGGACTTGCTGGTGAGGCCGGACACAAAGAGCGGGGTCTTCATCTGGGCGGGCGATGGGCGAGCGAGTAAGTGAGCGATGGCAAACATGGAACGTCAGCAGATCGGATCGGATTAGTGGGTAAGATCGGGCAAGAGGTGCAGTTAATTAGTGGCCAGTTAGTTAGTGGGTATATGATTTAAGCAGGCAAAGCACAGGCCCTGTTAGTTGCGGATTAACCAGCGTGAACAAGGATAAGTAGTCCCAGGACCAGAGACCGTAAAAACGAAATACATAAAATAAATATCGTAACCTATGCTTTTGTTTTTAGTACACCCATTAAAACTAAACTTTACTGTAACAACTTGATCACTGGATTCTATAATAAGGTACAAATATTATCTTCCTCGTTGTATTTAAAGGCCAATAATAAAATTATTTTTTTTTTAATTGCACTATATCTGTGCTTATGACGCATCAAAAAAAGCGAATACTATAATTAAACAATATTAAAACTTTCTTTGTACACTGTATGACTGTCTCAAATTTCAATTGACAGGCTTTGTTTGGCGGACTATAAAGCTCGCATTTTAAATTTGTACATTCCATCGAGAACTAATATACTATATATCAAAGTCTTAATGCCTAAAAGGAGTAGTTTGTTTTGGCCCTGATATTTACGGTCCCGGCCCGGAGTGTGAGCCCCGGCACAACTTACTTCGCGAGCAGCTTCATCAAGAACTCGGGGGTCGTCTTGTCGGGCCGCAAGGGCGGACTGAGCACGTGGGCGGCCTCGTGGTCGAAGCCCAGGTGCTGGCAACAGGTGGCGTCCGTGCCGAGAGCGGCGGCCAGGGTCTCGCCCATTATGTACCGACCGCGGTATCGGTGGCGGGCCCTGGCCAACTCAATGCCCGCCGACTTGCTCATCACGTGGACCACGTACAAGGGGCAAGCGGCCTAACATTCGTTTATTGTGGGGTTATATCGAGTGCCGCATACCGCATACCGCATAATATGTACAAGGTGCATCATACACAATGGAAATAATAATAATAAGAAATCAAAATGTGTAACGTAAATAAACCATAATTACAGCGCGGCACTCGGCCGGCATGGACATTCACCACCTCATCCTCAGTCCCTCCCAGAGTGTCTAGCCTATTGGGCTGGGAGTGGTCTTACCTGGTGGGCCAGCACGCAGGCGCGGTGCACCGCCTCGGCCTCCACCTCCTCGGGGCGGGACAGCTCGTGGCCCTCCGGTCCATTGATGCCCTCGGCCAGCAGGCGCTGCGTGTTCTTCGCAATGATGTCGCCGTTCTCGGCGTGGACCTGCGGATATAAACCAAGTTGGGTTACAAGTGGTTTTATACACAAAACAGGTAAGAAAAAATACTTTAATACTCCTCTAAACTCACCATTGCAACAGCATTCAATTGTCTAATGCGCTCAAAAACGTCCAAAAGATCCGAATCGTTTAGCTTAAAAGGAGAATAATGGTTTACCATTGAATGTTAGTGTATATCACATTATAACCGACTTACCTGATAAAGACCTTTGTAGGCCATGAATGTTTTGAAGGAGTTCACTCCGAGCTCCTTGCACAGGATTCCGATTTCCTCGGACACCGACTTGGACCACCAGGTGATGCCAACATGCAAACCATAGTCGCAGCATACCTGAAAAGGCACATTCATTCAATAAGTGTTCAATACTTAGTTAAGGAATTTAAGTAAATTAAAATAACTGGAATACACTTTTTCCTAGCTTATGGGGCCTTTTCTTGGCACATCCTTAATTGTCCACCGATTGGAGTGGAATGGCTTACCTTGGGATCGGCCCAGCTGCGCCACTTGTCGTAGGCCTCGATCATCGACTCATGTTTGTTGGGCAGAACGAAGTCGACTGTTCAAAATAATGGTTTTAATTCCAATACTTAAACAGAGTAATGCCGCAGCTTACTTATCATGGTGGTGCCACCAGCCACGGCTGCCTTGGTGCCATGGTAGAAATCATCCACAGCTACTGCTCCGCCGAAAGGCAGCTGCATGTGCGTGTGGGGATCGATCCCTCCTGGAATGATCATCAGTCCGCTGGCATCGATGGTGCGAACTCCTCCCGGTATCGTGATTTCGGAAGAGGGCCCCACAAACCTTTAAAGATGATAGGGGTGGGTTTATTGGGGGTTTCGTTTGAGTGGAGGAATGTAAATTTTATGCGAGTCATGCCAACGCCCTTGCAAATCTAATTGTGTTGGAATACAGTATCAAATATATAGTTTGCGTTGGATGGATATTATCGATCGAAAATCGTGATATAAATAATAATAAACTAAGAAACAAGCCTATTAGTTTTTTTCAAAAATAAAAACTATATTTCTTTGCGATTAACTTTTTTTAAATTAAGATTACCTACAAATGGATAATTATGCTATTCTGTTTTAAATGCTTTGTACATACTTGATGATTCCGTCCTCGATGTAAACGTCCGCCTTGAACGATTTATCATGGTTGACGATCTCGCCTGAAACAAAATAAAAGTTTTCAATTTAAAGTTCTGCTTCTCACACAAAGTCGGCTAATGAGCTTACCGTTTTTAATGTAGACGCGATTCTGGGCGCTCTGCAAGTGAATCGGCACCTTCTTAACCGGTTTCGGGCTGGTCGACATGGCGAGAGTCTGCAATTAAACGACTGCTGTGAGTGAGTGTAAGACCAGACCGGGGAGGATTTCCCCATTTCCCACACACAGACACGCGAGCTGGCGTTTTCATTCATCCACTTGGGGTTGTTGGGCCTTTTGTGGTTGGCCTGTGACTCATCGACAGAGGCATCGCTCCAGGACAGGCTCCAGACACGTGCCGTACATTAAACTGCGCGAAAAGTAGTCAACCCCTATGCACTCGAAAATATGAATTTAAATAGACTTCTTTTGGAGAAGCGAAACACCATAAAGGATAGGATTACTTGGTAGACAATCAATCGATTCTCCGAAGAATGGCGAATGGTTTAGAAAGTCGTATTTGCCTTAGACAGGACAAATGATTACCTCTCTTCTTTTACTATTTCACCATATTATATGAAATGAATTAGAAAACAGACTACGTATTATATTTATTTTGTTTTCCAAGAAGGCAAAAACTGTCGAAAGCTTGTAAAAAGCAATATTTGAAAAGGGGTTTTTATAGTCTAGAAAGTTTTGTAACAACCCGCACCTCTCGTTCTCAGTTCAAGATACTCTTAAATGTGACAAGAGGTCTTGAAAGTTTATTATGTTTTGAGTGTATTCACTCGCAATCGGTAAGTACTTATGCTGCGGGGTGTTTGGAAAACTGCGGCGCAAATGTCATCGCAGCTCGTTTGTCTTTTCAGCAGATTGGTTCCTCCACTCTGGGAGCGTTTTGTTCCGCCGGCAGACGAGCGGGTTGAGCTCAACACAATATGGTAACTGCATAACAGGCAGAATACTAATGTTGCGCCTAAGCCATTACAAGGGCCATCTCTTCCGACGTCTGCGCTGCAGTTATAGCCCAGTCAGCCAGCCAGCCAGCCAGTCAGCCAACCAGGCCAGCGGCCATTGACCCTTGGCTGCGGCCCCTCCCGCCGGTTGGGCCTACCAAGAACTGCGAGTATTGTGTACTCGGAGTGGGGCGCCGATGTGATGTACTACGCCCTCGCCACACACTCGCCCAGATCGGATATAACACCAAAGTGACTCGAGAATGGCATTGACGCTGGCCCCAAAGCCGCTAAGTTCAAATTGTGCCACGAGGGGCACAACGAAGTAAAAAAGAGAGTAAGTCAGGGCGGTGCGGAAAGCGTTTGTTATGGTGCCGTGGTCGTATCCGTACCAACCATACAGCTGCGGTCATTGGGACAGAACCTCGTGGGTGATGTGTGGGAAAGAGTGATTTGTTTTCATAGCTACTCTTTTTGGAAAGGGGCCAATCGAAAAGTAGAACCTGCTGTTTTCTGCAAAACATTATCCAATAATGACATTTTTTCTTTTGTGCACAAAAACACAAGTCAAACAGGTGATCGATAAAAAATCATTTTTATTTCGGCACAAATATATTTAAAAAAGTCATATATATGTATCTTGGATTGTTAATACCAAACTGCCCATTTTTTGCAAATCTATTTAAAAATAAAATTTTTGATTGATATTCAAATAAAATCTTTTAAGACGAGGAGCCGCAATTCCTTTTTCAAAGTGCATTTTATGTCCGAAAATATTTTGCTATTGGCAACTACAGCTTTTACCGCAACTGTGCGTCTGCATACTTTGTTATGGTAATGATTATTGGGGTGCATGACGTGTGTGAGGATGGGTACATTTCATTAATTCAATTCCGACTGGGAGCCTGGTGTCCACCGAAAGCAGCGAAACATTGGATAAGTGAGCACTTTCCCCTTTTTAAAAACAGAGAGCCTCCGTCGGAGTGCATGTGTTTGGATGCAACAAACTAGATTATCTATTATATACGAATGTATATACAAAGCATACAAGTGGGTCTCTAGGTACATAATGTAATTAATGCAGCCGTATTAATGTAGGGGAAAATGTGCAAAGCTCATTCTCTGTAGGCACTTTGTAGGTCGCTAGAGCTCTTTAATTTGTAAAAATACATACGACTGTTTTTGTGTTTTGTTTTTCTTCCATTGCATGCAGTGGTGTTCGTTTGCCGGCTATCTATTAAATGTTTGTAATTTTGCCTCATTCACTGACACTTGGTGTACCAATTAAGCACTCTAACACGACTCCTAGACTCCTCAACATAGATGACAATTGCGCATATGTACATAGTTTAGTAAATTCGTATTTAGATAATGCTAGTGATCATTTAAAAATAAAGTTTGAACTCAACAATGTTTATTGTATCAAATTAAAAGTATTCCATCTCTAGGCATTAATAAGCTACAATCATAACATGAAATGGTAAAAATCTGGTGTTATTAGATTTGTTTTCTCTTCCTGTTTTGTGTATAAGAGAATGTTTTCAATTCGGCGTTTCTCTGAGGCTTTTATGTCAGCCATTAAATCTTGACTTATCTTATCAGCAATGGGCCCATCCTCCAGATGGTAGAGCCTGGTTTTGAAATCCCCGCACAATTCACAGGGGGGTATTAATGACAAACGTGCGGCACTTATCGCGAGGCAGTTTGATGAACTTAGAAATCAAATCCTGACCTCAAATACAATGTATGTGTGTATGAACCATACACATAGCTTACTACGTCAATGAAATTAATTCCCCGCAGGCACATCTTCACATAAATCGAGATTATGCGACTGCCGGTTTGCAGAGTCCAACGACTCGGCGGCTCCTAGTTTGTTATTAAATCGATAAAAGGCTGCGGGAAAGTCCCGAAAAGGAAGCAACAAGAAAAGCCAGTACCCACCCATCATCAGTTGGTGCACCTGATTAGCGGGTTGATAAATGCAGTTGTACAAACATGTCCACATTCAGGTGCAGTTGTGTACATGAGTTTTAGTGCACCTGCATGTACATATTGGGCCGAAAAATGCCGTCATTCAATCAAAAGGCACTTGCGAATGTGGCTTAAGGCGTACAGTGTTGGAGAAATTTCAAATTAACGGTCAAACATAAAGGTATACATATGTATACTAATGTGCGGAGACCGATAAAATTTGAAAATAGAACGAAAAGCTGAAAAATACCCACGCATTGCGCACAAGTATACACACACACACACAAGTCGGCAAGAAAAACAATTGCAATACAGAAAATTGAGAAAAGTCAACTCGCTTTTCTTTTGCATTGGGAACATCACGAATTAGATCCGCACTGCTGTCTTCAGGGAAATTACCGTTAAATGGCTAAAATCTCACGCGATTTGGCTGATGAACGAATTTAATTTACACGCACGCACAAGTTCACTGTTTGAAAATCGAAAAACATTTAACTCTCGGTCCAATTGGAACTTGCCTATTGGTGGGTTTTGTCTTTTCGTGGTGAGTTTCAGCAGCTGATTCTTAACAGTCCTGTTAGGCCATACAGTGATCTGTTAGCCGGTATTTTACAGCGGCAGAAATTTAGGGGGATTTCTGCCAGTTATTATAGTTATAAACAAATTGGATTGGAATTTCTGTGTACCAAAATTAACCCAACATTTAATTGTTTATAACTTGTTCAGCTGCTCAAAAGGAAACTCAAGGGAACAAAAATTAAATCTAAATATATTAAAAAATTTTTTTTTAAATAACAGATATTGCCGTAGTTGCCAATTGGAGTTTCCGTTTAGATGTATTTAACGGTTTAAAGCGATGTCCATCTTTAAATAATTTAACAGGTGAAACAATAAAATAATTTATTTAGAACGAAAGCTCTCATTCAGAACAAACCCATATCCAATACCTTTATTTAATGTTTCGTTCTTTCTTTTTGTACAACTCATAAACAACACACCTGCTTATAAACATTGTACGTCCTTGGCGAAACCCTAATTGTCTTCGAAAGAATATGCAAGTCATTCCTTGCTTATAATTTTCTGGATGCCAAAATTAATTCGCCGTTGAGCACGAAATATCTTTAGTTTGTGGTAAGACTTTGTTTTATTTAGGTCATCCATGTCATGTCTTACCTAACCCGTCAAAGCAATAAATTATATTCCGCAATTCCACCACAGCTGATTTAAAAAGCTTAATCTTATATGTACACATAAACTCTTTCTTAATATTATTTTCCGAAAAGAAGCTCTCCACAACTCAACCTAACTCCGTTTCCCGAACAGCACACTTTAAAAAACAAAATAAAAACGATAGTGTATAGTACTTGGAAAAATTATATTTAAATTGAAACTAAAAACAAAATATTGGTAGAATTGTATATGAACTTTGTAACTGAATTGTTGTTGTGAAAAAAGTGTACTAACTTAAACCTGTTGTGTTGCGCTAAACGCGAACCACGAATCCTGCAGGGCAGCGTTAGCGGACGCATCCAAGCCGCTTGATGGTGGTTACTTGCTGTTGTGGACTTAAAGCTATTAGGTCTATTAGGTTTTTAGATTTTCCTGCTGCGCACAAGGGGCACTGCCCGCCCCCGCCAGTGCACGCTGGCCCAACTGTGTAGATAAGAGATAATCGATTTTCGTATTGCCATAGCGATTTGCCGTGTTTCCAGCAGTTCGGCCGCAGTTTCAGCTTGCCTAGCGCCCTACGACACAAGACAACTGCTCTTCTCTTGAGGATTGCCATTCTCGTTCTCGATCAGGATCAGCAGTTGATGGAATATATCTCCCACAGACTGTGTAAAGATGGCTTTTAGCTTTAACTTAGTTAATATGGGTCTAAGACTTGCCTCGTTTTGTTTGGCGGACGTTTCGAGAAATGCTGCTCGCCAGGATTCGGCCAGCTTTTTGCCCTCCTCCGTGGAAACGGTGCGCTCCTGGTGCAAATCGGTTTTGTTGCCAACCAACACCACAGGTACACTGCAAGGCAAGATCAATTAGATTGGCTCTCGATCGGAGAACAAGACGATGCCTACTATTTTTTGCCCATCACATCCAGAAGCTTCTCGTAGATGATCTTAACCACCTCGAACGACTTTTGGCTGGTTATGGAGTACACCAGGACGTAGCCGTGGTAGTCCATGCTGTATTGCACTGGGAATATACTGTACTCGTCCTGGCCGGCCGTGTCGATGAGTTTTACGATGTAGTCCTGTGACTTAACACGCTCGATCTTAGTGAAAGCTGCGAATGGGAATTACATTCCATTATGTCTCATTTTACTATCAGGGCTTTTATTGCGTTGCTACCATCACGGTTTCTGGGAAATCCGGATGGAATGTGGGTGGAATGTGGAACTTACTATTCTCGATGGTGGGGTCATAGGAGTCCACGAACTGGCCCTCTACGAACTGTATGCAAAGCGATGATTTTCCTAAAGGCAAAGAGCATTTATTATGGAAAACTGTTCGCAGTTGTTGCTGTTGTCAAAATACTACGCAATTACAAAAGCCAGCAGCAACAACAAACATGGACTTTACTGGTTTTTAACAGGGAAACTCACCCACAGATCGGTAGCCCATCATGGCTATGTTGCGCTCTTTGGTTGGCATTTTTCTGGTCTGAACGCTTTTCAATGTTACAAGAAAAGTCTTGGCTTTGGGGCTTTTCAACTCTTTTTTGTTTTTGTTGTCGCCCCTTCGACTTTGTGTGCGCCTGTGTTGGTGCGTGCCTGTCTGCACCAGTTAAAGTGTGTAAGGGGTAATATTGCTTCTTGATTCACTTTTTTTGATGGGTATACTTGTTGCTATCACAGCTGGGGAATTTCCGACGATTTTTAATTCAATTATTATGTATTAGATCGTCGAAAACAGCGATTCTCGAGTTGAGTCAGTGCTGGTGTGGGCGTTATGGAGCCTACTCTAAAATACCACTTCTAACTTGCATGAAATCGACAATTTGCCCGCCACTGCCATATGGTCATACCGCGCGGTCTTTCAAGAATATACAATTTAAAATTATTTGTATTGCTGCAATGAAGAAATGAAGTGCCCCTGTTCTTTAATTAAAAAGTTCTTCAAAAGTAATCGGGGTAAAAAATTGCAATTTTAACGTAGTTTGTTGTCGTAATCAGCATAGCTTAAACTTAAACATTTTCAACACTGAAAGCCAGAAAATGAAGAACCAAACATCGATAATTGCAAAAAAAATTAGATTTTCGGGAAAAAAATCGATTGACCTATAGTGCCATCACTTTTACGGCAGCGTTTTTCGTAAAAGATTGTTTTGATTTTAAAATATTAAAAAACTCTTAGATCCAAGCCCGTTGGAAATGGGCTCAAAGCGCCGCAACATCGAGGACGAGTTGTCTCGATTTGAGGCGGAGATCTCTAAGCCGCCCGCCCGTAATCTTTTCGTGCCCAACCAGGTGCGCCCGATTATCGCGGCCAACACTTACCATAACGTGCAGCACAAGTTGCAACACCAGGGAAATGGAGGATCGCGTCTTACCGTGCCACCACCTCCGATCCCGCCGCCACCCACCTTCATGTCCACCTTCGTGCCCACAGGCAGTGGCAGCGGCTCCTCATCCAGCGCCAGCAAACCGATCTCCGCGACACCGGTAGTCCTGAGCAGCGCCCCCAAACTGTACCAGTGCAGACAGTCCGTGCACGTGCCCACCGTGGCCGCTGCACCCTCAATAGACATCAACGCTGTCTCCTTTGACGTCACACAGAAGCTGAAAAAGCTTAAGGCGGAAAAGTCCGGCCCGAATCCCATTGCCGAGGAAGCCATCAAGGCGGCGCGCGCCTCTTCAGCTCTGCAATCTTTTCAGACGACGGAGCGCAAGAAAAAGGACCGCAAGACAGTGCGTATCGCCGGCGGCAGCGTGTGGGAGGACTCTTCGCTGGCTGATTGGCCCGACGATGACTTCCGCATCTTCTGTGGCGACCTGGGAAACGACGTGAACGACGAGGTGTTGACCCGGACCTTTAACAAGTTCCCCTCGTTCCAGCGGGCACGCGTGGTGCGCGACAAGCGAACGGGCAAGAGCAAGGGGTTCGGCTTCGTGAGCTTCCGGGAACCGGCCGACTTTATTCGGGCCATGAAAGAGATGGACGGACGCTATGTGGGCAGTCGGCCTATTAAGTTGCGCAAGAGCACTTGGCGACAGCGAAGCCTGGACGTGGTCAAAAAGAAGGAACGCGAAAAGCAGGTGCTTCTGCAGGCTTTCAACTCCATGAACTGAACACCCGCGAGAGCTTTCTACTCTCTTTTAGGCTAGTTTCGGTCACTTTAAAGTAGCAAATTATTTTTGGATGTTGCTGCCAAAGATGAGCAATAAATTTAAGTTTAGCAATTGACTCGTTATGTTTTACTGGAGAAACTACATACTAACCCCACCCAATACGAGGTACCCAGCAGCATAATAATAATTGAAAATACAGCGACGGTTGAAAGGAGCTTAGACGGGAAAAACAATTGACTATAAATTAATTAAAGCTTTTAGTACCATTTGGATTGTTCCTTGCCCGCGAGGAGGGGTCTCTTCAAAGCATCGCCAGCGGCCTTTTCGTCAAGGTCCTCACTCTCCTCTTTGCTATTTAGCCGCTGGTATTGACTACTCTCTTGCCTAGGCCACCGGATCAGTGGTTTACCAGCATCTGGGCCGAAAATGGAGGGATAGTACTGTCTGTAGCTTATGTAGCCCGCAAAAAGCCCAATTAGACCACCGATGGTCACGTCCTGCCAGTGGTGGTGGTAGTCACAGGTGCGACTAACAGCCACAAGTAGAGCGATCATCAGAGGAATCACAGCGATGCAAAGCCTCCAGGTGTGACCGCGTCCCCGGATATCGAAGGCGTGCAGCTTTGCGCCTATATAGTAGGCGATGAATCCGAAACTAGCAAAGGCGACTGAAACGGCGGATTAAAATTGTAAGCGGGGAACTATAAAAACAATGTCCTGCATTGACTCACACGACGAGTGTCCGCTGGGGAAGCTCTTGCGGCCCTCGTTTATGTCCCACGGAAGCCCTGTACAATTGAAATCCAGTATGGAGGTGTCTAAGCTGCTCGATGTTGTGTTAAGGACCATCACGCCATCGGGAAAGCAGCGGTAGAAGTAGTCTGGCCTCGGCCTTCCTACTGTTATCTTCAGAACGCTCGTGGGAATGCCATTCAAGCACAGAGCCAGTGTCCAAGCCCAACTGGCGGCTCTGAAGTCTCGCCTGTCCTTGGTGAACCAGTAGAGGGCGATGGTGACCAGGAAGGGAGCAACTATCACCCAGAAGAGCAGCTCCCCGCCCTTGACAATGTCCGGCCTCCTGGGATTCTTGTACAACCAGAGCTCCTCCTCGTGAATTTCCCGCTTAAAAGCCGTCATTGTCTCTAGTTTGCTGCAGAAATGAGTCATGCATAAGAGATTGAATTCGTCAGCAGGTGTGATGCGTGCCGAGCAACTTACAAGAAGATGATAACGAGGAAAACCCGAAGTATCACATCCACCGCATCGCTGAGCTTTCGATTTGAGTTGGTACACCGTTTTTCCTGCCCTTCCGGCTGAGCAGCGCTGCTGTCCGCTTTTATAGAGAGCTCGTTGCGCCACATTTCACCGCCGCTGTATCTCGATCCTGTGCGACCGACGTCCTCGGCAGAACTCTCACTGAGGGTGCGTCTGCTGGAAGTGGTTTCATGACCTTCCTTGCCGAAAGACATGGTGTTATTCCGCAGGGAATATTCGGCTGTTTGCTTATGTTGGTCGCTTGTAGCCTGAATAATTGAAGAGATAAGCAAACGACCAGTCATGAATGATTGCAGTTATGTGTGGGATAAACATAAGAGGTCGCTAGATTCACTGTTGGCTGAATCAAATAAATGACCATACTCCTTAGCTTCCGTGTATCAGATCACTCACTTGGTGCTTATCAGTTGGGGATTAAGGAGAGAACTAATAGTTTTAGGAGAGAATCAGGATAGCGGATAGGCCAGAAGTATAGTGTAGTGTCGATTTCTGCGATAAGATATACATACATACACAGAAATAAACCGGATCAATGCAAACAACTGAAATTTTTCATAACATTCAATTTCATTCCATTGGTATCAGAATTCCGGACATACTTTCACAAAAAAATATCAAGTTAATTAGTCCAAAATATTTAAGTAAAATTTAAAATTAATCAATAAAGCTAAACGAGAATAAAAATCATGTCTCAAACATTTTCTAGCTGTGCACACTCGGCCACGCTTTGCGTCAATGTTTGTCATCAAAGGCGGTTACGTAGGGCAGAAACGAGTATAATGTATGGGATATGCCATATGCACACACGATGGTTTTAATAAGCTAGGCATCATAAACAGTATTTGATGGCTGGTTGGCGCACCTGCTTTTTGGCAAGACTTCCGATATTGCCGTTTCGGTCGATTGGATTTTCGCGGCGGCGACTACGTAAGTCCGCCGTAAAGGTATCTGGCATTATCACCCGATTTCCCGGGATATTTGCGTTGACTTTGGAACAGTTCCGGCGCGTTGGCTGAGGCATCCACTTGTTGCTCTCGACGTGTTTTCGACTGGGCAGCTAGCTGACTGCTGTTCGATGCTAATTGCAGGGCTTTTTATAAACTTTCTCTAATCTGGCGACAGCATCGTAAAACAAACAACGAAGTGAAACCCCTCGCCCCTCACGGATGCATGTGAAAACAACAACAGCTGTTTGCCCTTCTTGTTAGTCGGGCTCAGTGGCAGTTTGCAGATTGCAGGCAGTTTGGCTGGTTTACCTGTCAATTAAGCATGTTCGTGGCGGCAACAATTACAGCTCATCGCAGGTAAAACGTGTCCACGCGACAAAAACACACATCTTTCGGCCGTTTAGTTTTCGTTTCGGATGTTAATTTGCAAAATTGGTCATCGATAACGACTGTTATCGCACGTGCTGCCAACTCCTCGTAAAACTGTACTAGAGCAGGGTTGTTCGACGAATCATATGATTGAAAATTTCAATCGCGTCGAGAGAAGAGATAAATAAATAAGACACTTTTACCAGTCAGTATGACTGTCGAAACGAGTGAAAAGGAGGCTGCTGGCCAATTGCTGGATAGCTTGTATCTTGATTTGTTTCACCTGGTCGAGGAGCACACCCAGTGCCGGGTAAATTTAGAGCGGAGCAACGCCAGTGGAGCGATTCTGTTGGCCCGCACTCGGTTTCAGGCAGGAGGCAGTAACTCGGTGTCCACCGCTCAGATTCCCACCGAGAACAGTGCCGAGTTTAAAGCCCTTTGCCGGGTTGTCGACTCCGAGGAAGGCGTCTGCGTCCAAAGACAGGCAGTGGACAAGTCCAATGGCTTTGTAGAGCCCCTGCACTGGTTCTCGTGAGTACTGATAACGGTTAAATGGGTCACTATAATAAAAAGTTTTTTTTTTCGTAGGGTTCTGCCGCCCATGAGCTTGCGCAATGCTGTTTCCAAGTTTAAGGATTGCATCGACCTGGTTGCGGAAAGCACGAATCTGCAGCGGCAGCTGGGTCAGACCTTGGATTGGATCGCCAAACTGCGCAAGAGTGCCCTGCTAAACTAAACATTAACCTATACACAATCTATACAATTTTAAGAACGTAGCAATATGATACGAAAACATCCCCAAATACGCATGCAATTTAATGAAACAGTACTTGGAAAATCGGCGAATCAAAACAAGTAATGAATTAAAGTTTGAAAATGAATTTTCCAGTGTTTGTTTTTGTAAGGTAAATAAAATTGCAAATCTGTTTTCTGATAATCGAAAATAAATCTTAAAGTTCTTTCAAAACATTCAAAGCTTTTTTCTATATTTAAAGTTTTCTGAATTATAATCTTATTTTAAGAAAAATATAACAACAAAGTGCAGATACATATTTATTATTCATTTATTCATTTTCGTTTCAAGAATGAAAAGATGAATTGAGTCCTCTACTTTTTTTAAATGACTTTTTTTTATAGAAAATCTAGACTTATCAAAACGCGAATTCGATTGTCTATATATTGGCTTAACCGGCGTTCTAGGGCTAATGATTTCTGCTCTCTCACGTCCGGTGCTGCCATTTGGCGAGAACATAACATACAAGTGGGCAGCCCCGCAGATTCTACTCGTCAGCTGTTTGGCTTGTCAACCATTTTTCGCTTCGTGTTCTTGACGAAAATTAAAATCAAACGCGTAATTCGCTTATAATTTTTGCGAAGTGGTGAGTTTTTTCTTAGTTGGTATTTAAACCTCTGGTGTTTTAAGATGTGTTTGGTTAAACAATCACTATGAGCGATGGCAGGAGTACAGGCTTCAATACAAAAATCGATAATTGCCAAACGAAATACAAACATAGTATTAAAGCTATTAACAATAAATGTAATCAAATTCTAATCCGAATAATAGAGGCGTATTGTGCTAGAACATGCGAGCGGGAGAAGAGCAAAGGAGCAGATAACAGATAGCAAAGCAACGCCCGAATAGTGACAGATATAAGCGCAAGAAGAAGCTGCAGCACAGCGCGGGCCTTTGTTGTTGTGTCTGCTGTGGATTCGGGGTAACAGCACCACCTACACCCTCGAGGCCCACACCCAATCACCCACGTGCCTGTCTTCCACATTTGCCATGAGCGGCGCACGGGATCAGGCGGATCCCCCGCTGTTGCAGCTCGAGGATGAGGTGGACCTCATCGGAGACTTTGTTAAGGACCAAACAACGACCAGCAGCCAGCTGGCCCCGCTTCTAAATGGCTTCGAGTCGACCACCAACCAGTTGACCACAAAAGTAGAGGTGGGTAAGCCCAGCTTATATCCATACTGAACTCTAATGTAATCTGTGCTCTTTTTATAGATTAATACAATCGGCATGGGCAAACGAAAGATCAAAAAGCGTGTGAGAAAAGAGAGAGAACCCATGCTTCTGTCGGTGGACGATGACGATGACGATGAGGAGGAGTCAGGGGATAAAGTCCACACCAACGGCCTGCCACCAGGCGAGGAGAGTGCGGGTGGTGACTCCGCGCTTCAGATACCGCATCTAGATAAGTTAGTCATTTTGCACGACGACCAAACCGACGACGGCGACGACGAAGATGGCGAGGATGAGGTGCTGCTGAAGAAAAGCTCAAACCAGCGCAGCCAACGATTCAAAGGTCGCGCTGAGGAGAGCATCGAAAGCAGCAGTCACCAGCCACAGATCATTAGTCACATCGCACCCGCGAAGGCAGTCACATCCGCATCGTCAGCGACATCGCCGCTAAAAACCACCTCACACATCGCCCTCGCGCGTCACTCGCATGACGAGGCCGACGACATCTGTCTGGTGCCAGAAATCGACTTCGAGGGCATGTCCACGGACGCGGGCAGCGACAACAGGGAGTCGCAGCCGCTCCTGGGAGGTGGCAGCGTCGGCCACGGAAGCCGCATCAGCGAGCTGCTAGGCGGACTGGGACGCGGCCACGATCATGTGGACTTTGTGTCGAATACATTTGGCGGTGAGTGCTCTGCAGAGTACCGAAGTCGTACAAGTGGCCATATGTGCGGCTTCAATCTCTGGGTTCCCCATCCCTTCATAGTAATGTGTAGCACAGAGCTCTATTGTGTACACTCAACCTAGATTGCTCCTCTGTTTGCGTTGAGACTTTACTCATTTCGTGCTTATCATTTTTACGGCCCACACATTATGAATTCTGTGGAAATTATTAGCTTTTATTTGAATAGGGAATTTCAAAAAAGGGTTTCCGATTTTGCATAAGATGTTTGTATCATGGATATTATAAAAATCTTTTTTCTTGTGGCATTCCCCTCTTTATTAATGGGGCTTATACTATAAACTCTATACTTATGAGAGGCGAATAGTTTCAAGACTATAATTCAAATCCTCAGTACCATCATTTCGGATCTAAATGATTATTATTTGTGCAATTATTAGATTGGTCTGGAAAAACATTCATCTGCGTTCGTTTAATAGGCACTATTTTAAAGATTTCTAGAACCACAAATGGTTTTATGTTGATTTAAATTAATTTTGGTATATGAATGCATTCCTATTGCCTTTTCAGGCAGATATCATAATGACTGAAATTATGATATCTTCTGCAAGGGTATACAAATTGACTTCTTTGCTTGAGACCAACTGATTTGATTAGTTAAATGTACGCGTTTATGTCACAAAAGAGTTAGGGACAAATAACACAATATGTTAAACAGAGCTCGCCCGCTGTTAACCTTATCGTCTTTGCTCCAACTTTCAAAGCACTCTGTAGCTTTGCAATTTTAACGAATGTATTAGTTAGTGTTTTATCGGTTTGAAAAAAAAATTGTGCTGTAAATGTTGGTGCACTTGGATGTGATCCTGATCCCTTGCTGCACTGGTTCGAAATCAGTTGTAGAGTGTTTTCAAAATTTGAGGGCGTTTTCAAAGATGGAACTTGTCCTGTCGTCTTCTGTCGCCAATTGGACATATCCCCATGGCGAAGGCCGACGTGAAGATATATTCTAATAATAATCCACTAAAAGAGCCAGACACTGGCGCATCCCCCCTTCAAACTAAATGATAATGAGCAGCCCACGACGAGCAAAAATGTACTGGAGAGCACAGGTTCGGTGGATTCCGCCTCTGTGCCGTACACCTGCATCTGCTGCGAAGGCAAGTGCCCGTTGGAAAAGAACTACCTAGAGCCGCAGTCTGAATTGGAAGGAGATCCCCCGTTCGTGATTAACTTGCCGTCGATGGCCAGTGATTCCAAAGACACGGTCACCGTCAAGTTTGTGCCTCCGCGCTGCAATTGTGCCAACTGTCCGCTGAGGAACTTCTGTAAGTGTGGTTCCCTTATCGAAACGCTTTGGCTATGCTAATTGTGACCCGCTTTCTCTTATCAACTGCCACCCGACTTGGCCACTCCTGACTACCGGCGCGTTTAATTCAATTGTGTCTCCATGTCGCGCTTGTCGAGCAGCAGTCGCGAAAATTTTGTTCAGCAAGTGTTCACCATTTGCCAGGATGCGCAGGGCGATTTTAACGACAACTTTGACTTCATAGGTAGTTTCTCATATACATACATTTTTTAATTAACGTTTTTGAAAGACTTCGGGTTAGGTTCAGGTTAATCGATATTTGGGAATAGACTTTTTAGGAACTGGTCTCTTTTTAAATTCCCACGGCTTTAAGGTGTGTCTGCTTTTATCGTAGACCTATACCAGCTTTCAAGCATGTTCGTTTTGGTTATTTTTAACCAACAGCTGGTAAGTCATTGGAGGCTCATTAAAAGCACTTCTTGGCTCCCTGCTAGTGCATTAATAAATTATTGGGAACACAATAACAAAGCAAATTATTCCAATTCGGATGAGAAACTCGCAGTCTGTCTTTGTGCTCCGATTAAGACTTAGGCATGCGAATATTCGTCCTTCGCACAAACTTTATCAGTAACTTGAAGCTTAAGTAGGATTCCAGTTTTGTTTTTGATGAACAATTTATTTTATTTTCACAGATGATCCGCTTTTCTCGGAAATCGTGGCAAAGGCGGAGGGAGCCATCGAGGATGGTGTGCTTCCCGAGCGGATTTACCAGGGTAGTAGTGGTTCCTATTTCGTCAAGGATGCGTCTCATGTGAGTAGAACAAGCTAATGGATATTTTGCACCCTTTCTTGCTGCGTTAACTAAAAGTTTGGACACTAAGTTTGGCCCTATAACTTAAAAGATTGTAATTGATCTGCGCACATATAAATATCATATCAGGAAATCGGGGAAGTTCTGCAGTTATTTTGTTTTGCGAGAACTTTTGGTTTGTTCCTGAAACAGTCAACTACGCTTGAAATTATTTTTGGGTTTTACCAAGATGCAATTTGATGTGAATTTATTTTTCCCCTTAGCAATGTCTGGCTGTTTTTAAGCCAAAGGATGAGGAGCCCTATGGCAGACTGAATCCAAAGTGGACCAAATGGATGCACAAGCTGTGCTGTCCCTGCTGTTTTGGCCGTGCTTGTTTGATTCCCAACCAGGGGTAAGCAAATAATGTTCAATGTTGATGTAACAGATTCTTTTTTTTATGTTCTTATGTTTTTCAAAAATATTATAGGTAAAAAAAAATATTATAGCTAAGTTGGATTCATTACATTACAGGTACCTTTCGGAGTCTGGTGCAAGCTTGGTTGACCGAAAACTCAATCTGAATGTGGTCCCGAAGACGCGCGTGGTGAGACTGGTGGCGGAGAGCTTCAACTATGCTCGTATTGATCGACAGAAGGCGAAGCTGAAGAAGCGGATTAAGGAGCATTATCCATCGGCCCATTTCAATCGAATGAGCCTTCCCTTAAAGGTGAGCTTAAACAAAAATGAATCTATACATCTGCAAACTTTAATGCATTGTGATCTTTCTGTAGACTGGCTCCTTCCAGCTTTTTGTGGAGGGCTACAAGGACGCCGACTATTGGTTGCGTCGCTTCGACAGCGAACCTTTGCCACCGTCGGTGGCCAAGTCGTTCCAGCTGCAGTTCGAGCGCTTGGTTGTCCTGGACTATATCATTCGCAACACGGACCGGGGCAACGACAACTGGTTGATTAAGTACGTTGCCCCCAAGATCACGAGCCAAGTGGGCGGCACCGGAGGCAGAACTATGCACGGAGTTGTGCGTCCCACACTGCCCAGTGCCATGGGGGCTTCGGAGATAGTTGATCTGAACGAACCGCATGTAAATCGAAACGCAAAACCCGACGGTGGGCAGAAAAACCATTCGGCGGGCGAAGCAGCCACCAACGGGCAACAGGATAGCAGCAGCGTGGCCAGTAGCGAGGATGAACCCTCCTCGAGATCCCCTTCCTCGGAACCAGATTGGCATGTGGTGAACTCGGCCTTCATTCGGATTGCTGCCATAGACAACGGCCTGGCTTTCCCCTTCAAGCATCCGGACTCGTGGCGAGCCTACCCCTACCATTGGGCGTGGTTGCCACAGGCGAAGATTCCGTTCAGCGAGGAGATTAAAGAACACGTACTGCCCCAGTTGTCAGATATGAACTTTGTGGAGGAGATCTGCACGGAGCTGTTATACCTGTTCCAGCAGGATCGTGGCTTTGATAAACGTCTCTTCGAGCGCCAGATGTCTGTGATGCGGGGCCAAATCCTAAACCTCACTCAGGCACTGCGGGATGGCAAGTCGCCGGTGCAACTGGTTCAGATGCCAGCCGTGGTTGTAGAGCGGTGAGTATTCGTAGTGTTACACTTTTTGTTTTACTGTGAATCAGGTGTATATCTCTACAAATTACGAGTAGAGACTAGTGCATATTCAAGTAAATGCTTAATCTTTTATTTTTGTATTTTACAGATCAAGCGGCAGTCGGTTCTTTTCTTTTACGCAGCGCTTCCAAAACAAGAGCCCCTTTTTCTCTTGGTGGTAAGAGAATTGAAAAGTAATACTTTATTGGCATTATTCACTAGATTTTTCAATTTCAGTTAAATGGCCACTAGGAGTCCCTGCTAACCCCACCAGAAACCAAATCTTGCAGTCCTGTCCTGCAGCCTCGTCATCATGCAAATGCGCTTCATTGTTGTCTAGTATATCTCCAAATCATAATCAGTTGCTGTCGGCAAGGAGCCCCAAAAATGTCTTTTGTTATATATTTTAGTTTTGCTCCGGCCAAAATATCCACAACGTCATATGCAATAAGTCAAATACTTTGCTTACGTTTTTATGGTTTAGCTTACCCATGGTTATGTAAATGTAGAAAATAACTATTGTTTGTGAAGTGTTTGTATAGTCAATTGTTTATGCGTATTATAAGATGAAAACTGAAAAAGGGCCTAACAAGTTCACAGTGAGGTCCCATAAAAAAACGAACGCTCAATCCGATTATACTTTTACTTCGTTTATTGTTTAAATATTATACATAAATCATATCAGTGAAGGAATTCCAACTCATTTACATTCGTTAGCACTTCGAGCACCATTGAATAACTTTATCATACTCATTGGAGGACATCATTGTTATTCTCATTACATATAAATATTGGCTTCTTCGTCTAAACTATAGTTTAATTTATTCTGTAATGTAAAGAGTATCCAGCACACTAAAACGTTTGGGATAAAGAAGAAAGGCAGCCAAATATTGTGGAAATATATATATATCGAGCTAAAAAACATATACAGGTACACATAAAATTGTTTATATGTTAAGGGCAAGCCTTATATTTAACATTAAAATATTATTATAACAGTTGTACAAAAACTACGCCTAGCTTTCCGATTGTCTTGATACTTATCAGACACAACTTAAGAACTATCATTGACGGTATCGCTATAAGAGCCAGTCGTCGGAGGCATCGGACGTGAGTCTGCTTACTAAGGCTACCCCACAGGGGCTCCCAGTGTCTTTATTTTGGTGCGCGATTTCATGGGCGACAATAGGGTCCTCCGCTTCACCCACTCTGGCGGAGTAAGGTACTGGTTTGTGGCACGTGTCTGGATCCAGAATTTCGTGTTTAATGCTTATTTGAGTATCATAAGATATTTCTGTAGCCAGGTCTTCGTTTTGAACGACTGTTTCGCTACTGGGACATGTGTCCGGACCCAAGGGTTCGTTTCGAACGACTATTTCAGAACTATGACCCAAATCATCTTCCAGGAGGCTGGATGAAATGGTTACACGATCCGCCGGTATGGCGGTTTGCCAGTCGTCTTCTCCCCCGTCTTGACTACAATGTGAGGTATTCTCCTCTACGGGACTTAAGAACATTTCAGTCTCTGAATTCATTTTTGGAACAACGCGTTGTGGAGTGGCTAGAAATGAGGAAATCGATGGCTGATAGCCCGTAGACAGCAGGGAGGCCCGACCTTTGTACTTGTACCACTGCGTGGGCACCTTTCCAGTAACAAAGAGATCTCGACACACAGGTACGGTGCTGATGACACGCTTGGGCTTGAGAAACCGAACGAACCGCTCCAACTCCTTGTAGCTAGAGTGTTCAGAGTATTCAATGCCAATCGTGCTGATTCGCTTCCCATAGGAAGGCTTACTATTCTTTTCCCATCCGCTTGGTCTTATACCCAGCAGCATGTCGTATTGGTCCTCGAAAGTAATAAAATACTCCGCTAGGCTCTGAAAAATAGCATGGAGTTATGCATGTTTTCAGTTCTTAGTTCAATAACCTACTGGATAGCTGATTTTTCCCATGCTGATAACATGCAAGTTTGCTGCGCGGGGATCATCAGTTAGCACAGTTTCCAAGTCTGTCCAGTCTAGGCATTTGATTGCTATGCTGCGATTTTTCTCGGTCCAGACCTTCAGGTTAAATTCCTTCGCCAGGGCCAGCCAGATTTTCTCCTTACCGATCACATAGGAGCCGCAGACTATGAGGATTCGCTTAGCCGGATTTCTCTCTATAAAGGCATTAACCAACTCTAAAGTTCGGTCAACACTCTCGGTCTGGTGACAAAAATCATAGTTTTTGTTCAAGTAGGTCGTGTCCAGGTAAAGAAGATCTATGTTGGCGTGATTCCAGAAGATCGGGAGGGATTCCATCTCGGCACTGGCCCTAAAGTCTCCAGTGTGCAGAATACATTGGCCAGAGTTTAGTTTAAAGAAAAACATCAGGGCTCCAGGGCAGCTAGATGGGGTAAGCAAAAGGATTAGTTAACGGCGAGCAGAATAAGCAATGACTCTTACTGGTTGGCTTCGAGGGCTGTCACTTCTACATCATCCACCATCAGCGTCTGGTCCACATCAATCTCGTTAATATACTCCTCGTTGACTTTAATAAAGGTTCGCACGAGGCGCGCCGTAGTGGGACTCATATAAAGGGGATAGGAGAACTTTTTAGTCAGGCCGATATAGTGATCCGCATGATAGTGGGTGAGAAAGTAGTGCGAAACCCCATTTATTTCTCCAAACTGAAATCCGTCGACGCAGAAAGAAGTCCCCTCTACGACTTTATAAGGCGGGCAAGGCTTTGGCTTTTTTTGTTTGCGTCCAGTTTCTTTCTTGGAATTTGTGGCACAAAGACTTTCCTTCGAAGTTGTGGTTCTTGATGGCTGAGGAGTAGCTATCTGTTGGATTTTCGAGGGGCCAGGGGAAGTCTTCTCTTTTGAAGGGCTGCAGATCTTTGCTTTTGTTTCATTAGCCCTTTCTGGACTGCTGGGTTCGACTGCTGGTCTGGTAGCACTTTTTGGGCTCAATGAGGTTTTCATTGTGGGCTCCTCTTTAATGGTCTGCTCGCATTCGTCCTCGGAACACAGGTCAATCACTTCGGCTTCGAAAAGGCTCGTATTTTCCTTGCCCTTAGCCTTGCGACTAGGCAGCACCCGCTTCTCTGGCGGCTTGAGATTGATAGTTTCCGAGGACGCAGTAGATGTTGAGTCTTCGAAAAGGCGCTTCCGTCCCCTAGAGGCTACCTTTCGCTTGACCGCCGATGAATCGAACTCTTTAGCGGATGACAGCGGCACTATGTTTACTTTGTAGTTTTTGGCGGCGCTTTTGAAGAAGGAATCGATGCGCATTTGGCCCGGCAACGGCGTCTTCTTGCTAGAACGCTTGATTACAGAGCTGGCTGTTATTACGCCACCAGTTTCATCCGTTTTTGCCTGGACTTTCTTTGTCGTGGTTGCAGCACGAGTTTTTCCCGCCCTTTTCTTCGTCGGGGTTTTGTCCTCATCTTTGGGCGGCGGTTCTTGCTCCACATTTATGTCCGTCGTGGCTTGTAGTTCCGCGAATGTTTTTATCTTAATTTTTCCCACATTGGACATCTTGTTGACAACTTTCTTGGTAAAAACTCTTCTAATCACAAGGAAGAGAACAATGTTACCAAGCTTCAAATTATTCATACCTAATTACAAGGTCACTCTAAATAAGGCAGGATTACGCGCGAAATTTAAAAAGACTAAGAAACCAACGATGATGTTGGTTGCTGTTTTATAAGTTGAAAGTTGTGTGTATCTTATCTTAATATATAATAATATCAAAAGCCTGTGAGCATTATACGTTGTGGCACGCAGATTTTTAAAGGTTTTACAAGATTAAATACATATAATAAATAAATATTGGTAAAACTATTCATTATTTTTTAAGAAAGCGGTGGTCCATTGGAATATCTGGACTTCAAAATATCGTACTGACTTAAATATATTTAAGCTATATGTATGTCAGCTATATGATATAATAATCCAATCTTTTTAGAAATAACTTTTTAATATCTATTATCGTAACGAATTGCTAAGTGTCAAGCAAAATGCATAAATGCTTAAGAGCAACGAAGGTATAACAATTTATTTTCTTTAATTTCTTTACAATAAAGTCACCCCATTTAATTCGAAGTTCCAGAGTCGTAAGAAAACCCTATCTTTCCTGTATGATAAAAATCCACGGCGTGAAAGTTGCCGATCTCGCTATACAATGTAGTCGTCAGAAACAGAAATTTTATTTGAAGCTATGCAGTTATGTATCAATTCGTTTACGGGCTTATTCGGTACTTATTATATTTTCTATAAATTGTAACACAGGCCCCTTTTTTTTAAATATATGATATTTATTATTTTGATCCAGATCCCTTTGTTGTGCAAACGATAGTTGCGTAAGCTAAATTGTAATCGATGTCTATCGTTCGGTCGCCAGTGTGATATGTGCTCTACCATCTCTGCGGTGCATCGTTAAAACGAAAACAAGTCAGAACTTTGGAGCAGGGAAACTTTATTTTAGTAATTATTAAGTTGGTTCTGTTCGTCCGCGCCTTCACCATGGCGTGGCGTTCCGTGGGAGCCAATAACGAGGACCTCATACGTCAGTTGAAGGGTGAGCCGTCCTATTGCCTAACGGGAGGAGATAATAATAGACCCGCAATCCCAAAGAGCACGGCGTCATCGCCAGTGATGCGGTGGCCAAGGCCATGATGGAAACCGACCGCAAGCACTACTCGCCGCGCAACCCCTACATGGATGCCCCGCAACCCATCGGAGGAGGGGTCACCATCAGTGCACCTCACATGGTAACTTAGAGACCGTAGACTTTAATACGCCTTCCTATTGCATCGACCCATTAGTTCTATAATAGGACATGTTGTAACTACACAGGAACTGCTATACGTTTTTAGACATTTTCGGAAGTGTTTATGAGTTTACATTTAAATTCAGTTTTTGAAATTGTAAAAAGTAAGGTTGCGTAAAAGCAAACGTTTCTATTAACTGCCACATGATAACATCATCTAGAATTATCTCAGTTGCGCGAAAAGTTGTTGTAAACTCCAATAGATTGCGACATTTACTCAAATGTGATATTAAGAATACATTCTTGGGTAGGAGCGCCAATTTCATTAAACCGCTTAACAAGTTCTCTCTATTTAACGACTCAGCATGCATTCGCCTTGGAGTATCTGCGCGATCATCTGAAGCCCGGTGCCCATGTGCTTGATGTGGGCTCTGGATCGGGATACCTCACAGCCTGCTTCTTTCGCTACATCAAGGCAAAGGGCACAAATGCGGAGACCCGAATTGTGGGCATCGAGCACCAGGCGGAACTTGTGCGGCTGAGTAAGGCTAACTTGAACACCGACGACGGCAGCATGCTCGACTCCGGCCAGCTGTTGATCGTGGAAGGCGATGGACGCAAGGGATACCCTACCAGTGCGCCCTATAACGCCATCCACGTGGGAGCTGCTGCGCCGGACACGCCCACCGAACTAATAAACCAACTGGCTAACGGCGGACGCCTCATTGTCCCCGTGGGTCCCGACGGCGGCTCCCAGTATATGCAACAGGTAGGCTATTTCAGTAGTAGCTAGGAAGTCCAGTGACTAAAAGATGACGATGTTTACAGTACGACAAGGACGCCGATGGGAAAGTGCAGATGACACGTCTCATGGGAGTAATGTACGTGCCCCTCACGGATCTACGCTCCTGACTGCATCGAGTAGGAAGGTCACTGGTTGCGGTGCTGATGCTCGTCTTTATTATTTACCAAATTTGGGCTTACTCTCGCTAGTATTAATTATCCAATAAATTGCAAATGCTTGTTTTCTCGTTGAGTCCAATTAAATAAGTTTCCTGAACAAACTAATTATGTTGCTTTATTATACATATATTTTATTTATTAAAGTATATATTTAAAATTCTTTTTTCAAAGTTAGGGGCTTGGGAAAGTGACAAGGTTTAGAGTTGCAATAAAAAAGCTGCTCATAATATGCATAGTTAGAAAGTATATATCACATATTTGTCTTTTTTTTTACTTACAGGGGAAAAAATTTTTTAAAACCCGTTTGGACTATGTATTTCGTTGATAGATTCTGCAGCTTTGGCCATCGTTTGTTTTCTGAGTAGCTTAAATTTTTTATTAGAGCCTTTATATTATTTGTTTCCTCATTTCACTTGACATTAATGTCAAAGTCGTATTTATGTCGTTTGTGAAAATCCCAAAGCGGCAGTATTCATCTGGAGTTCGAAGTGAATGGATCAAAAATTTCCAGCGGTTTGAAATTATACAAAAAAAAAAAATAGTTTAAAAGAACAAAAAGGTTTTAAAATTATAAAACAAAATTAAACATGTCTAAAAGTTGTGAAATTGTTTTTTAAGATGGTTATGGGGAGGTTAGTTCTTAAACGGGTATATCTGGACTTACATCGTTTTTTAATTATTGGGAGACAATTTTTACCGACGTTAAAGAGGGATTTTAAAATAAAAAAGAAGACTTTGTAACACTTGGAGGAGTGAATGCCAATCACTACAAAGACAAAACCTTTTATGTAGAACTAATCGATTGGTTAGGGATCAAATATACACCCTATTAGGATTGAACAAATTTTTTTAGAGAGATGGTTAGTTAATCATTAAACGGAAACTTTAAATTTTTGATTTACGTTTTTTTGTATTTTGGGAGGCATTGTGTAGCTCTGTATTGCTATGGTAAGTTGTGGCATGCTGTGCCGGCATTGAATTGACAATCAAAAATAAATGAGGCGGCATCGTAAAACTTCACTTGCGAGTATCAATTGTTCTCCATTCTCATATTTGAAAAACGATTGGCGAGCGTTTACCCGGCAACCAGACTTGTCACCGCTTATCGAACCGCTGCCATCTTTAGTGACAAAATGTGTCAGTTTGAAATTATAAAGAAAACTGAAATGAAGACCTCTGAGAGCAAAGTGCATTCAAAGGATGAGAACTTTTCCAAAAAGTTATTGACGCAGCGCTCCCTGTCTGCGATATCCTTGCAATGCACTGGTCAGGAGTTAGGCAGAGAGGTGTCTAAATGGCTGTCTCTCAACCTTAAGGAGGACCTGAAATATCTGCTGAACGACGCGGGCAAATTAATGCGACGCGTCCGGGACCATCGGTTGTGTCTGTCGCATATCCAGCAGGCCATCCGAATGGACGAAAATTTGTCAATAAACATTCTCTACAGGCTAGTCCCTCGCGAAGATCGATTGGGACAGTCTGCGGTGAAAGTGCCCATTCTCGAGGGCGAAGCAATCACCTGTGATCCTGGGCTTTTGGAGCGTGTTACCGTCCAGGACTCAGAGCCAGAGATCTCTTCGTGGCCGGCTTCTCCCTCCTTTACCGGCTGGATAAAGCTGGAGCAGGTGTTCCTGAAGTCCTGCAAGCGGTACCCTTTGACGAAGGAGCAGCAATCCTTCTACGAGCTGGTCACCGAGGCCTGTGTGGGCACCTCGGAGTCCCGGCGGCAGCGGGCGCTCCAAACCCTCGCCACAGATCCCTCGCTTGAGGTGTTACTGCCCTCGTTGAGTAAGTTTATCGCAGACGCAGTGTCCGTTAACGTAACCCAGCAAAATTTGCCGCTTCTTCTCTATGTTATGCGGATGGTTAGAGCCATTTTGGGAAACCGTCGTTTGAGTTTTTTACCATATGTGAGTATTGGAAAGCGAGCAATAAGAGCAGCTGAGACCGCATTTCTTGCATTGCAGCTTCACATGATCCTGCCGGCCGTACTCTCGTGCCTGCTTACCAAACATGCTTGCTCTTCCGCTGGGTCAGACGATCACTGGGCCTTGAGGGAGTACTCTGGCAACGTTATGGCTCAAATAGTGCGCCACTTTGACGCTTCCGACAACAGTATCCTGCCCAGAGTTATTGGGCAAGTACCACAAAATTCTCAAAGACGAAAACTTGTTTTCATTTGTCATTTAACCTTAATATAGTCCGTGGAGAGCATGAAATGGTTTCCGAAATAGTGATTTCAAATCAAGTACTGTACTGCTCTCTCTTTTTTTTTGTTTATATATATCTCGGAAAACTGCTCTTTAAAGATTACAAAGTATCTTTAACTGAAATTCAAAATATCTTTTCTGATTGGTTCAAGCTTCTTTTTTTTCTTTTGCACGACATTGCGTCTCACTCTAAAAAGATTTGTATTTTTATTTGCACAAGTACAAATTACAAAAATGAATACACGGATGTTGCTACAATATATTGGTTTATTTTTGTTGCAGGATCTACAAAAAGGCTCTGAAAATGCAGCCCTTAACTACGGTGTTTGGTGCAGTCATCGGCTTGGGGAAGTTGGGAAACCACGCGGTGCGCGCCTGCATTCTACCACAAATTGGATTCCTCTCTGAGCGCATTGAACCTTACCTAAGTGTCAGCAATGGCTGCTCTAGCTCCAGCCTCGACAAGCTTGCTGCTAAATACATTCGCCATCGATTGGTCAAGATGTGCACGCCGGTGCTGAAAAGCATCCACAGTACCCCGGATCTACCGAAGGAGTATGCGGACGCTTATGGATTTTTGGGTCCACAGTTATGCGGTGCCGTCATCGTAGCGCGTGTCAAGGCCGAAGCGGTGGCTGCGGCTAAAAAGGAGGCAGATGAGGCTTCCAAAAATAAACAAACGAAAAGATCTGGCGAGCCCTACAACCAATCAAAAATTTCAGGAGCTGTATGTGTCGGCTCTAAGGTTTTAGTCTCGACCAATTCGCTCATGAACGGTGTCTGCCGCCCCAACGACGTAGCTCTAACCCTCAAGATCAACCCAAAAACTCAGATGAAAAACCAGGCGGTTTCTGTTAAGCCCGTGGAACATATGGTGGCTCAACCGACACAGGTTCAGCTGCCTAAATATAGTGGAACTTTAGTCCCGCCCATATCAAAGCAGTTTCGTGCTTTGCCACCAAAGAAAAGCATACTGATTATAACATCATGAAATAGTGGCAAAGAGGTCATTAACTTTATACGGAATTAACAAATGTAACAAAAAAGTTGTTGAACGGTGTACTTTTTTAAATAGAAATCAAATATTTGATTCTAGTTATTCTTTTTTGACTTCCGACTGAAGTTTTAAACAAATATGGCCCATTTGACTTCAGGTCTTAGTAATATTAGGGTTTTCGTAGTCGAGTTAAGATTTAATGAAGATTATTTTGTTCATAAATAAGTTTTCTTATTTTTTTAATTAAACTAAATTTCTGTTAAAAAGTGGGAAGCACACGCGACTGTGTGGATGTTAAAAAGTCAGAATACTGGGATTGAAAACGTAGGTGAGCTTTTTAAGTAAATAATAGTGTTTTAAAAAATTTGAGGTGTGACGCGATAGTCGATAGATCTTTTGGTTTTTTATTAAAATTAAGGCGCGTGTTCCGCTTGATTCAAAATTCTGTCTAAACTTAAAAAAACTAAGAGTTCAACTAAAAATACCGTTACAACGACAAATGCAGCCCTGGTCGTTCGCACTACCGATATCCAACCGAGCTATCGGTAGTCACGAGCAGATGGCTTGTCCATCTTCAGCAGAAGTGTGCCCCAGGGGTGCATTGAAAAGAGCGTATGTGTATTTTTTATCTGCTCGCTCAATAAAGTGATAAAACGGAAAAACGCAGCTTTGTAATCCCGCAACTCGCCACTACGATGCCTGCAGAGTTTAGGGCTCTAGCAATTTGATATTGGAAGCGAGGTAAAAGGCAGCTGTAACTCAAAACCGACAACGACAACATAGAACGCCTTGTGTGCGCAGTTTAGGTGTGCGTCTCGTCTCGTCGCGCGTGCGAATGTGTGTGTGCGGCAATTAAACAATAAGATTCGTTTGGGGCAGGGGCGTGGGGTTGGTTAACTGGCGGGGGCCACTTCAGTACACTGTCTACTCATGGGCGTGGAACGGTGCATTTGGGGACCCCATTAACGCAAGCGAAGCGCGAAATTGGGAGTAAGTTGTGGTAGGTGGCTACAACGTGCAGGTGCCCTCTGCGGCAGGTGAAACTCGAGTTTCCAGCCTGTCTGGCAAACTTGTTTCGACCCTCCTACAGCAAATAATTATTTTCTTATTTTCGTTAAGTGAACAAGCTTTGTGCGAGGAGCTGAAAAGTTCGATGCAGTGGATCTTTGTTTACATCTGGACTCTCTTCGCCCTCCCTCTCTGTATCCGTTGGAATTCGAACTATTCTTACCATTACACATGCGCGAGTAAATTTTCAATTAGATCATTAATTTTAATATTGCGCGCGCTTGTGCGATTTCAATTAGCTTGCCAGCCATCAAAGTAACAAGAATAAAGCTCTGGCACCGTGTCAGCCGATTGTCCTACTCCACTTCAAAAGTATCCAAGTTTTTTTTGGCCAGAGTCTGCGGAATAGGAGGAATTCAAGTTAAAAGTTAAACTGGATTTTGCTTTATGGGAGCTGAATTTAGTTAAATATATTTGTTGCAAAGCCAAAACTAACGGCAAATATAATTATAATTATATTTATATATCATAATTATTACCCTAGTTTCCATATTTATTATCTTAATTTGTAATGCAAAATAGAGCAAAAAAACACATTTTTAAGATTTTTTTAGATACACTAGAACCAAAAAAGTTAATAAAAAAATTAATCTAGTTTAAAATCAAAACATGTTGGGAAAGAAAAATACATAGAAAAAAAAAGTTTATTTTACCTATTTCAAATCAAAAATATATTTTAAGTAAAATACATAGATCCACCTGTTTCTTCATTTGGAAAAATTTCCAAAAAAGGAATATTTTTCAGCTACTCTTGGGTGTCACACTTTAATTGCAGTTTTAACCATGTTTGCAAAGAACTTAAACATTTTGTTTTCTCAGATTTGTTTCGTTCCAGTAGGGAATGGACGCAATACTAGAGTGAACGGCGGTGCCCTACTATCATGCCCATGTCCCTGCAAACCGTCTCGGCCCCGGCTCCAGTGCCGGCAGCTCTGCCGGCTACTTTGTCGGTCAGTGCCTCCAGCACCCAGATGCTGCGCCCCCAGACGCTCGCCGGCCCCGAGCGGGAGCCGATCGAATTTAACATCAACCTGGTTGGAGCTCCGCCCGAGGTGGAGCAGCTGGTGGAACAGATCAAGAGTGTGGCCGAGCAGTTCCTCTACCACTGGAAGAGCTTTCCCATCGGTGAGTTTCCGTATGAAGTGCAGTGATCCACTCCCCTAATCGAAACCCATTTTTAGTTCTTCCCCAGGCGCTGGCCAGCAGTGGTCTGAATCTGACGGCCAGGAACGCGACCAACAGCGTGAGCAGCCGCAAAACGCGACCCATTAATCTGCGCGACCTATTCATAGCTCCTCCCTTCGACGAACTAGACGCAGTGGCCTCAGACGGAAGTGGAGAGCCTCGCCGGTTGACAAGCGCCCAGCTGAAAACTCTACGGGAAACTGGGTGAGTTTGCGGTCACGAGACAGAGAGATGCTCATTGGGATGATGGATAGATTGACGGATGAGTGGATGGTGGATGGTGGATGACGGTTGATGGATGGAGCGATTTGCAATTGCCAGCTTAATAAGCAAAAAGAGCTATTGTGCAGCTAGCAGTTAACAGCAGCTGATTAACCGCGCTTTTGCCACATCCCCCACACCTGATAGTGATTTCTTTCGTTTATTGAGTTCCTTAACCATTGCCAATCATTCCGCGACACTTTGCACCCAGCAAACGCAAAAATCAAAATAAGGCATGCTCCAAATCTATTTTAAAATTATTACGATACGAGCTATCGTGTACTTTTTTTTGTTTTATTAACCAAACTAAACGCATGCCCCACTACTATTGTGTTTTTATTTCTGTGTATCACTGCCAATGAAACGTGAAACGGTAAACAACAATTTGTATGTGACATATTTCTGTAAAGCTTGCAAAAGGATAAATATGGAAAGCCGAAGAAATTAACTTTGGAACAATTGGAAACTATACGTAAAAATGGGTAAATAAACACTATCAAAACGGCGATCAGTAAAAGCCAAGGCAAACTACTGCCGCTGCATTACAACCTGTTTAGTCGGTGTTCTTCCGTTTGTACATACATTTTCATTATTTAGTTAATGTTAATTGTTATACTTTAAGTCATTGTCTAAAGCCGCTCTGATAAAATTGCATGCTTGTTAAACCGAAATTGAAAGTTCAAAAACGAATCTGCATGTTGGAAACCCGTGGGACCCATGAAAATGTTAAAGGGGAACGCATATACTCCAAAAAAAAACAGTTTTTTTTTCAGATTAAGCGTATAGTCTTAAAAAACTAACACATATTACTTTTTAAAGGCGCTTACGTGAGAAAATATTTTGTACGTCATTTCCGTGTACCCCATATCACAATCACACATTTACACAAACAAACATGTGAAGTTGAAACACTCACTACAATCGGGCAAACCATAATTCTGAATCTGGTACACGCTTGTGCATGCCAACAATTTGTCATTGATCTAGATCATTTACGTGTTTTATGTTGTCTTGATCTCTCAGATGCTTGGAACCCTAATAGCTAATACGAATTTGTCCTTCTCCACAGCGAGTTCGATGTGCCCAGTCTGCACTTTCCTGGCCAGGTGCACAAGTGGCGTCTGTCCCAATTGCTGCAGAAGGGAAAGCTGCGTGCCCAGGATTCCTTTCTAAGCGACCTGGCCCTAGCTGCTCGCTTTGTCGTGGTCACGGCCCGAGCCCGGATCTTTTCCCACTTCTTCTCCGTGGTGCAGGCCATGCACGGGCTGCTGGGAGCATTTACCAAGCTGGCGGACATGTTTATCGGGGTTCCGGCTCTATTGGCCCACAACCTGGACTACAAGATAAAGGAGGAGCGCTGCAGGTTTCTCATAGCCGAGTTAGTCTGTCGGGTACGCTACCTTAGCTAAATTGCTGTACAACTAACATTCAAAATGTGCATTTTAGCCCGAATTTGAGGATTGTCTGGATGGTCTGTGCTCGTATGTCCGAAAGATGCTTCGACGCGCCACTATGGAGAAGTTCGACTTCAACAGCTGCGAGGTCAGCCAGCCAGTGCCGTACCTCTTCCTCACGCCCAAGGGACAGGAGATCGACTTGCGCCTGTTCTGCCGCGACATCATGCGCAAGGCGCTGCCCATTCTGATTGGCATCCTGGAGAGGGAGACGCGCGGCTGGTTCCTGCATTTCCGCGAGCGTCTGATTGCCGAGCTGCGGGCTAAGAAGCTAAACGACAAGGAAATCGAGGAGGAGGTCAACGAGGCTGTTATGAAGGAGTATTTGCAGCGTGTCTACAGCTCTATAGTGTCCAACACCAAGTTGGCGGAGCTGGGCGCCGGAGTGCCGGAACTCCTGGTGCAGCAGGCCCAGTCGGTGGTGATTATGTACAAGGCAGTGGACAAGGTGGAGCAGAATATCAAGCGCACCCGCGAGGACCACCAAAAGTGTCTGGCTAATGATCATTCCGTGCTGTCCCGGGTGGCTCCCTGGCTGCGCTCCAAGCTTCGCCACGCTGAGGAGAACCGGCTGCACAAGAGTGCATGGTCAGCCCACGAAGAGGCGCTGAAGATGTGCACCCAGCACAACTTGCACCAGACGGCTTACTTCTTGTCCCGCGACCTGGCCTTCATGAAGGAACGTGAACCTGTGCTTCTCAAGGAGTTGAAGAACGCCAAGACTCCCACGCGCAGCTTTCAGTGGGCCTGTCGCATCTGGTCGCCGCAGTCGTGGATCATCCGTCGCAACTTCCAGGGCCAGTCGGACGTGATTCCCACGGTTATCAGCCAGCATGCCACCAGCATCGTGACTCCCCGCTCGGACCCCAGCCAGCCGGTATTTTTAGTGGAGAAGGAGATTATCCGCACAACGAGCACCCGCTGGCCCTTCTGGCGCCTACTGAACATGATCCAGCGCATCTGGTGTTGGTCCTGGAACATGATGTTCCTGCTGGGCATCCTCGTTCCGTGGTGCAGTCCGCTAGGACTGCGTGCCCTCTGCTGTGTGAAACCCTTCATGCCCGACCTGGAACTTTCGCAGATCAACGGCACACTGTTCCCAAGGAAGACGAGTATCACCCAGACGTTGGCCTCGCGGCTAATCGAGTTGTGGCGTCACATATCAAAGTCGCGCACGCACTTCGAGACGGAACCGGATACGGGTAAGCTTCAATTTTAGCTCCAGATGAGTTTTCGGTTTATTGTTATTCGTACTTGTAGGCTTCATTGGCAAGGGACTGACACGCAACCTGAATCGAACTTGGAACTACTTTGTGAAAGGATTCCTAGGCACCATTGTCATCTTGTTCGCTTTTCCGCTTATCTGCTTGTCCGCCAGCCTGCTGAGCATTGGTCTGGCTGTGACTGCACCCCTGTGGATTCCCGTATTTGTCCTGCTGCTCCACATTTACATGATCCTCGTATATGATTTGGATGCGCCTGATAACACGAAAAACCGATACTGCATTTTGCTGGAGGCTATTGTTTGGAATCTTCTCATTCAAGGAGTGCTGCAGCCGGTGGCGGCGGTTCTAATGGCCACGTTGATCTGTCCATTGGCAGCGGGAGTCGTTTTTATCGGTACGTCGATACTTAATATAGTAATTGCAGTTCTTACCAGTCCCTTAATCTTTAGTGGGAGTCCTTCGCTATTCACTTCGCCTCGTCTGGGACTCGCTCACCTACCATCTGTTCATTAAGAAGTGTGGACGTGTGCCGGCCTCGGATAGCATTGCTGTAAAGCGAATCGCTGGACCCGGACTGGCACTTGACTATTACTTCATTATCCGACCAGAGCAGGCTTTGGCGGCGCTAGAGGCTAAAATGGAACTGGACGAGCTGCAGGCCTACCAGCACGCCACGGAGCGAGTGGTCCTGCAGCCACAGCACGATTTCCTTCAGTTTGTCGAGGCTTGCTTTGGTCCGTTTTCCGCCCAAATTAGTAAAACCGGTCCCTACTTGTCGCTGGACCGTGAGGCGCAGGATCTGATGAGTACGCTCCACGAGAAACTGGAAAAGCGGCGAAGGGAGCTGCAGACGGCGCTGACCACTCAGGTCAAATCGCGCATCAAGCTGAATACCAAAGAATTGAAGGTGCGTCAATGATAGTGATGTAAATACAAATAAAATTAATTACTTTCTTTCCTCAGATTGCTATACAACTGGCCGCCCATATTTTAGAGAAGTATTATCCGTCTCATGTCATCGGCAGGTTGTCGATTAGCGAAGAAGAGTTCTGGGATAATAAGGTAAAAAACATATGATCATTGCTTGAATGGACACTATAGCCACAAATATTTTCAAACAGGGTCTCACGGTGAACGACTGGCCCGGACTAGCTGGTCTTATATACACCGACATATTTAGTTTAGATTTTCTAACGCCATTGACTGAAAACGATACACATTTTAAACTAGAACCACATGCCTCGCTCGATCTGACGCGTTATACAGAGATGGTCAAGAATGCGAATGATGTGATAGGCTCCAAAGGCCTGGATCTGCTCGGCAATGTGTATGCGCCGCGTGGCAATGTCCAGGTGCACCTGCCCTTCCTCGAGGTGACCGCATTCAATCCACGCTCTCGAATAACGCTCACCTTCCGCAAGCCAGAGAAACGGTAAAGCTATATTTAAACTAACTTTTTTGCAAGAAGCTAACAATGCTATCAATAGGGATATGTCCGTTGGATTGACCACACCAAGGGTGCGTGCCCATCGAGCCCAGCATGTGCCGAAGACGCCTCAAGATGCCCAGAAGGCCTGGCGACCGTGGAAGCAAAAATGCGGGGAGAAGAGCGTGACGGAAAAGCTCCTCATTCCGCTGCCAGTGCCCCATCCAGTACACATTGCCATCGCCATCTACAATCGCGACACCGAGTTGCCCATTCCCTTGGACTCGGAGCTTGTCTGGGAGATCCTCAAGTCGATCGAAGACTGTCAAGGCGGCGATGCCATTGTAAGTAGCCCTTTGTTGATAAAGGATACATGGTGATACCACCTTTTGCTTGCTCTATACAGGCTGTTCAGGCTGCGGCGCGATACCGGGGAGCGGTTATTGAATCCAGCAATGACTCACTGGCCACCAGCAGCAGCATAGGCAGCACCCGTGACTCGGGATCCGGCTCTGTGTCAGGGTCTGCCTTGGGCAACGGCACAGAGACCTTACCCTGTGGCAATCGCGAGGTGAGAAAGATAAGAAAGAAAGTTTAAACAAGGATTTTTGTGCATTCGGAGCACCTTCAATCAAGTTTTAGAGGATTGATTTAAACATAATAGAAAATAGGTAACTTAAAAATCAATTTGGGTTTAATTTTCAGGTTTGCACACAGGTGAAAGTGGACGCCGAACCGGCTGCAAGCTCTTCTGGATTTCATTGGACTCTGAGCAACTGGGGCGCTGCGCAAACAGCCCGACGTCGAACAAACTCGAATGTGCGCGTGGACTTGGCCAGTCCCGAAGATATATCCCTGGATACGGATAGTTCTCGAGCCGTCTTTAACAATGCGTACGGCACAACGGTCTAACAGGCTTTCGGTGGTTCGGGCACACAAGTATATATTAACCTATCAACACACGTAGATTTATTCGTGGCTGCTCGCTTTTAAGAAAAGAATGCATAACCCGTTTTATCGAATGAAGTCTCGAATATGGTCCAGGCAACGTAACATTTTGGGAGGGAACCGATTGTTCAGAAAAGAATTCGAACCACATTTAAAAGAATACTTTTTGAAGAATTTAGAAACTGTCTGTGAGTGGTACATTTGTGAATCAGATGCCTCATCTGTTTGCATCCAGGGAACAATCGAAAGTATTTAAATGTTTTCCCTTCTCAATACAAAATCCCAGGCAGCCGCGTAGTTAATGTGTAATAAGAACAAATTTATCCATCTAACTATATTTACGTATGCGTATATGATATACATATATGGTTCGATAGTATACACCGCATAGGCGAGTCGAAAAGCAACAAACTTCAATCTAGTCGCAAGCTAACTTTATGCAGCAATCTAATTCGATTTCTTACGCAACTTATAAGAATAAAACGCAGCTTCATGACAGTTTTACATTAGTGATTAGTTCACTCTGATTTCCGTATTAAAGGCCAATACATAGGAATACTTATTGAGTAGATATTCAATATAAGCCATGAGATTTTTCTTTGTACCTAACCAACCAACAAATTTAAGTTTAACTCGTTTAAGAACAAACTTTGTATTATAAATATGCCACGAATTGTACCATGAGCAGTTAAACAAATATTGTTGATTAATAACTAATTTATTTATATACAGTCAAACTATCTGAATATCAATGTTTTATCTACTCCAGTACTTTTTCTTCCAAAATCCGAAAAGCAAATTATAAATAACAGTGAGTAAAGAGTAATAGATCGCAGCGGTGGTAAAACAACACCAAGGCCGAAATCATAAGTAATAAAATTTAATAAAGGCATCGTAAAGGACTTTTACAAAATAAAATAGGACAAAACTAAAACATTTTTACATTTATATATACACATTTAGATCACATAATCGTATGTTAAACTGTTGATGCCTTTTGTATCTAACGTTTTCCAAACCAGCTAAAAAGCTAAATTCCAATTCGACTCCATCCCCAGAGCTATATCCATGCCCTCCAAGTATTTCTCGAACAGAATTATTTTGAAAATTTTCAAACTGCCACAAGCCTAAGTATTACGTTTTTCTACAACCCGCGCACTGCTCACTAACAATTCAAACTTTGAATTCGCTTTGGCAGCTTCCAGTGTTATGTTTAAGTCGTTTAACTGATTTTGTACACCTTTTTATTTTTTAATCTCGGAATGAAAAACCCATTAATGGAAATGAATCTTCACATACAAATATACAAACATTTACATAAATATGTAGTTATACAATTAAAAGAAAAAACACCGAGAACGGTAAATCTCATGAAAATGCATTGAACAATTTTATGTAAAATGTTTTCTTAATATTAAAACAAAGGATGTAACAATAAATTATAAATGAATATTGTGTGCTCGCAATTTTTTAAGTATTTTGAAGTAATTAGAACTCGAAAAACAGTGTTCACTGTACAGTTCGATTGGACGTATGATACTTATAAAATTGCAGGCGCATCTGTAGTTTAATATATAATAATAAAAATGTTGGCTAAAAATCAAGGATTTGCGTTTTATTTAGGAACAGGCGTGGTATTTTTGCAACCATTGAATTAAAACAAGTTTCCAAAACATGGATTTGATAGTATTTATTTAAAAGATATACTTCCATTTATATGTAAAGATATAAACTTTTACTTAAAGATAGTGTAACTTCTCTTAGGATACATTCTAACTGTTAGCTTAAAATGAATTTAACCAACACAACTCGTTTCGAGCACTAAGTAAACCATTCAGAAATAAAAACGGAATCAATATAGAAAAGGGTAATCACAATAATTAGTTTTTCTGCAAGTCGAGCTCTTGTATTGCAAATTATGAAAATATATTCACATAGTATTAACAATAAAATAACATATATATTTAGTTTATGACAGCGTAAAACGGTTTTAATTGTATTAGGGTCGCTCTGCGAACATTTTCAAGGTAACTACACAGGTCTAGATTCTACCTTCAGGTATTACAAGTCGTCGAGGGGAGGGTAAGGTGCAAAGTTGTAGGTTGTGAAAAAATGCTTAACACGTCCACTAACTAACATGTTAACAGCCCTAAGTTCTCTGAGTGAGTGTACTACATATTAATGTACTCAATTGGTTAAAGTTTTAGAATTCAGTCCCGCGGGACAGTATTTGAGCAATTTCGTATGTGGTTTTTGGAATTCGAATCTAATACAGATTGATTTTTGGTAATTACTCGGGATGTTGCTTAGCCCTGCAGTATTACATTGAGAATGAGTTGCGAAAATGTTTTTGGCGGGAGGCGCCAGTTTGGGTTCCCGTTGGTGCGGGTGCGCAGGGAATGTTAACCAAAATGAAGTGCCAAATCTAGTTGCTAACAAAACAGCCTCACTGAAACGGCAGGAGGCTGTGTGCCGTTGTGTTGAGCAGGCCCAACCGCTGCTTCTGCTTCCTCTGCTCCGTCATGTGGTCCTTGAGTTCGTGCAGCTGGGTGGAGAGGTTCTTGATCAGCAGCTGCGTGTCCAGGAGCTGCGCCTGCATGCTGCGCAACTCGATCTGCTCTCCGTCCGCGTCCACAGCCGCCAGGGACATGGCGCGCAGGCGGGGAACCATTCCAGGATCCCGGCCTTTACCATCGCGTACACATAGCTTTCGGGGCCGGTGAACTCAGTGGGATCCTTGACCTTTACAAGGACGATGAAGTACAGGTAGTGCCACATGTTGTGCTCGCTCTTGATGTGCTCCTCGAAGCTAACCGTCTTGTTGTCGAAGGCCGATCGGTTGAGGGAGCAGATGAAGCAGGTCGTCTTCAGGATGGCCTCTTTTTGCTGCTTCTCCGATCTCAGATCGGCGAAGGTGTCAATGATGACACCAAAAATGAGGTTCAGGACTATAATAATGACTATGAAGAAAAACAGCAGGTCGTAGATTACTCGAGCCACGAACAAACCCTCCTGGAAAATTAAAAAGTGCGTTGTGAATGTGAAATAACAGATCCAAATTATGCATGTACAGTGTACCTTGCTCGAAGGCGCTCTGAGTATGTCGCCAATGCCGCCACCATTCCGCAAGCCCTGGTTCAGTGTGGTTACTATGCACATGACGAGCGAGTCGCAGGATCGCTCCTTCACCTCGCCACCACCTCCATTCGCAGGGGCCACATCCTTTGCTGCTGCACAGTTGCCCAGTTCATCTGGAGCCGCACAGGCATCTCCTGGTACAGGCACCGATAACGTCACGGGAACAGCCGGAGGCGATGCGTTGTCCTGCTCCTCGAAGTCCACGCTAACCAGGAAATCGTCCTTGAAGAACATGTAGCCAATAATCGAGAACAAGTAGACCAGGATCAGCGCCAGCACAGCGGTCAAGACAATGGAGCGCCCGTTGCGAGTCACTGATCGAATTACATTGACCAGCGTCTCCTCGCGATAGACCACATCGAAGAGCTGCAAAAGCGTTTTGGGATAGGATAAGTCTTGTATTTAAAAATAGTTACTATAACTTACCAGCAAGGAGTAGAAAAAGGGATGGAAGATTAGGCCGCAGAAGCAAAATGCTATATAAATGCAGTGGTAAAGTAACTGAAAGTCAGTTATAATTTTGATTAACTGCTTCTCCAAGGTGCCCTTGTTGCCCATTATGCTCACTATGTGAACGCTCTTGAGAGTGACCTATGTTTCATATATAGAATATGGTTAAAGGGAATTTTTATCAGGTAAAAAGTCAGCTTTATGTACCGTGACCACTCCCAGGAGGCAGAGGGTTGACTCTGGGCCAAGTAAAAAGATGAAACGTAGGATCACGGAACCGATGAACGTTCTTATTCCCGACTCACGGGGCAGTGTTATCACAATCACCAGTGAGAATATCGTAATGATCCAGAACAGCAGGGAAATGTGCGAGCTGAGCTCTGAAAGGGATCGAAAGGAGTGGTAAGTATTGAGCCTACATTGTTCTTCAAGTATATTATTATATTCCTACCTGGCACAGTGTTATCAAAGGGGTAGAAGAAGGCCACTATCATGTTGATGACGACCACACAATTGAACAGGATATTGCTCCACAGGGACATGTAGCTGCTGATCCAAAATAGCAAGGGTTGACCTGAAAAATTACAAAACATAAGGTCCAGTCTGAAAATTCCACATGAGTTCTCATGCTTCCTACTTCTCAGCTTCTTTTGCCACTTCATTTCGTTGAACATCTCCTCCGCCTTGTCAAAGAAGTCGGCCACCTTGGATCCCTGGTCGTCCCGCTCGGCGGTGTTCAGGATTTTGATCTTAGTGTCTGTGGTCAGGTACTCACAGATCTCGGGAATGGGAAAGACGATCTGCTCCAGAGTGCGGTCGTTGCGGACAATCTGGAAACGAAAGTGCAGGGATTAGCTAATCAAATATGAAGATGAGGATCTAGGGGAGCACCTCAATCTGGGCAGTGTGCGTGGCGTAGTACATCAGGGCCTGACTCGTCTTGGCGTCGAAGCTGGCGGACTGGGGATCCTCGGACGCCTTGAGCAGACCCGCCAACTCCTTGTTGTGCTGCGCCAGCTGGTGGCACAGGATGTATATGTTGTGGCCCACCTCGCGCGGACTCACGGTGGCGTCGTCGTCATCCGACCCGGCGTCCGGCTCGTCGCCGTCGTCCTGCTCGTCGATCAGCTCCTCCTGGTGGTAGGCCTTGCAGGCCACCTCCACCAGCTGCTTGGGGTTCATGTTGTACAGGATGCGCTCCGCGTTCTCGCTGTCGCCGCGACTCTCCATGATGGCCAGCAGCAGCTTGGAGGCGTTGTTCTTCAGCTCCAGCACCAGGTCCATCCGGTTCTCGCCCAGCGGATTGATGTTGTTCAGAATGAGCGCCGTGATGATGTCCAGTCCGTTCGACTCGTGGGTGGCGATGCAGTTCTGGTTCTCGTGGCACGGCCCCTGGCAGTACTCCGTGAGCGCCTCCAGCGTCTGGTTGATGAGGGCCACATTGTGCTCGTTGATGTACAGGCCCAGGAGACCCAGGCCGCCCGTCGTCGAGCCGCAGATGCAGTCGAGGAACATGAGGGTCTCCGAGACGAGGTTGTTGTTCGTCTTGTTGTTCTGGTTGCGCAGCAGGTTCTGCATGTCCGGGTTGTGGTTCTCGCAGAGCAGCTGCAGGAAGCGCAGGATGGGCTGCATCACGAGCACCTTGTTGGAGAGCTGGTTGCGCTGCTCGCGGCTGTCCTTGTGCTTCTCCAGCTTCTCGGCCAGGATGTCCTCCAGCGGGCTGTTCACGCTCACCGCCGAGCTCTCCTCGCCCGAGTGGATGTTCCTGGCGGTGCCGTAGGCCCTTGCAGTGGCCAGTCCGGCGTTGTGCAGCTCCCGCTTCAGCTCCTCGGTGATGACCACCCCATTGCTCTTGAGGCCGTGCTTGCGCGAGATCTTGTCCAGCTCCAGGCCGGCGTCCTGCTTGTGCTCGTGCGCCTTGGCCGCGATGTCGGTGGTGTTCACCGTCACGGTGGACTTGATCTCCTGCTGGGCGTCCTTCATCTTCTCGAAGAAGACCTTGAAGAAGGCCTGGTTGAGGTCGTCGCTGAGGAACTTCTGGAACATGCCCTTCTGGATGATGGGGTTGCCGCCCTCCAGCAGCGCGATGCCCAGCTCCACGGCCTCCACGAATATGTTCGGCGAGTGCACCGACTTGATGACCAGCTCGACCACCAGG